ATAATATTAAAGGACTTAAAGCATATATATAACATATTATATTACATTATAATATATACTAATAAATAAAAAATAAAAGACATAAGCTATATAAAAGAATATAACCGCTACTAGTACTAAAATAACTATAGGAATTAATTACTTTTAACCATATTACTAATTTACCCCTATCTATTAAACCACTCACTAAAGTTAAGTATAATAATATATTTATATTAGTTTACTGCCTATTAAAGCAAATATACTTTATACTATATAATAAATTACACACAGCAGAAGAACTTACTTATATATATATAAAAATAATCACTATAGAATATAAACTATTAAAAGAAATAATATTAAATAAAGAATAAACATTTACTTTTAAATTTTAGTAAAAACTTATAGCTAAATTAAGAATAAACCATAAATTAAATACTATATACCATCCTTAAATAAACAGATAAATAAAACACATTAACTAAATTATTAAAGCTTACTTACACTACTATATTAACTTCACGCAAGATAATTAAGTAAAAAAATTACCAATAGCCTAATTATACTATAATAGCACACCTTTAAAATCCACAGGGATTACCCCCTTTTATATTAACTATAGATTTACACTAGAAGCATTTAAACCACCACGGGACAGACCCAACTCTAAAAAAGCTTAACTCACAGCAGAAATAATAATTAACTTACATTAAGAAATACACAGATAACTTAAAGTAATTTAAGATTAAATAAAGAAATATATAAACTAAGACAGAATTATAGGACTAATTCTTTAAAAGGGAGATATAGTTTATATACTATAACATTCACAAGGCTATAAATTACTAAACATTAAAATAAATAAGCTAAGTAATAAACTTAACATTAAAAAAATAAAACCTTATAAAATCCTTAAGTAAATTAAAGAAGTAAACTATAAACTAGCTCTACCAGACACTATAAAACTCCGAATTTTAGTATTCTATATATTATAACTTAAAAAAGCATAAGTTAATAAAAACACTAGAAGACCCATTTTAAATAAAATTATTATTAAAGATTAATAAAAAGAATATAAAATTAAAAATATACTTACTATACGCTAAAACTCTAATATAAATAAAGTTAAGTACTTTATTAAATAGAAAAGATACTTAGACTTAGAAAACTCATAGGAACTAATAAAACACTTTAACTCTTAGGAGCTAATAAAGAAGTTTCTCCATTTAGTAAGATTAATAAACCTAAATTAGCAAACACCGCATTCTAATTAATTACATTAACGCCGCTATTAAACTATACCTCTGCTACCGCCTCTAACTTAGCACACTTAAGCTTATCTAATTTATTAAAAGACTAAGCACCCTTATAAAGCATTTACTTACCCCGCATATTTATCTATAAATATTATTTACAGAGACATAATAATTGCGCAAAACTCTTATTTATTAATTAAGATAATAATATTATTTATTATTAATACTTTATTAATTTTTATTATTATTAAAGCAATTCTTACTTAGCCTAATATTCCTTAGCATTTAATTTTTCTTTCTTAGCGGCTAAACATTAAGCTAAAAAAGAGTTAAATATAAAAACCATACTCTTTAAAAAATAAAAACTTATCAGCCGCTAAAGAAATACTATTCCCATCGCATATTCTACCTCTATAAATACACTCCAAACACTTATTATACCCAAGCGCTATCTTATATAATAACCCATAAGCATTACACAAAGAATAAGGCATAACTAATAAACTAATAGTATTAATTACTAATGCATAAGCCTTGCAATTCTAAGTAAACTTTCCGGGACTTAGCTAAGAAAACTTAGTAATACCTCTAGGTATAATAAAAGGATTAAAACTACTTACTAAATAAAATAGGCAGTTTAGGACTTATATACTTTAGGCCTTAGGGATAAGACTAACAGAAGAGGGGCATTATATTATAAACTAATAATATAAGGTCTAAAAAATACATACTCCGGATAATTCTTAGAAGAGACAACCAATTATATCCTAAGGAAAGGGCTTACCGCAGAAAAAAGCACTAAGGGAGTAAGCCTATAACACTAAGGTGCTAGGCTTACTAATAACATTAGTACATTATAAAGTAAGCCACTTAAAATAACTTACTATATAAGACTATTTATTACGCTTATTAAATAAAACTTAAATAGTTAGTTATTAATATAGCACTTTTAGATAACAATTAGATTAGTTATTTATAACCTTATTAGCTATGTAATTACTCTGCTCATTAAATCCCTCGCATCTCTCTGCCAACATAAACCAACGCCTTAGTTTATAGATTAGGAACCTACCCTATACCTAAGTACAATAGTATAGGTTAAGACATTACATTTATATAATAGTTTTTATTTTAATGTTTTTATATTTTCTTATTATTTCTAGTGTTTTTTTTTAAGCGGAGTTTATATAGTAAGTTATTTACGTTAATAGCTTTTTATTAAAACTAGGCTAAGGTTATTTTTTTTTTCTAGTGTTTATAGACTTTTTCCTTAACTTTATATTTAAGGCTATTATAGAAAATTTTCTTAAGGGATTTTTCTTCCTATTTAAGTTAAGTGGCTATTTTATTAAACTTAATAATATAAATAAAATATTTCCTTTATTATTTAAGTTTAGCTATTTTATTTTCTAAGATTCTTTATTCTCCTAGGTTTAAAAATATTTTAGTAAGTTAATTTTTAAATATTTAATAATTAAGGTAAATTTCTATTATTTTATTTCTCTTAGTGCCCTTAGGCCTATTAGTCTTATAGTCTTTTAATATAAGTTAAAATTAATTTTATGCAGTTCTTTTAAGGTAAGTTACTGCAAAGGCTACTTTTGCTTTTTCCTTTTCTAGTGTTTTAAGAAAGTAATATAGGTAGTATTATATATTTATAATAAATAGGCAAAGCTCTTTAGTTTTTCCTATAAATAGTCCTAGTTATTTAAGCTTTAGGATTTCTCTTTCTTCCTTACTTAATTATTCTTTTATTTTATTTTTAATTATAATAGGTTCCTTTTTCTTATTAATAAGCTTATTAAGGTATATATTTTATTTATATAGATCTTAAAGGTATTATTTAAGGTTATTAAGTCTAAGCTATTCCTAGTTAAGTTCCTTTATAGTAATGTCTTTATTATTATTAATAATGTTTTAAATAGCTGCCTTAAGGTTAGCAAAGGATCCTGCTTTATTACTTATTTTTATTATTACTTAATTATTAAATATAGTATCCATTTAAATAAGAGTTATTAATAAATAATCCAGTCCCTAGGTCTTAGGTTATTATTATAGGGTAAGGGATTCCTAAGGGATAAATATATATGTCTATATTAGCAGGTGGGATAGGATATTTATTATTAAGTATATTATATAGTTACTTAGTTAATAAATAGAGTTTAACCTATATTTAATACTATTATATTATTAATAACTAATTATTTAAGCTATTTAATAAGTGTATTCTATTTAACTTATATAGTAAGTTATTTTATAGGGAGTGCAGTTGCCTATCGCTCCTTATAGACTATAGAGCGCTAGTGTATATCGCTCTTATATAGGGAGCGTTCTTAGGCGTCGCTCCTCTTATTATTAGTCATTTATTCTGTAGTTCTTCCGGGGTATGTACTGTTCGTCAGGGCCTTAAGAGGTCAGGTCGTAACAATAATAGTATTAAATATAGGTTATACTTTATTTATTAACTAAGTAACTATATAATATACTTAATAATAAATATCTTATCCTCTCTGCTAATATAGACACATATATCTATCCCTTGGGAACCCCCTACCCTATAACAATAACCTAGGATCTAGGGACCGGATTGTCACAACCCAGCTAATATTATTTCCACCGCAAATAACACCCACAAGAGTACCTGCACTGCCCCAATAGAGGTACTGTCTTTCATCGAAAGAGTGCTATCTTATTACTGCTAGGAGAGCAAGGTTGTCGGTTGTCGGCAGCATGGCGCCGTCGTGACAAGATATGGGAGAAACTAGGGGTGACTTAAGGCAACTGTAGGATCGCGGTTTCGGTCGTTCCGAGCGACAAGGCTTGCCAGATTGCCGCAGTCCTGATCTTGTCTCCGAATAGATTTACTGCACTAAGCAATGCTGCATGAGCGTAGTGGTCTACATTAATAGTGGGGTTAATGCTTACTACTATGTATGCATGCATTGATGCTCCATAATATAAATGTCGCCTTTTTAAACCCGGTACCCCGAGTTCCATAGAGACTGGAGCTTTGGTCTATAGCCGGCGCGATACTTGTGTCAAGCCATCACCATAAAGGAGGCTCGGCTATGTAGATTGGAGAAAGATTTCAACGGCTCATCCCTACAAAGACTTATTCAAGGGTTAGATGGTATCCTAATCAAGGAAGCGGTGATAGGTAAGGTCAACAAACCGAGTCTACGGAAGATCCGGCGCGCTTACTCGACATTGGAATTTTTGTGTCACACATTTGCAAAAATTCTGTCTGTCTTTCAATTCTCGTCCAAAGAGCTTTGGTATAGTCCTCAGTCATTTCAACCAAAAATGCACAGATCAAAGCGTATCTCCGATGTTTTGAAGCAATTAGAGATCTGTGACTTGCTCTACGATTGTACCCAACTTTACTTCATACGTCACTCCAGTTTCCGAATAGCCAGTTTGAAAGCAAGCAATAATAGCTCGCCTTATGTCTGCCTCAAATCCCCAGGTAGGCCTTGGCGACTTACCAGAATGGGATGGACTAGCATAAAGCTACTTCGGAGTTTGGGTGTATGCCTTTTCACAATCTGCACCGGTAAATCTTGGCGCTGCCTGCCGGCTCATAAAATGTATTTATTAGAGGTTAGGCAGAGAGCTTGCCTTTCTCGTTAACTATATATACAGCATCTTGTTTCCATTCATCGATAAATTCACCTGACTAAACATAGACACACAAAACGCTCATACCTGCTATTCTGCATCCACTCTCAAGTCTCAAGGCTTCAACCAACAATCCACTGCAACATGGCTAAATATCCGCCCAAGATCATTTTTGGATCAGGTAATGTGAGTCATGTCATAGCCACTGCTATTCTGTCCTGAACGCTAAGCTCTCTCGGATCAGGTGGGCGACTCGAAGCGTGACCCAGTGGTTCGCTTCGACACTCAGGAACAGCTTAAGGCCGTCTTCGATGCCTTCTATGCTCGTGGACATCGTCAAATCGACTCGGCTCAGGGTTATTCGGTACATGCCCCGGGCAGCTGCGAACCTCGACTGGGTGAAGCCAAGGCTGGCGATCGATTCCTGCTGGACACGAAGGTCCTCTCTGATACGGCCGGATCTCACAAACGAGAGACTATCCTCAAGGCTATCGACGTCTCTCTGGAAAGACTGAAGGTGAAGCAACTGAATATCCTCTACCTCCATCAAAGAGACCGTACGGTACCATTCGAGGAGACTTGCGAGGCATTGAACCAGGCATACACGGAGGGCAAGTTCCGCTACTGGGGCATCTCCAACCTTTCTGTTGAAGAGGTCACGCAACTCATTCAGATTTGCGATGAGAACAAATGGGTGCGACCCTCGGTTTACCAGGGCCATTACAACCCAATTGTACGCGGCGCTGAGAAGGATTTGTTCCCCGCGCTCAGGAAATATGGCATGAGCTTTTATGCTTATAGGTCAGTCCTCCAGAGAATTCTTCTTTCTTGCAGGTCTCAGTTGACATGTGCTCGTTACCAGTCCCGCTGCTGCTGGTTTCTTCGCTGGTAACCACAAGAACGCTCGACCAGGCGGTCGTTACGATGCTTCCGTAAGTATTCCTGAGTTCTATTCTCAATCAACAACTAGATGTTTGACATAATCTTCCCACAGACTTGGCTAGGCGACTGGTATGCCCAGAAGTATAATCAACCAGGAGTTCAGGCTGCCACAGAGAAGGCGTTGGCCACCGCCACGGCACATGGTATTGGGGGACACGACGCCGCTCTGCGATGGTGTGCACATCACAGCGCATTGACCGGCGAGGCGGGTGATGGGATCATCCTTGGGGCGGGCAGCTTGTCTCAACTGGAAACGAACATGGATTCCATCGAAGCAGGACCGCTTCCTCAGGATGTCGTGGCCGCGCTCGACGATGTATACCAGCGGATTGCGAAGACTGACGTGGAGATTGTCTATCATTGGTAGGAGCGACCCCAGGTGTCGTCTTCGGAAATTCCTTCCTGCAGAGCTATGGTGAAACATTGATTCCTGAGATCTTGCTCTGTTTTACTCTGCCTTGCCTTATTAGGGTCCTGCTAAGCATCGTCTATTTCGTTGAGATAGAATTAATAGGTGATGTCTCTTGCCTGATGCAGAAGGCGTAGGTCTTGGCAAGAGAGATCATGGAGGTGGCCAGCGTGAGGATAAAGTGAGTTGTACATGGCCGCTATATTCTTTTGTTGGTAAAAGTTGGTAGAAGGTCCATTTTTAGCGAATTGCATATGATACGAAGTAAGTTGTTGGATTATGACTGTATTGTGAATAATTCTTCGAAGGTGATTTCGGGACGACTTTATTATCATTTTGTACAGATGGCGTAGCTACGATGTTATAGACATTTCGCACCGAGCTGACGATCGACGTCCTGGCGTCGTGAGTGACCTTCAAATTACAGCAATATTTTAGACTTCAGTGTAGCTGCATAGCCTCACGACGATCCTCATGGAGTAGACCATAATCAGCGCTCAGGAGTCGAGGATTAGGAAGGGCTCGACGGATGACATCGCGGAATTGTCTCGAGCGCTCGTGTCAGCAACACTGAGGCCAATGAGCTCGACGCGCAACTCGTACTCAGAGTTCGAGAGGACCATCACAGGCATTCACATTTACTCTGTAAACCGGTTACATGCGACTGAAACACAACAATTGCCTAATTCGTAGCAAATAACGGTAATGAAAACCGCAACATCGCCGGCGAATCAGGTCAACGTAACTTATGGGGGATTAACAGCAGATTTACAGCAGAGAGGCACTTCAAATTACTGGCAAAGTCACTTGGTTTCAGCGTAGGGGCTTCGCATAGAGGCCAAATTCAGTGTAAAATTTGACCAAGCCGTGCCCGGCACCATAATATTCCAGCGCCAAACATGTCGCGAAAGGTATGCACAGGGCCGGTGACAGGCTTACGCTATCACGGAGACTCAACTATCATGGCTAGGGAGGTTGTGGTGCGCACAGTGCATCATATCATTCGAGCTGGCTCTTAGTCTCTATCGACTTGGCCGACTGCTATGGAAGGAGACAGTAGACGTGCATGAAAGTCGTCTCCGGTCTGTCGCAGTACAGAGAGCAGGGAATTTCGAGCCAGCTAAGCTTAGCAATCAATGTACGCGGAGTTCCGAACATGTGGATCCCTCTGCTGTCAGATCAGCATTACTCCGTATGGTCTCGAGGTTACCGATCTCTTGGTTTAGTAGTGGCATTTCTTTTTAGCACGGAAGGTTAGTCACTCTGATCTAAAATCTTAACTCAGGGGCAGCTCTGTATTATGGTGAGGATCTTGATTCTAAATTGAATTTGACATTTTAATGATGTCAAGGTTGGGGATGAAGATTTGGCGAGCTAGAGGCCTTTGTTCAGTCTCAGTTCACAGTCGGTAGAGCTCGCTCTGGCATGCGACATTTTCCTCGGTATAGCACGAACGTCTCCCAATCGAGACTTTTCTCGTACTATCTCATCGTGACTCTAATGATAACTTTATCAGCCGGTCCTCCAAAAACCTTAATGTTCTCAGTCGTACATTCCAGGATTCGCCGCGAGCCACTCATCCAACGATGTCAATGTCCCCTTTGCCACTTTCCTGTCTTCCTCTATGATTTTCTCCGTGTCTGGCCCGAAATATCCAAACTCCTCATAGTATCCAAACACATCCGTGAACATGTCCCCCGCAAAGGGCATCGACGCGCGAAACTCCTCCACGGGCATTTGCTTGTACACGAACGTCTTCCCTGTCGCCTTCTCCAGGCTGGCCATGATCTCCTTCAAGCTGTACAGACCTTGCGCCGCACTGATGGCCCGTCCGGACATCTCGTCTAGCGGAGCGGCGAGCATCCCGCCCACAAACTTCCCCGTGTCCATCGCGGCGGCGATGAGCGAGTAGCGCACCGTCGGCGGGTGCGGGCGCGTAATCACCCATGTTCCGTCCTCGGATTTTACAGGCGCCAGAAAAGTTGAAGGGTTAAGGTTCTCCATGAAGGACGCCGGGCGGTAGAAGGCGCTCCGGATAGGTAGAGTGCGGATGTAGGCTTCCACTTCAGCCTTGGCGTCAAATGCCGCGATGGTCTTGTATTTGCCGTTGCTGATCTTGGCGGGAGATGGCAAGCTGCTGTAGATGAGAAACTCGACACCTTTTTCTAATGCGATGTCGGCAATTTTCTTCAGGCTCTGTAGTTCGTCCTCGAATGCATTATCGCCCAAGTACGGTGCATTCATGAGGAATACGGCATTGACTCCTTCGAGTGCTTTCCCCACGGAGGCCAGGTCTGCGAAATCAGCCCTGACGACTTCCACGTGGCTTTTGAGGGCTTTGGCCTTGTCTGAATCTACGTGGCGGGTAATGGCGCGGATCTTGTACTTGCTCGAGAGCTCTAGATCGTCGCGAACGAACTTCACCACCGATCCACCTTGTTGGCCAGTGGCGCCAAAGACAGCAAGTACTTGTGACATGGCATGAATGACGAATGACGTTGACGATGGTGATGATGCGCAAATAGAATATGTTTATGCTTTTGTGACGGCTGAACAGCAAATTGCATAAGAACCTCCTCAACAAGGCGAATTGAACTGCTTATAAGCAATTCGGGGTCACCACTTTACGTGGACAATGTTTCCAACAGAGCGCCAGAGATTAGCTTTGTAAGCTGCACGTATAATGTAGTGGCCTAGAAACCAGAGGCACTGCCCTGTTCCAAGGTCACCCTGATGTTGAAATTCAGATAAAAGACCAGCGTCACACTTCATCTGCCCATTTGGTGTCGTTGATATCTAGATCTAGAATGATGCCATTCCATTTGTCTTACCATCTCGTGTCACAAGTCGGCAAAACTCCACGATGATGAGCGTAGTTGAGGAGAGATTTATAAGCACATCACTGACCACCGATGTTGCCTTTCTATTCCAGTGGCTAGCGCGGAGGACAAAAGAGTTTCACTTGTCGCTTGCAGCTATATGCATCTGCCAATCCCGTCTGAAAGCAAATCGAAGGATGACAACGAGAATCCTCATGTTGTCTTCTAATTTCATCATGCTTAATACTCCACTCGATTGGCATTATTCATCCGAACTTAGGCCCCAGCCAGCTCTCGTAATTGGTCCTTGTCTTTCAAAATCGGCTCTGGCTTAACTGCCCGAAGTTACATCGGGTTGGAAGAAGAACTCGTGGTTGGAATACTGGGTCTCAACATACCGACACTACACGCTCCAAGCCTCTCTTAACCCCTTTGAGGCTACGCTAAATTGTCTATAAAAATGATTTGAAATACTCTATATGATAAACCTCAGTGCTTATAAAGCTTAAAGATTTATAAGCTACCATCTAAGATCGTGGTAGATGTAGAAGCGAGATTCCTCACATAAGACCCTCTAGTCAACCGATAACATCAGCCCATACTTCCTCCAGCAAAGGCCTTCGCTGCAATCCCTCCCATCCTCTACAACGAGCCTCTAGCTATCATAAGCTCTATCATTTTGTCTCAACCAAGAATAGTACCCCATTCGGCCTTTCGGTAGCCATGGCTCCCAAAATTATGCTCTATGGTGTCACTGGCTATACCGGTGGCCTGGCAGCCGAAGAAATGGTCAAGCTCGGCCTCTATTTTGTCGTCGGTGGGCGATCCGCTGACAAGGTGCAAGCCAAGGCCGACGCTCTCAGCGTCGGCTCCAAGGTCTTTTCGCTAGAGTCGCCGGCAGAGATTGACGAGGCCATCAAGGGATTCACCGTCGTCTTCAATGCTGCCGGGCCCTACTTCAAGACTGCCGGCAGTCTCATGGACGGCTGCATCCGCAATGGCGTCCACTATGCCGATCTTGCCGCAGAAACCTTTTCGTTTGCGGCCGCAGAGAAGCGGGACCAGGCTGCCAGAGATGCCGGGGTGATCCTCCTGCCCGGCGGCGGAGGCGTTGCTGAAGTCTTCATGGACTGTCTTGTGGGCCATGTCCTTAAGCGCACCCCCAACGCCACCCATGTAGACCAGGTTCTCGATATGAATGGACCTTTGACCAGAGGAACTATCGAGACAATCCGGTCCTTTACTATCGAGCACCTCCAGAAGCGTGTTGGTGGCAAACTCGTCCAAAATGACTTCAACAACACCATCACGGTCGACTTCAACGACGGCAGGGGTGAGCTCATCGCGCCGCCAACGGGCGACCCGCAGCTGTATACTTTGTGGAAGTTCCCTGGGATTTCTAATATCCGGACCTTCATTCATAAGTCTGGCGAGCCCATCCCTACTGCCGAGGCTAGTACTCTGCCTTTCGGCCCTACCACCGAGCAGCTTGATGCAACGCCGTACCAGGCCGTTGCCATCGTGTCGTCGGCAGACGGGTCCAAGAAGAAGTCAATTCTCCGCATGGCGAACGGATATGTCCTCACCGCGCAGGCAACAGCAATGGCGTGCAAAATTCTCGCAGAGGAAGATCACGGAGATAAGGCGGGTTGGGTCACGCCGCTCCAAATGTTTGGCAGCGACTACCCACTGTCCTTCAAAGGATCTTCAGTAGCGGATGTTGATTAAACGGACGTCCAGTTTTTGACCAACGATTGGTAGTCAGAGGCTCAATAAAAGTTATTCCTGAACTGCATGGTACTGTACGAAGTATAGCCGGTCTAGGTACGAATGATGATGCTCGATCTTTTACCTTCTCTATGGTGGACGTTGCCAACTCCTTTGGCGATCAGTCCAGCTTTCTTTGATCTGACAGACGAGCCAATGCATTGCAACTTGTGGGTTATCAGCAGCGCCCAGTTTTGTCCACATCCGGTGGTCGAACTGCTGGATTCGAATCCATGCACGGCGCATTCTGTTGAACAAGGAAACGCTAGTCCGATCTGGCTACGAGGACCACATAGATTTTACATATATAAGAGGTCCTGCCTCCCGACTTCTCCTAGAATAATTAAGACCTTTCAATACAATCAATTCAACCTCTATTGTTCACTTCCCTTATTTGACACATTCACAAATAAGGTTACCTCATGCTTCCAATTGCAGACATGATTGGGCGATAAATGAGCCCGCGGGTTAGAGCTTGAAAGTCTATGAACTTCATAATTGAGACATGTTTTCATACATGCACCCTTTGCCTACACTCATATAGTAAAAAGTACCTTAAAGTAAAATATAAGGTACTTTTCTTAAAATATGTAAAGGGCCCCGGGCTACCCAGCCCGTGCAATGGGACACATACCGCGTACGGGTCCACCACATCACGTGCACACCCCTATTCTTGGGATGGAGTAGTAGATCAATGTCACAAACCAACGACGAGGGTCGTCGTCATACGACCTACCCCACCCGACCCCCATCGCCGCAGCCAATCAACATCATTGGAACATGGGAACTCCAAGATGGTGTATGGGTCAAAGATCTGACACCTGACTCAGCAACCAACCCTACACTGATCAGTAGTGATCACTGCGATCACCATGATCAGTACTGAGCCAACCAAGCAACACTGATCCAAGGGAATCATGAAGGAATCAATGAGGAGATGGAAAAGTATATTAAGGACACTCATTACCTAGCTAGAAGATAGTTTCCAGATCTTCAGTGATTCAAAGAAGTCTGGCGTTGTGTCTGGTTGTCTGGACGCGCTACGCCGCAAGTCCTGCAATGGGCTCTTGGGTAGGGTTCCTATGAGACTATATGTAAGTCGAGGGTATTTCTCATTTGAAGTTCAACCGAGCAAGCTGGTCCTCCCTCCAATACCATACGGCGCATAAAGTGGCACCAGGCCCGAGAATGACATTGCCTGCGGCAATGAGAGCCGCAGCTTTCAGGACGTTTGCATCTGTGCGGCCGACGCGCTTTAAGTCCCAGACAGCTTGGCACGTCCAAATATAGGTGGCCACGTCCATCGCCCAGATGTCAATAAGGAACATGTACTTGACGGCCTCGCCCAAGCTTCGCTGTCCTGGGGCGAAATCAGGCAGAAAGACAGAGGACAAGGTCAGGATGGGGTCGAGTATGACTTTTACAAAGCATGAGACGTGAAAGGTCAATCCGATAATGCCAGTAATGAGATAAAGGCGTTTGAGATGTCGAATATCAGGCATTATCCCAAGCGGCTCCTGAGACCACTGATTTGGTCTCGTCTTTGGATGTGGATCCAAGTAGGCGAGTGTAGTGCAGAGAAGGGGAACATACACTGGCGACAGTTGCCAGATGGCGTTGACGTTTTGCAGGGTGAACGGATCTTCCCAGCGGATGAATAATGCAACTGTCGGCAACCCGAACCCGACAAGAACTGCCCACAGCAACGATTGTGCATACTTGAGTGGGACCTCACGATGAAGCGGCCACCAGTAGCTTTCGGGTGCGGACACGAAGGTGTAGACTGCATAGTACAACGGCATGTAAATTCCCGTGCCAGCAAATTGGGAGAGTGCGAACCAGACAGGAACTCTGCGTAGGGTTAGAAAGATACCACAATGGATGTGCTTCTGAGACTCACATCGCTAGAAGCGTATATTGGTTTCCTCTACGGTATGCCTCGGTTGTCCAGACCGCAAGGTGCTGAACCAGACTCCCCTCGAAATAGAGATTCAGGAACCGAAACGACGGATTCCAGTCCTTCAGCCCCGACATAAAGACTGCTGCCAAGTATATGAATATGTTATCGATCGTCTTGTTGCCAGTGTAGACGCGTTTGAGAGGGAAGCCGGAGCTGTAAGGAAATTCTCCGGTCTCGAGGATAGTACTGAGATGTTCCCAGAGACCAAACCACCCAGGCTGCACCCACATTCCATGATAGCAAATGCCAGCAATGAGCACGTAGATGGCTATCCAATACCACTTCTGTATGCCGGATGCCTTCGGGGCTCTAAGCAGCTCATCCTTGTATGGGACAAGCCGTGGTCTTGAAGCTGGTTTTGCATCATGTAGCCCCTCCGCGAGCTGGATGCTGTGAGAAAGGCTGTAGATCATGGAATCATCGATGACTGCCTGTGGAACTTGCAGTGGTGCAAACCGATAGAGAGGTGTGGCGAAGCCATATGACTGCTCATGACTAGGTACATGCTCCTTCAGTTGCTTCAACTTCTTCAGACAGTTTATCTTAGCTGCAGCTAACGAGTGTTCAATTTGCACGAGTGTAGGCTTGCGGCCTCGTGAGGAGGTTTGGATATCACGAAGCGCGTTGGCCAGAATTGCTCCAAACTCAATGCAGGCACCTTCACCAAAGCCAGTAATAGGAAGCATCTAGCAGCGTCAGTATGTGGTCAACGGGCAGACTTGAGTCAATGACTGACCTTGTGTGCAACTTCCCCTAGTGTGATGATGCGCTGGTGAAAGTCGGTGCCGGAAACGTAGTCCTTTGAGGATGTCGCAGTGGATAAAATCGTGCGGTCAAGAACCTGCTGGAAGCTTATATCCGGCGTGATTTTGTCATGTCCAATGATACGAAGAGCCTCTTTCCTGGCCTTTTCAGACAAATACGGGCCCTTGATCTTGCCAGTCAAGCTCCCGAGCCTGATGAAAGAGTGCCAGTGCAGACGGCCCTCAGGGCCGCAATCGACAATCAGGGCTCCGTGGTCGCCAAGTACTGACGTTCTTATTCCGAGTTCAACACCTTCGCAAGGCTCTGATGCCCCTGAAAAGTAAAAGTAATTTTGTGTCGTGCCTGTTTGCCGGAGCTATCAGATCCTCTGTTTCATAACCTAGGGGAGATGTCCGGTCTGAACGTACTGTTTTGCTCGTCTGAGAACCGCTCAGGCGACACCTCGTTCCTAATCCGCAACATCTCGTCTTTGATGGTACTTTCGCTTCCATCTGTGCCAACAATGACGTCACCATTGTAGGACGATCCATCGGCGGTTCGGACGATGACACCTCCCTGAGATACGCGGATATGCTGAATCTCCTTCTCGGTGATGATGTTCCTCTTGTCCTGAATATTATCATACAAAGTCTGTAGAAGACCCTGGATGTCCAAGCACAGAATTGGATACCCGTGTCTGTTTGCATATCAAAATCAGCTTGAGGTTTGCTTCAACCATTGGAGAAAATGATACCTATCTATTATGGTCTGTTTCACGCCTCGAATTTGGCGAATGAGCCTCCCAGAACCGTCTCGACAGACATGCGTGTCAATCGGAAAGCTTAGTGCTAGGACCTTATCGTACAAACCAAGTTGATCAAGGATCCGCGTCGCATGGGGCAGAAGTGTAGACCCAGTGCCTTCTTTCGGAATGATCTCCGGCTTTGCTTCAAGCAAGACAAAGTCTATGCCGTAAAGCTGCAGCATGTTCGCCAGCGCGAGGCCAGCAAGACCACTACCTCCGATTACAACTCTGAAGTTGTTTTTCTGTTCCATCTTGCTGAAAGATTAATAGTAGTTAATACTCTGGTCCTAATTTGCCAAATTTGCCAAAGGCTAGAGTTATGAAGAACGAATTCGTCTATATGAAATGGACAATGGATCAGATGACCGGCGATACCGACGAGGCTAAAGCATTTCCGTGGCTCGCAGGAATTCCTGATATAGCACTGTTTTAATAAGGTAAGCACTTGTTGTCTAGACAAGAGTATTTGTCTAAACTAGTTCCGGACACATCAGCCATGGCCATGTTTGCACTCGGGTAATGTTTCCGCTTCGCCGTAATAAAGATGCCTAAGTGCCAGAATGCATTGGAGTCAGAGGCCCCTAGGATCCCAATTGGAGTAGCTGCTCGTGACTTTTGCATTATGGAAAGCTTCACGCGAAAGAGCCTGGTCACAAAGCGGTCCCTTAAGTACACATATTATGTTTCGCCCCCAGCTGAGATTTCGGGCAAGGTGCCAGCTTTGCTGTTCCTGCACGGCTTCCCTGACTCTTCTCATCTATGGTCCCGGGTCATCAGCGCATTGGGCAACATACCAAATCGGATCATCGTCCCTGATTGCCTAGGCTACGCCGGCACCGACAAGCCGACCGATACCAACCTCTACTCATACAGCGGCCAGGCTGAAGATATAACAGATATCCTGGCTGCTGAATCTGTTAGCAATGCGGTCATCATCGGCCATGACTGGGGCAGTGTCCTTGCACAGCGCACTTTTCTCCACCACGGGCACATCCTGCGTGGACTCGTTCTTCTGAACGTTGGCTACATGGTTCCCCAAAATGAATTGTTCGACCTTTCTGCCTTCAACTCCCATACTCAGCAAATTTTCGGCTACCCGCAATTTGCCTATTGGGAGTTTTTCTTAACGCCTAATGCTGCTGGCATAATTGAGAGCCGACTAGATCGAATGTGGCAAGCCTTGCATGGTGACGTTGAGGATTGGATGAGGAAGATCTTCTGCGAGCCTAATGCCATGCAAGACTTTCTGCTGGGCACCGAGGAGGTACCTCTCAAGAAGTACGCGCAAGAATCCGAGTGGCAAGCTCATTTCAAGGGTCAATTTCAGGCTGGTGGCTTTGCCTCCGCGCTACAGTCATATAAAGCTGTTGCGTGGAACGTCCAGCTGAAGTCGGACGCCACGATACCCCGAGAGAAGCTCCAGATCGAGGCGCCGTGCCTTTATATCTCGTGTACTCGGGACGCAGTCTGCACGCCGGAGGGTACAGAGAGGGCTGCGCGGCAGGGTCTTTTGCCTCAGCTCAAGAAAGTCGAAATTGAGGCGGGGCATTGGTCGCCAATGGAGAAGCCAGCTGAAATCGCAAAGCACATCAGCGACTTTCTACACACCGTTTCTTTGAGCTGATGGACTCAGTGATGCGGTCAATTGAATTGTTGTAATAGCCACAAGGAACTGGATCTACGTAGAAAATAAGTGATTACCGTCAAAGTATTCCTAAAGGACTGTGAGGGTCATTAGATCCGCAGGCATTTTAGGTGCGTCTAAGAAGCCACCTAGGCCCTAACCTAACGAACGTGCATCGCCTCTCACAGTGGACTGAAACACCTTGCTGGGAAGGGATGTAGCTTTCTTGTTGCAGCTCATATGTATGCGACGTGTCAAGCTACAATTGCATCTCCGAAACTACTTAACATCGCGTATCAATTTGCCTCTGGAACGTACGTAGACTGTTCCACATCACGTTAACATTACGTGGCCACGCGATGCATGTGACCATCACACTTCCTCGTGTCCAAAGCAGGCCTTAGTGTAATACACACGGTACAAGGTACCTCAGTAAGCCGGCAAAGATCGCATGCGTACTCAGCGTGGATACTGGCAAGAAGTCCAATTAAAGTTTGGTAAGTTTCCACTTAGACACCGGCGTACGCAGCCTGCGGCATGTACGGTGAGCCCGGGAACCCGGAGCTCCGGGTTGCACGCATTCATGTGGACAGTATCCCTAGTCCGACTCCACAAGCTCAGGCAGTCCGGATACATGTTCCGCACTACGAGGTAACATTCATCGCGCGATTGATTCAACAGGCTCGGTCAATACGGATACATGTTCCGCACTTCGAGCTGGCAAACATCCCAGAAGCTACCCTTAAAACTCAGGCAATAGTATTTCCAACATTGAACACAATGTAGGCATCTCAGACCATTCTCTTTTGGGGAAAGCGCCCTTGCAACACAGCTGTCCGGCTAGGCCCCTTTTACGGCAGTAGTTTCCGAGAGACGACCAGAGACAATGCTTTGGACTTGGAACTCAGACAATCAGGGACAAAGCAAACACTTCTGAGCTGTATAGGCAAATCATATACAAAGGACTATTAGCCTAGCTGAGTACCACTATTTGAAATGTGACTTACATGAGCAGATCAGATGTGAACAAATGCTCTGCGTTGCGTTCTCGCTGCTTGAAGCATGCTACCCCGTGAGGTAGCCATGTTAGTGCGCAGGTTAGCGGTACTTTCACTTTTTCAGGGAGCTTTAGGCATAGCCAATGTATTAACACACCCTAACTTACCACCTCAAGGCGTGTCTACGAACTGAGTGGTGCAGGCTTAGTACACTGTGGATTGGCTGAAAGGTTCCTGCCTGCCGGGGTGTTGCACCTCTGTGCCCCGGAGATTTTACCCGCGACGCGGTTACATTCTCCTGCCTCATCGGCCTATATGCATGGGACACTATTTTAAGACCAAGATGCTGGGTATTCTCACCATCGTCAGACTTAGCAGTCAAGCTATTGGCCATTACATTCTCATGAATTCCTTTCTCTCCACCGCATCACCTCTACCGCAGTTATCGATAGGACCAGTATTACCATCGCGATGAGCGAAGTCGACAAAACAGTCGGAAACGATACAATGGATAGTTCTCCGGCGCCAAACTTGAGTGATCAAGTACCAAAACCGAGAAGATCTCGCGATGCTCTCATTTCTGCCGCCATTGTGTTGACACAGCTTGTGCAGGTGCGGTCGATATCACCTCGTGTAACAGCACGACTAGCCTCGGCCTGTTCGCTGGCTGACCTCGAATAGATGATCCCGTACGGAGCAGGTATCAACGGCGGACTGGAGATTGGCAAGCGTGTTGGTGCCACACCGGCCGAGTCGGCTTGGATAGTTGCATCGTACCCGTACGTACTCGCTCGCCCCTGTCGAACATGTCGCTCGGCTCGGCTGTTCCTGTCAATGAGTGCAGATCTAAAATTGGAACGTAACGCAGGTTGACTCAGGGCGCGTTTGTGCTCATGGGTGGTCGACTTGGTGCTGTCTACGGCCACAAGAATACAGTAGTCGCTGCTGCTGTAATCTGGGTCATCTTCCATCTAGTCTCGGGTTTCATGAGAAGCGTGATCACGCTGTCAGTCATGCGCGCTCTCAGCGGGATCGGTGGTGCTCTGATCGTGCCAAACGCAATCGCTTTGCTCACAATCACGTTCCCACCGGGGAGGACGCGGAACATCACTGTTGGTTTCTTTGGAGCCACGGCTCCCATGGGCGCGACGTTGGGCAGTCTAATGGCCGGGTTGTTCGTGCAGTTGCTTCCGTGGAAGTGGCTGTTCTTCTGCTTGTGAGTGAGGGCCTTTCGGATGACCATTCTGCACCTTCGCTCCGCTGTCTGACAGAAAGGATTCTCACCTTGGGGCATGGGGTTCTGACTCGAATGATAGAGCTATACTGGGGGCAGTTGTTTTCACACTATTCGCCGTTGTTGTACCTGGAGAGCCCGAGGTCTTCGACAAAGGCGGACACATCGACTATGTCGGGTCGTACCTCGGAGTCGGTGGACTTGTGCTATTCAACTTTGTCTGGAAGTGAGTCAAGCCGACATCCTGTTAGCGGAATGATCCTTTCCAGGGAAAGTGCTGATTCGGAATCGTTCACGACAGCCAAGCCCCGGTCATAGGCTGGGAGGAGCCGTATGAGTATGCGCTGCTCATCGTGTCTATCCTCCACTTCGTTGCATTCGCGATTTGGGAGTGGAAATTTGCAACAGTCCCTATCCTACCCTTTGACATATGGAGCGCACCGTCCTTCAGCGTCATGATCGTCTCATCTTTCCTTTCCTTCATGAGTGTGGGCATCGTCATCTGGTACATGAGTGTCTGGAACCTTGAAGTTCGTCACTACACTCTCCTCTCCAACGCTGCGGCGTTCGCGACTTTAGCGGTCTGCGGTGCAGCTGCAGCCGTGATCAGTGCAAAGGTGATCAGGTACGTGGCAGCAGAATATATCATGGCTGTGGGGTCTCTTGCTTCCATAGCAGCCTTGGTCCTGATTGCAACGATGCACGAGCAACAAACCTACTGGGCCCAAATGTTCCCTGCACTGATCTTCACTGCTTTTGGACCAGACTTCTTGTTCACGGCTGCGCAGATCATTGCAAGCAACACAGTGAAGAGGCATGAGCAGGGCATTGCGGGATCCTTGATAGGGACCTTGTTATCGTACGGGCTCAGCACAGGACTCGGGTTCGCGGGAACAGTCGAGGCGCATACCAATGACGGTGGCCGTGACCGTATTCAAGGGTATCGAAATGCGTTGTATCTTGGGATTGGGATGGCCGCTGCAGCCATGATCCTAGCCGTCCTATTCATCCGCATTCCCAAGGATCAGCGCGACGGATGGGACGAGGACGCGGAGGCTGAACGCCCAGCTACTTGTAGAAGCGAAATTTAGGCTGCCTCGTCGCAAGTCCTGCCCCACGGCGAAAACAGGCTCAATTCAAGAGGACAAACTGAGCTTTGCGAGGATAGACTTCTCAGATCTACTGTCAAATTGCCCAACTGATAATAACAACTGGCTGCACGAACGCAAATAAATACTACCAGGCCACCATTACGCCTTGTCTACCTCATGCATGACAGTCCATGCCATCGGAAAGCCACGCGTTGCTCGTAATAAAGTTCAAGAGATCCGTCAAACCTACGACCAATCACATATGTCAAATAGACACCTCTTTCTAATCTGAATAATTTATTAAATTCTCTTTATGCTAATGTATTAAATATAGAATGAATAGTATCATTAGAATATTTTGCCTTGAGAGAATTATTAACTAGTTCTTTTGTGGATGAACTATTATCTAGTTTAACTTTAGGTATAAAAAGTTCAATAATGGTATTTATTCCCCCCCCCACCCCATTTGAGTTAGAGCATCTTTTCCTAGAATACATTTTAATCAATTAATGTCATTCTGTTAAACAGTATTATTACCTATATTATTTGCATTTATAATATTAATTCCTTCATTATTATATATTTGTGGAATATTCTTTATAAACATAAGCTTATTCTAAGTATAATTTCTTTTTTAGAAGGTTAAGTTCATGTTTTATCCTGTTATATACCCCCTCGCTATTTATTTGGAATTAGAAGACAAGCCTCTGGTCGTAATGTCAAAGAGATACGAAGGAGGTTTATGTTATTCTAGCCATGAAACGCATGTCCATAGGTGTCATTTTATGATTTAAAGTTTTAAAATAAATTTTATACAAGATGTTATTATCTTCATTATTAACTGTACCTTAGGGAGAGGAGTTCGCTTCCCGTTCAGAGATATGAAGTCAGCTATTGACCCCTTCAAGCTGCAATTGGTGCCTCTTCAGGAGTAAATGTTCAGCTACTTCCCGCTGCATAATCGGCCCAGCTGAACAGGAAAGGATCCAGCTGATCTAGGTCACCAGTGGTGCACTGATCCAGGAGTGTTGATGCATCTTCGAACGTCCTGTGACTATTAATCATTTGCTCTGTGTCTTTCCCTGTTGGGGAGGGTAGCAAGCCCGAGCCAGCCGCACAAGCCGCCACGGCTTCGAACAGAGGCGCAAGTGGCGTCCCTGCAACAGTCACTGCTAGTGAGACGAGCGTGCGACCGACGATGGGGAAATGTAGGTCTATTTCCGTCATATTTTCGATTGCCAGGCGCAGCCATTTAATCTCACGCGTCTGTGTGCCGACGTGACTAGGGTGCCGGAGGAATTCCTCGACGAGGACGTCCAAGGCGAGGATGACTGCATCGAGCATGGCGGAGCGTATCCGCTCGGTGCCATGGATCTGGCGATAGATCAATAGTAGGCGAACAATGCGACATGCTGCTTCATAGCCTCGACTACGACATGCCTCGACAGCTCCGCCGCTGTCACATGAGGCTTGATAGACGAGGATCTGGACTTTGCAGTATTGCAACTGCAACGTATAGGCTGCCGGGTCAAGGTCTGCAATGTTTGACTCGTCATACACAAAGCAAGGCGGTAAAGCCTTCATCCACTTTCGCAGGTCAACGTTGAGTTGCGCAAGGTGGGACTTCGCATCGGGAGTCAAAGGGCGGCTGCTGTTCAGGACCTCGCAGATATCCGCCATGTGCGTCGAGAAGCCCATCCAGGCAGCCAGCGTGGCAGAAGGAGTCCCTCGATATTGCTTGTATGCTATAGCGGCTGTTTGCAGAATTCGCTGCGATATTGAGCTCGGACGACCTAAATACACGCACCAGATACCCTCCAAGGCGATACACGCCCCGAGAAGGTGGAATTGAGCGTGATTCACCTGTATTGTTTCCCCATTCTCGGATGTGTCTGAAGACTTGTGTAGACCGAGCTCGATCAGCATTCGACACGCGATTCCTGTGTTTTGTTTGCACATTAGTCAGAGTGGTACAGTAGTAGTTTCATACGATATTGTATCTGGACTTACCGCAAAAGTGCCAACCTAAGCCTTCCCGATTCTGGGACACCTCGTACTCACTTAGCATCAAGAAGCCCTGTACGGAAGCCGCCGACGGATGATCCAGCGCGAGCACAATGTCTGCCTTTGCTTGCGAAGCATACTGGTCTCCCAAGGAACGCACGTAGCGGGAGCTGCTGAGTCTAGTTGCAGAGGCCAGCATGACGGCTTCGAGAAAGTTGGAATACCACATGGACGGTTGGCGGCTTTCGCGATGCTGCCAGAAGAGCTTCTCGTCCACTGCGTCGACCCACAGGGGCTGGTACCTGAAGAATGATTGAAGTAAGCGGCATTTGACTTGAATCGTATCAGTGTCGATTGCAATGCCCAAGTCAGCAGGTTCGTCAGTCCTCGGACAAGCCTGGTGGTGATGATGGCGGTGAAGGTGTATTGTCGCAGACGACATTGGATAGTTCTGTGACGTCGAACCATCAGCCCCGGCGCCCATCTCGCTGCTCCTTTCACCCACTGAAGCACATGATGACAGAAAGGACGTGATGCCTGTATTGGTTCTATTCTGCGAGAGTTCTTCCTCTGCAGTATCCACAAGGCCTGTTCGCTGGTGGAATGCACGTGGACTCGCGCCCGGGGTCATGCGAGGATCAGGAGTGCTCGGGGCCGTGGCGCTGTTCAAATGACTGTCCGATGTGTCTTCCGACGAGTCTTGGCTATGTGGACCATGTTGCGTCGGTTGTTGAAGGAGCTTCTCAAGTTCCAGGATGCGTCGCTCCAATGTCTCAACGTGCTTCCGTGAGCCAGCCTTGCGCCTGTCGCCAGTCGGGTCCACGCTACAAGGAATGTCCAATTGCTGACAAGGTGTGCATTTCGAGCCCGCTGGACTCTTCTGGGCGTCGCACTGTGATGGAAAAGCTGCATGTTAGCCACCGTGTGCCTTCCTTCTCAAGTGAAGGAGCCGCTGAGTCTCACCTTCACCTTGCGCCGTTGGCAGCTCTCGCATGCCAGCGAAGCGCGTGTTCGCGGGACTCTCTCCTTCATCGCAGTACAAACGGGAACAGGTCAAGTGAATACGTCGTGAAATTGGTTGACCGTGATTCAGGTGGCTTTTTTCGGAGATCTTGCGTTGGGAAAAGTGCAGGGGGAGGCTAAAAGTACGGTACGGAATTTGGGGTATGGGGCGAGGGAGGACATTTGTAATGCACAATCAAGCTCTCACGCTTTCGCCTGATTAAATATATAAGTTTATTTCTCTATACTTATTTGAATAACTTAAATAACTAATTATTAATATAAAATCAAAATTATAACACACTTTACACTACTTACTATCTAGTAATATTATTTACTATTACTTATATTACTTATTAGATTTCCTAACTAATCTACTAATATAAGCCTAGAACTAAACTCTAGGTTTATCCCTTGGTAATCCCTTGTATTACTAACTCTCTAGTGTACAGTTTATCACACTGCCTACTATTGTTTGGTTATGTGGCGGGGACAGTAGCTGGGAACTGAATGTTCTGCTTTAAAGTAGCGCTAGGCGGGGTCCTGGGTAGCACAATGGAACCCCCAAATACGCTTATATATACTTCAAATACGCCCAGATAGCTAAACCTATCTAGGCCTAAGTAATTTTAGTATATATTGATTGAAGCGTAAAGTTCACCTGTTAAAGAAAGTTACAGCGATGTAAAGCGCTACTGGTTCCGGATGATAGTAGGATTTGCTCTAGCATAAAAGGTAGAGCCGTAGACGCTTCAGCTCCTGACATTTGAAAGAAACCCTCGGCCACGTTTGACTACGATAAGAAAGAGACATCGGTTGCAAACCCACATCAAAATGAAGCGAACTACAGTATTGATCGTCCTGATCCAAGGTGCATTGGCACAGATAATCAGCACTTGCAAAGACTTTAGCTTCGACGCCGTGACTGAAGTTTTGTCGGCCGAATGCGTGCCCAGTAACATGGTTGGCTACGTCACCACGGCTCTGAACCTGAACGACTGTTTCGCGTATACCGGCGGCCAGATTTTGGTGAGTATAGCACATTCGCTATACTATGAGCTCTGAAGTAACCGAACCATACTCTTTAGGCTCGAACAAATGGGAACTATGGCCAGAGTTGCGAGGGCTGCCATCTTTACATTGCGCCTGACCCAGTTTATGGTTATCCTAAGGATACATACTGGATGAACTGCACCTGCCGTGGCCAGAGCGCCGAGGTGGCTGTTTCTCTCGGTAGGTTGGCTGATCATAGTCGCACGACCAGCAGCAACTAACTATTTCCAAGAGGATACGGCCGGCTCCCAGTGGGTCACAAATCAAAATGGCCATTTAGTCTGCTAAATATTTCGCTTCGCAAGAATAAAGAGTATTTGCTTATGTTTGTTTGTTTGTTTGTTTTATTATTAACATTCACTAAGTAAGCTAGTTATATAAATCCCTTCTGGGTAATAGGATAGTAGGAGCTGTAGGTTTAGAGTCTGCGTTTACTATGTGTTATATAAAATAAAGGAAAGTGTTATATTAATTTATGTTTATTTGTGTTAATTTATGTCTTAGGGGGTATATAAATAAAAAGTATATAATACTATATATACTATAAATAAACTATAAAAACACAGGCCCCTTATAAGTAAGTAAGGCCCCAGCAATTATCAACATTTAGCTAATTTAAACAAGGCATTAGTGCAATAGGCTAACTGGTATATCTGCTGCTGGGACTAGCGTGGCCACTGAGACATGCGGCCAGGTTAATCCGTCGAAATCAAGATTTACAACCTGGGAATACTGGATCTGTTTAAAGGTTGCTTGAATTGTCCTAGCATCTGCATTACTGATAGACGTGTCGACGGTAAAAGTTGGTCTTGGATCTGCCACATTATCATTGGGCTGAATTCGTATATTTTCTCCCGCCCTGAATGGTGGCACGACAATGTCGCACTGCACATCCGAGATCCAGAATCTGGCCGTCATTGAGGCTGCATCGGCATTTTGAACTGCAGTCGACCTACTGGGCGGATCCAAGGACTTGCCCTCAAGGTATGCGATATTGGAAATTCCGTCGCTATCGCTTTGTTTTGCAGAAGAAGGAGCAGTGGATACTTCGAAAGTGACCATGCTCACGATTGTTTTTCCCCCATTGGCGTTCACAAGCACAGTATTCGGATTGTTCAAAATTGCCTGCGTAATAGTCCCATTCGTGACGAATGGGTTAAGATCTTGTGGTAGTCGTGAGGTGTTCATGTTGGTGACATTCATAGCTGGAAACTGGTTATTAAGCCGGCCGTTGGGTCTGGCAATTGGGAACGGCGTAATATCCACAATGTCATTAACTGCAGGGTTTCCATTTTGGATTCTCGTGGTAGGTGCTAGACACTGGGCGTTAATAGTGGTGCCATGAGGAATAGACGCCATGCGTGCAAGCGATTCAGCATTGTTGTTGTCAGCTGGTACTTTTATCCACAATCCTGGTTCGAAGTGAATGTCGCGAGGTGTATCGTCGGCTCTGCCAGATTTGGGATTTGTTACATCGCGGACAACTTGCAGGTAGGACACGCCGCTGAGTATAAGGTCTTTTTGCTCCTTGAGTCCACGGTTAGGTATACTGCCCAGGTTGTCGGTGAAAGTTATCTCTTCTGTAGTGAGATTGAGCTCCAAGATGCTCTCATTTGGAAATACTGGATCTGGCTTGTTGTTTCCACCTGCCGGAACTGGGTTCGGGAACGTATTGCTCCCACTACTGGGGCGCCATATTGTATTGAAACCATTTCCAATAAATGTCCCGCGGAAGTTTGAAAGAACATCTAGAGCCTGCGGTGGTGTAGGTCTGAGCGTCGCATCAACTGACTGAAGATTGACTCTGACTGCAAGGCTTATAGCTGGCCTTTGTGGAGGGTTAGCCATGATGGGCGCGCTCGATATTGATTACTTGAAACAGTATTTGTCTTTGTGTTAATAGAGTTATCAGAAAGTGAGGAAAATGCGTGAGAAAGGGGGCTATTTGAGAGTTCTTGGAGGACGAAATATAGTGGCATTAAATTGAACGGGTATAGATGGTAGAGACTTCTTCTATAATGGTATGAAACCGGCTATCTTGACAAAGTTCACTTTTCTTTTGTTCTCTTACAGTGTATTCTGTTAAATTTCATAGAATCTCATGCTGTTTATCTTGCCAAGGGGGCCTTGTCTACATGGCGCGTAGGTTTCAAGCTTCGTATCGAAGCTGAATTTTAGGCTCCTCCATAGTCTACCACTTATGTCATATTATACTTTGCTGAAAGAACTCTATATGAACGTTTCACAGAGATTGCTATAGGATATCCAAAAGTAAGGTAGGTGATAAGCCAACCATAATAGACTCATACAAATCTTGTCTCTTGTAGACTATGGTAGCAGATAGTGTTCTTTGGATCTGTAAATAAAGGTTGTGCATTATGTTTCTAAGGAACGGAAGAAAAAAGTTCAAGTATGGGAATGAAGTTGGTCCTCCTCGCTAACTATTAGGCTTAAATGAAATTGTAAATGAATTGAAAAACCAACTGGGCCTGTATCTTGAGTGCATAACAAATAACTAGTTATAAGTACTTAGTAATATAAACTGTACCGAGTTGGAATGTTTTCAAACATATAAAAGATACAAATAGATAGTTTAAGCTTTATTGAAAGTATAATCAGTCTGTTTGGGGCGTAAATTTAAGGCTTTGGAAGGAGTAGTGGGTTAGCTATAAGACCAGGCAAAGCCTGAATGAAGGTTGCCTAAAGAAAGTTAGACTTGCCCTTGTTGTTTTATAATCATGTAATGGCTAATACTATATGTATTACAGGATGTAGATCCTTTAACTACTAAAATATAGGGTTAGATGAAAGAAAAAGCTAATTTTCCGGCTATCGCAGCCGCTGGAAGAGTGCTGCTTTCTGGAATGAAGGTGGATTCCAATGCATGGCCCACGGAGTCTACTCTAGGCTCTTCCTCAATCAACATGTTACCAGGGCAAAAAGTGCCCTTAAGAAGTTAAAAAACAAGGAAGAAAAGAATCGTTTTGTCGGTCTTCCGGCATATTTAGATTCGAAGTTAGCGGATGATTACGCCACGATTTCTGCAGCATTGGCTGAATCGGAAAAAGGATCGGCAGTACAAAAGTTTTGGTTAGTTACACGCCAACTGAAACTGACTTCACTCTCTATACAAGCTATTCTGCAGTTTTAATTGGGCCGCCTCAAAGTTGTACGCTTGCTGCCGGCGGCACTTTTTGTAATTTTGTACCATTACTGAAGCAACTTAGGCATTAACAATATACCAGGCATCGTGCGTGAGCCGCATAACAAGCGGCCTTTGGCAATTCGATCAAGAGCCGGATGCATCTCATTGGGGCCAACAAGTTGGTTTGGCGGGCTATCATTGAGCTACAGTTGTTTCTGATGCTTTGATAGCGTATCACAAGGTTTTGAGGGCATTCCTGTTGGAAAAATGGCTCTATGGTAACCTTGCAAATGTGCTTATTTAACTCTAAAAAGTAAATTATACTTCAAACCTTATATACCTCTCAATTTGGCCCAATTGTTTTGCATGAGTTGAAATGTACTGCCACGCAACCTTCTTAATATAATATAGCTATTATAAACACAGCCAGTTACATTAACACAGGTGTAATATTATCCTAATTAATTAATAAATAAGAGAAAAATTTAAAAACTAAATGCTATTCTAGAGTTATAACTAAGTTATAAAGAGAGCAAGGAAAGTAAAAATATACCTTTAGACTTAATAATAAAATCTTTTATATAATAATATTAAGAAAATATAAAACTAAGAATAAATAATAAAAAAGTAAAATAAATATTTATATAAAAATATTATTATTTATATTAAAATTTATTAAGTTTTAAAAATAAAATTAATAAAAAAAAAGTATTATATTAAAAACTAACTTTTATAATTATAATAATAAGCTTATAATATAACCCTTATTAAATTAATTATAAAATAATAAATTAATAAAAGTAATTTACTACTTTTATTAAAAAAATTTAATAAGTTTCTTAACTTAATTAAATATATAAATTAATTTTTTTATATTTATTTAAATAATTTAAATATTTAATTATTAATATAAAATTAAAGTTAGAATATATTTTATATTACTTATACTTTAATAATATTTATTTATTATTACTTATATTAACTATAGGTTTCTTAACTGCCCCACTAATATTGTAATAGGACCTGTAAAGGCCTGTGGGCAAGATGCCCTAGAAGCTATTGTAAAGGGAATACTAGCATAGGTTACTAGTATTGCTGATCTTTTGATTGTTAGCGCAGTGGTGCACCCTTTCACACTATAATAAATATAAACCTAAAACTAAACTCTAGGTTTATTCCTTAGGAATCCCTTATATTACTAACTATCTAGTATATAGTTTATTACAGTAAGCTACTTGAGAATTATGAATTATATATTATAACCCTAAGAAAGCGCTTCAGAATCGGTTCCAGAAGTTATTACCGACCAATAGAGTCCCTGTGCGCTATCTATACTTAATGAGGCATCAATAAAATCTAGATCGGGAATTGGCTGTTCCAGTAGATCATGGAAAAAAGGTTCCGATAGTACCATATCTGCGGTTATATCCTGTGGTGCAAACAGGGAGGCAGAGCTACCGCTTGTGATGCCTCCATTGGTTGGAAGCTGGATGGATGCATTATCTCCGCCTCTGCTTTGCATTTCAGCCTCTGCAAATGCAAACAAAAGCTTCATAGCATCCACATGTTGCTTAAACTCGGCAGCCACGAAATTCCCGGCTTCCTTCAATTGTGAGAGAAATTGCACTGCGGTGTCAAAGAGCTCTCTGTCATTATGGCTGTCATTTTCGTTCAATAAGCTTGAAATTGCCAAGATTGTTGCTGCTGTGAAAAGGTACTGCGCATGAAAATAGTCAAACATTGTAAACGTTCCATTTATCCAAGAGTCGGCGAGCATCTGGTAGGAGTGTCTCGCACACCGTACGCAGGCATCTGAAAGAGTATTTGCTGAGTTAGGGATTTCCTGTGCGTCTCCTGGTTTTATGATTTTGAAGCGTGTATGAAAGACATGAAGCAAGACTGGGCGGGTGGCAAGGATCACGAGCTAAAGATCTTATTATTTATGCACATTACTAAGATCATTGAGGAAGAAAGCGCTTACCTGATTAAACTGTAGATGTAAGGATTCTGCCTGTTGTTCTGCTGTATTACTTTTCGTTAGGTCAATCTGCAGTGAATGCGGAAGATCTTTAAGCCATTGTCGCAGCGCAGACAAGCTATCGTGAACTCGTTGGGATAGTGCCGTCTTCTGGGAACTTTTACCGTATATAGAGTTGAGTATAGTGCCAGATATCCTTGCTAGCCTTATCATAGCGACGGAATAAGTACAATCGGCAAAGTCTCTATGTGAGAGCTTATTGGATGGAAGATCAAGATCAATATCACTGTCTTGAACAGCCACTGGATATCCCAACTTCGTCGCCCACATTCTATCGAACGTGTAGGCAGTCCACCAAACTCGGACCCTATGTTCACGAGCCACTTGATCTGTCAGGAGAGGCTCAGGGACATTCAAGTGGAGCCCCATTATAATGGCAGTACGCACTGCGGAGCCAGCTAGGCTATAAGCAGAGTGTCGTCTATTTAAACAAAGTGAATAATAGGACTGTACGAAGAAGTTAGTATCCCAGTTCAGGCATATTTGGAACCTGAATGTCATACCAAAAGAAGACACGTCTCGATCATTTCGACGGTTGGGCGTTCACTGTTGATACGAAGAATTTTCGTCGCCTTGGCAAAGTACTCTAGGCCAGGGAAACATCCAGGAGTAGCTGATGTTCGAGTTGAATACGTTTTTCCAATTGCAAATAATGCCCAGAATTTGCTTTGAGACAAAATGCCCACTGCTCCAGGGTACTGTAATATCTTCTCAAGCTCTTCAAGAATAATACTGCTGCGAACAATGTGGTACCAACGCCCAAGACACCTCAACGCCGCATTTACCAGGAGACGTGCCTGCGGGGGACTAGGCCACGCGCAAGCAGCATCGCTCAAGACCAGGATCTGGTCCTCCGATGGATAACTTACTCGAGGAAAATGGCAGTGGTCAGAGCTAGACATGGCCTGGCGGAACCGTGTGGCAAATGCCGAATCTGAAGCCTCGGAGAGAAGGATAGGAGTGTGAGGGACAGCCATATCAATGAACCAAGGAGTACTAGTCAATTCTGGAGCCTGAGTTGATGGTACTGCGACATTTCGCGATGCTACTTGATCTGTTTCTCCACTGCTCGCATGCTGCGAATCATAACATGGCTGGGGCAAAGACGCTTGACGTTGAAGCGCCTTGTTCTCTGCAATTAAGCCATCGATGTATCTATTAGATCAGTATCAATCCATGTTTTTCTAATCCTGTTAACTTACTGCTGGCTAACTTTCACCAATCTATCCTTCTGGGGATAAACGCATTCCACAGCCTCATTGGCTCGTCTGCAGTTATGACATGGGTTTCCTCCTGAGCATTTCACTCTTCGTAAATGACAATTACGACAGCTATTAGCATTCTGAAGAGTTAGTGAGAGCTGTCATTGACAGGGGGTGCTCATTCTACTATGTAGATTGACCTACGCAGTTGGTCGTGCTCGTGGCGTATATGGGGCTTTCGCCGCTGCTGGAGTACCAGCCGAGTGATGTTGGTCCAGGTCGTCCAATGCACCGGCCATTGCTTAGATTGCCCGGGATACTCTCATTCCAAACAGCTGAGAGGGTAATACTGGTTTACAGAAGTGACTTTGTTACCTTAAACAATATTCGTGGAGTAGAGTCGTTGCCCGCTACACGGGCTGGACTATCGGCACGTGCGCTCATTTGCCGACACAAAAAGAGGGTTGGCATTCGGCGAATAGGCTCCCCCAGCGAGACGCTAATCCTGATGAGGCGGAAATTTCGGCTTCACAACGGCCTTTTACACCCAGACCGAGATATGACACGGGCGATCTGCTCACCGCCCGACCACAGACAGCATGAGATTGTAACATATGCGCGAGCTTGTAGCCGAAAGTTGATCAGGGAATCTTGACTCGGATCATGCATGCTGATTCGTATTGCTTCTATTCTTTCTACTAGTACAATTCAGCGTCCATTTGACTGAAAGTTGTCCAACAGTTTCCAATCTTGAAACACATCTCCAAATAACACATTGCGCCTTGGTGAAATAGACTTTCAAGTACCATATTCTGAAAATCATTACTCTAATCATTTTAGCAGTTGCTTCGCTGCTCATCTCACTGAAACTCGGTATTGCCCACTATTTTCCTTTGACTTGGCGCATCGTCGAACTATCCCGCACTAAATCTCACACGCATCAGCCATGGCAGCTTCGATTCAAAACCCACGATTGCGTCTTCTTAATGCCCTTCGAGCTAGCTCGAAGCCTATTATGACATTCCTGGGGCTTCCATCTTTTCGCACAGCCCAAATTGTAGCTCAAACTGGAGTCGATGTAAGTACCGCTCACGGTTGTTTATGTACTTCCTAACAATGATGAAGGGCATCATCATTGATTGCGAGCATGGCCACATCAGTGATGACTCAATGCATAGTTCCACCGCCGCTATCGCTGCCCTTGGAGTGTCACCACTTGTGCGTCTCAGAATGACTCATGCGGATTTGATAAAAAGAGCATTAGACGCAGGTGCACAGTAAGTGGCATGAGACCTCCCATTCCAGTACTAACAGTAACTAGCGGAATCATTGTTCCCCAAATAAATACCGCTGAAGAAGCGATTACAGTTGTGAACAACTCAAAATTCCCGCCTCAAGGGCTTCGAGGCCAAGGCTCCGCATTTCCGGCCATCACCCATGGTATCGATATCCCAACGTACCTGAAAACAGCGAATGACACACTCATCACTTGTCTTCAAATTGAATCAAAAAGAGGTGTCGAGAATGTGGAAGCCATATGCGCTGTGCCAGGAGTCGGTTTGTGCTGTGCTCGCCTCAGGTCTCAATAACCAGCGTACTAATGTCCCGCAAGATATGCTGTTCATTGGACCTAACGACCTGGCCCTATCAATCCTTGGATACGTGCCTGCTAAAGGTGACGAGCCCGAGTTTGTCGATGCTATCCACAACATTGTAGCAGCGGCGCGAAAACACGGCAAGTGGGTTGGTCGACTATCGAATGATGGAGTTTCAAGTAGAGAGCATTTGAAGGTATTTGACACTGTAGCCTTGAGTTATGATATACGGGCTCTTCAGAATTGGTATACCACTGAGCTGCAAATTGCACGCTCCTGATTAATTGCTTCTATGAGAACCAGATAATATGTTATATAAATGACGGAGATATAGCCCATTATTTTACATGCTGATAGCTTGGATTGCATTAACTTCTGCCGATGCCTCACCAAAGTGGATACACAGGCATGTACAAGAAGACTTCTTTATTTAGTTGAAATAGTGGATCATCTACAAGTTTGTCTTCCTGTTCGTTAATAGCAACAATGTTAACACAGTACAAGACAGAAATCCTTCGATACCGCTGAGTATAACTGTATTTGGCCAGTTCAGTGCGAGGCTTCAGGCCGGTAGATTGCACGAGAAGTCTCGGCTCAGAATACACATCAATGTTAGATATACTTGGATCATGGCAATGTCTTTTAGATACAATGAGCAATTCTCACTTAACAAAGTTACATAGCCATCATTTAGACTATAGCTTAAACCATCAGCCATATTCTGAAATAGTATCGGTATAAAGAATAGCTACGCGTTCATCAAATGGAAAGCTTTCTAAATTCGATCTCGTCCATCTTTATCCTTTGCGCTGCAAAGTATGGTACCCAAGCTTTTCTCTTGCCACTGCAATTGTGTCTCCGCCTGCAATCATTTCTCGGATGCTGGCTTCACCCTTCTCAATTCTCTGCGCGATCTCGGCCACCTCGCGGGCTCGACCCCGTGGAACAATAACGACGCCATTTGCATCGGCAACGACAATGTCCCTAGGTTTGACACGTACTTTGCCAATACCGATGGACTCGTTGGTACCTCCTACTTGAACACGGTCTTTGCCAGTCCGCATCCAACGCCCGGCCGTGAAAAGAGGATAATCATCGGCGATGGCACGATTAACGTCGCGGCACACGCCATCAATGACCGATCCAGCAATGCCCCGTAAACCGGCATACTGCGTCATTATATCGCCCCAAACAGTGCAATCGGTGCGTCCTCCATTGTCGATGACTACAATATCACCCATAGCAACATCATCAATGAAGTCTCCCACACTCCCAGGCGGATCGCTTGCGGGTACGTAGCGTACAGTAAAGGCAGGCCCAACAGTTGCTTTTTTATAATTCGCTAAAGGCATGATGTTGAAAGCCTGCCCGGAGATTCCAAGTCTATCAAGTGCGTCAGAAACTGCGGGAGTATCTGACTCCCTGAATAGCGCTACCAATTCTTGGTCTTCGACGCTGGCTTTCTTTGGATTCTGCTGATAGGGTGATTTCGCTGACGCTGACAGCATGTTTGCGCCATCTGTGTCACTGATAGCTTCGAACTGCTTGTCGTGCATCACTTCTGACACGGGCTGACCTGCACGAACAGCATGGACCATAAGGCTCTGACGACGGTCAATCTTCTCACCTAAAGCCAGGACCTCCCCGATGTACTCTGCTGGAACGAACACAGTGCCGCATCTGTCAGCGATCACGTAGTCGTCTTGATGGACTGTAACACCTCGCATATGCACAGGCTTGCCCGACTCAATTTGTACCAATCGATTGCGCCCACTAATCATGGTAACACCCCGGCCAAAAACTGGATAGCCGATCTCGCGGCTTCCATCTATATCGCGGCTCATGCCATCGATGATTGTTCCACGAATGCGTTTCACTTTCGAAGCATTAGCAATGATATCGCCCCAGCAGGAGATACCATCCGTGCCACCAGAGACGACAAGAATTCGATCGTCTGAAGTAATGGCATCTATCACTGGAGTAATGAGATGGGTAGTCGGAGTTGACTCCGTCTTTGAGCCAACCTTTACTGTACTGGCGCGTCCAATGATCTTGGGGCAATCCCATAGTGGTTGTAGGCCAAATGTGGCTCCTTTGAGGTTAAGGAAGTCCAAGGCATCAGATACCGTATTGGTATCGAGAGCCCAAAGCCGATCCAATATACTGTTCTGGCTCATTGTATATATTGTTAAATTGAATAGCTGGAATAACGAAAGAATAGTTGATATGTGATCTAAGTATGGGGTGAGAATCGGATGAAGAAAGTCAATGTGAGAATGGATTCAGTGAGAAGGGGATTTGACGACTATTTCATATCATCAACTTAATAGAGAAGGACCCTATGTAAAATCGCACAGTTCTCTACCTCGGTGATCAGGCGCCATTACCGAGCCTACTTCTACAGCTCTCCACATACGGCCTGCGGCCTGATTCAGACACCGGCGAACTAGCCAGGTTGCCGAATCATGACACATGAACATGCAGCTACATGATCTACGATTTATGGTGATATAAATGTGAGTAAAATATTAAGCTATGTGAAACTTTTGATGATGCATTCCCTGTGGAACTGCTTTTGAATCTCGCAGCAATGTCTCACTTCGCCAGCCTTTCGGAAGTACCACCAGACGCCGCCTTCGCCCTCATTGATGCATATAAGGCGGATCATTCACCGTTGAAAGTTGATCTTAGTCCTGGCTTCTATCGTGATGAGGATGCAAGACCCTGGATCTTACCATCAGTGCAAAAGGTAACATCTATCACCTTCAATCAAAATTGCCTCTACTAATAATATCCAGGCCAAACAAGAATTACTAACGGACCCGACAGCTAACCACGAGCATATACCTATTCTGGGCCATATTGAACTACTCGACGGTGCCCAAAAGCTTGTGTTCGATACAACACCTGAGGATGCAAGCACCATCGCATCCATTCAGACCATTGCGGGCACTGGGGCAAATCACCTAGGCGCTTTGTTTTTAGTGCGAAAACTATCCAACCTCGAACAGTCTGGATTTCGGATCCCAGTTGGATCAATCACGAAGAAATTTGGAAACTTGCACATTCCGATATCCAACGTCGGAAGTATCCCTACTTCAATAAGGAGCTACTCGATATCGATTTTGAAGGCGCCATATCTACTCTGTCTTCCATGGCTACAGAAGGTGATGTTGTAATTCTGCATGGCTGTGCACATAATCCTACAGGACGAGACTTCACAAAAGAACAGTGGAAGGCCGTCGCGGGTATTTGTGAACAGAAAAGGCTTATTCCGTTCTTTGATCTTGCCTAGTATGTTAACTCACGCGTAATCTCAATAACCCAGAGGCTAACTCGCACGCAGCCAGGGTTTTGCAACTGGGGATTTGGGCGAAGATGCTTGGTCCGTAAGATATTTCTTCCGAAATACGTCGCTAGAATTACTGGTGGCGCAGTCATTCTCCAAAAGTTTTGGTCTCTATGGAGAGCGTATAGGTGCGCTTCACGTTGTATGCCGAACAGGTGGCGCTCGAACAAAAGTTATCAACATGCTCACACGTCTGTCTCGCTCGGAGATCACGACTTGCCCCATAAATGGCGCTAAAATTGTAGCAAAAATACTTGGAAATAAGAACTTGAAGGTACAGTGGCAGCACGATTTGCTCCGGATGAGCGACCGCATGAGATCGATGCGACAAAGGCTAGTAAACGAACTTCAAAAACGCCAAACTCCAGGCGAATGGGATCATATATTAACAGATGTGAGTTGCTTGCATTTTATTTGGAATGCTATGATTGGGCTAGTTAACATTACAGAGATTGGGATGTTTTCGATGACAAATATGCAACCGAACCAAATCCGCATTTTGCGAGAAGAGTACCACGTGTATCTCCTGCCCTCGGGAAGAATATCTATGACAGGCTGTTGGTGCTAAATCTTTAAAGAGTTTGTTTATCCTGAAGCTAATATTCCCTTAGTAACGGAAAATAATGTGGAATATGTTGCAGAAGCATTTAATAAGATCATTCTTGCTACTACCACTTAATAATCTAGCCAGAGCCTAACTTATATTTTAATACAAGTTTCATATAGTATTTCAAATACTATAAGTAAGTAAGTTATAAACATAAAAATAAGCAAAAGTGCTTGCGCTATTAATGTTACCTATTACACACATGCAATACCTTCTAGATTGATTATAGCCTATAAAGTTCAATTGCACTTATATACTATATATAAAGACTTCCTAAGGCTCGAATACATATAGTTGGAACAACCTCCTATAGATATGTCACTAAATCTCAATCTTATTTACAACTATACAATTGAATATTCCACTAGACTGTCAACAGTATCTAGAATAGTATCTTCCACAGCCCTTGGTGTCCAACCAAGTACCCTTTTTGCTTTTCCATTGTCAAGCAGTCTAATAACTCCTAGAAATGGAACCACTTGTCGGGCAGCAGGGCTGAATAAAGCCGCAAATCGAACGACCCATGACGACATCTCGCCTATTGGTACTTTCAGTGCTTCATTAGGTCTACCTTGAGAAATAATGCGAGCGACGTCAATTAAAGCCAAGGGTTTGCCATCAGAACTGGCAATGAACCGCTGATGTTTTGCTGCGGGATCGAGCATGGCTCGGACATGCAGATCTGCCAAGTCTCGGACGTCCACAATATTGAAATACGTCCGGGGACATTTCGCCACGCTGCCGTCCATCAGCTTCTTTATCAAGTCGATCGATGAAGAGATGGATTTGCTCATCACGGGGCCGAAGATTCCCACTGGATTGACAACACTAAGTTCCAGATCTCCTCCTTCAGACTCAATAAAGTCCCATGCGGCCTGTTCTGCTAATGTCTTGCTTTTGTGATATGCTGGTAGGCCATCCAACACAGACCAATCTTTTTCAGTGTATGCTTCTCTCTTATCGCCATCTCCATACCCAATTGTTGCAAAAGAAGATGTAAATATGAGTCTCTTCACATGAGCCTCGCGTGCCGCCTTTAAAACTCGTATAGTTCCCTCCTTTGCTGGTATGATCAACTCATTTTCATCTTTTGGTGCCTGGCCGGGGAATGGAGATGCAACATGGTGGACGTAGGAGCATCCTTGGATAGCCTCTGCCCATCCTTTATCTTGAGTCAGGTCCGCGGGATGAAATGATAGGCGGTTCAGGTGTACCGCACCAGCCTTTTGTAACGCTGATCTGACCTTTTTTTCTTTAGAGAGGCTTCGGATTGTAGTTTTGACGGTATAGCCCTCTTGTAATAGTTTTAAGATCAAGTGAGAAGCCACATAGCCTGAGCCACCAGTTACAAGCACAGTAGCCATGCTAATAACATAGAACTTCCTTGATAACAGAATTCCGAGATAATGGAGTGTGTAGATTGACTACAATAGAGGTTTCAAACTCCCACATTGTGTTCCTAGGTCCTCAATTTATCATGCTGGAATCATTCAATTATCACACTTGTTTGTACGGAATTTCGATGGTGTCCGTTGGGATGCAAGATGTGTCCGAATCCCGGCGTCGATTCCAAACGGAAAACATACTGCATCGAGCGTAACTGCAAAAGGCTAGCTCCGTAGTCAGCAGTGATCTAGTTCACTATTGAGGAAAATAATGTTAGGACAGCCCTGCCAAGTTATACAATATGCTGCATCTAGTACCCCTGATCTGCCTTCCTCGATGTAATCCATTGAAGAGCCATTACTAGGCCGGTTAATTTGAGCAAATAGCCATTGGCGTTCAAGTTTTTGCCTTTACAGGATACAAAGGTATCTGGTTAAACTTCACAATTTTGCAGGAAGATACAGCCCAAGTCCTCCGCAACACAATGCCTCAAGCTTGTTTAAGGTAGATGTATTGGGTGTTTGGCAAGCCTGTAGCCTCTAATACACTGTATAGTAAACGTGCAATATGCGCGAGCAGTCTGCTCGTTAGAAGGACCCAACCGGAAGCGAGTAGAAATAGGCTGGGTTACTTGCCCACTGGGTAAATGACTGGGTGGTGTTTTGGTATGACGTGACTGGCAAAAAGGGCTCCAGCGTAGATTGAGTGCAATTTTTCGCGAGCGGCTTCCCTTGTATTGGTGCGGAATAAAGCTCCCGTCCCAGGAGGTCTGGACGCCCAGACCGGCGTAGTCTGGTGCAATAACAGCGTAACCAGCCTGAGCAAGGGTAAAGGGAACGAGTTCGCCATAGAAAAGAGATCGATGCGCTGAGGGAGCACTGTCGGCATATGCTCCGGAGGTACCGTGCGTCCAGAGCACGGCAGGAGCCTTTGCTTTAGACTGACGGTTTAACTGCGTGCTAAACTCTTTGACTGTGTACGTCCATAAGACACATGCAGAGGCAGGTACTAGCGTCCCGTTCTGGTTAGTGGCTGAATAGATAATACAAGAGAGTGATGCTTTGGCGGGGATATTATATGGGGTTGGATCGGTGACATCTTCGACCTTGAGGACTTCGCCAGGACCTTGTGGACGCTTGTAGCTGCTGCTGCTACTGAGGCGGTAGAAGCGATCCTGACTAGGTCCCCCGTTCGCAAGCTGGGAGCGGTCGAAATTGAGGATGACTTCAAGGCTGTTCTCTGTAGCACGATTGTATTTGGTATCTGAATATCACGAGTCATACAATAACATCTATTCTAAAGGGCAAACGCCTGGAACACATGTTAATTCAAGTACCAATATATACTCTGCGCTGTCGGGATTGCTGATAAAAAGCCTCAGATCCTGGCTTATGTAGCTGAGCTGAGCTCATGACAACTCCAACTGCGTATTGCTTAGCCGACAAATCCACTGCGTATTGCAATACGACAATTAGTGGCGTGAGTAGAGCGTGTTAATGTGTGCTGAACGACTTACACAGCCTTTTCCACTAGTACCACTTTACAGGGCACTTGAAGTTGTCTCACTGTACGCAGCTGCGTTACCTACACAACCCTGTTGTATTTAGTCTTGCGAGTGCGTTGGCATATTCTGCTTACCGATGGCGAGGTTGATTGGATGTATGGACTGGTTGTTCCAGGGCTATTGGGCGTATTCGGAACTGGTGTAAACGCAAATACCTAATTGTACTGATAATTCAAGAGGCTTAAAGGGTTTTTAGGAGAGCATGGTATCCCGAGTAAGAATAGGTATTTAAATAGTCTCTCACTACCTGGCCTTGAGACTCATTCCATTCATCTACCGCTTGTCCAAAATGGTTCTCAAGCTCGCATCTCTGGCCTTTGTAGCATTCGCAACTTTCGTGGCCGGCCAGACTACACAAGCCGCGCTACACTCGACCTCATGGAACTCTACCTTTGTGCTCTCGCCTGAGCAACGAGAGTTGGGCAATTTAACTGAAGACTTGGCCGACCAAATTAACAACATCATAAACTTTGACAGAACACTGCTTGCCAATGGCGGACCCCACGAAGATGAGTTCTATAGTCTCCCGATAGACTTGCAAATTCCTAAGCAACCCGGCAAGCTTCTAAAGCTACAGGAAGTAACCGACCTAAGCCCATTTGCAATTCCTGCCACAACAGCAATGTCACGGTTTATTTACTCAACCACTAATTTTAACGGCACCCTTATACCGGCATCAGCCTACATCCTTTGGCCATATCATGCGAAGAAGATCGGTGGTACCAAGGGACAGAAGGTACCCACGATCCTTTGGACTCATGGTACATCTGGCTTCTATGCCACCGGAGCTCCATCGACACATCGCAGCCTCTTCTACCAGGACTTTGTGCCGTATGCGCTGGCTTTAGCTGGGTATGCTGTTGTAGCTCCGGATTATGCTGGTCTCGGTGTTGGGACCTCCTGGGATGCAAGTAGTATTCCTCACCAATATGGGCTATATCAGGCTGGCGCGGGAGATGCGCTCAACGCCTTAAGGGCTGCTTTAAACGCATTCCCAGAGCGGCTAACAAGCAACTATGTCAGTGTCGGTCATAGTCAGGGGGGCTCCGTTGGATGGGGCGTCCCTGAATTGCTTGCCCAGAGAAATGGCCAGTTTAATGATCTGATCAAGGGACATCTCGGCACTATCTTATTCGCTCCGCAGACAGATGGGTTTTCTCTACCCCCAAACGCCCTCCTTACCTGGGTTGGGAAATATCTCCGTCAGGTCTTTCCCACATTCAAGCTCAGCGACTGGCTCACACCTTTAGGTGTCGATAGAGTTGAGCTCTTCGATCAGGTTGAGGGCTCACAGATGGTCAGTACCTTTCTCTTTCAACCCGAAGAGGAAATTGTGCAGCCCGACTGGAAGAATACCTGGGAGGCGGCGGCATTGCAGCAACTCGCGAATCCAGGCAACAGACCTTATAAGGGACCCATGCTAGTTATCCAGGGCGACAAAGATCCAGCAGTCAGCTACAACAGCACCTTGGCCACTGCCAAGTCTACGTGCAAGGAATACCCTGGCGATCTAGAGTTCCTGGGCGTTCCTGGAGTTGGTCATTTCCCTGGTATGTATGCAACCAGGTCGATTTGGATGGATTGGATTCAGGATCGATTTGAAGGACGTCATCTCCAAAAGCGTGGCTGCGTTCAATCGACGGTGGACCGCTTCCTGCCCGAAGACAATTACCAGTCAGCACCAAACGCTTTCCCTCTATGGGCAGGTAAAGCCCAATGGGCGTATGAACTTCCTCAGGGTCATTAAATTAGGGTGAGAATCAGTCTTTAGCCTTTGTAGCAATTCACAGCGATGTTTAGAGTCCAGAGGCCTTGCTATGCCAGGTTGCAGACCTCACTAGTACTAGGTTAGCCGGAGGGTCAATTAGGGAACAGTTAGCAGGATTATAGTATCGGAAGCTAACCAATCGAGGATCTCGCTGTACAACAGCTGTAGTATTAGTAGTTTTGTGCCTCAAGTTCAGCCCAAAATCTTAGACTATATACTCTATTAAGATCCAATCGAAGCCAAGGATATCTGAACTCATATTCTTGTTCGGCTCTCAAGCGATATTGCGCGTTGCTGCAATTGAAACGCTTATTTTATTAGGACCCATGACGATATACATGTGTCTAACACTACTAGCTGTATAGGTTTGCAAAATAGACCCGACTTGTGCAATTCCCACAAAAAGGCATTTTCAGAATTCACGGCATCATGCAGTCGCTTTATGACGTAGACTTGTTGTCGTACACATCATTATCCAACGCCACAATGCCTCCGTCAGAGATTCGAAACACTTTCCAAATTGTTAAGATTTCCTTATTGTCTCTCTATCCTATATCTAAATCGTTCAATCGCGTTATTTTTGCAGACCATAACCCAATAAGATTTCAATTTAACCACTTTCAACTAACAACATGGGCTATCCTGACACTTTTACTGGCTTTTGCGTGGATGAACCGAAATCATGGAATGTATTTCACAAGTCAGAGCTCAAGCCTAAAACTTTTGGTGACCACGACGTCGATGTTGAAGTTGAAGCTTGCAGTATCTGTGCTTCCGACCTTCATACCGTAACAGGCGGCTGGGGAGATTACGCCGGCCCCCTATGCGTCGGGCACGAAGTCGTCGGCAAGGCAGTCAAGATCGGAAAGCATGTTAAAAATTTTCAACTTGGCGACCGTGTCGGTGTTGGAGCCCAAGTATGGGCTTGCCTTGAATGCGATCTTTGCAAGGACAAGAACGAGAACTATTGCCCAAAGCTAGTGGACACATACAACGCCCAGTATGAAGACGGCAGCGAGGCTCACGGCGGATTTGCATCGCACATTCGGGCCCATGAGTACTTCACATTCAAGATTCCTGATGCAATTGAGACAAACGTTGCATCTCCTCTCCTGTGCGCCGGCATCACGACGTATTCGCCCTTGGTTCGAGCCAGTATAGGGCCCGGGAAGACCGTGGGTGTAATTGGCATTGGAGGTCTAGGCCATCTTGCTCTTCAATGGACTGTGGCTCTGGGCGCAGAGGCCTACGCTCTCACCCATTCCCCCAGCAAGAAAGACGACTGCAAGAAGCTTGGCGCCAAAGATGTTATTATAACAACTGATAAAGGCTGGCCTGAAGCATGGAAGGCCAAGTTTGACTTCATTATGAACTGCACAGACGTAACCGATAAATTTGACATGGCCTCCTACCTTTCTCTCCTCAAGCCTGGTGGAGAATTTCACATGGTGGGTATTCCGGATAACCCGTTGCCTAAAATGTCCGCAGGCATCTTTGCAGGAGGCGCTCCCAAATTAACTGGTAGTCATCTCGGGAACCATCAAGAAATGGAAGCGCTTTTAAAATTGGCCGCTGAAAAGAATGTTAAACCTTGGGTGGAGGTTATGGATATCTCAGAACAAAATCTCAATATCGGATTTAAAAAACAGCAGGACAACGCATTTCGATATCGCTGTACCTTTGCAGGATTTGATAAAGCTTTTGGCAAAGCTTGAAAGATTGTATTATACTTGGAAGGGGAGCCTAAAATATTAAGATTATATTTTTTTTACAGTTCTACAGCTCATCGCCTTCTACGTCAGTAGTAGACAGATATAGTAGCACCCGATACTCTCTACAACATTGCAACGCGCTGTCAACGCGCCACCAAATGGTTGTTCTCTATAGTCTTGCAAGTAAATGTTACTGAAATTCTCTATTAGTAATAGATAGCAATATAATAAAAGCAGAATCTGAAGACGTTTTGATATAGCTCAAGGTATATAACCAGGAATAGAGAAAGCCTGCGGGAATATTCAAAATAGCCACAGTTATTCGATGTCAACTCTGTTATGCTACTGTCCCATCGATGAAGTTGAAATAGATACGATCACGTTGTAATTAAAAATTGACAGCGATACCAGATGCGGATAGAGCTAAGCCTAGTCCCAGTGCGATCCTGTAGCTGCCCTTCAGCGCGAGAAATAAGACATTATTTTGGAATAGTTAAGGCTTAAAATTGTAGTACTAGTGTTTCCGATGATGATTTTGTTGCTTAATCCGTTATAATCAGCTGTAGTGTTATTGGAGGTCTTAGGACTTTGCATCACAGATTGTGCGACAAACTCCTTCGGAGGTAACGGGTCGTCGCTTCCATGGGAAAAGCTTAGATCAACGATCAACCAAGCTGTCTCTCATACAGTGTACTAAGTGCATGAAATTTCAACGTTTATACTGTAATAGCTACGCTGAGGCTTAAGTGGCAAATCTTGCACATTGATCTCGACGATTAGGTTTAATACTGGTGAAAATGGATTTGACCTTCATACAATGGCAAATTTAACAAGCCGTTGCTAACTTTGTGTGTTTTAGCGTGTCTCAAACAATTATTTTTGCAGTCGCGGTCATCGAAAACGTAAAGATACCTGCTGAGCTAGAGAATTGGCAGAAATGCTTAGGCATCTCAGCCGAAACTAGCGGCAAGCCAATTATCCCTCTGGCCACTTAGGCCAGGATGCTGCAAAAAAAGAGCCTGGCTATCAGCAATAATCCTGTGTAACTAACATTCGGTACTGCGCCTGGCTGTCTCCAGAATATTAAAAATCCGGGAAATACTCAATCTCAGGTAAATCCTTCTAACAGTTTCAACTCAGCAAGTGCAGCTTCAAAGTCACAAATGCTCAACACTACCACCAATACTGTGGGCTAAGTAACATTTCAGTTCCCAATTAGCTACGGCCTGCACTACGCTGGCGTTGTAGCTATTTTTGAAGGGGAGATTATACACGCTTAGACTTGCAAATCTTCGCGAAATGGCTGCCAGACTTGTCTAATCCATACAAAATTCATATCAGCCTTATGAAAACACTGGCTTCGGGCGGCGATTCCTACAGTGTCTCTTCCATCATTTTAGCTTAGCATTCGAAAAATCCCTGGCTTTGATAGCATGTCATACATAGTCATCCGGACAGCTAAATTAATTTGATCTTTAGATCTATATCTTGTGTGAGAAACGATACTCTTACCAGGTGGCTAGGCCGTACTTCAAGTTTGAGAAACTACACAGAAATGCACATGCGGAGACTCGGAAAATTCTTTCGCATGAGTTCTTGGCGTTCAGAATTCGTCTAGCAGTCTGCTGCGTAATTCTTGTCTTAAAGTTTTCACACTGGAATTCGGGTAAGATTATTTGAAGTTTGACTAGCTATGTTGCGCTTCTTAGAGGAATTGCTGCTTTGTCCGATAAGCCGGTGTCCGACAGACCGATCTCGTAAAAATGAAACATTCGGTAAAGTTTGATTCAGCTCGGTACACAGTGTAGTGTTTTAAGCAGGCGCTATTTTGAAGGAAAATCCATTTACAATATAGGCCAGCCATATACCAAAGAGAAAGAGGCGCTTGAGTGTTAGATCAAAGTTGGACTCTTTTGGAATGTTAGCGCCACTTTGGTAATATGCGTACTTTGAAACATTTACTTGCGAATATCGAAGGGAACACTAAGTCTTTGGCTAAGGTATTCGGAATTGTTATTGCTTTTGATTCTAATAATTATAACAATGAACTATTATATTGCTTATTCTTTGTTACTTTCTTCTTGACTGAGGCTGCAGAGTTGAAAACCGCCTTGAAAATCTCCTGCAAAAAAGATACAAGTCAAACAATCCAGAGAATAAAAATTTAAAGATTGCCTGAAGCATTACTAGATTTGCCAAGGGTCGCCTGCTAGGATACACTAGACAAGAACTAAAGCACAAGATCTAAGTAGATTATTGCCTTCGGCAAGCGCAACTTCCCCTCCCCGGTTGGCTCGGTTAACTTGGAATGTTTGAGGCTGAGATAAGATTAATAAATAAGGCTAAACGAATATATGTATCAACTCTATGTATTATATAATTATTACCCAAGAGGCTAAATTATATGACATCTTTAGGAGTTGAATCGAAAGCTTAAAACTAAGAAGTATTTATATTTGTAGAACATGTGAATTTAGTGGCCTGGATTTTATATATATAAAACCCTTTCCATAACACTGTCTCATTTGAATTATCTGTTCATAAACAATTAATGAAATCAACTCTTTACTTGGTTTATACTGGCACTTATATTCCTCTTCTAGATATTATATCTAAACCAACTACCCATAATGCTTTTCAAGTCTACCCTCCTCTTGCCCGCACTCCTTGCTCTTAGCCTCGCTACTGCTGTCCCTGGTCCTGATGTTGAAGAGGACCTTGCAGCCCGTGGTGCAGAATTCGGAGACAATGTGGAAGATCTCGCCGCCCGTGGTGCAGAATTCGGAGACAATGTGGAAGATCTCGCCGCCCGTGATAGATCCCCAGATTGCGGTCGCTTTGCGTCTTATAACTCAAAGCAACGTAGATGCGTCTGCCGTCAGCCTTTTTTCAAATACTATGATGATGGAAAGATTTGCTGTCAGAGGGACTATTTTTACGACCACCGTTCACACAGATGCTGCCGAAGGCGAGACTACGATTTCAAGCGTTCGAGGTGTCGCTAAACGATATTGTCAGCCTTGACGGATCTGCGGAAACGAAATCGAAGATGGATACGTCAGCAACCCGAGTCAACTTTAGACCAAACAACATTCATTACTTCACATTAAAATAAAACCACACTAAAATAAAATACCAAAACATCATACACGCTTAATAAATAACATTCATTCCTTAAAGAACATATAAAAGTTCATTCCTTTGCTTGTGATATGCGATATGTGTCCAAAATGTAGCCTAATTATCTAATTTGTCTTAATGTTATATTGGTGCAGTGTTACCTTACACGCAATGACAAGAAAAGCCAGAGCTAACACGAATCATGTGCAGGTCAAGGCGACACCAGGCAACTTCTGGCCAGTAGTTGAGATCTCTATTTTTTGTTACATGTTATCATCTGAGCTTTTATGATAATATTTTTGAGAAGGGTATAGATTACACCGTTTGCAACCCATTGCCTATGCGCGAACTCTGCTTCTAGTGCCTTATCATTAATTCTTCGGCCTCTACATTTACTGCATTCATGTCTTTATTGAGGGTAAGAACGCTATCTTTATCATAGATTATTCCCCCTTGCTTCAGCAAGTGAGCAGCCGTTGCCCAATAGGATGAGGTAAACCTTCAACATCTGTATTAAGATTTAGGTTAGGCTATGACCCGCACTTCTGAACTGTGCGTAAGTTCTTGAGTGCCCCCTATACTGTCATGAATCACTCACTAGATGGAGGAGCTGGCTTCAAACTGGCAGGACAAGGTTTGAGTGCAGGGTCTTAAGGAATAATACGATATTCTGCGAAACAGTTACTAACTAGCGCGTAACTCTTCATTGGATATTTGGCAATATCTAGTCTATTAATTTCTATTATCTTGGGATGGTCTATTGACTTGACCACAATTGAGAGGGAATATTTGTCGCGCCCTGTACGTCCACAGAGACCAACCTACTGGCCAGGGCCTACAGTCGGCGATACATCATGAAGCCCAGGGATTTTCTCAGTTACTGTTCTCCGGTATTGGTCTGAATATTTTGACTCTCTATCTCGCTATATCATGGATAATATGGTAGGGGTGCAAAAACATTATCTAGAGATGGAAAGGATATACAACCTATTGAAATGGGAATCGCCAAAGACCACAGCACCATGCATCGCATCTACCATGTATTCTGGCGCGGTAGAAGTTGATGACCACCGCAGAGAGAACTGGAAATGTGGCAGAGGTCATAACTAGGATGTCAAAAACTGGAGTAAGTCATATCTGGATAGACGGCGAGAAATGATATGGCAGCCTAGTAGCTGCAACGATTGCTAAAACGTCGCTTCTGGCCAACAAAATGCGCGGAATGCAGCAACGTCTATTTCTATCCGCTGTCTATAAAGGAGCGCTTTTGTTTCGATGTTTCATGTTCCTATTCGCAGGTAGCAAAATGTGCTATAATAAAACTTCTGTAGCGATTTTAGCACAGCAAGAGCGAGAGGCATAACAGCAGCAGCATGCCTGTTCCGAGCACGATTAAGACGGACTTATAGAGAGCATTTATTTACGCTTGTAAATGTATGAAAGAAGGTTCGGAAAGAGTCATATAGAGCGCAGCAGGAGCTCACGACTGGAAAATGTTGTGCAGAGCTAGCAAGGGGATCTGGTTGTTTCTGAGACATCCCTTAGCAATGATACTGCAGCTGAGAGGAGGCGCTATTGTTATTAAGCCCCATGCAATATGCACTGAAGACAACAGTAATGTTTCATAGCCTCCTTATTGTGTCTCGTATCAATGGGTAGCACTTCTCCAAGCTATCTTTAATACATTTGATGTAAGATAACTTATACTTGAATATATCTTGCCTTGAAGATAATACTCTTATATTATTTAGGCCTATGCAAGCCCTACGCACTCGTGCATCACATAGTTAAAGACGCTAAACATTCAGTATCAAAATACGCCGGTTGAGACCACAGTAAATAGAGTCAATTGAGTAAACATATGATCACAAAGCACACACACATATATATGTGTATTTATATGCATTGTAAGTAAAAAAAAAATTATTTATCCCTTGAATTCGAGTAATTGCAACCAATCTTTTTGCACTAACAGCCGTACATAGTATGTTAACTGCTACCTGCACACTTTCCAAGCCATACCCAATAACTTCGGCTGGCGGCCTATATCTGACCATTTGACTATTTTCTCTGTCATCGACTTCTCTAGCTACCTCCCAGTGTCCTCAGACAGCTGGGAGTACTCGCCGGGCGGCATCGAGAAATTTGTAACAATTATGGCATTGTTTATTGTCAGTTGCTTAGCGCCAAGTCTCACTGAGGCCCTAAATCCCCTTGCTCCAGCCTCCTTAAGAATTTCACAGATGGTTTCTGAAGTCCAGTCACGAGACATCGCGTCAAAGGCTCCGACTACATTACTGCCCTTAAGATATGCCACAATATCATCATCCCTGACTGTCGAGTCTGGTTAGTCAAAGCAGGCACTAGCACCCAAGCTGTGAGGATATTGCGGTTCCTCTTGCTAGCAGTAGCTAAAGCTTTATAGCCAGCTAGCGAGAGCATTTGCACTCCACAAGAACCAATGCTGCTGCTCCCGCCCTAGACAAGAACAGTCTGACCGTTCCCAGGTTTTGTACCACTGAGCGGAGGAGCTCGGAATGAAGAATCTGACTTGTGAAACAAACAGCTGGCGGCGGTCGAGATTCCATGAGGCAGCACTATAGTATCCTTGTGCTCAACATCCTCAGGAAGCTTGGCAAACTTGGGCGAGTTCAGGACAACATATTCCTGGAAAGCAGAATAGCAATATATGATACCTTCGCTTGAGGCAGCTGGTCTGGCCTATCACAAGATCGCCAACCATGTAGATGTCGGCTAGCGACGAGCCAACTTCGATGGCTTCCCCCGCAACGTCACAGCCCAAAATCGCAGGATACTCCGAAATTAGTATTCCCATCTGTTGAACTTTAGCATTAGCGGGATTGATCGCCATAGCCTTAAAAATTTATGACGATCTCATTATCGGATGCTGCTGTATAGAGAGCGGTTTTGACTGCATTAATGGGGTGTTGTTTGTCCAGTAGCTATGATGCGTGGTTACTGGGAGCCATAGTGCAAGTTCTGAATTAATCTTTCTAAGATGTCGAAAAGCGTATGTTCACACTTGAGCCAAGTGAAGCTTTTAGTCGCCACCACAACATGTCAACGTATCTGTCAACTTACCTGTGTTGTACCAAAATATGCAAACGTTGGGACTATGCTTGTAATTCTGATGGCCAGTATCGTAGGTTTATTGTGGCTCGTATAGAAAAGATCTATCAACTCAATGCAAAGCGATGTTAGCGGAGTATTTATACTTCAAAATGCCCGGTTTCTGGCTGCCATGTCCGGTACAGCCGGTATTGTCGCACAGATCGCGCCGGTAACAAGTCATTTGAGGGTATAAACTCTAGGCGTGAAGGATTGGAAAATGGTAACTAGTATCCCATTTCTTACAGGGGCTAAATTACATGATATGGTAATTATATTATCTAGCGGAAAATATATTCGCTATATAGATCTGGGCCAGCCATAGTTGGACCGCGCAAATATATGTTCCTCTCTCCATTGTATTCATCGTTCGGTTGCTCTTTATTTATTATTAAGTTATGAAGACATGTCAGTTATGACCTTGAATGAACTAGTCACTACTATCTTCGCCTCGGACCTGAATACGCTATTCAGAATACATCTTGGAGATTCGCACTGGGCATATTATCTCTTCTGATTGGGAGAATTTAGCTCTTTGCTGTATCAGTGGATGCTCCCATGTACAAGTTTTGGGTAACGTCCTCTGATCCGATCTCATTAGCCAACTTCGCTACCGAAGGTTTGGGGGGGGATAAAAAGAAGGGAGAGTTCCATGGGCTTTACGTAAGTAAGATTATGATTTGAACGGGTCTACTCTCTGCTTCACAGATGCTCGATCGAAAATAAATTGCTCTACTACTGATCAATCGCAATTTACGGCCCAGATCTTTGACCGCCTTTCACATAAAGTATATTAGTAGGACATTCCTCACTCTACAACTCATGTATACCTCATCTAAAACCGATAATCTAGGTCCCAAACTTGGTCATCAAGAGCCTCATCCCACACTTGCCATTCCATAGGATCAAATATCACATCGGATCCCAACTCATTCGGGTCGTCAAGCTCTACTCCGAAGTCGAAAATGCTAGGCATTAGGACCGGGTTCGGCTCTGCGTAATCGACTAAAGCACCAATATTAGACGATTGAGATTTTGATGAATTCAAAGACTCTTGGCTGCCCTTGTGTACTTCAACGAGGTCATGTATGTAAATCTCATTGTGGTTAATCGTTTGGTCTATCATCTCTCCGGGATTTCTCTCTCGTTTTTTAACTTCAGTGGCGATAACGAGCTGATTTAATCTCGCCCAGGATGGATTTTCCTTTACTCTATCCGGCACGTCTTTTAATATTTGGTTGGTTAGCGCCCATCCTCTTTCGGAAGTTGCTGACCATGGAGACTGGCACAGCTGGATGAATACCGCGCTCATTGAAGCCCAAGGGAAATCTCCCTGCAATTGCCACCTCCATCTTTCCCAAGAAGGTTCCGTTCGTAACTTATGAGCCTCCTTGAGAATGTTTATCGACAGTTCTAAATGATGCTGTATCATTTCTTGAGACGGTACTTGCAAGAGCTCTTTCAAATTGCGAAAATGTTGTAGATAGATCGTGTGCTCCGCCTTTAAGAAGGCAAGCGAGGTCATAGTCATGACTAAAGAATCCATAGCATCCTTTGAAGAGAGTCTGACAATATATGTATCCTCTATTCTGGACCTTGCCAACTTGAAGGCTTTGAGTTTCTGCTCCAAGGGCTTCTGCTGATTTGCGTTTAGGAAACGACATAAAGTCCATATCTCACATCGCAAAATACAAACCAGAGACTTGCTTTCCACATCAATAGAAGCCGAGGAAATCTTCTGATCATTGGCTGACATACGGCTTGGAGCTTTGGTATCGAACGTTGTATCTGCAGCTGCCAGTTTTGTATTGCGTTCCGACCGGGATATAGAGTCCATGAAGATAATCTGCCACCATATCCGGCGGCGTATCTCAGCTTCACATGGGGTTAGAGCAGGCGTTTTGAAGCTTTCAGTATCTCTGTGCAGCTGCAAGGATGTTGCAATCCTCAGTAATAGGCCCATGAATGGCGACAGGAGTTGCTGGCAGCCAATGTGTGGTAAAATAGAGATGTATATTACAAATGCTTGGATCGTTTCGATTTCCTTCGTCACCAGAAGCCCAGCACTGGCAAGCGCTTTCTCCGTTCCAAGACGGAAGCGGGCAAGCAGCTGACTTCTTGGCATATCGAAGCAACTCAGAGCTTCTTCCTCGCCCAAAGACGTGATTGATGCCAAGCACACTGTAAATAGTAAGGCTTGTAAACTATACCGTAGGGAGCAAAATTTGCCCCTTAAATTAGTTACAATCTCGTCCAGAGCTGCAACGTCAATAACCTTGATAAATGGATCGACATTCTCTACGTATGTCCGCCATATGAAGAGCATTTGCGATGGTAAAGGGTATAGATCATCGAGATTTTGGGTGAATGGCTCTGTGTAGGTGTTCCCAAAATAAAAGTCGGGGTGCATGTTGTGCGAGGTAATTTGACTGCCAGATGAGATGCGCTCATGGTCTGAAGTGGATACTGTTGAAGCCACATCTTGAATCGCTTCAAAAATATGCTCGACCTAATCAATCATTATTAGCCTTTTCTGTGTCAATATCTCCTAACAGTTCAAACTCACTTCGCTACAAAAAACGGACCAGAAACCCTTTCCGATTTGTAAGCCAGCCTCGTTTCCAACGACCAGTCGACCAAAGTCTTCGTTTGCCTCTCCTTCAAAGTGCGATTTCATAGCAGAAATCAATTCTCCAAAATGCATGGGCGATTCGTGATTTGGTAATTCTCCTTTTCCAATCCTAGAATTGACTGTTTCTGTTTCTGAAGAACGAGGAGCACCTGCGACACTGGGTAATAGGCCCGGGAGTATTGATTGGACTTTGTTGGGACCGTCTTCCACTTGTGCTGCGAGCTCTGTAACAAGTGATTCGAGTCGCCTAAGCCGATTTAGCAGTTCAGCTTGCTTCTCAGTTGGCGACTTCCAAGTCGTGGGATCTCGTCGACGTGGAAGACGGCCAGTGACTGGGAAGTGGCATTCGCTTCGGTTCCTGGCGCAATTAGAGCAAGGATTTCTTCTGTCGCATTTGACCTTTCGTCGCCGACATGTAACACAGCTCCATACTTGCAAACTATCCTCGGTGACAGTGTCTTCTCCGGCTGCGGGGCGATCGGTAGACATGCTTGACATGATGGCGGAAGACTGCGCGATCTATTAGGTAAGAGTCGTATGAGAAAATTATTCAGTGCAAATCATGCGATATACTTTTTCTTCAGAAAGGAGATGGATGGGTGACCGAATTGAGCGACGTTGAAAAGCTATGGATTGGCTGCTGTAGGTAGCCAAATCTCGGACACGGAGCTCGGTCTAAATCCTTGCGGCGCGCCCAGTTCCACTTCATTGGCGTCTAAACCTAACAGGTCCTCCATGAATCGATTCTAAACCGTCCGCTAATGAAGTAGCTGGGCCAGCGCCATGTTGATTGTCTTGTTCTCGGATTCGCGACGATGCGAAATCTTACGACCGATGACCGAGGCCGGATGGGTCACACTGTGGTAGCCAGCTATATTTATGATCCCGTGCACGCCCGCCTTTCATTTAAAGCATGTCTTCTATCCAGTTAAAATAAATACTTGTGGTACGGCAACCATATGGCAACTATGGCCAGCACAAAAACTGTTATTATTCTTGGTGCAGGATGGGCAGGCCTACCACTTGCCCATAAGCTACTCAAATACACATCTTTGAAGACGAGCCTCAAAGTTATCCTGATATCTCCAAACAGCCATTTCTTCTGGAACGTGGCAGCAACCAGAGCTCTTATTCCTGGAATGATACGAGATGAATCTATGTTTATCCCAATTGCAACTGGATTCAGTCATTATCCAATCGACACATTCGAATTTATCCTCGGCAGAGCTACCGGCATCCAATCATCTTCAAATTCCGTTGCTGTTTTTGCCAATAACGGCGAAAGTCGCATCTTCCATTATCATCACTTAGTCATTGCCACAGGTTCTAGCATGACCAGCGGATTACCTCTGAAGCCCATTGGCACGCATGAAGAGATGCTCAAGGCATGGCATGATCTGCAGACAAAAGTCAGCGATGCGAAAAACATTATTGTGGCTGGCGCAGGCCCGACTGGTGTCGAAGTGGCGGGAGAGTTAGCTGCCAATTTTGGAAAGCTGAAAGAGATAACGCTCATCATGCATGGTGATGTTCCATTGGAGAGTTCCAGGGACCTGCTCTCTTCTGTTCGAACAACTCTGGACACGGATTTGCAGAAGCTCGGTGTCAAGCTAATCCGCAAAACTCGTGTAGAAGCCGTTAATGTAGGCAATGACGGCAAGACACAGGTTTTGAGTTTGGATAATGGATCAACGCTTGCCACTGACTTGTATCTTCCAATGCATGGCATTCAACTGAACAACAGCTTCGTTACCGACAGCTTCCTAGACCCACACGGCAACGTGAATCTCGATAGCATGATGCGCGTGGTTGGCACAGAGAATATTTGGGCCATTGGTGACGTGAGCAATGCTGGACCAAAGCAGCTCACAGTCACGGATAACCAGATAATTTACCTGGCTAGTGCATTAGATGCTTGTTTGACGGATAAAGGTCCTGTCGTACCCTACAAGCTCATAAGCAAAACAATGATCTTTCTCTCACTGGGCAAGAAGTACGCGACGGGACAGATTGGCAATTGGAGATTGTGGGGAGTATTAGTCTCGTACGTCAAAGGTAGAAACTTGTTCATTGATACAGCAAATGGGTATGTTGGCGGAAAGCATCTCAGGCATGCTCCGATGTAGATTGTTGGAGGCATACAGAGCTTTACCCAAATTCAGCAACTGAGTATATTAGTAGTCTTTATTCAATTCGTCTCATAAATAGAAGATGTTATAACAGTCAAGCACTATTCATAGAAGACTTCAAAAATGCCAATTAGTAGCCCAACTTATTCTTACCTGTGCCATTGGCTATCTTCGGTAGATTTCAAGCGTTCTCCCATATGAAGAGAGGCTAACATAATATTATAAAAACTAGATAATTGAAGAATAGTAATCACAACATTATAAACTAGCGCATCTAATAAGTTTTAATTCTAAATAATGTATTATTAATTACACGTTAATCCAGTCGGACGGCATATATAAATAGGAATGTTTCTCAGACTAAAGAAGGTCTATAATCTTAAATATATATACATAGTGTCTAACCAGCACTTGTCAACTGAAGCTCTTAGATATTAATTCTATACTTTATACGTTGATTGCTACAACGTTTGCACCCATTGTCAAAGTCCCATTCACCGGATATACTTCAGCGCCACTGTTTGTCACATATAAAACGTTGTCCGTGCCGGACCTACGGCCAAAACAGCAAGAAGTATAGCCAGCCATTAGAAGGCTGTTCTCAGAACCAACAACAGGACGTAAAATATGGGACTTCACAGACGCATACAGAACAGTATTGTTGAAGTTGGCGGCTGCCCAAATGCCACCCTTGGAGTCTATCGCGAAGTCATCAATAAAGAGATAACCGTCTTCAGCACGAGCTCTTATCCGCGGCTCCTGTTGCCCGCTCAACATAGCTCCGGTGCAGCCATCGATATTAATGCTGTAAATTGTCGTCTCGAAGCTATTGGACCAATAGAGCACCGTTGAGCCGAAAGGGTCCTGTGTAGCATGAACCCCATTAATGCCGATTGGTGTCGAGGCAGTTGAAGGTGGCTCCATCTGCGGCAACTGCACTGCAATATCGACTGCTTTTGTATGAATATCTATGCGCCATACGCAGCCCAGAGTCGAATCTGCCAACAAAACAGCACTGTCATTTTCTGGTAACGCTGTCATACCGTTGGGGTAGCTGACTTGCGGTAAAGCAGTAATCTCGGTAATGAGTGGCGACGATGATGAAACAGAAAAGTCCACACTCCACAAAATTCCGGTCCCTGGAATGGCAACGACCCCAGACGCATTTGTGCCAACGACGACGAAGAAATTTGGCTTAAGTTCTGCAATACCTAGAAGGCTCTCGACATCTGGGAAGGTATGGACTAGTGTCGTTGTTGGATTTGAAGATTGGGGGTTTGCAATTCGATAGAGACTTGCCGATGGCGAAATCATCGTAAACAGTATGTCCCCATTGTCGCAGACAGCTAAATTCTCTGCCCAGCTTGGCGAAGTAAACTGATGCAGGACAGTGGTTTCAAAGCTTCGATGGCCTGTGAAACTTTGTATATCATTTTTCGTTTTAAGTGTCGATCTTTCTGCCCTATACGCACATGCGGCAAGAGGGCTTATCGCCAGAAATGTGAAGAGGAAGCGGTGCAATGACAGCATTTTTTTAGACCCAATGGTACATTTTACTAGAATAAATAGAGTGCAATAGACATTTGTGGTATAAGAGTGCGGCTTTTATACTATAGGTAATTGCGTCTGCACAAGGGCTATATAGGAGCGCCCGCCTATAATACAATCACCGCCTAAGTATCAATGAGGCCGCCTCCTTGGATGTTTATTGCTGGTTAGTCACGTAATTTCCCGCCTTTGCATTTATAAGCCTCGGAAAAAGATGCCCAGAATTACTTTCTCAAAGATGCTGAACAAAATCTTCCTATCCACTTCAGAGACACTAAATTTCTGTCAGGTGATTATTAAGCTTCCTATTATTGGAACATCAACACAGAGTACGATATCTCGTATGGAAAAACAAGATGCAATGAAGAATACTTAGCTTTAAAAACAGCATATATTTCATCAAGAGCGTGATTTTACTTTTCATTCCACCGCCACAGATCCAAGACTGGGAGCAATATTTACATTGCAATATATACATGGCATCTATCTTCCAATAGCGGAATTTAAGTTTTACAACACTCAATTCACAGTACTGCTCTCTTTTGCTGATTAGTTCAGAAACTGCGAAGTTATGGTCGAAAGCGACTATGACCAGCCAAAGACAGAAGCGAAGAGGCCATGTACACGAAAATGGCGCTACGGATAATCCAATTCCCAGTGAAGCTCAAACAGTTGACTTAGAGAAGGTGCAAAGCAAAGCAGCTACAGAGGCCGATCGAATAGCGTTCCAAGTCAAATGGGACGAGAACGACTCCAAAAACCCCAAGAATTGGAGCCCCTATTTCAAGCTCTGGATGACATTTATGATGGGTCTATTGGCATTCACAGGATCAGTTGGGTCTGCCATCACTAATCCGGCTGAAGAGGCACTTGTAAAGCATTTTAACATATCTTCTGAGGTTACAGTACTTACAATGTCACTTTTTATCCTTGGTGCGTCGTCTTCGTCATTTCACTATCCTCCGATAGTCGAATTGACTTTTGTTAGTCAGAACGCAACTCGCTGATTTATTTTAGGATTTGCTTTCGGTCCTATGTTTTGGGCACCTATTAGTGAGGCATATGGCCGCAAATGGTCGATGCTGCCACCCGTATTTATTCTTGGCCTCTTCAGCATCGGGTCTGCCACGAGTGAAAGTGTTGCAGCTCTGTTTGCCACCCGTTTCTTGGGCGGATTCTTTGGCTCGGCCCCTATTAGCAATGTCGCAGCGGTGCTAGGAGACTTCTATACGCCTGAGAGCCGGGGGACTGCGATGAGTTTCTATGCTATCTGCGTTGTGGGTGGTCCAACTCTTTCGCCTGTAATCGGAGCTGCCATTACAGCCAATAAACATATGGGTTGGCGATGTTAGTTGCCGATGAACTCCTGTCCATTCAATTAGCGAAGTCGCACCTGACAATATATTTATACAGGGACCGAGTACTTGGAATCCATTATCGCTTTCTTTGCGGTAGCACTAGCATTCTTTACACTACCAGAAACCTATGGGCCTGTCTTGTTGAAGCGTAAGGCAAAGCATCTGCGAGAAATAACAGGGGATGGCCGTTGGTGGCATCCGCACGAAAGCGAGAGAATCAACCTGCGGAATGTTGTTACAAAACACTTCAGCCGACCCCTCCGGTACGTCACGTATTGTTGCCTTTTGAGTTTGGGTCATTATCCTACGTCACGATCTTAAGCTAAAAGAAAGTTCTTTTCTGAAATCAGCATGCTACTTACCGAACCTATAGTCACATGCGTGGCGCTCTACGCCTCCTTCGTCTACAGTTTGATGTTTTTAATGCTGGAAGTCTTTCCAATTGTATTCCGAGAAGAACGCGGATTTGGCCCTGTTGTGGCCAGTTTGCCATCTCTAGGCCTCTTTGTCGGTGTCCTTTGTGCATCCTGCCTGAATATCCTCTTTCAGCCTATGTATATCAAGGCTGTCCGGAAAAACAAAGGTCGTGCAGTACCAGAGGCTCGATCACCACCTATGCTTGTTGGTGGGATCTTATTTACCACGGGGATATTTTGGTTTGGATGGACGGCCGAGCCATCGCACCCGTGGATATTGCCTGTTGTGGCTTCTTGTAAGCTACCCGTACTAACCAAAGGCTAAGTAACATTAATAATTACTAACAGCGTATGTTTACAGCGTTTATTAGCTGCGGCTTTACCGTTGTCTTCCAGCAATGCCTAAACACACTAGTTGACACGTATGGACCCTATGCTGCAAGTTCTACCTCAGCAAACACTATGTTACGCTCTTTGTTGGCTTGCGGTCTCCCACTTGCTGCCAGACCCATGTTTGTTAATCTTGGCACTGGAATAGCGGCAAGCATACTCGGAGCTGTCTCGTGTCTCGCACTGCCCGTTCCCTTGGTGCTTTATCATTATGGACTAGCTCTGCGGAAGCGATCCAAATTTGCAAAGATATAATTCTCGTGGTTCAAAGAATATGAGAACAGCAGAAGATAATTATTAAATGTATTTAGTATTAAATAATTCAGCGCAGGGTATTTGAGGGCAGGCCGCGACAAGCAGTCATATCAGTAAACAACTAGTCCTCACTGATACGCTTTTTCTTTTGCCGCGGCTGTCAACAGCCATGGAAGAAGTCTTCACGCTTAAGAGAAAGATATAGGCAATCTATACTACAGCTGGAGAAGCGCCAGTTGACTCGCTCTGGTTAAGCAGGCTCTGATGCATCGAATTATGCTGACATTTACTTTCAGAGAGCATCGTTGGTGTATACACTGCATACGCGTTAAAAGCGTATACTGGCAACCGCAACGCAGATGCATGTCATCCTACTGATAGCTGTCGTGGGAAGAATGGTTCTGATACCTAGTAAGTCCGAGGCTGCTTGACATGTAGCGCGTAGCACAATGTAGGCCAACTTCATGCGAAAGTTTGTCAATTTTCCTATGATTGCGAATGGCACGATTTTTGCAGTTCGAGTGTATTACTTGGTGGCGGCCAGACGGCAAACACAACTTTGCGCGTACTTTATATTCTCACTGAAACCCTTACCACAGCCCAAGCTTACGCAAGTCTATGTATTTAGATAAAGGTAAGGTTAATACAAATCAAATGAATACGGACATTTTATTGCAGGTAACCATTGCACCACTAACAATGGAGCTACTCATATTACCCAGATACATCAATGTTACCCAGTGCCTCATTTGAGTTAACAAGTCTGTTGCAGAGTAAAGAATTTTCGTCTCACGCACACATACAGCTAGCTGCTATAATCTTTTGTACATAGTCTACATGTCTGAATGGGTGACAGTTTTTGATACCCAAGACACCTAGGGTATGTCGGATTTCACAGTTAGCAACTCCGGGCCGGAATACCGGAGCATTAATAATCCCGCTGCCACTGGAAATGAACTGCTTGAACTTCAGTACTTGTACCGATGGAAAACAACTTGGAACCTCTAGGGATTTTTCGACAGGAAAACATATGCGTCAATTGTTCAGTACAATTCTTCGCAACGCGACAATACAAGCAAAATGTCTGAGAACAACAGTGGTCGCGACTATGACCTTGTGCTTATTGGCGCAACGGGCTACACCGGCGCTCTTACTGCGGAGCATATCGCGGAGCACCTCCCAACCAACCTCAGGTGGGCTATCGCGGGGAGATCAAGCACGAAACTGAACGGGCTTGCCGCAAGATTAAAGGAGCTGGGACCTGATAGAATACAGCCAGGTATAGTTCCATCTGTAAGATAATAAACAATTACAGCTTACCGGTGTGCAGTAATCGAGATTGTGGATGTTGAAGACAAAGTTCAATTGATCACCATTGTCAAAAAGGCAAGATTGTGTGTCAGTGTTGTCTCATACCATCACGTCGGGCCGCTCGTAATTGAGGCTTGTATTGAGGGGGTAACTGACTATATTGATACGTGAGCAAATCCGAAGCCGATGCATACATAGGTATGATAGGAATCTGCTGACTCTGGTTAAATATGTGGTGCCGGAACCATACCTCGCATACGACAATGGATCGACGATTACCACCGCGCAGCTGAGTTGGCGGGTGTTGTTGTGAGCCGAATCCGAATGCTATGATCACCATCCTCATATATGCTTATCGGCAGCAGATACTCATTTCCTGCGGCGCATTGAGCGCTCCGCACGATCTCCTTACTTGGTCGTCAGTTCGAGAGCTTGAGAAGAGCTCATCTTTGAAGACGAAGGAACTCGTTTTGTCGCTGCTAAAAATGCCATCGGATCCAAGTGGCGGCACAGTCGAGTCCATGATGATGAGAGGAGACTTCGACGCCAAAGTCCAGTATGAATCGCAACAACCATGGTACCTTTCTCCAGTCATAGGCCGGCGAAGCTTGAGCTCAACAAATCTTGTCGGCGTGCGCCACGACCCGACTCTGGGAACAATGTCGGCTAGTTCGCTGAGCGACGTGCAGAATAGAGCTGTGGTTCACAGAACGTGGGGTCTGCTTAGCGGCGGCATGGCGTATGGAGCGAAATTTCAGTACAGCGAGTACAAAAAGGCATCTTCCACACTTGCCGCTATGTTCCAAATGCTTAACACCATGGCAATTAAGTTAATGCTAGCTCTTCCGCCGCTGAGAGCTATTGCAGCGATGGTACTACCAGCTCCAGGCCAAGGCCCTGATCCGGCAAAGGAGAAAAACTACCGTTTCGAGATGGAAGCTGTCGCGATTGCAGACACAGACCATGACGAGATAGCACCAAGGGCGTATACTCATTTTGCGTATCCAGGGGGCCCATATCATGCCACCGCTGCCTTCCTCGCCCAAGGTGCGGCTTCTTTACTATATCACAGAAAATTAGAGGGCGGCGTTTCTGGTGGTTGTCTTACGCCGGCTTTCTTAGGGCAAGATCTGATAGAAAGAATTCGAGGAGTGAGTACCGACTTCAGCACCAAGATGCTGTGACATCGGGATGCCTTGAAGGTTACAAAGCAACGTGAATTGATTTTGGACATAGCAGAGAAAATTAGCCGACAATAACCGTTATAGATATAGACTTCTACCTATAATTGCAGCGTTTGGTCATTGAGCTAAGGATTAAGGGCGTATCGCGCTTCTTCACCCCGAGAGATTACACGCCTTCAAAATGATTTGCCTAGGTGTATAATATAGACCTAGGAGGTGAAACATCTTCCACTCGTACGAACCCTCTCCACTAGTATGGTCAATAATGAACGTCTCACAAATGGCCCTGTGACAGTTATATGGCATCTCTTGCATAATATTGTCTCTTTCTCTGACATTGTATCCGAAAACAGGGGCGCTATAGATAGCGACGCTTGAAGCGTACAATACCCAAATTTCAAGGCATGCATTAGCTGGGTTGATGAACGGCGAACGGGTTACATCTTCCTTGGTATGATAGTCTAGTAGGAAATCGGCTTCTCTCGCCGAGGATATAAATTCATGGCAGGCACTGTGTGTACAGAATCATGTAATTGAGCCATGTAAGTCCTGGCGATGGCTCACTAATCCTTGTCCTCAACCTACATGCCCCTTCTTGAAAGAGTTCTTTGACAGAAAGACGATTTTCGCATCTGGAGAGTGGCGACGGGACAATCGGGGTTTAATGAGAGAAAAGCAAGCCATCTTATGAGAACTTTGGCAATCTCAATTGTTATTAGTACTTTGAACAAACATGTTCAATGGTACACTGGCAGAAACGGTATAGTTGGGGATATTTACAACTTCTGACACCCGAAGACCAATAGACACACTTGCCAGCATATATGCTTCTATATAATCCAAGTTTTTTGTTTGAACCATATATTCGATAATGCCCCGCACAGCCTTTTGAGCGGCCTTCAACAGATCTGAATCAACGCCGAGGACGGCATAATATCCCTGGTCTTCAGCTTGAGTGAGCGCAGATGATGTAGCTGAATAATTCGGAGATGTCACCCATTTCATGTTCTTCCTTATCGATAGACGCAGCGTAACTTGCATAGGAGTCTCAATAGCGGTTCCGCAAACCTCTCCATCGCCCTGGGCGGCGTGACCATCCCCGCAGCTGAATAGCGCGCCAGACGCTTTGATGGGCAGATAGAGCTTAGAGCCTTCAATGATTTGTCGAGTGTCAATGTTACCCCCTGTGTCGAGCGGAGGAATAGTAGGGAATTCGCCTTCCCCAGGGGCGACTCCCATGACACCAAGGAAAGGATGAGTGGGGATGCGAATGCCGTCCTTGAACACAGCGGATGAACCATCAGGATCAATTTGCCAGATCTTGAGATGAGGCTCTTTGAAATCATCTGCAAGTAGCCCGAATCCAGGTATAATTGCAGTCCAACCCCAATCAGCAGTTTTGAGCTTCAATACCTCAACTTCAAGAACGTCTCCCGGCTCGGCACCCCTCACATATACGGGGCCGAAAATGGGGTTTGCCAGCTCTGACTTGAACTTTAAGACGTCTTCAGCTGTCGAGATGGGGGTTACTTGTCCATTGCTTCCATCGATAGTATCAAAAGTCACAACGTCTCCCGAGTCGACGGTTAACACAGGTGCAATTGCCTTGGACCATTTGAGGTGGCTGTGTCCACGGTGGACGTGGAACGTAGAATTGATCTGAGGAGGTAACATAGCGTAGTAGGTACTGTCCCAGATTTGGCCTAATCGGATAGTAAGGAGTCAGCTTGCATTCTCAAGACTGCTGAAAGTAATTGTAGGCGAGACTCGCCATGCAATTTGCTTAATCCTCTCCTTTGCTAGAGAGTGTGAAGTGTGTGATCATCTAAATTGAGTTGTTCAAAAGAATTGAAAATGTCAGAGATAAACCCCGCATCAATTACCCAAATACTTTTGTAGTACAAAATTGAGTCCACTTTTAAATCTAACTGCTTTAATATTCAGCAGCGATGGGTCTAGCAGATAGCCTAGTGAGAAATTTGAGGCTTCTGTACAACATTGCGAACATGCGGAGTACACGTATATGAATCATTGCGTTGTGAGCTATATATTTCAGTATCTTTTTTTTTGTTATCCTAGGAATAACTGCTATTTCGTCCATTGACTCTGATTCTATAATTGCTATTATAACTGGTTCGAAAACAGAGATATCTTTCGACCCGTCCAAGAAAGGCCAGCATGACATTTCCCAATAGTAGGCGATCTCTACTCGAGGAAAAGCATTGCCAAATACACTGTTTTTACGTGAATTTCTCCTCCCGTGATCCCTTTGAATAACCAAGTTCATTGTAGCTTTACTGGCAAGAGGACCACCATTCACTTGATGCAACGCATTTATAAGGAGAAACACACTGTGTTGGGCCCGTGTATCCGTCTCCGCCGCACTGTAAAACTCTCAACATTAGCTCTTATCTCCCAGCAATCATAAGCTCCAAGTTCTCCTGTAACTCACCTGGCCCCACTGAGGTACTGTGCCGCTTCCCGTCGGGCCTGTTCCTGAGGCTGACGAGGTGCTGCTACTAGCGGGCTTGGTTGTCTTTGCAGTGGATGTAGGGGCGCCGCTGCTGACCGGCGGTGATGAGCCGCCACAGGGAGCGCCTGTCAGGAGAATGTTTTTGGCCTCCTGGGCGTAATTGCATCCGTTGTTGACATTGGCATCCGAGTACCCAGCATCCCACATCATAATTCCTCCAAAGTCTGGGCTAGACTTGACATCTGCGATAATGGAAGCCAGCTGGGATGGCGAAGCATAGTAAACGGCACCACCTGAATTGCCATTAGCAGCCAAAGTATTCGCAGGCACCCCTACAAAGAGTTTCTAGCAGTAGCTGTTAGTCTTCCAGCATGAAAGATAACTTTGGGTATTCGAATGCACGTACTGCGTTTTTCGAGGGCGTAGTGGCAATATATGACGTCCAGTTGTTGTAGTTGAATGGTGCATCGCCGGGCAAGCCAAGAGAACAGGGGTCCGGCCCATAGCCGTTGTTGTTGTAGAATTGAATCCAGAGATAGTCGAACTGGGAGTTACTTATCACCTCTCCCATGTTGGGTTCCCTATCAGTTCATTGTTGTTAGCAAGCCACGAGTTACATATCTACATGCGATTTAAGGAAGACTCAACGGCAGGGGGCATTGCGTTTCGGGTGTTAGCACACTGTATTTGCTCATAAAGTCTTGTGGAATCATCTTACCGGTGCTCCTGTGATGTAATACGTATGGTTCGGGTCGCTGGCAAAGTTAGAGCGGAGGGTTGATATCAGATACTGGTAGTATTGATTGCCAAGGTTGTCTTCGAGGTCAAAGTCAAAGCCGTTGACAAAGACATTGCCAAAGGGCCGCTGGACAGAAGTGCTGCCAGAGTTGCCATAGGCTTCCCAGAGGTATTGTCCAATCGCAACAGCCTGTGACTGCGATTGTAGAGAGTAAGAACCGGCCGCGCCTCCGAGCGACAGAATAATCTTAATGCCAGCGGCCTGGCAGCTGGCTATTGAAGCAGCAAGATCATCGCATAGCTGAGGTGCGCCATTCGTACCGACGTAGCAGGTATTGCCGATATTTCCTGCTGGAATGCTGCCAGTAGTGCCATAGATATCCAAAAATGACAAAACAAGAATGTCAATGCCTGCGTTGGGTGCACAATACGTGGAAAGGTCATCGCTTTCGTTGTTAGTGCCTCCCCAATAAACGACATTTTGGGCACCGGAAGCTTGGCGAGCTCTAACGTTATGCGGAGCCGATGGAGCGCCGGCAACCAGGCCTGCAAATCCCAGAGTGGCAAAACAAGCTGCTGAATGCATACTGAAGGGAAGGAATGATAAAAGATAAGTAGAATAAATGAAAAAAAAATATACAACGAATCTTAAACTCGACAGCAGCTGCTTAGGGGAAAGACAGCAGTGCAAGATGTATCTGCCTTTTTAATATGAATCAAATAGCCTCACAAGTGGAAAGCAACCGACAAAGTCACAGGTATTTAAACTCTTCAATACCATAACCTACTGAGCTATACTCGAGCTATGGTATACACGCTGACGCAGAACGCGTAAATACAGAATTCCATTACTCACAACTAATCATTCTGGTGGAAGGAGACGTTACATAGTCGATATGGCTTGTCTCGTGCTCTGGCTGTAGTATTATAACTTGAAACAAAAAATTTGTCCATTTCCTTCCCAGGAATGCTAGACGTGCCGATATATCCAGTATAGATCCCTCAACATTGGAAAACCGGCAGGTGACTTCTTTGGGGAGATTGAGGGACTGTAGCATCGTGACATTGTTCTGTGAATGGTGGAGCAGTCACATGTGTTACGTGATTTGACTTTATTTGATCCACTAAGACACTCTGCGCGAAATTAACATAGAGATAACGAGGGTTATTGTAGCTGCTTGAATAGGAAGCTTCAGATACTGATGCCGCTATTGGCATTGATTAGCCTATATACACGTACCTCTTGTACTATAGTTAAGCCGTTTAGGCAGGTGCCTCAGCGCTATGCGTAGGTTACCGCGTTAAACTGAGGCTTCAAGCCAGCGACGTACCTGGCTTCGCCCACCGGCGCGACTGGCACAGGCACATCAATTAAATGAACCTGGAACGCGCCTGAGAACTATACTAGGATACAGGTGTGGTTCGTTTACTCAACAACCTGATAAAGGGATGTTCAATCAAGCTCCGTGCTTATCCAACGATACAACGTTCCTACGCTCACTGGTATAATATCACAGAGTAACAAATAATGAATACACAAGATAGCCAATGACTATCAGTTATCCTCATTTGATCACCAGGTACGGATTGCACGAGATGCAGTCTTTCAGCCTCGGGATATATTAAAGTCACTATAACCAATAGGTGTTCATACTGCTAGGTCTCACATAGTGACGGCCGGAAGAAATTTGGTGCCGCTACAGTTGGAATGTCGCCAGTCATTTACACCCAAATTCAATTGTACACATGAATGATATAGCAATGCTTTCATTTTTTGAGCCGTCATATCAATTTGGCTTCGCTGATAGGTAACCAAGCTAGCATATAAAGTATATAAGTAGCTGTGCTCTTGCGCTCAGCTGTAAAATCTTTTCATAATTTTTATAGGCTTTAGACCTGCGCTAGCTATAACTCACAAGGCTCTTGCAGACGCCTATAGATGACATTGTGTCCGATGACATCGATGCTGTGTGAGAGGCAATAGGTATCGAATCAAGCGATATCTTTATATAACCTGATAAATGTGTCTTCAAAAACAAAAGCAGCTACAGTTAACTCCGAATGTATAATCTTAGGGAATTTTACCGAGGTTTATACTCTTTCTGTAGTAAATATATTCCAGCGGTTGCCTTTCTCCACACTTCTGTAGTCAATTTTACCATGGAGCATGCGCTATAAACCCGGACCTTGACTTGGTCGTAGGCCTGGTGAATATTGACATTACTTTACAACGGGACAACCGAATAGAGACGTCTCTTTTTACATTTGATGCAAAATGTCGTAGAATACTTGCAGTTGTATTCGCTGTAGCTTTGTTGTAATATAGATTTCATTTGTGAATATAAAAAGATTTAAAGGCCGGGAACATTTGTCTTAAATTACCTTTCCGGTGATTATCTGAAGGCCTAATAAGTAAAACTCTTGCCTTTCACAGATCCATATCTTCTAAATGCATTTGACCGTATGTAGAACCTGAATGAAGTTGTGTCAATTATCCAAATTACTTTGGTAACTTGTCTTGCCTCTGCTATTTGTCTGCCTGAGAATGCTAATTGTATTATTTGCGAATTCAAGCAAGCTATATTTTCACTCAACTGTCAGCAGCCTAAGCTAGTGGTACAAGTTCAATGTCTAAGTTATATGATACACCTATGAAAGACGGGAAGAGACAAATGAGTACAAGCGTACCTTGATTTCGAGCCTTTCTGACGTAGATTTATTACACGAACCACCAGGAGCTTCTATTGGTTGAACAATTGATGACTTGAGCTATAAAAAGAGCAAGGTTCCTGAATAGAGACATCATTGTGTCTGCATATGGAGGCTTATATGCTTTTCAATTAGTGATCTCAGTCTCTGCTGCAGCTACTGGAGCTACCCGCGCCTATTACTGCCCTAAGAGCATAATACAACAATTTGCAGCTCAGTGCGCCATATGCCTCTACTATAGAATCAGTTCAATTCTAGCATCTTACTTGTATACTCTCTTCAGTAAATCATAAACTTTTGGCGGGGTCATTGTTCCCCACCATGGCGTGCTAGCTGAGAATTTGGCGTGATCTTGACTATATATTATTCACAGCGTATTGCACGATAGCCCTGTTATTATGCCATGCCGTGCTAGAGCCTTTGACCCAGTCATGTTAGAGAATCGAGGAAATATATCCATAGATGGCCAGGGGATGGCCAGGCTATATCTAGACCATGAAATATTTTAATCCGCTGCACGCCCCTAGAGATCCCATTTCACGAACATTAGTTGTCGTTCAGATAATTTTCTTAACGCAAAATGGCAGATACAAAGCATACATCACAGATCCAAAATGAAACGGATGACGTTATTGCCATTGACGAAGGACTTACAGAGCAATCACTGCTTCGCAAACTAGACGCTAGGCTCCTGCCTGGAGTTGGTATTTTATACCTTCTCTCGTTCTTAGATCGGAGCAATGGTATGGCTACATGAAGATTCCGTTTTAACTCAGCTAATAAGAGGTTTAGTTGGAAATGCCCGCATTGAGGGCATGGTAAATGACCTCCACATGAGTTCGACATACGTAGATCCTCAGCTGCCGAGACATTTCTGACATTTTACAGCTGGGAACCAGTATCTTACTGGGCTTACCGTTTATTTCATTGGCTATGTTCTTTTTGAGGTCAGTGGCCTAGAATTGTCTGCCTACTGAGACGCCATTTGACGTCAAAGACAGGTTCCATGCAATATTATCCTCAAAAAGACAAGCCCTCGTTTATGGCTCCCGACTTTGACAATAGCGTGGGGTGTTGTTGCTACGCTGTTGGGAGTGGTACAAAACCTTTCTGGCTTTCTTGTTGCTCGATTCTTCTTAGGCGTAACAGAAAGCGGCCTATTCCCTGGTGTTGTGTTCTATTTGTCAATGTGGTACAAACGAAAGGAGCGGCAGTATCGCATTTCATTATTTTTCAGTGCGGCATCGCTAGCGGGAGCCTTTGGTGGCATTTTAGCATTTGTACGTGATGCTTCACCAATTGTCTCGTTTGAACACTGTTAATTTCAACATTCAGGGAATTGCGAAGATGAAAGGAATCATTTGGAGTAACGGATGGCGGTGGATATTCATTCTCGTAAGTGTCTCTCGAAGGGCCTGATAGTCTATATTGACATTGCGGCTCAGGAAGGAATTGCTACTGTCATTATTGCCACAGCAGCGTACTGGTTCATTGAGAACTACCCGGATAACGCTAAATTTCTCACGAAAGCCGAAAGACAGCTGATCAAAACTAGATTGGCCGCTGACTCTGACGCTATGATGAAAGAAGATTTTAATTGGGCTGCTGTACGTGAGGCAGTCAGTGATCCAAGTTGTTGGCTCTACAGTCTGGGCTTTCATACAATGAGCTTACCGTTATATACTCTTTCTCTATTTCTGGTAAGTATTTTATAACTCTTCTTCACATCTAAAGTATCTTCAATGCTGAATGGGTATTAGCCAACAATTATCAGCAATCTTGGATATACAGCAGCGAAAGCTCAGCTCCTTACGATTCCTCCATATGCGTTGGCATTCGTTACTACTGTGGGAGTTGCCATTGCGTCCGAAAAATTAGGGAAAAGGGCGGTCTTTATAGCAGGCTCCTCAATTACGGCCGCAATTGGATACATCATGCTGCTTGCAAACACCGACCCTGTTTCACGACCGGGCTTGTCGTACGCTGGCACGTTCTTTGCTGCTGCAGGCATTTACCCGGCCACTGCACTTGTTCTCTCATGGCCGGCTATCAACGTGTCTGGCCAGACAAAAAGAGCTATTGCAAACGCGATGCAGATTAGCATTGGTAATCTAGGGGCTGTCATGGGGACACAGCTGTATCGATCAAATGATGGGCCGAGATTTGTCGTTGGTCACTCAGTCGCACTGGCTTACTTGTGTGCGAATGTCGTTGTGGTCAGCTACACAGGATGGCGACTAAAAGCGCAAAATACAGCGAGGGCAAACATCTCCCCCGAAATTGAGAATGTAGGAGAAGCGTCAGACTGGGAGGGAGATAAAGACCCTCGGTGGCGATTGTCATACTAGACGGGCCATTGCGCTGCCGAGCTGAAATACCTTTCCATTATCGCTGCCTCTATCACTGCACACAAAGTAATGCCAAACCACCTGCAGATAACATTACTTTGTGTTTCCAACACGTTGCAGACACAAATAATATAGCTCCAATGAGCAATACAAAAGAAGTTCAGGATTGCAGATGATCGATGTTATTCACATATGCTTTTGCGTCAGTCATTCTAAGTATTGGTAACCGCTCAATAACATGTCCCAAGCAGAATACACCCTATATCTAATACATGCATCCAGCCAAAAAGTGCTCTCCCGCATATTGCTTCCTAGCAACTGGTCTAAATTTCGCTCGAGATCCTTCGAAATGCACTATAGGTATATATACTGCTCTTGATGACAAGATATGCAGGTCAAGACGATGTAATGACTTTGCGTAGCCCAAGGTCATATTCGTCCCCTTCTCTTAAAAAATAGAATAAGCTTGAACTATCCGGAAGTTGGTTCGGATCGCTACCGTCCCTAGACCAGTACGTTCCGTCATAAATGATGGCGTAGCTGGCACCAAATACCTGAGCACTATTTTTCGAAACATGAACAGCGGTGTTCTCGTTGATCGCGATGCCCAGGATGCCAGGTTTATATTTGAGCACATTTAGCATGTCAAATTGTCGATTGCGAACTAGGACATGCTGATCGATAGCCACGTTTTTCACATATGCGAAGCCTTGTTGATGATCTCCGATTATGAGAGTGTTACTCTCCGTATCGCCTCGCGCCAAGAAGTCCCCCTGAATAGATGCCCCGGCAGAGGATCCGCCAATGACACCACCAGCGTCTAGCACAGCTCGAATCGTTTTTTGAGTAAGCGTTCCGGCATAAGCGTCCACTAAACGCCACTGGCGGCCGCCTCCGAACCAGACGCCAGTAGCATTGAGAAGCGGTTGAACAAACTCTTCTGTGTTTGCAACCTCGGGGTCATATGTATGAAGAACAGTAACACTTTTAGCGCCAAGGCGACGAAAATCTCCCGCATTCGCTGCATTCTGGTCATAGCTTGGATCGCCCTGGGCAGTAGGAATGACGACAATTGAGCTATCATTGCCCCCCGCAAGGTCAATGACTTGCTGGAGAATGGAATCGTCCAGCGTGCCGCCTCCGACGATCACCAAGTTGCCATTCTCAGGTCCTACGTATTGTATCGAGCTATCCGCTGGCAGAGCGGAAATTGTGACTGCCAATGCTAGGATGGCCTTTGAATTGATGCGAACCATTATTTGGGTATGCTGATCAATGAAAGAGACGGCGTATTATCAGACAGTGATCAGAGCGAAGAGCACTTGTTACTTAGCACAGATTATTTGCCTACTTATATATATTGTGCTTTTCAACGATCGCACCATAGTGGATCAATCTTGTAAAGTTGATTCCGTATAAGCATGCACTTCAACACCGCTCTAAGGCTAAATTGGCGGCCAATGATATTGTTCGCCAAGCGATGGGGTAAAGAAGCTGAATTCAGTAATTCTGTATACCGCAGAGGAGATAACGTGGTTCTAGAAAACTCAATAGTATATTAATAGACATGTACATGACGCCTTGCCGTCCATAGATGGCGACGGTATGCGACTAGGCGACCCTACTTTGTATATTCGCGACACATATTTCGGCGTATACGTACGTGCGAGGAAAAGGCAGGGAAAAATCAGGATGGATTACATGCTGCCGCAAGATCACTATAGACTGGTAGAATTGCCATATGAAAGACTCATTTCACATAAGCTCTTTTGTGAAGAAACAAGGGTTATTTCAGCTTCCAAGTAATAGTCTATTAAATTTATTGGTCTATGTTATAGATGTCTCTAACTCGCCTACGCAATAACAGGTAGCTTGGCACAAATTTAAAACTCGTGAAGTAACTTACAATGTATGAACAAACTACCTAGTATACAGCACTGCATCAAACCCTAATTGTTAAGCGTTTGGGAAAGCACATGTGAGCTCAACCTGGAACAAAACGATAGAACACTCAAACACGCATTACAAACAAAGTAGCTCTGCCGCCGGCTGGGAAGACCCACGAGAACACATCAAGAAACCATCTGATCTAGCCACCGATACTATTATCTGGCAGGAATAAGGTCATAGCGCAAGCTAAACGCCATTTCAGTATAAAGAATATGTGCTGTTTTATTATATCTAGTGCTACCTGTTATGTAGTATTATAGTTTAGCAAAGGTTGGCAGCAAGGCCACGTCTCGGTTCGGATTTACAGGCTATTGAACTACCTACTTACTACTACAGGTAGGGAGAGATATGTTTTAATAAGCTTCTATTTTAAACTGCATAGACCTACGCTTTTCTACTTACAGTCAGATAAACTTGTTATATTTAATACGCAATGACATTAAGTTATTCAGATTTATATTCACTAAACTAGAGAATGTATTGTTCTCATTGTATCATCCATAGAACTGGTTCTGCAGCTAATGTATTTTTTGCGCTAAAACGTACACCTACCCTGCATTCGTCGGAATTAATGTCACGCCCTTATAACAACCACTAATGTTAATTGTCATCACAGCAAAGAGCCGAATATTCACGACTACTACCTATGTAGTTGGTGTTTCGGCTATCCTAATTGAGTAGAGTTCCCAGCAGCGGCATTGAAACCTAGCGTTCAATACCTTGCTAACAAGAGCTGTATTTGTTCCAACTTTTTCGCCCCCGCTTACACTGTAACAATTACAATATGCCCTTTCATATAACTTTCTAGGCTTATTATCCATGAAAACCCGAACAAGAGAAAGCATGCATAGGGAAATGCAAGAATATTAGATTATATAGTATATGTAGGATATGTCCTGTATAAACAAAGATTTTTTGGTAATCTACTTTCTGCCCAAGCTAGCTACTTACCTCTAGTTAGATATCGGTAGCCCAAGTTCGTACCAGCGTGTTGTAGCTCCGAAAATTGCAGAATCCAACGGTTTCCTTGTTTTAGTTCGATTTCGTCAGCATGGCTGGAGCGGAGAATCTGCTCCGTACTTCCCCATAAATCCCAAGCCGGTTTATTGGAACTTCCAAGCCCCACCCGGCTTCTTGTTCGATCCCCAGAGCAGAGCGACATCATCACTCTTTTCTCGTCGAAAACTCGCTTCAGAGCGACTCCTGGGCCATTACCGATGACCCGGTGGCCATAGTTTCCGAGCTGCAGATGCATTTCTTCCCCAAGGCAGACGCTGCCCTTTTGTCGCCATCATCAGAAAAGCAGAGCCTGCCCCCCCGACCTACCGACGTCGACCCAATATTCGATGTCGACAATTTCAATGTTCCAATTGCGCCGTGGGCTCCGGACACCGAGTCGTGCTTCTATCCTTTGAAGAAAGACCCTTACGCTTCAGCTTCGATACCCAAGAAACCTGCCAGTGCTACATCTCGATACCTACGGGCTCATCTGGCCAAAAATGAACGGCTGAGATTGTCTATGCTATGGTACTACGGGCGGGATATCGGCAACGAATCTGAGCTCCTGTCAGGGCTTCAAGAAAAAGTCTGTTTAGCACAAGAATCTACCGGTTGGGAGTTTGCCATTGTGGGATTACTTGATGTCAACGTCTACATCCGACTTGCAACAGTCGGTGTCCAAGTCTCTATTCTGCCTCGAGGCGAAACGCTTTGCGCCCACACAGTGACGCAACCACCTGGAGTATGGCCAACTGCATCTACTGTCGCTTTAGTATATACCTTCTAATTTCGTGCGTATAGAATGTATTTCTCCTACCAGATCTGTTGGAGGATTGGAGGTTTCGAGAGTCGCCATATGTTGAACAAGGCGGGTTATTAGCATATGCAGGTGTCCCGCTTCGAATGCAGCACGAATCTGGGGAATGTGTTGGGCTAGGATCGTTATGTGTCGCCTCAGCAACCAGTCAACCGCCCTTGTCTAAGTCGCAGCAACAAACTCTCGCCCGTCTTGCCGATTGGGTTGTAGCCGACATTGTGCAGTGCACACGAGCCCGACGCCAACGTGAGCGTCATCGACTAGCCGAGCTCATTGCGACTGTTGAAAATGTGTCCGACGAGCATGATTCACAAGACTCCGTGCTCGAAATACTACGGATCGCCTATCCAGATGAGTCGATTAGCATCCAGTCGTCTGGGACTGGTCAGTTCGTCAACAGCCAGTATTCGGGATTACCCTCTGATTTGAACAATGGGTTATGGGAAGACACTGCCTACATCGATGAGTTCATTGCAACATCAAACCATGATGATACCCCTAAAGATAGAGTTGTTCGGATTATTTCTGCCCAATGCGAAAGCAAGCTGGGTCATTCTGTGCTTGCTGTAGCTACCAAGGATTTCCGACGAATATTTGACGATGTCGATGCTTGGTTTATACAGTCCTGTGCATCTATGATTACCCAGATCTGGCAGAGGCGTCTACTATCAGAAGCAATCAGAGCAAAAGAAAGATTCCTTCGTGGAATATCGCATCAGCTTCGAACTCCGATTCATGGTATTCTCGGCGCCGCCGAACTGCTTAACGAGGATTTAAAGGCAATCACTATATCGGAGAACGCCAAAATACAGCCAGCGTTAGCGGAGCTTGCAGGATTTCTCTCTGATCTCAAAAAGTCATCCCTCTACCTCGATACCATATCTACAGCAGGCCGAGAGCTTATGTCAACCGTCAATAGCATGATTACCTTGAATAGATGGGCTGATGTTGCTGTGGCCGAACGACATTATGCATCGCATGACATTAGCGAGCTGGAGTTGGAGCTTCTGAAAGGTATTTCTGACGCAGCGATAAGGCACACAGGCTCGACGCCTTCAATCTTTTTTCACTGCGATCTACCTCGAGACTGTAGGTGCTTGGAAACTGACCTGAGCTTACTTCGGGACAGCGTTCTTCCCCTTGTCATTAATGCCATTCAAAACACATCCGAGGGCGCTGTAATAGTCACTTCCTCGAAACAACAGGGGACAGATGCATTCGTGATCGATGTTGAAGACACGGGCTGTGGCATTCCGCCATACGACCAGACCCGCATCTTTGAGCTCTACGAGAAAGGTGGCGAGCACTCGACAGGCGCTGGACTAGGTTTACCTCTGGCCACCAAGTTTTCGACGCTACTCCACGGCTCTATCGAGCTAATATCATCACAAGTTGATCGCGGCTCTCATTTCAGAGCAACATTTCGAGATGTCACTTACGCAGCTTCGGCTGTGCCTTCACACATGACAGCGTCTTCTCTTAGATACTTACCGCCGAGATTCAACCAGCTGGGAGCTGACTTGCCTGACTTGCATCTATCTTCAAACTTCGCCAAGCTCTTGATTCGTAACGGGCTCACCTCTTCGGAGAGCTACCAAGACTGCTTTACAATCTTCGAATCCGGCCGTGACTCGAAACAGAATCACAGCTACATTTCAGCTGTACCATCGGAACAAGTCGTCATCTGTCTGGTCCCAACGTCAGTTGATTCAGAGTCTCTCGAGTCGCTACCCAATGTCATATATGCTAGCGGACCCTTCTCGACGTTAAATCTCATGGAGACACTTCAAAAAGCCGACAACCTTGCCATGATGATCAATCCAGCGAAGAGACTTGTCAGGTCTAACACAAACCTGGCCGAGGACTTGACTCAAGATGGCATAGCTGTTCATTCTAACTCTTTAGATGAGTCTTACTCAACTTCAGACGAGGGATACAACTCTATGGATGGTTCGCCCTCACTCTCTACTAATGGAGAATTAGGTCAGACGCTCGAACATGGCGATGAGTCAGGCTTAGACAAGAGTGTAGTATCCAAATGTCAGTCTGACGAGCCAGCTATCCGGAGGCACTCTACCATACCCCCAGCCCTTCCACGATCAGCTAAACCTCTCACACTCGTTGTGGATGATAACACTATCAACCTCCGCATTTTGCAGATGTATTGCAAGAAGCGAGGACTATCATGCCTCAGTGCGGCTGACGGCAAGCAAGCTGTTGAGATATTCTCAAAGCGACAAGCATCACACGCTGTTGGTGATGGTGCTCCCATTGAGCTGATTCTCATGGACTTACAGATGCCAGTATGTAATGGCATTGAAGCCGCACAGGAGATACGTTCTTTGGAGAAGCAAAATGGATGGAACTCAAGTATTCTATTCATGGTGACTGGGCAAGACAGTGAAATGGATAGAGAAGCCGCGAGTGCCGCCGGTGCTGATGACTATCTGGTGAAACCTATTGGAATGAGATTCTTGGATTCTGGCTTAAAGAGATATTTCCCAGCCTTTAAGAACTAACTTCTCTATAGCGTATGCATGATAATTGGCTTCTGATTCGGTTCTGTGCTAGTGACATGGGGCTTATATTCACAAAGTCTTTCAAACCTGGAATGTAGTCAGCCCTTCCTCAACGGAAGCCCGCCAGTTAGGTACCACTTCTGCCTTTTGATGGCGTGGGCTGACCTCCACAATTGCACGCAAGTAATTGACTGTATCTTGCATCGCTTGCTGTATAGCCGAACTGAAATTTGTCTCTTCTAAAAGAGAGACCAATCCTCGCGCCACGCAACGTTCTCTAAACAGCTTATTTACACGATTCTTTTCTTCAGTGGCGTCTTGAGAGTATTGGCCATTCCATAGAAAAGCCCTAACGGGATTCCAGCGAGGCGCTGGCACGATGCTAGAGAATTCCCAATCCAGTATGCCTGTGATGCAGCCGCTCAACTCATCAAACATGACGTTTCCAAAGTGCAAATCTTTATGTGCCAGAATATACCTAGTATTGTTGAGCTCGGGATGTTTTGATAGGGCTTCCACAAAAGCGTCGAGGCGTGGTAGAAGGTCTCGCATGTTTTCTAAGGTCGGATGGACACGAATTGCATGTTGGTATACGCGGACCATTGCGGCTATGTAATCGGTGTAGGATTCGTATGGTCCGCTAATATTGAGAGATTCCACCGACTCTGAAGCAGGCCAGTATTTGGCCACATCAGGTGAGTGCCAAAATGTTTCTTCAATCACGGGACCTGGGACGACATCTCCATTACTGTCAAACTGGAGACCAAATACCCCATGCCAAGACATAGCGTGCGTTTGGTGTACAATGTCGACCATCTGGTCGATGAGACGATCTAAAACCTCTGGCGAAAGGCGATCATAAACGTCACTAACTGCAACTCCAGGAAGACTTTGCAAGAGGGTATATTCATGACCCAGTGGATTGTCGGTGGTAGCGTCAAAGCGCACAACTTCCGCTACAGGGAAGCGAGTATTCTGCCGCACCCAAGTCATCACCGCAACTTCGTTGATGGTTTTGATGCGGGGTAGATGGTTGCCAGAAATACGCAAGATGAGCTGGACGTGGCCATCTTCGCGCAAAGGTGCCAAAGTTGGGGAGAGCGAAGCCGCTACTGCTGAAGGAAAGGAAAGGACGTAAATTGAATGATATTCTGCTGTGGTAGGTAAAGGAGATACGAGTTGTGGCGGTGGTAGGTCCAGGGACACAAGAAGAGCTTTAATGTCATCCTCTGAAATGGAGACTGGGAGGTGCGCTTTTGGGGTGCTCATAACTGAACTGAGGGCCTTTCTCTCTTAAGAAGATTCTACTTCATCTAGAAAGAAAACAAAGGCCGGCGATAGGTTTTGGCTAGAGGAAACAATGCGCAGAGATCAAAGACTTTAGAGGGATAGCTCGTATCTTACATTCACACCCTTAGGCCAATCCCCGCTTCCTAGATATTTTCCAACCCATTGCAGTACGGTTATTAGCGCTCGCACAATAGCGATTAAGGCCGCTATGGGGTGAGCAAGGCTGTATGACCAGAGCCATAATTATCATCGGCCAAAATGTAATATCTCCCAAAATGTAGAGCCAAAAGGCATAATTTATAACATCGCGAGGCAGATTCGTATAATGAAGCGTCTAGAACCAAGTAAATCAACGCTTTCTCTACTTCTCCAACATCAACGGCAAATTTATCACGCAACTCCAACGTTATCTTATGCAGATACCGTCTATTAAAATTTCGAGAATCTACGCCCATCAATATCCCCCAGCAAAGGCGAATACCCTTTCGCCGTGCACATCGTCGAGCGTCAATGCGCCAAGATGTAGTAGCGCCGTATCTTCAACATCGATGTACCACTGCGACGGTAAAATAGTTAGCGCAGCAGGGTTGCCTTTGACAACAGCATCGATAACGGTTGAAAGAGCTGCGATGGCTCGATACCGTCGTGCCGAATTCTACGTTACGCAAGGCTGTCTTGAAGATAAAGCCGGCTTATGCTCGCGAGCCCATGCAAACGCCTCTTGCTCGCCACGCACTTTCGAAGCTCCATAGAGGATGATTCCGTGCCAACGCGAGTGTCCCTTAGAATGCCACGGCGAAGTTGCTTGTCTAATTGGCTGCATTATTGCAAGTTTTGGAACTGATTTTGGACTAGACACCTGTTGTAGGGAGTGCACACGCAGCCAAAGACATGATAAGCACACTCTTAACACTAGGTTCTTTGGCAGCCGCATTTAGCAGCTGTAAAGTGGACTTGACGGTTTCATCAACTTTACGCTGGCTATGTCTGTTCATATATATATATATATGTATATGTATATAGAAACATGAGCCATGCCGTCAACATCGTTCAGAACTCCATCGAAGGCTCCGGAGTATTGATGTCAGGCATCCCGACAGGTTTACATTTGGAGCCGAAATATGCCTCCATCCAGGCATTGTGGCCGATGGAGCGGACATTACCACGTACACAGTTACCCCGTTGTAGGGAAACTTTGATGGCAATGCTGACAACATAGCCGTTGGCACCTGTAACAAGAATCAGGCTTCCTGGTGGGACTGACGCCATGACAGGCAAATTGAGTTGGTATACGGAGTGGTACAAGAGACAATGTTGTAAATAACAATAGACAATGGCAATAGGATAGTCAAGTGTTTTATATAACTCATACAACGACTAGTCTACGTATACCTCGTTCACACGCTTCTCCCTTGAATAGCTACTTTTCATTGCACATATATACTATACGTCGTCTTCATCTCACTTTGCCTCGGCGACATTTATATCGTTTACCCAACTAAGTATTATTAGAGAGTCAGGTACGAGCTGGTAATCTGCGTCTCTTAAGCTGTCGAAGTCAGTTTACCCTAGCTGACAGCTCGTACTTGCAAAAGGGTTCGTATTCCTAGCTAAGAATGTGACGGCTGAGGGAGGTTGAGTTTTTGAAGGATCTCTACCAGTTGTTCAATAGAATCATATTTTTCTCTACTGCAGGCATTTGTATCATTCTTTACTCTTCACACTAATGGCCGCTTTATTATGTGCACAATGGCCTCTATACCTTTTCCCATGACTATATGAGCACTATCAGATACAGGTCAAACTCTACACACCATCGGAGTTATTGACCAGCCGTGCAAGAAGCGTCCCTACTGCAAGCGCCGGAGAGTCAACGCATGAAGCTATACTGCAGATGTCGCTCCTTGTTCCATCCTTTCTCCAATAGCACCAATCGGCACGAACGGATCCGCTTGATATATACAAACAACATCAACCCGTCTCAATACTGCCTACGAGCATCTTTGACCTGTATTGTTCTGTCCGAACTGGTTTCATCTCCAGTGTTGATTGTAGACTCATGTTCTATCATCATGATAGAGGCCTCTTCTGCGACAGGACGGTGTCTGACGCCCTTTGGAACTACAAACATATCCCCAACCTGCATCGCAACATCATCGTGGCCCTCGAGCTCTATGGTCAATTTGCCTTCCAACAAATAAAAAAGTTCGTCTGAATTTGGATGCGCGTGCCAGATGAATTCGCCGTCTATTTTGGCAACTTTGACGTGGTGGTCGTTAATTGCAACGACAAGACGCGGAGACCATTTGTCGGTAAATGAGTTGAGGAGACTTGGGACGGATTCTGAGTTTGGCATGGTTTCGAATGTGGCGGTATATTTGTTTGGATTGTTTGGGTCGAGCGAATGATGTTGAGATGTTTGCGAATCAGAACAAACAATATTGAATTACCAATTCGATCTCTTTATACTACATCTATTGTAGTCACTGTATATGTCTTCGACTACGGACAGTGCTGAGCATAGGCAAGATCTACAAAGGGCATTTCTCAGCGCGTGGGGCAAAGGGCGTAGGAAGAAGGCTGGGTTGCGCCCTTGCATTACCACTTGTGCCAGTATAGGCTAGTCTCAGCTAGCTAAACGCATGAATGAATAAGCGAAACACAGAAAGCCTGAAGAAAGCCTGCACAGGTAGTTAATGAGGATGAAGGAGATAAGAAACATAAGGAAACATCTTAAAAAGTGATTGCAGGCTTGAATACTAGCGATAAGAATTACTGTATTACAAGCATTAATGCCACTTTTAGTAACTAGAGAGGAAACAAGGGGAGTGCTCTCAAGTGTATCCGTCCAAGAGTTCTACGTATCCACACAAGCTGTATGACCCACAACCTTAGTCAAATGAATGCCTGATCGGTGTCGCATTTTGTTGGTGTTCGCATAAAAGAGAAAACAGCTTCCTTTTCCATAAGTAATCCAGAACTAAGATACCTATTGAGATGAAGCTATTCGCAACATGGTTTCACACATTCGCTTTCTTTAAGAAGTCGTTATTTGACCTCTAGTCAAGTCCATTAGCACGGTATAAAGAGCTTAAGGCAGAGCAAGATCGACAGCAGCAACGGCGCAGTAGTGGAGGCAGTAGTGACGAAACTGAACGCGGCTCAAATGCCTCCGATCTTAATGACAGTAGCACGCTTTCGGGATATCCAATCCAGCAATACCTATAAGCCCGGCGCCAAGGGCCAGCGGGCATATCGAAGGTTGTTGCAAAGCCTAGAGGTTTGAAGATGAGATAACTAGGCTAGGCATCCGTGCTTATAGCTATTTTTGTATGCAGCGGCCGGAATTGGCGTTCGCTGCAACAACGCTATAGGCACCATTCGTTTAGATACATACAACTCTTGGATGAATACCTGCAAACACTTCAAGAAAATACAAATTAAGAAATTTTTAATACCATATTCCTGTATTACCTTTCTCTCGTGATGTTAAGTAATCTCGGATTTAACTGATTTGTAGATTCCAAATATGGGTGTTCTACTAGGCATCAGCCTGACTGATTTAGGTAGCCCATAAGCGTCGGATTACAATAATTTCAGCCTTGCTCCTGTTAGCTCCTAAATCCAGGGGTTATCCTTGCTTACTCCTTCAATCAGCCTAGTAAATTGAAAAGCTGGGAACATGTTGAACTCGCTTATCTAGACACAAGCACATCATCAATAACCCAGCCTGTCATGCCGCTACAAGGGTCACAGGACGAGAACAGTTTACAGAATCATTTGATCCAGCCTTTATAGTTTGATTCTAGCAGAAACGAGGCCGCTGCAGTAGAGAGGGGCCATTTTGCATAGCAAACTTGTGTTGGTAATTCTATCGAACAAAGAGAATCTACGTTTCTTTACATCCTAAAGCGCCGAGTCAGGCTCGGCGTAACTAATAGTCCGACTTTTTTTCCTGCAACAGAAGGTGGGCTGCAAAGCCTTGTCAAACTAGATCGCAATATATTTACAATACCTTACAATACCTACTTGTTTAGAACAAGTCGTCTTACTCTACAAACTTTCGTCTTACTCTACAAGAGTCCAAAAAACTGCCACCTAATAAGAATAAGAGAGTCTTTAAGTTCAAACAATAGTCAAATAAAATAACAAGCTGCAAACCTGGACTGCCTATCTAGGACAGCGCTTATGGAATGGGAATAAAATTGAAACGCTTATCTTACATCTAGCAACGTTACTTAGTTTGGCACCAAAAAAAGCATGTGCTTTTTACAAGTGCGTTATATTTTACTGTTTCCAATCATGGCTAAGATGCCTTTCAAGGGGTATTGCATTTTCGGGACAGCTTTCCCAAGTTAGTAGCTAAAAAGAACTACTTATGCTAAGAATGATACCAACTCAATGTTGCAGTTTCCCAAAGTAGCAGTCTGGTCCTGTGCTTTCTTATACCAGCGCTTGATAATAAGTATATTATATTATATCAAAGCTATAGACGAGCTAGACCAACTTCGTGGAATGGCTATGCTACATTGCTGATCTTGATGCAGATATTGTATGGTTCGTAGATCCGGCATAGTTCCGGGCTCTTTAAGGCTTGACGACAGGGGTGATATCTCTAAAATAAACGTGAGACGCGCAAAAATCACGAATGCAGGTACACCTACTCAAAATAGTAATAGCGCCTCAAGACCACACCTACCAAAATGGTAATAGCATCTTGAAACCTCACCTACTTGCAACGGTAATGGCATGTCAAAACCACACCTACCAAGGATGGCAATGACATCTCAGAATGCCCTGATGGAACTGTCACCAGCTTCAAATAATCTATATAAGAGTGAGAATATATCCACGGAAACAATGAAAATCTCAACCAGCAATCCCTTCAACAGCTGCAGACTTTGCAAAGCTCTTCGCTAACTGGCCAATTGTCCGTCTGAAGACTTATCGTCCAGCTTCAATAACCGTATTTCACAATGCGTCAGTCATTCACTGCATTTCTTGCCCTTAGCTTGGTTTCAAGCGTCGTGGCCATGCCTTCTGGCAGCTTGAAAACTCGGCAAACCTCCCCGGACGGAACCTGTGGTGGCACCACTGGCTTCGTTTGCGCCACGGGCTTCTGCTGCTCGCAATTCGGTTTCTGCGGTACCGGTTCCTCATTTTGTGGCAGTGGAAGTGGTACCGGAACTGGTACCGGTACTGGTAATGGAACTGGTACCGGCACTGGCACCGGAAGTGGCACCGGAAGTGGCACCGGAGCCATCACCTGCACCTCCAAGATCTTCTACACCGGTGATGGCTCGACTGGCAACGGTTGGCCCGACGAGAGCGCCTGGGCCAGCTTCGACAACTTATGGAATGCCAACATCAACGTGATCAATGGCGCGTGTCAGAACAATGGCTGGGGAGTGGCAAACAACTCTCCTACAGAGACCTCAGAGCTACAGTCCGCTATCACTAGTATCGCAGCCTCGGCCGGTGTCGATGAGCGTTACGTCTTGGCAACCGTGGTGCAAGAGAGCAAGGGATGCGTGCGTGTTCCAACAACGCAAGGATTCTGGGCGAACCCCGGATTGATGCAGGACGCCAACGGCACCAACACCTGCTGGTTGGGACCGGGCCAGGGCATCGACCCATGCCCAAACAACTTGATTGTAGGCATGATCCAGGATGGCACTACAGGAACTGCATCTGGTTCTGGTCTGAAGCAACTTCTGGCTAGCTTGTCGACTACTGGAGCTCAGGCAGTCTATCAGGCTGCACGACTTTACAACTCAGGCAGCATCCCCTCCGATGGAAACTTGAGCGAGGGTGGTGCTACCAGCTCATACTCCTCAGACATTGCCAACCGTTTGACAGGCTGTGTTTTCTAATCGAATAGCTTTATACTATTTCAATCAATAGTAGTAACTGTCATAGGGCAGACAATGTATATAGCCCGGAGGTAGATATAGTATAGGGCAGATGATGTATATATAGCCCTAAGGTGTACATATTATATAAAAGAGATGTATATATTAAATTTCATAGATACGAGTTTAGGTTTTATAAGACTGGAGTTTATCAAATAGCTTTTTTTCTATTCTACTACAAGTGATATTCACAAGTAAAACCACTATAGCTATTTGTGGACCTATGTCTTATGCCTAGCGTCTTGTTCTTGGACTAGATATGGAACTACCGTGTCGAGGCTTCTTACAGTGTATAACAGTAGCGATGCGAATGAAGCTAGATAAAAGCAAGATAATTTTACGTTTTAAGGACATCAATGCAAAAATTACCATCAATTATACCTCCACTGATCAGCCACATCCGGTGGTGACATTGTCCTCGCACTTGACTCGCTCATCACTCACGAATATTGTACGCCGTCTGTAACCTCTATCATGCTGCGCATCTTCCATACATTACAAAACACAACATCGTCTAATCAGGTAGATTTACTTGTAGAGAATTTTGAATAGCTGTTCCACGGATTTCCAGTCCTCTGCTGTGGATCATTTCCCGAGCTCATATAAAAGAAGATCCACGAGCCCTTGTTTTTCTCTTTCATTTATATTGCGTTTCAATCCTATTGCTGTAAGCCAAAACGTGTCGATGAGCGTATCAAAGAAGTCGCAGTTTACAGGAGTCTTTACTAAAAGTACTATCTCTCAGAGGTATTGATCCTAAGATACAATTTTTGTTTAAAATATCTTGCTGAGCATTCATAGCTCATTTCTCATGCACAAATGTAATCTATCAAGAAATTGTCGGTGGCTACTTTAAACTGTTATGTTCGTCTCAATATCACAGCTCTGGGCAATATAATTTTAGCATAGAAAGTACACCATCTCCTGTACAATAATACGTGGGTACCGGAAAGCCAGGAAGCCAAAGTGTTTATAGTTGCGATGTGATAATGAAATGTACAATACGTTTCACTTACACTAGAGATATTTTGACGTTCCCAATATTCGCATCTCTAACATCTATGTATAGTAGAGTAAGATATAACAAACAGAACGCTCTCATAGGCTATTGACTATCATTTGCTCTAAAGAATAGAAAAGCAATCTTTACTTAGTAAGAACCTGTGCATTACTGAATTGTGTTTTAAAAGACATGCAGCTCATGCGTTCACAATGAATAGTAGCGCGTATCCGGATTTTATATGGTAAATAGCACTGTTCATAGTGCATGTATTCTCAAAATTCACTGCGTGCAATATAGATAGTATCAATGTCCTAAACGTGCGAAACAGTTCCCGTCATCTTATAAACGGCCGAATGAACGACAGGCAATCCGAAAGACTGGCACTACCAATCAATTCATAACAGGAAAAGGAAAAGGATCACTGAACCCTGGAAGATTCAATAACTTCGAGGTGATGACCTTAAATCATGTCAATTGGCCAAAGTACGGACCGTGCCTATTCATTTGGAAGTGTTTCCAGCTGCGATCAATTGGTTTTTGGAAGACAGCGTAGTGCAATTTTGCAGCCTTGTTATGTGTTTCGATCAGGCTTCAAGAATAGCACCAGGCTACTCAATTATTTGCTTTTGAGTTGACTTGAAAACCAAGTTGCGCAGTCGCTTCTCAGAATACTGTGCTATTAACTCTAGTTCTGAGAGATAGAAAATCTTCCCTTCCTATTTCAACTACAAAATTAATTCCTTCTTTATTCCTATGAAGTCAGCAGCCCTTTAATTATAGAATATTTCAAATTTCTCTAGCACAGTGGTCACATTCCAGGTGTTTAGACCACCATGAGAGTATAAAAAATGCGGCTTCTAATCCATAACGATGAATAGTTTCGCGTTTGATGCAACAGCCTGGCTTTACAAACGCAAGTCACATTAGAAATTATATGGAATCGAACCTTACATTACTCTTATCGTATGATTCAAAAATCGTTCGTTGTTAATACGAAAGCTCACTTTTATGTGAGGCAAGTGTTACTAAATTTCGCAGACCTGGCAAACTGTGAACATAGACCAACGGTTCCATGGCACGATTGCTTTACTTTACAGCAATTTATAACAATAGTAAGGGAATGCAATATTTTTCTATAGCGTCTCCCATTGCCTATTCAACTGTAAAGTAGTGAACATCTAGACATTATTATTTTATTTTTTATTAAGCAGTCGGTAGATCACTTCTAGTACAGCATACTTTGTAGTCAAACTCCAAATTACCCAGCAAGCAAAACAATCTTTAGCAGCAGAGTAAGTGGCAATATCTGTAGTAAGAATTTAAATGCTTTCAATTGAGATAAAAGGCATTAGTATATTGGCTCTGTCTTTCTATGCAAGCGTTGGCCTTTGAGGAGCAAATGACTCAGACTTGTAAATGCCAACCCGACCATAAGCATCTTTATACTTCTGAACAACATAATACTCGACGCTAACCGGAGCATATTTCTCTTCCTCGGGCTTAGAGCGGCACTTCTCAATACATTTAACAACAAAATCCGGATTGCCGTTATAGTTGAATGAGATGCTGTAGCGCTCTTCACCGGAGCGGTTGATTACGCGGTGAACATTGGAAATGTACTTGTCGTTTGTCCACTGCTCAAACAGGTTACCCAAGTTAACAACATAAGCTCCTTCAACTGGCGGAACAGGATACCAGTCTCTGACTTCATCGTCCCAGACTTCGAGGCCAGCGACATCTCCTTGTAGGAGTAAAGTAATCACACCAAAATCTCGGTGGGCTCCCATACCTAAGTGAATGTTAGTACAAAATTGACAATACTATGAGAACGGAATGAATTGGCGTGCCTCTTTGCAGAGCATGGGCATTTGAAGACTGAGGCGGGTAATGAAGCAATTTATAGAAGCACATAGGATCTGTGCAAAACTCTTGAAAGAAGTCCGCATCATAGCCCAAGCTCATAGCTATGGCCCGCATGACCTGTTCCGTAAGCTTCACAATGCGATTTAAGTAATCCATGCAAGTGTCTTGGAAAGGCTCTCCAAGAGACTCGGGCCACACATTTGGGCCGTGGGCAAACTTTTCTGCCTGAACTTGAGGGTGATCCATGGGCAAGTTACGAGAGATGTAATATCCCTCTTTGAGGTCAGGCCTAGTGTTCGCCTCAATCATCTGACCATGCATGACTTCATATCCACGGTTATATTTGTTCTATGTTGAAGGATAACGTTACCATGTGAACACTATCAAGGTGCCTCAGATGACATACCAGAGATTTGTCAAGTTTCATCTTTTCTTCAAGTGGTAAAGCGAAAAAAGCCTTCGACGCCTTGAAGATATCTTTTTGAAGGCTAGCAGGAATATCATGGTTGACAATTTGGAAAAAGCCTTGGGTAAGACAAGCATCTCGAATTTTATCAGCACAATACTGCATCCGCTGCTCGTCCCCTGACAAAAAATCAGAGAAGTCGATAACTGGAGTGCTTTTAGAAGAAGGCATTTTGACACAATAGAAAGTAATAAAAGCTATAACCAATTTGTCGATAAATGGTAATGAGGGTGTTGTTAAGCAAGAACACTTGATTAAGAAGATTATAATAATACGCAATGCTTTGGAGCATTATATATTGGAGTTGTATGTAGTATCCATATACGTTTGTTAACTAAGTTATTACTCTATAGTAAGTATACAATAACTGGGTTTTGTATTTATTGCAAGGTATAAATTATTATAAGTATATATTAGATAATATACTACTTTACCAACATATTTCATTATTTTATATTCCCATTAGTTATATACTAAACTTATATAATACACCAGTTACTAAATTCCTTTCTTTATAGCTTCTAATAGTTTTACCTTAACCTCAGAAAAGTTTTTTATTATACTATTATATTTATTTTCTAATTATAGTAGTTAGTAATATTATCTAGTAATAGTAGATATAGTAACTGTTTAGTTTATTCAAGCTTTAAACTATATGTTATTTTATATATATATTATATCTTTTACTTGTTCTCTTGGCTTACCTATATTTTCTTTAATAAATGTCGTTTTGCCGATTATATCAATGTACACGTCCGAGTTTACCGATGCATAAATAACCGCGCAACAGACCCATATATACCGGAATAGTTTCCAATTCCAGTAAATAGTGCTTCTCGATTGGGTTATTACTGTGAAGGGAATCTTGCCAGAAATAACATCTCGCCGCAATATGATACATCACCTGCTTAAGCAACGAATTCTTACCATTGGCAAGGAATATCGTATAACTTGCGAAAACAAGCCTAACCCTTGCCATGACGTTATTCACAATCTAACTTGTCAAAGTAATTATCCAGTAACATCAATCAAAACAGGAAAAGTATGTCAGATCGATAGATTACTAACTCTACTGGACACCAGCGCAAAATGTTTCCCCAACGGTTGCATCCCTACAACTTAAATTTTACCCTCAGCCCTAGCCTTCTTCCTTGCCCAGTTATCGTTCTCTGTGAATCCCAACGTAGGTATGCAGGGCCTTTTGTGTGTCACACGAATCTCATTGCCGCCCACATTTTGCAACCGATATCCGGTTTCTGGTCCCCTGCCTGCAGCATTGCAGCGTGGGATTAGATTGCCTCTTAAGATGTTAAAATTTTTTCTCGCCAATGGGACAGCTAGATTTGTATACGCAGTTGACTTGCCCAAGCTAGCGTATTCCTTGGTTTAGAACTGCTACCGATTACCTTGTCAAGTTGCCCAGTCTGTTGCCCAGTCTGTTGCCCAGTCTATTGCCTTACAAAGAAATAGTAATCACGGGTTTTGTCCGTTCAGCCGTCGGTTAGCTACGCTTAATGGTCATATGACAGGAGGTTGCATAGTATTATCACAGGCCGCGATATGCGATATATTTTACGAAATACTATCTGCAAACACATTTGACTAAACCTTTGATGGAGGTAATAACTGATATAAGTTCTGTTCCATAGCAAATACGTGTCTATATTACCGAAAAGAGTAAACAATATCTCAAGCTATTCCAGCTACTTACTGTAACTGATGCTGAGGCCAAAAGTGGCAACATAACTGGGTTTGGGCTGCTTGCGAAGTTATGCCGTCAAAACTTCATGTGGACGTGTGATTTCTACGCCTTCCGGATGTTCTTGCCTTAATTGAGCAGACCTGCAGTAGCCGCTCTTCTGCTTTGAACTCATCTATATAAACAATGTCCAAAGTTCTTTGTGTACATATCAGGACATTGTGGCTTCAAGTACACGCTACCTTTGTCTACATTGCTAGTTTGATGTTACAATCTAAAATTCTTCTCCCATCGCTCAGAAAGTATCGGACTGCCTTTATTTCTCTTTCAAACTTCAACATGCATGTTGGAATAATTGGTGCAGGCATTTCAGGCCTCTATACAGCCTTGTTGCTACGCCGAGAAGGCCACAAAGTGACAGTGTTCGAGGCGGCTGATAGAGTCGGTGGCCGTATCTATACATATCGCTTTACGCCCCAAGCTAAATCCGAAGATGTTTACTTTGAAGCGGGAGCTATGCGCATCCCTCGCTCATCTTTGCATTCCAAGGTCTTTGACTTTATCCGCTATCTCAATACACATGGTTTTGCTGGAGACAAGATTGAACTTATTCCGTATATTCTTGATCATGAGAATAACAGATCTTTCTTCCAAGACCGAAAAGGCGCCTTACAAGACAGTAAATGGGCAAATGAAGCTGGCCTTCCAGAGGCCTATCGCAATAAGACTCCTCAACAACTACTTGGAAGCGTCGTACTTCCGTGGTTGTCTATACTTCGGCAGGATTTTGACGATGGGTTTCAAAAGTTGCTCAAATATGACGAGTACTCATTTCGAGCTTATCTCCGCCTCATTGTCGGGTGGCCCCATGAAGTTATAGAATTCGTTGAGCTCTTCTGCTCCCAGACCAATCAATACGATCTAAGCTTTACCGAGATAATTATGCAGAACTTGGATTTTGACACGAAAGATGTAAGCTCCTTCCGTTTTCGCTTTGTCTAGTGGCACGTTCTAAAAGTTCAATCATTTAGTGGGCAACTGTTAAAGACGGCATGTCACGCATTACCCAATGCGCAGCTTCGTTAGTAGGCTCAAAAAACGTTCGTCTAAACTCGCGAGTGGACCGTATTATAAATCTAGACAACGGAAAGGTCCAACTGTCAGCGCAGGGTCTTCATCAAACGTATACTGCTACTTTTGACGCTGTGGTAGTTGCCACTCCTCCATCTGCACTTCACAGTATTGTGGAGCGTCCCAGATGGTCTTTCATGAAAGAACAGTCAATTCGCGGCGCTCACTACGAGCCTCTCTACAAGATTGGCCTGCATTTTCGAACGCGCTTCTGGGAGCGCTCCAGTGTCAACCCATGTTTTGGTGGCCAAAGCACTACTGATCTTCGCTTCCGCTGGATTGTTTATCCATCCAATGATCTTGGCAGCAACGGCTCCGGTGTCTTGCTGCTTTACAGCTGGATGAGTGATGCTGCGAAGTGGAGTGGGCTATCGCGATCGGAGAGAATCAAGATTTGTTTACATGATCTTGGTAAGTATTACGCAGACGAGGTTGATATTGATGTTTACGAGCAGTTCATTGAGGCGTTTGACATTTCATGGTCAGCCGAATCAAGCGGTGGGGATGCAATGTTCCTTCCAGGCCAATTCTCTCGTTTCTTCGAAATAGCAAAGAAGCCAGAAGGTAACATATACTTTGCTGGAGAACATCTATCAAAGCATCACACTTGGGTAAGAGACTCCCAAACCAATGCAAGCACTTGTTACTCACTCACTTCAAACAGATCGCGGGGGCTATAGACTCGGCTTTACATACAACCGCCCAACTTCTGGGCCGCCCCATTCAAGCTAAGGTTGACACTGACGACACTGATATCGATTCTATAAGCCCTCTCTTAGCCCTCGGTCGGGAATTCTTGACTCTGGATGATCAGCGCCGTGCACAAAAGACAGACATAAGTTCACAAAGGTTCAAAGCCTGTGTGATTCCAAGACACCTGAATGTGCAATATATGGAGGTCTTTTGAGGAATTTTAGAAAAGAAAATTGTTTGAAATGTATTTATTGTATGTATATCCGTAGTAGAGATTACGGGCATGCTGTTCAGATTTTGGACCATTGCATAGATGCGCGAGTTATCTGTTTGTGTCACCTTCAAGATCTGTTTCAGCAGTGAATCGCTTGTTTCTTGTAAGGGATTTTCCCATTGTTATTTTGCATAGGAAAACTCATTTGTCAACTAACAGAATTTCGCCTTGGTGTAGAGTCTTACTACGAAGGCCATATGAAGGGAGACCCTAAAGGCCTGGCTATTAGCTATGACTTGTTCAGAACGCACCATGATGCTGCCTCTCTCATGTCAATAAGGCGGGCTAACTATTTTTGGAGGGTAGAGCCGTATGTCACTTAACATCTTCCCTATCACATCATCCACTTCGGCTTCTTGTTGTGGTATGCCTTCAGCATGTGGAACAGCCTATACATTCAGGATGTGGTTGACCCAGCTGTCACTTCTTAGGCACGCAATTACTAGCACATGTATTGACAACTAGGTAGACTTGCCGCAAGTGGGGAGGGATTCAAGATGCGTGCTGACACAGTGTTACACTAACAAGTGATTCCCTGTAGGATTAGGCAGCGAGAAGGCTATATAACGGCATTGGATCGGCTGTAGACAACTAGTTCAGCGGGCGCTGCCGCTGTACCTTGGCAGTTGAAGCAGCCAACCTTGTATATACTCCACAAATACAGGGGCCAAGTGACTCAAGAGAATAGGACTAAAGAAACATAATTATAATCCATATAAGAGAGGTAAAGATAGTACTCGTAGTTACTTTATATCAGTATATATATATAGTCTTATATATGCATATAAATATAACTTATAACTTTTATACTCTTATATAGTCTTATATATAGGTAACTTCTAGTATATTTAGTAATAAAATGTATTGACTTCTATAAAACTTTAGTACTTAAGTATATATATAAATCCCTAGGGAATACTTTTACTAATCTAAATAAAGAAGTTATCTCTGGTTATAAAAGTTATATATTAATTAAGAGAAAGCTAATACCAACAGGACCCTTGCTCATTGTGTGACCTAAGTACTTTTAGGCGATATGTAAAAAGCGCAGAAAGTAGTACAGTGTCAGCGTTTTAGCGCCCATGAACAGTTCCGCCGAGCCACTGGCATTTGAAATCATTTAACAAAGGTTGAATGTACCGAGCCCACCTCGGCCACTTAAGCCGGGCACCTATCCTTTGTTGGAGAGAAGAATACAACATTACGTGGACATATGAAAATTCATCAGAATCAGCATGACATGCGAATAGCTCAACGACCCCCACTGACACTCGACATTACCAACAGTCGGCTCATACATCTCTTTCTTTGCCGAAATGCCGACAGTTTCCCAACCAACTTCCTCCCGGTTTTATATGCAGTGTAAGGTCGGAACTAACTATCCTACTGGGGATTGATACGCCCTGCTTTCGACGACCAACAAACCTTCCCCACCATGAATATCTGTTTTAGCGCGCGGCCGCTTTGCTGGGGTCACAGCTGTTAAGTAAAATTGTTATAATTATAAAGTAAAATTTCTATTCTTGCGATAGCTTGACAACTTGTGGCAGCTATGAATTTCTTCGGAGTCTAAAAAGCCCCATATACTTGCTCTTCCAACTACATACACAGGTTGACAGCTGTAACTCGCTCAGCTACAAGCCGGTTTTCGCAACATATAGAGGTTTCATTACTTGCCATTTTGAACCCCTTTTGATAACAACCTGCTATAATGAAAGAAGAGGCTGCCAGCAATGAGTTCCCAGCATTAGATGATGCATTGGGTGAACTCGAATTTGGCGAAATCGAGATTATCACAAAGTTGGAAGGGGATGATGATCCGTTGAATTGGTCGCTAATGGCAAGATGTAAGCAATCATTTATTACTAGTATATGGGAAAGAGTTGTAGTGAATATTGACCTGATGTTAGGGATGTACACGATTATCGTCGTCACAATATCAGGCATCGTTGGTTTTAGCTCTAGTGTCTATTCACCGGCCATTTCATCAATTGCTGAGAGTCTCCATGTCTCTAACTTGATGTCTACACTGGGATCAACGACGTTCTTGATCGGCTCAGCAGTTGGTCCTCTTCTCTTTGCCCCATTATCCGAGATCTGGTAAGTTAGCTGGCATAGGTCAGGTAGCCACGCAGCGCTAATTGAGGGCAGGGGTCGCAATCCGCTCTACTACGGTTCATTTTTTTTATTTTGCCTCGCCATATTGGGATGTGCACTGGCACAAAACATAACAACTCTATTGGTCTGTCGTTTCTTTGCTGGGCTGTTTGGCTTGCCTCCAGTCGCAAACACAGGCGGCTCAATCACCGATTTGTGGCCCCAATCCCACCGATCTGTCCCGCTTGCGCTTTACACAGCGGCTTGTTTCTGCGCTCCGGTTTTGGGATCCCTCGTCGGTGGGGTTTTGACACAAAACCTGTCTTGGAGATGGACATCGTGGGTCGTATTGATTATTGCAACTGCAATATATATTATTATGGTAATTGCTCTTCCAGAAACATACGCCCCTAGACTGCTTGAGATCAAAAAAGCCAAGGCTGGTATCAACACGCGGAAAAGTGTTCGAACCACTCCTTTCACTCAAAGTCTAATGCGGCCATGGATCATGCTCTTCACAGAGCCAATTCTCTTCTCGTTATCACTTTATATGGCTTTCATCTACGGTGTGCTCTACCTAGATTTTACCGCTTATCCAGTCGTTTTTCAGAAAGCACGCGGGTGGTCCCTTGGCATTTCAGGATTGGCATTTACGGGAATCGGTACTGGGATGGCCATCGCCACTGGTCTATCCCCGTACGTCAACAACATTTACTCCCATTACAAGAAAAAGATTGGCGCGGTACCTGAAGCTCGCTTGCCGCATTTGATCCCAATAGTTTGGCTGTTGCCGATTGGCATATTTTGGTTCGGATGGACAGCACTGCCCCCGACACATTGGATCGTGTCTATTATTGCCGGTGTGCCTTTTGGCTTTGCTTTAGTGATGCTTTTCCTCGGTATTAATGCATATCTCACCGACTGTTATGATCGTTATAGTGCCAGTGCCTTGGCGGCTAATACGATGCTTCGCTGCCTTTTTGGAGCAGGCTTTGCTGTATTTGCTACCACAATGTATGAAAAGCTTGGTACACCGTGGGCTACTAGTATATTGGGATTTGTTTCTTTGGCTCTGGGAGTATTACCATTTGTGTTTTACAAATTTGGAGCCAAATTACGAGCGGCCAGTAGGTTTCATATGGATGTCACTAGTCATAACTAGGTAGTGCTAGAACTGTGAATGCGAGCCCCTTTTCTTCGGATAAGAACCGTTCCGCAAGGCATGAATGAAGGTACAGTGTTATTGAAGACAGATACAGCTTCAAACGATTGATAAGTTAGGCTTGAGGCGACTGTTTGATCTAGCTAGGCACATGTAGGCACATTGCTAATAGCACGTATTATAACGCAGGTGTTTGTTACAGATATTATCTTTTTTTTCATTCTCTATTGACATGCTTGCTGACTTGTTATACATTTGGAAGTGATGATTGAAGCTACGAAAGAAAAGAAAGCTAGAAAAGTAATCGAGTCAGGGATTAAAGAGTCATTTACCTGAAAACAAAAACAAGATCCCTGGAATACTATTCTCTCGACTATTCAAAATGAAATTTCGTGCGACCCTTCCTTGTTCATCAAGCCGAAGGCCTTGCCTTGCCATGCCATTGACCTTCTCACACTAATAAGCGGTTGGCTGCTGGCTACCACATACTCCTCCCTGCATACATGTGGCTAGTTATATGGGTTTGTTGCCAAAAAAAAGTGCTAATTTCGCATTGTGATTGGTGGCTCGCGCTATTTTCAGTCCAAGACATTTTACGGTCTTACGCCAAGGCCACGTGCAGTGCATTTCCCGCTCCTTGTTCCAGCGAATAATTGCCACTGTAAAAGAGACCTTGTTCTAGACCAAAGCTCCGAAAGGGAAGTACAGGTACATATATCATTGGTAGGCCGAGCTGCTCTCCAAGCGAGATAGGCCTCAATACTTGGTGCTGGATCCAAACGCGTGGCCGAATCTTACTATTTAGAATAGATCATCTTGCTGCTCCGAGAGACACGCAGCTTTGCGAGCTGGCTACAAAATACGGAGTAAAATCGGGTGCAAATGGTAAGGTGCCATGCGGGGAGCAAAAAACACCGCCGCCTATCACTAGCAATTTCTCTGGCAGACCGGCGGTGTTTTTTGCACCCCTATTGGGTGCTTGGTAAGGATTATGGATAGGAGCCTTGGTATTACTTGTAGTTGCGATGCACCATGGTGCGAGATGGTGGCGAGTGGAGAGCATCGCGAAGTCTTTGCTAGCTTCCGGACCACTACGACCACACTAAAGGAGATGCCTTCCCCTTCTGCCCGAATCCCCTGGATCGAGGCGTCAACCTTTTCAAAATCCAGGCCCGGAAAAGAGAGAGAGTATCCGCGGCTTGATAGTGTGTTTCAGCAGCCATGTTTAGTGTACGCACAGACTGGCCATTCAGATTCAGCTGCGAGATACGAAGCGCAAGTGTAATTGCAGCTATCCGAAGGCCATCACCAATCAGCTCCACATGGCCGATTCTAGGCCAGCACGGCATAATGCGATTGGCTGATCTGGCAAGAGCTGAAAAGACTATCGTGGAATTGTGGGGAGATTACACTAATTGAACATGGGCTATCCATGTGCCTCGTGGCCACTACGGGGCTCGATGATGGCCTGGACGCCAAAAGCAATGAGTGTTATTCGATTGAAAATGGGCCATCGGATCTGATGATTCAGAGAGGCCTAGCTTGAATAACTATTAGAGTCTTTTCCTGCCCTGCCCGGTTTCCCGAGGCTGGCTGAGCCTGTAATGCTACGCGCTGCTCATTCTGCTGGGCAAGATGCTTTCATCACCGTCGGCAGTCGTCGTACCAAAGGAGAGTTCGGTTAAAGAATTTGACTTTTTTGAGGCTCTCTCCATCACACCTCAGAAAGATCCCTTCTCAATAGACGACGAAGAGTTTCTCTCGTTGCCTGGCACTATTCGCACGCCAATCACACCAAAATCAGTTCCTCTGGCGACGACGCCACTGTCTAAAGCCTCGAGCGCCACTAACATCAACTCTTCTTCAGGCCTGCACGCGCCTGTCAAACAGCCCGCAAAAATGTCTCGCCAGTTGCCCAAAGCCCATACAAGATGCTCTGACCTTTGCCACAATGTTGCGGCTAGTGGAGATCGAACCTCTGTCCGCATGCTCGAATACCTCACCACGGTCAAGCAACTTTCGCCTAATGTCGATCGATTGGCTCATTTGTTCCTCGATACCTGCCAGATTCTCTTCTCAATCGAAGCTGGCCTTGGAGAATGTGGACGCTCGACCCCAGAGTTGCCGCCTGACGTTATCTCGGAATTGGACAAGAAATTACGAGTTGCTCAATCTGACTTCAATATTCTCGATGAAATGCTTAGCAAACTCCTAGAATATGAACGCAAAGGCAAGATGGGAAAGATGAGGCGTGGCTGGGGCAAGATATTTGGTGATACAGACATCGACAAAATAACGGCAATTCTCGAACGAACAAAGGAAGGCTTGAAGATGAGTGCGCTGCTCTTCCAGTGGACACTAGGCACCGAACGAATTGAACGCGGCATGGGCATCGGATACACAGGGCTCGCAGCGGCGTTGAACAGACTGGATGATAACTCTGGACGTGTGAAAACAAAGGCTTCCGAGCCGGACATGTCGCGTCATCGCCCGTCTCCTCTTGGCCACGGGCATTTGTCTGCCGAGGGACAGCATCAGCAAATGCAAGCATCTCCAGCCGCATGGAGCGAAAGATCCTCTTCTCGTAGACCCGATTCCAGCTTGGCGAATAAGCCATTTCCAAATTCGCGCGGTCCATCAGACGATATCCTTCATCATTACAGCATTACCACTCCGAGCTCGATTATCTCAAACGAGAGAGTCAATTCGGGCATTGTTGCAGCGTTTGATCGAGCCAGCACGATTGGAGACACGTCATCCCATACTGGATCAGCAGAGTCAGATGCCCTTTTGGAAGAGTTGGCTGGCATGGATCTTGGACAGTCCAAGGCCCTACGTCTGAAAGTTGACCCTTTCACGATGCCCCGCTGGACCCCTCGTAGCACAGCAGGCTCGGATGCCGAAAACCTGAGGGGCAGTATCATTTCTGCTGTTCGAGGAAAAAACCATAAACTAATTGAGCAGTTGCTGGATAGAGGAGTGTCTCCTGCAGCGGCGCTGACAGAGGCTGTCAACCTCCTTGATGCCGAAAGTATCCGGCTCTTACTTCTTTTCGGGGCCGATCCTAACGAGGCAGATGGCGATGGCATCACGCCACTTTTTGCGGCAGTTCAAAAGATGTTCTTTTCGGGAGCAGTCACCCTCCTAAAGTATGGAGCGGACCCCAATGCTTTGGTTGGCCTAGAACTGGAGTCTCCTCTATCATCTGCCATTTCTACTCACAAAGTTAGCTTGACACATCTCTTATTGATGTATGGAGGTGATCTATCTCACAGCACCTCCAATGGCAACACGCTGTTAATCGCAGCTATCAACAAGAAAACCCCAAAGAGAATGATTGATCTTCTTCTCCATTATGGCGTGGATCCAAATGAGAAGAACAGAGAAGGGAAAACAGCGCTCTTTGAAGCGATTAGCTCCTCTCGAGTGGACATCACGGGCAGCCTTTTGACTCATGGGGCGGATCCAAACCTCCCTGGACCCAAGCACATGCTGTGGCCGGCAACATACCAGACGCCCTGTCTTCAACTACTTCTTAACCACGGTGCAGACTATAAGAAATGCCCTGGCATTATGGAACTGGCAACTAGTATCAATAACATCGAATCAGTGCGCGTGCTTTTGAAAGCCGGTGTCGACCCCAATGCCAAAAAAGACGGTGTTTATACTCCTCTTTGCACATCCATCCGAGACAACCGAATGGACATATTTCAGCTGCTGCTGAGCAGCGGCGCAGATCCAAATGTCAGTGCTAGCGAGTATCCGGCCTTCAAATGCGTGACACACAACCGCGTCCACCTCTTGCCTGCGCTTGTCACTGCTGGCGCGGACCTGCACTCCCCCAAGGGAATACTAGAGACTGCAGTTAGCTCAAACAACATGGAGGCGTTATTGTGGCTACTAGACCAAGGCCTCGACCCAAATGAGAGGAATCCCAAGGGAGCGTCCCCATTGACAAGCGCCATTCGAGAGAGCCGGATGGAAATGATAGACGCCTTGATCGCCAGAGGAGCCGATCCCAACAAGCGCGGACAAGATTGGCCGGTATGCATGGCTGTGCGGAATCCGTTGATACTTAGGCGCATCCTGTCGGTGCTTGCCGAGCCACGCGCTTATAAAGGCGTCATGGAAATGGCTGTGGCCGCCAACCAGATCGAGTCTGTCAAGTTACTGTTGGCAGCGGGTGTTTCGGTGGAGGATAAGAACGGTGGTGTTTTCTCTCCATTAACCACAGCTATTCGCGAGGACTTGAAGGAAATGGTTCATTTCCTCATCAATGACGGCCATGCCGACCTGAACGCTCCCGGCGAGCATCTTCCCATTGTCAAGGCAGTCAGAAGATGCCGCGGTGACGATACGGAGATTCTCGAAATGCTTCTTGAGAAGGGCGCCGATCCAAATAAAATCTACAGGGGCTGGAACGCCTTTATGCAGGCCGTTGAAAATGGCGACATGAGGATTTTAAAGCTATTGAGCAGCAAATTCAGCGTTGATTTGGAGGCTAAAGATGACCAGGGACGGTCAGTCATTGATATCGCGTCTTCTCGAGGCTGGGAAGAAGCGGTCAATATACTTCTTGAGGGTAATTTTAGGCTTTAGATGTGTGGCCAGTCATTTACACATTTGTAGATATTCATTTTACAGTGTAGCGCGTTTTCGAAACCACTGAGTTGTCTCATCCCGATTTGAGAATGGACGGCGACTTTTCTCTTAATACGAAGTTCAGATACATTTAGTTTAATTACATAAGAGCGGCAACAACTCCCATCTTGATCTCCGGTGTCTTTTTAATCCGCAGGTTTGCCGCAGTAGTTATCCAGCATCGAGTGGGGCAATCCATGAAACTAAGCGGTGGCTGAGTCTTCAATGGAACACAACGTACGCGCGTATTCCGCATAATAGATCCAAGAATCAATTGCTTTCTAAGGGGTTGCTGTGCCATAAGACATTCAGTGAAGTTTCCTTACCATATTACGACGAAACTCGCCAGCCAGTACAAATCAGCAGCACACTGGCTCAGACACTATAGAGCCAAACTTTACTAGGTCTTATGCCCTTGGACCTATTGCACCGTCTTCAATAACCCCCCGACCATGCGCAGTTCTCACCGCAAATCCCGAAATGGATGTAGAGAATGCAAGCAACGCCATAAGAAATGCGATGAGACTTCGCCCACTTGTCTCAATTGCACCATCACAAACCGATCCTGTTCATACCGTCTTACGCGTCCAATGCATCGGTTCAGCCGCCCGAAAGCAGTCTCTTGTGTATCAACGCTATCGGTGCGAACGCTATCGCCGACCATCCAATGCAATACTCAGCAATGGCAAGCTCAACAGTATGATCTAGGGCATCTTGAGTTGCTTCACCATTTCGAGTCAGGCGCATTTGAAGCGAGTATGCTACCTTTGCCTGTCTCGATACGCATGGCGATCATGCAATGTGCTCTTACCGACCCTTATCTCATGGACCAAATTCTTGCGCTATCGGCAGCGCACATGAGCACTTTCCGCCGAGGACAGCAACAGATGTTCAGCAACAAAGCAATGGAGCTTCAAACACGAGCTTTATCATTGTTTAATAGAGTGGAAACCGATATCTCGAAGCAAAACTCTCGCTCTTGGTTTCTGTATGCATCATTTCTTGGCCTCCAGATTATGTTCGAGACTTTCCAATGCAGAAACTTTCAGTCATTCTTCGATAAACTCGCCACGTATTTTCCTGTCCACCGAGGTGTGCATGCTGTGATACAATCAACGTGGCCAACTATAAGGGACATAGTTGAAGAAATTGTCGGGCAGCGACAGATAAAAGACACAGCCGAAGCCGATCGTGAGCGACCTGAAGCATGTGGTCATTTGGATTCTCTAATTCACGAAAGTGATCTTCAAGAGCTAGATAAAGAGGCATGCTCCCAAGCAGTTATAGCTCTTCAGCGCATTTTCGAGATATTTGAAGTGGATTCAGGGACCCACATTCAAATTCCTTTTACAGTTTCATGGACAATTCTAGTGTCCGCCAGATATGGTGATATGGTTAGAAGCCGGATCCCAGAGGCACTCATTATACTGTCTTTCTATGCTGTGCTGTTGCACCGTCTGCGTACGTTTTGGGTATTTGGCGACTCGGGCCGGTTCTTGATCCAGTCAATCTCGGCTTATTTAGGGACACAATGGGAACAATGGCTGTTGTGGCCAAATCAACAATTGGCAGCAACATGACTTTGGAATGTTAAAAGGAGTGTAACTTCGGGTACCTATGCCGTGTTGCAACCAGGATGTAAGGGTGGCGTGAAGTGGACTTGGGGGAGGCCAAGACTTAAAGCTTATAATTGCTCCCTATGAGGGAGGCATGAAATAGATATCAGATAGAACGGAAGCTGAATTGAGCGCTCGGGTCTCGCATTCACCATGTTATGCTTATTATTGCCGTATGATTTGACTGCAAATTTGCTAAAAGCGCAAGATGAAACTAACATCTAGAAACACTTGCCACGTTAAGCTCTACGCAAACCCCCACCTTGCTTGCAAGAAAACGGGACTAACGTAGTGGAGACCAATAGATGAGCCAATGGTAAGCCCAGGAATACGCAATACGCGGATAACAAGGGGCTGGCTTCGAAATTGGATCCGGCTCTTGCATACACCGTTTCGTCAGCTTCGTGTTAATTCGTACACCAGCGATGAGGGCTACTATTGGTAGAATTTTCTCCAAGCCTATCCGTAGAGCTAAAACGAGGCGTAGACAATACATCTTTCCCGTTGCTGTGGGGAATGCTAAAACTGTTCACCAATCAGTGACTTGACAATACGCTCATCTACACACCAAAGTTGTGATAATCTGATAACATCGGAGAAGTGAAAGACACCGAAGGGTATGCCACCAAAGAACAACTACCCTTTCTCTCTTTACAGTATAGTTTCCGTGGATAGAACAGATTTTAAGGCTAGCTCAAGGCTGTGTTGGATCCTAGCACTTAGGGAAAAATCCTAGAGTGAAAATATGTAAAGGGTTTATATATCTTAGCTGCATCCTCTGGCTCGTTTCAACATGGAATACCTATTTCTTTAACAAACTGCCTTCCACTATTTTTCTCTTCTTCTTTAGACCTTGCATCTTACCACCTTTATTTAATTCGTTGAAGCTGCATCAGCACCGCAATATCCAGGATGAGCACCAACTGCGTCACGGACTGGCAACATGCGGCCTTTTCCTTCTATCGCTATACCCCTTCTACCGCCGCTGCCGCTATATTCTGCGTTCTTTTCTTCTTGTCCAGCGTACTACATCTGTTTCAAATGTGTAAAACAAGATGCTGGTATCTAACGCCATTGGTAATTGGATGTTTTTGTGCGTTTATTCCCAGCCACAGCTATTCCAAACCGTTTACAATGGTGCTGACTTAACATTACATCTGTAGTTGAATTTATTGGTTTTGCTGGCCGAGCCGCATCGGGGGCACAAAAAGCAGGCTGTTGGACACTGGGACCATACATCACTCAAAGCATGTTCATTTTGATTGCACCGGCATTATTCGCAGCGTCCATCTATATGATACTCGGCCGAATCATTATACTTGTTGGCGGGCAAGAGCACTCGATTATTCGACCACAATGGCTCACCAAAATATTCGTTATTGGAGACGTCGTTTGCTTCTTTCTTCTTGCTGGAGGTGAGGCTTCTTCTCGTTAAAGATATCACATTCGAACCAACTGCTTACTGTTATATCTCATTACTAGGCAGCGGTATCTTAGCTTCGAGCAAAAACAACCCGTCCTCCTCAGATGCCGGTAACAATGTCATCATTGGCGGCCTTGTTCTCCAACTCCTTTGGTTCGCCATTTTTGTCACTGTCGCGGCTGTTTTCCACCGCCGATTAAATTCAGTTCCGACTAGTCGCTCGCAACAACCAGACTGCCGCTGGCGAAAATACCTCCAAACACTATACATTGCCGGTTGCTTAATCATCATTCGAAACTTGTTCCGTGTAATTGAATATGCTCAAGGGAATGACGGGTACCTACTTACGAAGGAAGCCTTTATTTATGTTTTTGATGCACTGCCAATGTTGGCTGTCGTGACTTGGCTTCACTGGATGCATCCTGGAGAAATTGGTTTATTGCTTCGTGGTGAAGATACATTCAAGAATGGACTTGAATTGATTCACCATCGCCCCAAGAACTAGAAGCAGTCGCTTCGAAAGCAGCCACCAGCGCCAGCTAAGATGAATGCGTTATTCTTGTGGTCAATACACCGCATTGAGGATCGGAAAAGGTTTACAAACCAACCATAACCTTTGTGCTCATCTATCTGCATATGCAGCAGTATCAAATGATTCGCATGATATATCATACTTCTCATGCTGATACTGATGGAAATCTAGAGAGTGTGCTATGAAGAGGAGCGGCTTTTGTGTCTGAATATTTGACTAGTTATAAAGAATTATATGTTGTCTTCCTTCTAGTTTAATATCTTTGGGTGATTCATAGTAGCTTATCTGAATACCGCCATGCAAAACATAGTGGCCTACATAGCTGAGATGTTTATGTGATTTCTCTGATGGTGACTCAAATTGCCCCTTATAACAATTTTGAGTATGTTATTACCGAGTTTCACAAAAATAGGGTTTTTGAAGAAGATCTGCCTCCGTTGGCATAAGGTTAATAACTGCATGTAACCTCGCGCTGAGTTACCATTTGCGAGTATTTAAAGACACTGGAAGCGCCAGCGTACGTTTTCTGTTCGAGATAAAACTGCTAATCCGGCTCAGGATTGGATGATCTATTTCCATTTGGGCTCCGATGCGCGCTGAGATTACAGCTCAATGAGAGGAGAGCTTTCAGTGCAGGTATTCATTACATTACTGATTGCAAATGTCATCGACTCCTAGATACGAGCTTGTATACATGCAAGCACATCAAGCGTGACTACTACTTAAAATAAGATCGAAGTTAATAAGAAACAAGCCACCGGCTACTATCGCTTCTCTACTGGCATTATCGATGACATTCCACAATTTCCCTAGACGTAGTCTCAACTACGTGGAAGCATCTCCAGTTCCGCAAATCAATGTTAGCGGCAAGTTAGCTTCAGAGTGCATTGTCAATATTTGGCTTGCTGTGTGCAGCAACACATCGCAGCTCCAGCAAGGAAATGTCTTGGTGAGTTCCAAAGTCAGAAAGCTTTTTCTTGTTATTGAGTCAATTATCTAGTTATTCCGTATGCTAATAATCAAGTCGTGAGTTTCTCAGTGTTCTCAACCTTCCCAAAACGATGCCAAAATACGCTATGTGGTGACAAATTAAGATTTGAGTGTAGCTGTCAATGAAGCCCATTATATACAACGGCTTTGCTTGCCACAAAAGAAGAATTAAATATTTACAATAGCCTCTGTTGGCTGAACAGAGGCTGATTGAATCAATTTAGTGAGAAACGTTGATGGAAAAGAAGTGAACATCAGAAGCGCTTGAGCCCTGGTTGTAGTTTCCAACCTTGAAGTAGCTGGAGGGCGCACCAAGAGAGTAGGTGCTGAGAGTCTTGGCTGCAGCGCCATTGATGCTGACACTGAGGACGTTGCTAGAGTAGCTGATTGTGTAGGTGAATTGCTGGCCAACGGGAACATTGCCGACCTTGGTCATGACTTCGTTGCCGCCAGAGCGAGTTTGTTCCACGCCCATGGTCAGGTCGCCGTTGGTGTTGTAGTACAGCTCGCACACTGGCTTGGTGCTAACGTTGTCTGCGATGTGGATCTGGCCGACAACAGTGCCATAGCCTGAGTTGTCTGGCTGTTCCACAGCGAGCGACACCGTCAATTTGTTGTTGCTGGCATTGGGGTCCCAGCTGCTGGGGCTGCTTTCGCGCAGCTCCGTGCGGCAGTGCTGGCTGTTTGGTGTTGTGACGCAGCCGGTGTTTGAGGGTGCTCCAGGGACTTTCATGACCAAGGCGCCGTCGCCACTCTCAGTGAAGAAGTATTTGTGGCCGGGATCTTGGTAGCCCCCACAGCCTGAGAGCTGGGAAGCGGAAATCGTGGTTGGGCTGCCCGTAGAGCCAATGGGAAGCTGCAGGGACCATTTGGAAAGGTCAAAGTTGCCGCCGGGAGCACAGCTGGGGTTGAGCGCCGCTGAGGCAACTCCAACAAGGCCAGTGGCCAGAAGAGTCTTGAGGGCAGGCATGATTATTGTTAGAGAAAGATTGGTAAATAGCTAAGCTGTCTTGGTGTCAAAGCTTTGAGGATGAGGACAAGAACGTAGATAACAAAGAGGGCCATCTTGCTATTTTATATACTGATACAGTCGTGAACAGCGAGTAAGGCTTGATGATCCTGCTTCTAGAAGGAGTAGTTAGTGAGTTGTCGCACTAACTCTAAAATGACAGGTACATGAGCCCCAGCTAGGATATGCCTAAAAGTAGATTGTCCGTCGTGCCGCACACCCGGCAAAATATCTTCCAGTTGGGTTTTAATTGGTGGAATTTTTAAAATTCTTCGTTGCTAGATCGATAATGCTTCATTAACATCAGAAGCTGAGTCGCTAGGTTACCCCAGAATATACGAACCGGCCAGATCGTAATACAAGCTGCATGATCCTGCTAATAACATACAAACAGTAGTGATCTGTACAATGGAATCAGATTGTGAGCTGCCGGATTCGTTCATCGTATACAAAGCGGGCTGGCTCCTCTCTGTTACGTACTACATAGGAGAAGGACAGTGGGCGACCTAAAGTGCAGTCCCCTTGACCGCCAACATTGATGGCAGTAGTGTACAAGAGCGGAAGGGACGTAACATTCACACGAGCTTCATAAGTCTAGCATTCTTCTAAAACTGGATGTTGGTAGAGTTCAAGGCCTAAAAGAATAGAAGTCGTCTGTATGAGGTGCTATAAGGCGATGTTTGACAGTGGTGTGTTATTTCAGGTTGTAGGAAGGAGCAGATTCATATTGTGCAAGATTTTATGAGCTCTGAAGAAGGCTTTTTTTCATCCATCGACCTCGGCTGGGGCTTGAATCATACTGCATTTTTGTAATTGTTTCGCAATTGGGCATTTATTGAAAAGGGGCTGCTTCGCTGGATATGCTCCATTTTAGAATGTTTCAGACGTTTCGACCACAGCCTTGCTCGCCGGTGGAAGAGCATTTAGTAATAACAGATAAGCAGCGTCTCGTAAAAGGCTGTAGAAAATAGAGTATATAGAGAATACTTTTCTATATCCATATACCAAAGCATATAGAGTTTTAAATTTGGCACCTGATTGTGACTTATATAAGGCGGGCCGCACAGCTCAATGGCCATTTCTAGGCTAAGCATCTTTGACCACTTTACCGGAAGAAAAGGATGGGTCACGAGATATTGAACTACCAATTAGTTTCAACTCCGGGGCCCAAGTGAAGATTATCCGACGAGTATATCTTCAGTATCAGATCCAGCTGTAACTCAGTTCGCATCATGACGTAAAATGTCGCAAGGGGCAGTGTTGCCTCTCATTGCGACAACGATAATCATCACAGCTACATATACTGCAGCGAACAGAACGCAACATGGAAAACGACTACTGGAATATCGTTTTTGCAAGTTTTGTGAAAAAGGATGCATATTGCAGAAAACGCAATGTAACACACGAAGCTGTGCATCAAAAGCAATACAATCATAATGATAAAGGTGCAGCTATATCCGGACAATTGAATAGACATTTCTGCTTCCTCTTTCATGGAAACTAACAAGGTTTGTGATAATAAAAAGGAGTATTTAGAGAGATGGAGGTATCTTAATTTATATTCAAGAATTGCTTCAGGAATAGATTAGCATTGGTGAAGCCGTCGCTAGGTGATAGAGGCCATACACAACTTCATTCATTCGCATCGCCGTACATTATGGGATTTGGTACCCTTTTTCACCTGCGGAATAAGTCAGACATATATCAAGAGTATGTTAGACAATACCAATGCCCAGTAGCTCTGTCAAACGTCTACAAACTCTGTGGCAGAATCACCTTGTCCTCACAAGACATTCAAGGCCGGTGGGTCCAGATGGTGTGTTGGCGAAAACCATGGCTCATGGAAGCTTGGACTCGTGTAGCAACTAGAAGTACGCAGAACAGCCCTTACCATAATTATTCGCATTTCATACTAGAACCCAACGCAAACATTTGTCAATACAGTAGCCACTATATTAAGTTCTAATTATAGGCGAGAGAGAAAACGAAAATTGTTTTACTGTAGGCCATTGGGATGCTATCAGAACTAATTGATCCCTAGCAGCATGGTGCTGACTGTGATGTCAGATTATCCAAGAGAAGCTCTAATACGGCCGGCTTTATGCGCGGGGTAACTTATTGGAGGACAGATCTTGTATCTAGATAGTGTATCTTACTGCTTATCTTCGAATTCGCAGGTGCTGTAAGTTTTTTTGGGTCTTACAAGTAAGACAATAAATCCATCTACTACGATCAATACAGTGTGACATTAAGAGTAAGCAAATCAAGCGATAGTAATGAGTAGCTAGTAGAAGGCAAAATAACCTAGATAAAGGATTATGCCAGCGACTATTTGTTAATTAAACGTTCAGCCTCTGCAAGTCTGAAAACAAAGACGATGGGAGACCATATCATACGTTATATGAGAATTGTGCTATGGAAGCGACCTACCTATGAAATGGATGCAAAAGCATGCCAAAACAGAGTACGATTCACAGTAAGTTACATGCTTACCTGTGTTAAACGAACTTTATAATACTTATTATATTAGCTTACACCGACACTCTTAAGCCGCGCTCTATTCTGTTCACAGCCCGCTATTCCCGTGCAACGCCCTGGGGCGGCTTACGTATTGACACATGTAGCGCTATAACGCAATGGTCAGCGGCAACAGGCTGTCTTTGCGCGGATTTTACACTTCTAAAGCTTGCTTGTGGAAACAAGAAGCTGTGTTGATATGCGACATAACACAAAATTAGAAGCATCGGCCAATACTCAGCGTCAAGTTTGAACTGAACGAATCATTGGACTTGCCGTTCCTTCTCGTCACCTGCACAATGACTTCCATGTTTACCTACCTAGAGTAAAACGCCAGTAGAGCAACACACGGGGCTGTGTTGCAGCTCATGGGCGGGCGAGAAGAAGAAAGAGAGAAATGACGTGAGAAGAGAAATTAGGAGCAAAATAAAAGACGAGTAGGCTATTGATGTGGATAAACTCCAGAGGAGCCGTGACCTTTATACGCTGAGGCAGAAAATAGGCGATGAGCCCGTTCCGTCCTACCGTATCGCGTCTCGCTGAGCAATAATAGTGCGTTCCAACGCATAGAGCAGCTCTGTAATTCAGCTCGACTCGGCGAACCTTGTGCCATTGAGTGAGTCGCATTGCAGATCTTTGGTTGGCTGCCTGGTCGGGGAATTTCACCTCGATCACTAGTTGGATCTCTCGCGGTCCGGTCTTAAATCCCTCGTTATCCCCGAGAGGAGGAAACACGACATAAGCCAACGCCCATGGGTCACTAGTATTCTAAGCACTTGGCAATAATGAAAGATCCAAACTGAGTTTCGAGAAAGTCAGTTTGGCAAGTCTACTTCGCCATTTGCCACCTCCCCTGCGCTCATTGGATGGGGGAAGCAGTCAAATGGTGACAGGGAGCACACCTTTATCAGGGCCGCATTGCTGCAATAGACGTGAAAAGCTAGGTGACTAAACCTACTAGATCTAGAACTTGCCAAACTGTGACACATAGTGTAATCCAAAATATGGTTTAGTCGCCAGACTCATGTTGTGAAAGTACTCCCAAATGCACTAATTGCCATAGACAATTCATCACCAAGTGGTCGCGATAATCAGCTATTTGTGATACAGATGCCGGTTCCGTCGATGTGGTGAACAATACGACACATCTTATACATACCCAAGCCAAGGTGATCAAGCTCATCTTGGTAGAGGCTGCACATCATTCGATCATCATACGAGGCGATGGCGTTGAACTCGCGCCGCTCCGAGACATGTGGTGGATGAAATATCGAGATCAATGCAAAATCAGGCACTGCAGCCGTCTGGATGCTATCATTCCGTCCAGCACCCCGTACCATGCCGCGATCCAGCTGCCAAACGCGTACGGAGCATTTCGTATTATCCCGCAATCCGGCAAGTTGACCCCGATCACCGTACTTTTTTGTGGATCGCGTGCTATTAGTCCTCTGCGGCCCGCCAGCCACCTCCCCCAAAGTGGGATATGAGTGGCGGTTTTGGTTCTAGCCTGAGCATTTGCTGAACCAACAATACAGCTAGCCATCTTGACAGATGCCAAGGATCTCCTCTCCTGGCACCACCTACTATACAAGTATATTACCTAAAGGGACTGAAGACCTTGGAAGAACGCGCGGGCGAGGGGATGGCCGTGCGATGGTAGACCGTTAAATTACAGGAAGAATGGTCAACTGCCAGGGTCGCCTTTCATGCATGTTGTATGCTACGCTATAGAGAGTAGTGCACGATCAGAAAAGGAGATGGGTCGCTTAGCATTGCTTCTATTTCTTATTATCTGAGCGTCGTATTATTACGTTAGTACGAGGTAACTATACGCGGGGAGACAGTATACCAAGAAGCCGGAAATGGCTTCTTAGAGCCAATAAAAGGGAGTACTTACTGACATAGCTTGCATCTTGCTTCACACAAGTAATGATCGACTTCATTGTCTCGAGGAAGCGACAGCAGATTCCGATGACGTGACAATGCGACTCGATGGAGACGTTCTATCGCGATGGCAAAGCAAAGAAAGCATTTGTAATGTTTGGGAAGGTAGTATGCCTCGGGCGGCTCGATCAAGGCCCCCCCTAAGGTCCAGCCGAGGTTTTGCAAAGTCGGTCATGCGATTTCTAAGGCTTGTAGTGTATTATTAGCGGTTTTCACACTGCACACGCGTGGATTTAGCTTGTAGATGGATTTTCAGATCCTCGGGATCGGGCCACATAGAATGATCATCCCGACTAGGGGGAATAGGACGCAGGGATCTTGCAGCATTGGGGATCATTTCTTTAGCTCGGTCATAGGCACTTCTGATAAATGCAATCTAATCATCACTTATGAAGTTATGTAACTGCAAATGTATTTGGTTGATATAGTAGTAAAGTCTATTGTAAGAAACTGTAAGACATGTAAGAAATTGTAAGATGTGGCTACTTGGAGGGGGTGGCGGGATGTCGATGACCGACCCTATGAATTCAAAGTTTGTGACGTGATCTATAAGATTGTTAGTGCCATAAAAGTTGATATAAAGCATGTCGCCGCGGTCTAATGCCGTTCTAACAGAATCTGCTCGACATCTTCCTTGCAGCTATAATACAGACTAAGCGCGCCTCCATATCAATTTTCTCTCAGAGTATCACATCAAGCGACCCTTTCATCAAAGATGAATGGTTACGCAAAATCGTCCAATCCGCAGTACGGAAAACGACTGCTGGCTAATATAGTCGACGAGTATGCGACTTACGAACCAGAGCGTGTTTTCGTCTACCAGCCTTATTCCAGCAACCTCGAAGATGGCTACCGTCCCATCACGTTCAAAGAAACCGCTAAGGGTGTGAACCACCTTGCTCGTGAGCTATTGAAGCAAAGAGAAGACGCCACCGATGAGAAAGACAGCTTTCCTACCGTGGCTTACATCGGACCAAACGACATACGATACACCATAGTGATGCTTGCCTGTATCAAGGCCCATTGCCAAGCGTTATTCATCTCTCCGCGAAATAGCCTCGAAGCACAGCTCTCGCTTTTCAAAAAGACACAATGCGCTCAAATTTTGTACGAGCCCTCGATGCAGTCCACTGTAGAGCCCTTGCTCCAGTTCTATCCCATGCCAGCGAGAGCGGTTCCTCCTCTTGAAGATTGGCTTCAGTCGGCCGCGTCTCATGTGCCATACGATGTACCATTTGAGAAGGCTAGATTCCATCCTTTGGCTGTTCTTCATACAAGTGGTTCCACTGGTATTCCAAAGCCTATTACTGTTCGACAGGGAAGCGCTGCCATTGTCGACGACCTACGGGATGTATATCTGGATGGTGCTCCTGTAGTATGGACTTCCCTTCCTAACGATTGCTCGAAAATATTTGTACCAATGCCCGCGTTCCATATGGCAGGAGTTGGTATCATGTCATTCTTCGGAATTTATTTTGGAGTTCAGATATGTCTGGGAGTGCCAAATCGCCCTGTAAGCGCTGGCCTTGTGACCGAATGCCTAAAATTCGTGGGGGATTGCGATGCAGCTGTTCTTCCTCCATCTATCATTGAAGATATGAGTACCAACGAAGAGCAAATTCGCCTCTTAGCCGATCTCAAGATGGTTGGCTTTGGTGGAGGTTAGAATATCTCCCTCTTATTATCCTCCCTTCCATTCGTCATCCCAAACTGACTGCATGCTACAGGTAATTTGTCTCCCTCGGTGGGTGATGAGCTTGTTAGCAAAGGTGTCAATCTTTTGAATGCTATAGCTTCTACCGAGTAAGCTGAGATGCTAGAGCAATAAATACGCTCGTTGCTGACATTTTCAGGGTTGCCCCCTATGTCATCCATCGCCAGCCGGACCCTAAATTGTGGCAGTGGTTTATCGTCAATGCTGAAGAAATGGGAGCCGACTTCCGTCTGATAGCGGATGATGACATTTACGAAATGTTCATTGTTCGGAAGGATCCAAAAGAAGCTATGCGACAACCTCTCTTTTATACTTTCCCTGATAAGACCGAGTGGTCAACAGGTGATATGTATAAGAAACATCCAACCAAGCCAAATCACTGGCAGTACTGGGGTCGCACTGACAATGTTATAGTCTTCTCCACTGGCGAGAAGCTCAATCCAGTAACAATTGAGGCTGCCGTAACGGGCCACCCTGCGATCAAAGGCGCTCTTGTGGTCGGACAGCAAAGGCTGCAGCCTGCTCTGATTTTGGAGCCACATGAATACCCAAAAGACGAGAAAAAAGCCAGAGCGCTTATTGACAGCGTATGGCCAATCGTCTCAGACGTGAATAAAGTCACCGTGGCTCATGGGCGAATTGTCCGTGATATGGTTGTCCTTGCAGACCCTAACACACCATTTTCAATCTCGGGGAAAGGCTCAATACAACGAATGGCAACTGTCACAGCATATCAAGATTTTATTGATGGTCTCTATGCCCAGCAAGACGAAGGCATTGATATGAGCAACACGAGCTCTCTGGACATTACGAGCCCAAAGGCCATGGCACAGTCTATCTTGGATATTGTCAGATCCCAAATCCACAAACCAGCGGTTGACATTGAAGCGGATCTTTTTAGCACCGGCATGGACTCAATGGAAGTTATTACTCTGTCCAAGATCCTTCGATCTAGTCTAGAGTCTGCTGGTGTCAGGCCTGGTAAAGATGCCGTTGCACCTCGAATTATCTATGCAAATTCGACAATCAAAGGGCTAGCAAAGCATTTATACTCGTCAGTGATCTCTGGAAGTACCGAGGACGACTCCGAAGAAAGAGAAATCGGTGCTCTAGTCAAACTCATATCCAAATACACCAGGGATCTCCCGCCTCCCAACACCAATCAGTCCAATCCCTTAGATGAAGAGCAGACAGTTATCGTAACGGGCACTACGGGGTCTCTTGGTGCCTATATGCTCGACCTTTTGATCAAAAATCCTCGAGTATCAAGAATTCTTGCGTTCAACCGCGGCCAAGACGGAGGTAGCTCTCGTCAGCCAGCATACAACTCATACCGTGGCTTGAGCACAGACTTTTCTAAAGTTGAGTTCCTTGGTGTCGATCTGTCCAAGCCATATTTCGGTCTCCCTGTGGAGAAATACAACGACATCCTGGCCACAGCAGACCGTGTCATTCACAACGCATGGCCCGTCAACTTCAACATCAGCGTCAGTTCGTTTGAACCCTACATTTTTGGTGTACGCCACCTTGTGGATTTCTCCAACAAAGCAGCGAAAAGAGTCCCCATTATATATATTTCAAGTGTCGGTACTGTCGGTAACTGGACGCGCTCACAATCAATCCCCGAGCGACGCCTCGAAGATTTGACTCTGCCCGCCATGGGCTACGGCCGGTCAAAGTTTGCCGCAAGTTCCATCTTAGACGCAGCTGTTGAGCAATCGGGCATCTTGGCCGCCGTTATTCGCGTCGGACAAATTGCTGGTTCGCGAGCCAAACAGGGCGTGTGGAATCCCCAGGAGTTCATTCCCAGCTTGATTGCTAGCTCAGTGCACCTCGGAGTGCTTCCCGACCGGTTCAGTAAGACGGACGTTGTGGACTGGACGCCAGTTGATGACATTGCTGGCATCATTCTAGACGTCGCTGGTATCACCAAAAAGGCCGACCCCTCAGCCATTTCGGGATACTTCCATGGAGTAAATCCTTCGGTAACTAGCTGGGCCAAGCTCGCGGCATTTCTCAAGAGCCACTATTCTGAAAGAATAAAGGAGATCATTCCTTTGACTGAGTGGATACAGATTCTTGAAGAAAGTGCTGTCAGTGCAACGGCGGACGATGTAAACAGAAATCCTGCTATCAAGCTCATTGACGCGTATAAGGGCATAGCGGCCGGCGGTGGCTATCCCAAGTGGGATATGGAGAGAACGATGGCACACAGTCCGACCATGAGAAATCTTGGACCAGTCGACGAGACCTTGATGAAAAACTGGTGTGACCAGTGGAAGTATTGATGTCGAGAACAATATTTGCGACTGTTTTCGCTGAAGGAGTTATTTTGCTTTCGTGCACGTTTGTCCAATTATGATATAATTACCATGCTAGTGGTATCTATCTAATCAGAATGCAGTATAATTGAGATTTGAGGACCATGGCCCTGCTAGGGAACTTCATCCGTGGCCAGCCATTGAAGAGAAGCCTAGCAAGGGTATTAACGTATTTTGGGCGGGGTGAATTCTAAAGCCTCGGAAGGGGGGAATGCGATTTCAGATGCGCTGCATTGTGAGATCTCTTGTCGTTTATCTGATTGTTCTTAAATTATCTTATTACTCTTAGTCTCTTTCTGTTCAGTGCTATATGATCCAGAGACATGGTATTCTTCTTCAATTTTTTTGCCTGCATCCTTTCGCCATTGTTCTCAAAGCGTTGAAGCGCGCTCCGCCCCCCTGCGTCAACAACCTGCAGCGCATATCCTACGTCATTCGCATTTCTTATTCTACCCTTTACTGCTATATTAGTAGCATTGCATTCGGTGTCGACTGTTGCCACTTTGAGGTCAGCCTCCGAGCTGGCCGTGCATTAGCCACTCAAGCGGCTGGCAGCGTATTAACGCAAGCCACGTAACGATCGCCAACGAGCACCGCATATGCCAATAAGCAGATGAGGTAAGAAAGGTAAATTCCGATGGAGCGCTGCCATCCAACTCAGTGCCGTAATACTAGTACTAGAAACAAAAGTGACCAATGAAAGGATTGTCATTATCGGGGGCACGGGATCCAAGGAGGGGGCTTGTTTAGAACGAGTATGAAGGGCTCTGCATCCATCATTCCTGTCTGCTAGTTGAGTGCTTCTTTTCTAAATACTTGAGTGGCCGCCTAAACCAGTCATAGAAGCCAAACGCTACTCTTTCTTCGCACTGCAGTTTTGCGCCCGCTCCTTTTTGGAGACTGTCAGCTACCTATGATGGAGGCGGCTCTGACCGAATTTACACTGTTCCCTCAATTACCAGCCGAGCTAAGGATCAAAATATGGGAGTTGGTACCAAGACCTAGCCGCGTGGTTGGCGTTTTGCCTCCAGCCTCTAACTGGTATCGTCACTACTACCGCGCAATTGGCTCTAGAGCAAGCTCCGGCGGGGGGCATCAAGCTTGGCAGCGCTACCATTATCGATATATCGTTCAGCCCAGAGAACATGCCATATTTCCTCTGCTTCATGTAAACCGCGAGGCCCGAGACGTCTGGCTGCCACACTTTTTTCAACCTTCTCGCCATTCTCGAGTATCGGATCTTGATATTGGATTCGATACGCCATTTATCAGCTATGACACCGATATTTTCACAGTGTTTGATGGGTGGCCGTCAAGAGGCATCCCCGTGGATGCTTATCGCAGCCCCGTGATACTTGACGACGACGACGAGCCAGTAGATGGCTTTATAGCCCTCGACCGAAGGCGAATAAAAAACGTTGCGCTTTGTGAAATCCCAGGCGACATAACATCTTTCACTGGCTCCGTTGCCATTCGTCAATTACCGAACCTGCAAAACCTAACAATCCTGGCTTTGGGACCCAACTCGAATTATCGACCAGCGTCTCTCGCTTCTAAAAACGGCAGTGAAGACAGTCTACCAATTCTCGAGATGCTAGCAGTGGATATCCAGCGAGGTAGCTCTGATATCTATGAGCTGCCTTTAGACTTGGTCCACAAGAGCCCGTTTCTCAACGGTTCGAGACTACGGCATGCAATAGCCTTGTCGCCCAGTATACGCCCACTATTTCGCTATAAAACATTCATCCTATCCTTATTGTGGCATGAACTTAGGCAAAAGAATGCGGCAGAAGCAATATCGGCATCGTGGTGGGAATACACCGAGTACTTGTTTGAAGACTGCCGTGAAGAAGCACAGTGCCCTTTAATGTTGAGCGGCTGCGGCATTGAAGGCCATACAAAACGCGAAATGATGGACTGGAAGCCTAATTTTGAGATTAATTATAAGCTTCTTTATGCCACTGAGTGGAAAGATGAGCTGAAGCGGATTGGGGTCATTAGAACATGATATGTAATAATCGGCCAAGGGGAACTGGTTTACGCTGACATTATCACCACCAGTTTTCCACAACGGCCTGGTGCTCTACCAGTGTCGCAAGTCGCAACATTTAATAGTAACCCTACATATATGAATTTTATTGCCATGTGGAAAGCAAATAATAGTTTTTGCTCGCCTTTTCTTCTTCTTTTTTTTTTTGTTCCTTTACGAAGCTTCCAGTGTGCTCATATCTTGTAAGATCAAAAGCTCCTGGAACCCGGACTTGGGACAACCATCACTTAGGATCGTCAGCAGGACATTAGGTAATCCAATAGATTTTAACTCACAACATGGTTATGATTTAGAATGTGCATTTATGTCTTGTAGTCAAAAGTTTGACATAGCTTCCAATGGAAAAGCTATCTTCTTATCTTGATTTTGTTTGACTTCAGCCATGAAGCCCGGGAGTTTGTGCGTTAGTGATGAATCATACCCCGGCCCAAGACCTCCTAAAGCGCTTTGTTGTGTGCATGCCAACCCGAGGAGATGGAAAGCCACGCGGCGCGTTCCACAGCCATGTATGCCAAGGATCCAGAGATCATCCTGCCTCTCGATTGCGATGGCGGCGACACTGGCACAAGTACCCGAGCCAACTCTTCTGTACTGACCAAGTCAGACAGCTTTTGAATGGGGCCTCGCCTAAACTCTCCGTCCCGCTAGGCAGCAGTGGGGTTGATTCAGTGAGTGTCTCGGACTCTCGGATGACCGTTTAATAACACCAGGCGGCTCAGTACCTTGCCTTTGTTGCCTATTGCTCATGTAGACAGTAGGATTCCGGCTAAGCCACGGTCCAGTCGTCATATAGGTACAAATAAACACCAGGCGGTTCGTGACAATAATCGTAGGTCAAGATTAATAGTTGTAGAGCCTTCAAGAAATCCACAGCGTATCAAACAACTTTGCCTCCGATACTATATTTGGTTATAACATAACCACCCGTATCAGTGCTCTTGTAACAAATCTATATGCCTCGGTCTGTCGGAAAAGGGTGCACTACCTGTCGGTAAGAAGCCTGAATGACCCTTTTCAAATATAATAATGACTTTTGAACTGAGCAGGATCCGACGTGTAAAATGCGATGAGGCTAGACCCAACTGTCGCCGTTGCATGTCCACCGGCCGACGGTGCGATGGCTACCTTCCTGTGGATATCGCGTTGTCTCGCCGTGCATTAGTTGATATTGCTAAGCATCTCGGTACCTCAATTATAGAACATGTCAGGCTACTACAGCAACGAAAACAAGCATCAGTACCAATGGTGCTCACGCGGTCCTTGTCGCAAGCTCCAGCAGCTCTTGCTCTAACTCCAACCTGTTCGGGAGATGAAAGATCTCGTCTGTCACTGGAATACCATCTATTCGACGTTTTCCGCTCCCGGACTATCCCGTCAGCCACTTTGCTTGCACCATCACAATTCTGGACACAGTTGGTTCTCAAATTGACGCATAATGAACCGGCTATATGGCAGGCATGCCTTACGCTGGCTTCTCTGCAGCAGGCTTGGCACATGGCGGAGAGCAATGGCGGTAGTGCTAGAGAACGACTTCACACATCACGACAAGGCAAGCTTAGGGGCGTCTCTGAGGTGCACTACCATCAAGCTATCTCCCTAGCCAAGACAGTGTCTCACCCATCATCACTGCTGGTGCTTAGTATCTTGTTAGGTGCTGCCGCTGGTGGGCTGGGCAGAACTCAAGATGCCAGAATGCATGTCATAGCCGGTAGGAAGCTATTCGTGGGAGTAGACCAGTCTCATGAGATGGCGCGCGCTGCTGATGTGCTGGTCCGACTCGATCTCGACCGGTTATCAGTCATGGATATGGCTGCACCATATACTCGAGAGGATGTAGCGGCGCTTCGCCATTGTGATGGCCAACAAGATCTATTTGAAAGAGGTTTCGATACGTACGGCCAAGCTTTTGAAGGCATTTACGCCCTCACCAGGGTTTTGATGGTCAATTACTACCAGCTGTGGGCATCTTTTCTTGTTAAAGAAAACAAATTCGGTGACGCTTTGCGCGCTTGGGAATATGGAATGGCTCGATTCGAAACACAGCTTCACATCCAATCACGGGAAACGAAACCGTGCGCAGCTGGAACTGAGCGTGAGAATATGATCTATGCACTTTCAATTCGTATCTACCATACGTTCCTTTACATCATGCTCCACCGGCTCCGCGAGCCGATTCCAGAAACGAGATTTGATCAGGATCTAGCCTTGTTTGAGCGCGTCATTCTTCTGAGCGAAGATCTGTGCCGCCGAGCAGCCTCGGATCTAGTATCAGTGTCTATAGATCCTGGCTTGATCATGGTGTTGTATATGGCTGGGTCAAAATGTAGACACTCTCGTCTGAGAAGAAAGTGTGTGTGGATGCTACAGAAACTCAAAAGACGTGAAGGAGTTTGGAGAAGTGATGCAGCTGCTGGACTGTTGCTGAAAATTATCGAAGTGGAGGAGCAGCTGCATGTACATCTTGGAAACATCGGGCACAACCAGCAGTTTTCACCACCAACACAAACAGAGATGACATATTTGCAGAGCGCAATGAAAGTCTCTTGGAACGCCTGGACAAGGTCCAGTTTTCAACTACAAGCGTGGGAAAATTGGGATCAAGTTGATGTGATACCAGAACATTGCCGGGTGCAAAACACGGATGTGGCGGTATTCGAGGAAGACGGTTACCTGTCTGCGACTCTTCATGTTGCAGGTTCAATGCAAAATCAGCGTAAAGTCGTTGTTCGCTTTTAAACTTAGATGGACGGCTAACAGATGGACAAAAACCACGGTTGACTGCACCGAGGGCATCGCGAGTTGCAAAAGGCCAAATTCCGAAGCAGTGGTTTGCCATGCTGGACGGGCGATGAGGACTACAAAGGTTGGTGGCGCAAAGCCTGAGAGTCTCTGTCTAGTTTCGGAACTTACAATCGCTAAAAGCCTCTAGCACATTTCCATTTTCTCATCAATCCTCATAATTAGTCTTCCTCGTTCCAAACGCTCATATCTGATATCTCTTGGAAACGCAATTGGTTGTCTCGGGTTGTCCCGTTTTACGTATAAACAGCTCTAGAATGAATGCTGACGAAAATTTGCGAAGCGAGCAAGGATGTTGTGTTCGTAATATCGAAATGAGGCCGCTCAGTTAAAGCTAGACCATACATCTGCAAGACTGATGCTCCGGACTTAGTGAATGAATTGTGCCAACCGTGGCGAGGCAGCACGCCTATACCGCCACTGCACTGGACCCCTATCACGGCTTGTGCATCGTCGACTCAAGAGGAAGTGGCGGTGCTTATCCGAATGGCGAGGTCACCAATAGACGCAACGCCTGAATGTGAGTGAAGCCCCACATAGGTGGGTAAATGCTGCAGATTGCCGCGTGTGGGATCGAGGCTAATATTTTGGATGCTATTTATGGCAGCGTCTGAAGGTGTTTGAGATGCTAGTGCTAATCCGTTCTTTGCCTCACTGCGAATCTATTGGCGGGCTCGCCATTCAAAGCCACCTGGCACTGCTGCTTGAGCTTGAATTCCGCAGTGGTCCAAGGAGCATGGTCTGAAATCATGTGGTTGATGGCATCAGGGGCTCGGAGGTGACGAGGGCTCATATTCGTGCTCTGGCATAGAACCTGTCAAAAGAGCTACTTTTGGTCTTCGGACATGTCCTGGCGTGCGGAAAGGAAAAGAAGCTCGCGTCATCAGCCTCAACCCTGCGTCAGCTTGTGTTTAGCATCATTCAATGGCGAAATGAAGCTCTTTTATTGAGATTCACCTATAAGAAGCGTGTTGAGTCCTGCCTGAATCCAATATCTCTACTTGAGTTCTCCGCTGTGCATCTGTATACATCTCCTTTACTCTTCTGTCATTTTCTTATCCTCTTTTTCTTAACCTCCTCTGCATCCTACATCATGAAATCATCAAAATTCATGAACAGTGTGGGAATATTTGGCTTTGGCCATACTCTGGCACAGTCGACTTTCATCCCTTCACCGTCGGGGCTTGAGCATGTTCTTTCGCAGCGATGGCCGGGCGCATCCATCGACTACAAGCAGGTACAGCATTTCCTCCACGGGCTCAGTGCAGCAAGCTTTGGCCGGTACCCTTGTTCAGACCCTCGTACTTACGCAGCAGGACTACAAAGACGTCAATTTGCGAGGTCACCCCCGGTGTTAAGGCGTGGAGCGGCTACGTCTCGCTTCCAGCATCAGTTCAAAATCAAGTTGAGCATACACGTGCTTCATTCGACGTCAACTTGTTCTTCTGGTACTTTGGTAGGTGATACTCTGCCTTTCCTTTTTGAAAGCAAACTCATTAACTCTTTAAACAGAGTCACGCCACGATGCGGCAAATGCGCCAACAGCTATCTACCTTGGTGGTGGTCCGGGGTACACGTCCCTGGATTCCATGTCTGGGTTTCCATGCAACATAAACAACGATTCCAATAGCACAACCCTAAATGCGTTCTCCTGGAATAATAATGTGAACATGCTATACATTGATCAGCCGGTAGGAACCAGCTTTTCTTACGCGACCATCCAAAACGGAACCTTGGACGTTGCGAACCGTGGCCCGCCAGTTTTTACACCGCTTCAGAACAGGTCACAGCTCAAGACGAATGCGACTTTGATGGCTGCGACATTGGATCCTCGGCCTCTGGAAACCACACAAAATACAACCGCGCAGGCTGCCCGGACCATCTGGCAATTTGCCCAGATTTGGTTCCAAGAGTAGGACGTTTCTTGACAAAATAGGGAGCATCAGTCAACGCCAGGCTAACAATTACCTTGTAGGTTTCCAAAATACAAAACTACGAACAAAAAGATTTCAATTTGGGGCACATCCGTATGTTGTATTACAATTCACATCGATAGCTAATGGCGCAAACTAATATGCACGCTACATAGTACGGAGGATTTTGGAGCACCGGATTCATGTCGCATTTCATTACACAAAACAAGCTCATTGCAGCCAATCAGCACAAGAACGAGAACGCGACAGTTCTTCCACTGGGTATCCTAGGCATTGCCAACGGGTGTATTGATACGCGTGTTGAAGCATTTGGATATCCCCATCTGGCCTATAACAACACATACGGAATCCAGGTCTATAACGAGAGTATGTATAACGAAGTGATGCAGCAGGTAGTTGCCCCCAAGACCGGATGTTACGATGCGGTAGACGAATGCAGAGCTTTGGCAAAGGAAGGCGACCCTCATGGCTATGGCAATAATGAAACGGTAAACCAGGCTTGTCTGTTCGCCACGGAGGCTTGTTTCGGAAAGGTGCTCTCACCTTACATGGAGGTTTCCAATGTGAGTAAAGAGAAGACACACAGACGGGCGATGACTGCTCACATCTCGAATATAGATTTCATCATTCGACATCACTTACCTCAACATTACATCGGATGCGACCGATTACTTCAATGGGTTCTTCAACCAACGTTGGGTGCAGGAAGACTTGGCTGTCCGTGTCAACTTCACGGGCAATGACTATTCATATCAGACTGCGCTCCTTGCCCAGACCGGTAATGTCATGGTAGGGGACATTTCTCTCCTTGAACATGTCTTGGATAATGGGGTTGGTGTGGCATTGGTGTTTGGCGATCGCGACTACAAGTGCAACTGTAAGCCATGACCCAGAAGAAGCGCCAGCTCTCTACGTACCTTAGACTAAATGATGCACAGGGATTGGTGCCGAGAACATCTCTCTTAGTATGGATTATTCCGCGGCCGCATCTTTCCGCCAAGCCGGTTACACTGACATACAGACCAATTCCTCATACAAAGGCGGACTTGTGCGGCAGCACGGCAACGTATCTTTCTCTCGTGTTTTTGACGCCGGACACGCTGTTGCTGCGTATCAACCACAGACTGTTTATGAGATATTCGAGAGAAGCATGTTTCGAAAGGACATTGCAACTGGAGCGCAGGATGTGAACGACAGCTTCAGTACAAAAGGGCCACTCAGCAGCTGGGCGACTAAAAACTCCGTGTATTCGGACTCACCTGAGAATGTGTGTTACACATATGTTGCGACAGACACGTGCACAGATGAGCAGTTGGGTGCTCTTGCTAACGGAACAGCCGTTATTGTTAATTTCGTGGTAACAACACCTGCGGGAACAAGACTCAAGCACAGCTCGGGTGAACGGGGAACAAACGGAACGGTAGCTGGTTGTTCCAGCTGAAGTAACATTGTCAGCTATTCTGTAGCTTTGCAATAATAGCTAGTGTTTTTTTTTTTTGTTGTTTATTCTTCACTAATTGCGCTTAGTAGCTAAAAGGTACAAAAAATACTGTAAAAATGAAAAGGATATCTTATAATAAATGAGCCAATTTATCATGAATAACTATAGAAAATATCCCTAGTAAAACGCCAGTATATAAGACCAAGGCGACATACATCTGCCTTATGAGTACACCAGTAATGCTTATCATCCTTCTAGATATAATACCAACTGTTAATTGATATAACACAATTTCATCATCTCAAAGTCATTCGTAACCAATCATTGCTGCCTTCCAGCACCTTCCTTCAACAAAATATATAGCAGTCGCGTCTTTTTTTTTTCTTTAATTTAGTCCGACTTGTATGGGCTGAGGGTGTGGTTGAATACGTCGCCATTATCTCGCCTGTTGAGTTCAAGTGAATGGGAGTCGGAGTCGAATAGCGTGCCGGACAAGCGATCGCTGTCTTTACTAACCGATGTCTTCCTTGGCGAGACAGACGCCGCATCGCTCGTATAATCTGTGCTTCCTTCTGTCTCCCTGGTGAATTCTGAGTGGGGTCCTGAAGAGGTCATCTCTTCATGATCTGCTGCTTCTGTTGCTTTGAGATCGACTTCTTCAAACTCGGGTCGGATAGGCAGAGGAAGATTCCTCGGTGGCAGCGGTGGTGGCACGCGCTTGATGGGAACCATAGCATCGACCGGGGGAGCGCTGATCGATTGTGATCGCAAATTCGAGGGAGACATAATCGCAGCCTCTGACTTTTCATCATCTTCGCTGAAGAATGTGAGGCTGTCGTCTCTGCCCCAGTCGCGGTGGATGCTGTTCTTGCGGCCTTTGGCACTCCAAGGGCTATTATAGAACTCGCCGGGCTCGTCGTAAAGACTCCGATTCTGAAAGGTGTTAAACACTGGACTCGTGATTGGAGTTATAACCTCATCGGTTTGTGTACCGGCATCTGATGATTCGTAATGCGGATCGCCGCTGCTCCATCGGAGCTTTGAGTTTGGAGTTGATGCGTGGCTGTCGCGGCTGCTTCTTGTTTCTGCAGTCTCCATGCTGCGTCTATTGTGAAACTTGCTGTAAGTCGGGCTTGACGGGCTTGGGTGGTATTCAAACTGGCTGCTAGACGGCCTTGAATGAGTGCCGGCCTCCACGATATCCAGTCCCTCCTTTTGCAGAGCCAAAAAGCCATATGGATCCGGGTCATCAGGCTCTGGGATGCCGAACGACTTGTCACTGGGCGCCTCGACATCCACATCGCCTGGTGCCGGCTGTCCCTCAAGCTCCTCCATGAGCTCTTCATCAACATCCGAACGACCTTCGGCGGCTTTTAATGTCTCCATCAGCATTTTAAGCTCATATGGTGGATGCCGGACTTTTCCAGCTAATATGTCAGTAACACCAATCGTCTCCCCATAGAAGCGCGCATTTTCGTCAGTGCGCTCAATGATAATCGAGCCGTCGACTTGGACTCCAGCGTAGAAACCACGCGACTTGAGATAGGTGAAGTTGGGTCTGTTGGCCTCTTTCCATTTTCCGTCGTTCTCGAGAACTCCGCCCATGCCAACGGGCCCGGCGACTGCGGTAATCTCACCACCCACTGTAGCTCGGACTTTGGTGAATGCATCTAGGGCCTTGCGGTTGTTGATTACCAGGACGCAGTCGTAAATGTCCACTCCAACAAGAAACCCCAAACCGGCCGTGTGGAGCAGTATGCCAGATGGAGGGGACCACGATCCGTCCTCTTGCTTGGCGACCACCACGCCGGAACCGCCGGCTCCGGACACCCATAGTCCAGTACGCATAACAGTGAATATAGCAAGGCCGACACAATTCTCGATTACTTTTTGAGGAATTTTCTTGATAACTCGCTGCTTCCTCTTCGGACCGGCGCCGTCGACTTGACGTTCCTCTTCTGCGTAGAAGCCATCCTCTGTATGGCACCATGTTGTTAGCTTTGTTAAAAATGGTTGAATAAGATATAAAACTATGATCTGTAATGATAGAGCACAAAAAAAAATGTTGCTTATAAAAACGAAACGAGAAAAAACGAGATGGGAAAAATTAAGCGGCATATTCGCATAGCTCTTGTGATGGGCGATTTGTGTATGTCTGGGGTTCCAACGACAAGAAACATGATGCTGATAAATCGTCAAAAAGAAAGAGAATACGCACTACAGAATGATCTCAAGATTCTCGCGGCCTTGTCGCTTTCTTTGTCTAATGTCGTTGGCCAAAAGGCTTCGCTGCCAATGCGATTCGAGAGCCGATTTACGGGTGCTCCGAGCTTATCCGCCCAGCCCCAGACCTTGTCAAAGCCCTTTTTGCTTGTGGTCTTGGTCGTATCCCAAGATGGCAGTTTCGACGTCACTTTCTGCATCTTTGTCGCTTAGAGAATAGGAAATGGGAAAACAAGATAAAGTCAGAATAGATGTCGATCCAGAGCCGAACGAGCAACCGGCGAGAATTTACGGAGTAGACAACCTCATGCCCATTTACAACTAAAAGCCAGCGCGTAGTGGCGCAGGCGATGTGTCCCGCACTTTATATCATCTAATAGCTCGCACTACCTACTGACTGACTTCCGCCCTTCCCGATCGCCGCCACGGCCTATTGCTGCTGGCGGGTGACGCATTCGACGGATCAATACGGATCAGTCGGCCGATGCCCAAAGCAAGGCATGCTTAGATACTTCGAGAATTCGTAGGGTTCTGCGCCTCGGAAACAACGCAACACCTCTACAGCTGCTTAGACAAAAGCTCTGTAATCACTGATCAGCGCCCTGTCTTAGAGCAGTTACGGAGTACTCCGGTGTAGTAGGTAATCGTTCCATGACCTGTTCTTCGTCCCCTCTTTTTAACCTTACCGTGTCAAAAAAAAAAAAAGGACCCGTCCATCTTGCGATGACGTAGCTAGCCTAGCGTTTTAGCAATGTTGAAGCGCGAATTGAGTTCCTAATTTCCAAAGTTTTTGCATTCAAAGAAAACAAAACAACGATAGTAGAATATTCTGATGTAAATTCTAGCAGTATTGTAGGCCTCATCGGATCATCTTGGAAAATGCAGCCACAGCGTGTCTACGAGTGCATGTACTTACCATATAGCGCTCTTGTTATCTCGGTATGGTGATTCAGCTTCTAAATAGTCGCAAAGCATAAGGTACCTAACCAGCGCCATTATGACTAATAGCATATGCAATCTTTTTACTGCTTTACTACGATGCAATTAATAGAAACCCATCTCTAACTTGCAGCATCGTGGCTTTTTACTGAACAGCCTCGGAAGATATCTGTGCTGGTTGAGGAAAGAGTTGTGAATCAACTGGGTATGTACTACATGAAATTCATTGTAAGCTGCTCGCGAGCTTTACTAGATATATTGTGAACAGAACGGTCAGGAGATTTTCCCCTCATGTTCTCTGCCCACTTGCGCCTTTGGAAACACAATTCAGCTGTGAACTCGAGTCGAATTGATGCTTGAGTCAATAATTACTCATGATAGCCTAAGTTTACCCTGGAGTTACAAAAATGAGCTTACGAAGCGCACAAGTTGTTACAGTGTGACGCACGGCGAGCGGGCTTTTGCTTGGCCCAAGACTATAGTAAAGGTTTCGAGACATATTGCTTTGGCGGCGTGACTTCAATTGATACTAGAGTTGATGTTAAATGACATGTTTAAGTTCGGCCGCTGGTTGGCTCAGAAAGACGTGATAATTAAAGGATAGACGTGACTATTAAAGGATAGAAAAAGAGCGAGTAAGGGCCTGTCATGGAATAACCCCTTCGACATTCGACATTGACGCCAATATTAAGATGCCACTACCTATATGCAGCGCCATTTGGAATGAATCGTCTCGAGTAATCGAGGTTGGAGCTTCGTTCTTCGATATTACCGTGCGCGTATCTCGTGTTGAGTTGCATTCAAGCTGTAGTCGCGTACAACTTAGCTCGTATCCCGGAAAACTCCGTTTTACGTATTACTAAGCTACATCCGTCTGATGCTTACATGTACATTCTCCGGGCGCTTTTCCAGCAGCAGTAGCTGAATTTGGTTGCTCTCTTTCGGTATTCGGTATCCCCCGTCTCCCAAGGTTTATTTACCAAACTGACATCGCGTTCTGCAGAAAAGGATACCGTAAGATACTATACGTGTTTTCATGAAAAGACTGAATCAGGTGCTTTCCAAATTACATAGTATCCGACAGCGTAGACTTAGTGGAAGCGTACATGTACCTAGGCACCAAGAGATTGAGCCGTAGGGATTTGCAATTGCTACGCGATACTCCCCGAAAGCTAGCGAAAGAACGCCGCTAACTGACATCTCTAGGCTTGATAAACACCACCACCACTATGAAGCGCAAAGGGCATACATATACAGAGCAGACTGAGGCGTGGTTAGATTCTAGATTTAGTCTCCTGGTCGCAGTTGGACATTGCAGGGTCTTGTTCATGCAGGCTGTACCTGGATTGTCGCCAAGACGTTGCTGCCGGAACAACGGCACACGTTTCCTCAGATATGCCGACGTGCTAGCCGCAGTAATCCGAGTGACGATCTTTACAAGGATTCACATCTCGGCCGATCTGATGTACCGTCGGATCCAGCTTGCAATGCTGTAAGCAAAGTCCGGAGTATCCTTCGAGTCTTAAAAGGGAAGCTACATCTAAACATTAACCCCTCTGTATTTGGCAGGTGAGTGTGCGAAGACGATGCCATTTCTTGACTAAGGAAAACACAGAAAGAAGAATTGGGTGCGTCGCTCAAGCAGGTGGTCACTAATACGTCGTAATATCCTATCTAGTAAGTTGTCTCATCAGCAACTCTCCCAAGGCCTGAATCAGCTTTAATACTCGCTGAACTCAACGAAACTCTCTGCAGCCCTGTAAACATAATTCATTGTGATTACTATCCTTCCTAATAAGAAAAGAGCAAGAAGAGTTTAGCTGTAAAAGGTTAAGCAATTAAGCAGCCGACAACCATGCTATTCCTATTCTCTTATGTGCCCTTTCTAAACTCTGTATGTATAAGACTAGCTATTTCTACCATGAATCTTATATTTCAAGTGCATCTAAAGACCTAAAAGGGCTGACGTTTCACCATCGTATTAAGCGAACGGGACAAAAGGCGGGTAATGATACCTACTTCATAGACCACATACGTTGGGTGAACTTTCGCCCATGTCACATAGGCTAAATCCTATGCATTAAGCATAAATAGTACCTATTTCAGACTTCGTTAAAATGTTCCATGCTCCATCCTACTTATTTGAACTTATGCGAAATAGCATTGCTAGCACTACAACGTTACGGCACAGGACAGCCGGATACCCGTTGTTGCATCCTTATAACTATCTATCTCCTGCATCGCGTTGCATTCCCTCAATCGGATAACATGGGGATCGCAGCTATGCCTCTAATCATGCACGTTCACGTACGTTCTGAAAGAGTTATAGCTATGTCCTGGCTTATACTACATCCCTTGACTGATGTAATTCGTTAGCTGATTTTGATGTTCTGACTACCTGGTATTTCGACCTTGTTTGCCCAACGCCATGTCGATACTCGGAAAAAGTATGGGAAATTTGACAACAATAAACACCGCATCCTTGCCTTTGAGTTTTGTTTAGGAAATTATAAGCCAGCGAAATGAGGTCTAAATACTGTATAGGCCAACTGTCAGCCTCCCTCCAAAAGAATAAAAATGGTGTTAGCGCATTTTAAGTAAAACAGTCAAGCGTGGTAACGGACAGATAAATCTCGGGTAGCCTCAATGAGCAAATGCACTGGGATAGTACGTCCCAATCATTCATCTAAAAGGGCTGGTCGATAGATAATCGGAAAAACGCCGACGGCAGTAAGTAGCTAGACTGTCTTATCTCGTGTTTATTTACCGCTGGCAAGTGACAGGGCAACGGTGGATAGCAGACCAGCCGCAGTACTAGTAGAATGGGGCAGCGAAAAGAGATTTATCCTCAATACAGAAACTGTTTCTGGCCTCACGCACAGATAAGCCATTCATCAAACTCTTCATTCTCACGTGTTCTGAAAAGCGGAAATAAGCTATCAACATCCCAATGATCCCATGATAGAGCCGAGAAGAAAGATTTACCGTGAGGTTATTCTTAGCTGAGATTATCATTAGTTGACCAAGGAATTCCTTGCAGGGAGAGAAAAAAGTATAAAGCCAGGCGTGACACATCCGAGAATAGACTACTTCTAAAGCATATGACGGAGCAGTGAGATCTCAAATCTCTCTCCAGCGTTTCATTTGATAGTTAGCACAAACACTAAACACTAGCAGACGGGGGATCCTATATATGGAAACGAAAGATGTCTAGTGCCGGAAAATTAGATGGCATTGCAAGCTGCAGAACAGCATAGAAACACGGTTACTCCCTATAACTTGTAGAACAATTTCTTTGATGTGAAATTTTTCCTTTTGGCTGCTGGTTGGCGCGACATCGTGGATTGCAAACTGCTGGCATCATCCTACCTTTCATGGCCGAGGTACTACAGCGCTGCCTGGCTGTTTTTAGTCCCGGAAGCTAGAACGAGGGGTGCAGGAGAAACCCCACAGCTCTAACCCCTTTATATTATTCTCCCGCTCGTGCTCTTGCTCCTTTATGATTTCGGAGCCGTATTGTCTTAGTTTCTCAAGAGACGGAAACAATAGTATTCTCTATCTCGTGTACGATTGGAGCTCTATCGTTCACCTTGGCTACCATCCCTAACTTTCTCCAAATGCCACGAGTAGTACCATGATAGGTATGCGATACCACTGCGGCTGCTACAACCATGTTCCTGAGGCTAGTAGCCGTATAGTAATGAATGTTTCCCAATTGCTCGTTTTTCTCGCTAAAATCACGATAATTGCCTGCGGAGCAGCTTTTGTTTGCCCGATATAAACTACTAGCCTCAGCATTAGCAAGAAATCTTACTGCAACAGCTTGCCGGATACCCGAATTGTGGTGCTGATTTTCTCACGTCCGTATTACTGATTGCGCTCCATATGTTTCGAAGTTTCATTCCCACCACTTGATTGTTTTCCGGATCCAGATGGCGGCCAGTCTGTTTTCCTCTTGTCCCTAGCTGAAATTGGAAGGCGGATGGCTTTCTCGGCCCGATGCTACTCTCTGATTGACTTTCTTAGGCATCTGCCAATGGCTCGTGGAGTGTCAGCAGGCCCTGGGCGGGCAAGCCGTTGCCGATAGCGTGGGCGTGGATCTGTAGGGTTCCTCGGTCTGCATAACCTAGAGAGCTTACCACAATGGGTAGGAGAAGTAGGTAGTATTGCTCAGCGTTCAGCGGTGTCCGACTAAGACCATAAGCGGCTTTGTCACTGTCCTGCAATTTAACCTGTTGTGATGTCTGGAGTAGAGAGTATATATAGGACGATCTGTGCCTAGAATGAACAGAGCATCGTCCAGACTTGGCGCTCGGGTCAATCTAAACGTTTAGAAGGGCGCTGATCAATCTCGAAAATGAAGGCCTTTTCCTTTTTGGGCGCTTTGGCAGCCCTGCCCTCCCTCTCATGGGCTCTGCCAACTGAGGGTGCCTCCAGCAAGCTTGAGAGCAGGGCCTCGTCGTGGTTTTTGCCCAACATTGACCACACGACGGGAGCTGTCAGAGGTTATGCTCCTGACCTGTTTAGCAGTGATGGGTCGCAGAACTTCAACTACCCTGTTTATAAGACAGTAGCATCTGGAGACTCGGCAGGTTTTGTGGCTGCGTTGACCTCTGATGGCCCCAGCGGCGGCGCGAGAGACGAATGCTTCCTGGCTGCAGAGCCGCGTGTTATCTATCTGCCTCCAGGTTAGTCTGAAAGTGGCCTCCATTTGTTGAATGATACGTATCCTAAACTCTTTGCCATAGGAACCTATACGCTGTCGAGCACTGCGTTCTTTTACACAGACACAGTCATCATCGGTGATGCCGCCAACCCTCCGACCATTAAGGCGGCTGCTGGTTTCAACGGCGACTATCTTATTGTTGCCGGCCAAGCTGATGGCAGTGCCCGTCCTTGCGGCGGCTTCTTTGGCGAAACCCACTTCTCCATCATGAGTAAGTCTAAGCTGCAGGCCTATGGCGAAATGATAGCCGTGTATATGCGGTGCTAACAAGCTTCTTTCAGTCAAGAACGTCATCTTGGATACCACAGCTAACTCGGGCAACTCTGGGTTTACTGCCATGAGTTGGGCTCTTGCCCAGAACTGTGCTCTGGTATGTCAGCCCGCTATGCTTGCTTTAGTGAGAATTGATCTTCTAACACACATTAATAGGTCAACGTCAAGATCAACATGCCCTCAGGGGTTCATACTGGTACGCACACGCTCTGATGAACATACCTAAAGTTCTGGCTAACAAAAATTCTGTTTGAAGGTCTCTCTGTCGGATCTGGATCCACCATCTCCGTCTCGGATGTTTCATTCAGCTTTGGTAACATTGGATTGCACTGGGCTGGTTAGTATTCTGCACCCGACAGTTGGGCGAAACTCTGTGCTAACTCGGTTCTTCTAGGCTCTCAGCAGGGTCAGATCAAGGGCATGACATTCACCGATTGCACCAACGGTATCGTCATCGATGGTGGTAACACCATCACTATCTTTGCCCCAACTTGTAACACTGTTGGCCGTTGTATCACTTACAACTCCGGAGAGCCCTGGGTCGCTGTCATTGACGGCACCAGCATCAACTCTGGTGACTTCTTCACCAGCGCCGTTGGTTTCCCCAACTTTATGCTCGAAAACATCTCCAAGGACACGACCAACTCCAACATGGTTACCGTCAACGGCGCAGTCAAGGTTGGCGGCTCTACCAGCCTTGGAACCTATGTCTACGGAAACACCTACGGCGCAAACCCGACTTATCAGACCAACCCAACTTCACAGGCAGTGAACAGGCCTGCAGCGCTTGCTCCTGGCGGCAAATTCCCTGTCGTCAATGCCCCGCAATACGCCACCTCAACCATTAACGATGTTATCAACCTGAAGGATTCCACCCAAAACGGTGGACACACTCTCCAGGGAGATGGATTTACTGACGACACTGCTGCTCTCCAGGGTGCCATCAACACCGCAGCCAACGCCGGCAAAATCGCTTACCTGCCATTCGGTATCTACATTGTGACCTCAACCATCACTCTGCCCCCCGGAACTGAGTTGTACGGTGAGGGTTGGTCCACCATCTCCGGATCTGGCAGCGCTTTCTCCAACGAGCAAAACCCAACTCCTGTTGTCCAGATTGGAAGCACCCCTGGCCAGAAGGGTGTCGCCCACGTCCAGGATATCCGTTTCACTGTCAACCAGGCTCTGCCCGGCGCGATTCTTCTCCGCGTCAACATGGCCGGTAACAACCCTGGTGATGTCGGTGTCTTCAACTGTCTCAACACCATTGGTGGCACTCGTGATACTTCTCTCAGCTGCAGCAGTGAAGCTAACTGCCGTGCCGCTTACCTTGGTGTTCACTTGGCTGCTGGATCCTCGGCTTACATTGACAACTTCTGGTCTTGGGTTGCTGACCACGCCACTGATGGAAGCAACAAGGGCACTCGAACTGCCGTCAAGGGTGGCGTCCTCGTTGAGGCTACGGCCGGTACCTGGCTGACGGGTCTTGGATCTGAGCACAACTGGCTCTTCCAGCTTGGTTTCCACAACGCCGCCAATGTTCTCATCACCCTCTTCCAGAGTGAGACCAACTACAACCAGGGTAACAACGCCGTTGTTCTCCCTGGACAGCCCTTCACTGCTACTGCCTCTGATCCCAACTTCTCTTGGTGCGGTGGTAGCGACTCCACTTGCCGCATGGGTCTTGCCCAGTGGTACACTGGCAGCAACAGCAACATCTTCCACTACGGAGCTGGTAGCTGGAACTTCCAAAGCTTGACAGGAGTTTACCAGGGGCTTATGAACTACATTCAAACCACCATCTCCGGTGCCCACCTCTATGGTTTCACCAGTGGACCTCAGACTGGAGAGACAATGAGACTGCCTGACGGCAAAGAATTTGGCGATGGCTCCACTGACGGTTTCGGTGGATCTTGGCTGACTTTGATTGCTGGTATTAACAGCCAATCGTAAATAGTTCTCAGCATAGCCGGTAGCAATTGTATATAACGCTACCTACATGACGTATTTAGAGAAAATTGAAAGCTAATTCAAACCAAGACGAGCAACCGATGTATCTGTTCATGCAGTAGAGACGCTAGTAGTTGTCAGATCGTCTGAAGAATATTGAAGCCATACATGTATATCCTTTATTAGACTAGAGTCATGGTTTATCATAGTGAGGCAAATGTTCCGTTATCTGCAATCTGAACTCGCTTAATGTTGGTATGAGGGGCAATCAAACAGTATGACTGCCAGCGATCTAGTAAGTGTTTCCCGCAGGTACTGAAGGATGATGCCAATCTTGCTCAAACCGGCCCCAACCTCCATATTCCAGCTCACTGGTAATAGAGAGGTTGTAAATGACCATGTCATAGTACCCATCTCGAGGCACTTTACCACCGCAGACGTTCCCGCCTACTGCCACGTTTAATAGTATGTTCATATCTCGAAGTGGTCGAGTCCCGCTTGGAACCTCGCACTTCATTACAGGCCTTCCATCAATGTACCAGATCATCCTTCCCTGGCCAGGCACGCCGTTGGGCTGTTCCCAAGCAAAGTCATAGCGCACAGGACGAGAGTGCATGTCGGGAATACGAGTGCCTAAGACACGGTGCTTCTGTGGTTCGTGATGATGTCCCCAGTGAAGACAAGAGCGATTTTCGTGGTCTCCGTTCCACGTTTCCGCAATGTCAATCTCGCCATCAGTAGGCCAAGAGAAAGGTTCTCGAGGCAGAAGCCAGAATGCGGGCCAGATACCCTCAGCGCAAGGAGATAGGATCGTGGCGGTTAAGACACCTTTGTCGCGAGCTAGAGTCTGTCTGCTGACTAGGCGAGCTGAGGTATATCGCTGCTCTGGTGAAGGGGCAGAATTGTTTGCAAGAGCTCGGACAACAAGCAAGCCTTCAGGCGTGCTGCACAATACACAGTTAGACAGCTTTTGCTACGCATGTCACATAACAATTGCCTTTTGGCCCCAACCTACTGAAATGCATTTTGAGGTTCCGCAGTATAATGTTGCAGCTCCTGATTCCCCCACCCATCTGGTCCATTGCCTAGCTTCGCGTCCCACTCAAGATTGATCGGAACATTGGGATAGAATTGAGGCTTCCAATGCACAGCTGGAGGACGGGGTGGTATAGCTGGCGGGTGAGGCGGCACAGGCGGTGGCTGGGACGCAGCTCCAGGTTCAGCGACTCGATGGTTCAGCTCTTGTTTGAAACGATTGAGATGATCTTTCCACGGCATATTGACTTATTTGTGCGAGTACGAAATGGTTGGTACTAGATCGATTGAGCCCGTTCTGCGAGCTTTAAGCGTGAAGGGATTATCCGGGTAGCTAAAGCTGTAGCTCACCCAGTGACGTATGGCAAAAGCTGGTCTCGTATAACAACTCGCTGTGAGCATTTGAGCTTGGCATAACGTCACCTGACCGCAGGCCGCATCTTACGGGAGACATTTGTAAATGAACGCCACAGCTGGCTTGTTTTGCGGCGTAATAATTCATTGAGCAGGTCAGCAGAATTCGGTAGCGTGGCTTGGACAGAAGATGCATTAGTGAGCTACCAGGTTCAACGGGAGAAAAGAAGCGATGTATTTAGTGAGAAAGGCCAGGTAAGAATAATGGTTGAAGAGATGGAAGTGCTAAGATGGCTAGAATCTAAGAGATTACGGTGAAACGCGAGCAAATATATTAGTCAGTCGTTTTACACTTCATCGAGAACAATGCGAGTTAATTGTTGCATTAGGCGTTGGAGCGGCGAGCGTTGTACCACAATCATAACTACTAGGTTCTAGAATAATATATATGTACCAAAATTCATGCTTCTACCTACACCTCAGGCACACAAACGATCACACCTCAAATGTCAACAGCTATAGTGGGGACTTTAGACACCTGCCGGCAAACACTTTAAGGCGCATGTGCCAGGCAAAATCCGGAGCGCTGCGGACGCTACGGAGTTGGAGGGTTGCATGCATGTGTTCAGTCTGGAACAGGAATTGTCGAGGCGAGTGGCATAGAGTAAAACATATGAAACGAGGATTGAATATGCTGAATGTATTTGGATGGGGAAAGCCGTCTTATTTTACTATAAACAAGTTTGAGAGAGCGACTGTTGCTTTGCCCATGGCCAGCGGGTAGTACAGTGTCAATGGATGGAACCCGATACGTATCACAAAGAGGAGCCTCGGCGAATGCCTGTTGCAACAGGCATTCGAGTTGATCATTTGGTATCTCATGCTCTGTCATAAATCTGTTGAAGGAGAAACGAGGGAAGGAGAGAGAAGAGGAGAAGAGCAAACAGAGAGGCAATGGCAGGAAGTTGGCGATGAAGAGAGCAGCGGAAAGTATTAATGGAAAAAGATGCCCTTGTACCTACTCTTTTCTAGAAGCAAAGTTTGACACTAGGCTAATTGATGGGCCAGGCAAGCGGGTATTGCGCACATGGATTAGTCTGACGCATCAAATCCTTCCACCAACTTTTTCGGCTCGATTCGTTTGCGCCATCAACACCACTCGCCGAGTTGTTTGTCGCCGGAAGGCCTGGAAACGTCGCTACAGCAATCACAAGACATTGGAGCTGCGAAGCCCATCAGCTTGGCCCAATGGCCCCTCAGTCTGCGACCGACGCCCGAGAATCGCCCGCCTCGTCCGCGAGCGGCGAGAAGAAGCGCAAAGTCGCCGATGCTACCAGCAAGAAACGCGGGCACAGCGAAAGCGCCGGGCTCGCCAATGGATCAAGCAGCCACGTCGTGCGGCGATCAAGTATAAGCAAGCCTGGACGTGACCAGCGCGACGAGCCCATACTCAAGCACCACAAGAAGCGGAAGCGCCGCCAGGCTGCCGACGACCGACCAAGAGACAATGGCGACCAGGTCCAAGCCTCCTCCGAAGCAACATCCTTATCGCGACAAGAGAGCCCTGTCGTCGACTTTGATGGCCTCAGCCGACCGAGCATAGGTACACGCCAGCGATTGGAAGAAAGCGAGGAAGAGAAAGCCGCTCGACTTGACCGCATGAAAGGCGCCGTCAAAACGCTGCTTGAGTGTGTCGGAGAGGATCCGAACCGAGAGGGCCTCTTGGCCACTCCAGAACGATATGCCAAAGCCATGCTGTTCTTCACTCAGGGCTATGAACAAAACGTATTCGATATCGTCAATGGCGCAGTCTTCCAAGAGGGACACAACGAGATGGTTATAGTAAAAAACATCGAGGCCTTTTCCCTCTGTGAGCACCACCTAGTACCTTTTACAGGCAAGATACACATTGGGTATATTCCGAACAATGCCGTTATCGGTATTTCCAAGCTTCCACGAATCGCCGACATGTTCTCTCGCCGGCTGCAGATCCAGGAGCGTCTCACTAAAGAAATAGCCAACGCTATTTTCGACATTTTGCAGCCTCAAGGAGTAGCTGTAGTCATGGAGTCTAGCCACCTATGCATGGTTATGCGCGGGGTGCAGAAGACGAGCAGCACCACCATCACAAGCTGTATGCTGGGTTGCTTTGAACGCAGAGAAAAGACTCGAAACGAGTTTCTCAGCTTGATTAATGTTAACCGCCTTTGAGGCGAAGCGCCTATGAGGCGTAGTTCTTTTCGCTTCCAGTCCTATATTCAACATTCTGCCACTGGCTTATACGGTGAGCTTCCCCCCTCACTCGTCTTTAAGGGCAAATGATATTCTTGCATCAGCCTCTTTGCAGTCATATTCTGCATTCTACCATTTCTATTTACTAGCAAATTATTTGATCTGGCTGAAAAGCATGGCATTGTTAATATATGCCGAATTGAAATCGCTTTAGTAGCATACAGATAAACACTGAGTTCACTTTTGCCATCTTCTGTATTATCAATAAAGATATATTTCATACTGCTACACCGAATCATGCGCCTCATTTTCTTGACGTGCTTGGATTTGGACCATGACTTTGCATTCATGTGGCCTACTCGCTTGAACCATCTTCGATAGCCTTTTCTTCTTGCTCCGATAAAGGTTACAAATGGTCACAGAACGTGTACACTCGGCGGGGCATCAAGAAATGTCATAGATAGCATTAGTATTAGAAGTCTTTGGTCGACGACTTCGTTTTAGCTCAACTACATGCAGCAATATACATATCAACGCCAGAGCCGAGTTGGTTACCAGTCCTCTCCAGGTAGCGCAATCATGCTGCCCTTCTTCGTACCATCGACTCCTCCCAGCGTCAAAGCAGCATTAACAACGCCTCCCAAGCCCTCTCCTGCAACAAGACCGGCAGCAACGGAGAATGCATAAGTCTCGAAGCCTTTGGGGAAATATTTCCGCCACCACCACGAGGTGATACTGCCAAACAAGATGGCACTGAGAATAAGTTAGCACGGCGTTTCAAGTGTGATTATCGGGTCAATACGAACTTGGCATATCCACTGTCAATTCCCAAAACCCACGCGACGCCGATTGACATCCAGTTCGGTAAGTAGCTGCGATACTTCTCCCTGGGACCGACCAGGTAGAAGTTCTTGACCAGCGCCTGGATGGCACAGACGACACCACAAACGATGGCAAAGATTCCTGAAGACAATGGAATTGGAAGCTTTGGAAGAGTCACAGCCTCGGCGACTGCCTGCCAGGCAACAACCGATGGGGCTGAAAAGGGACAGTGCTCAATTGTTTGGTCGCGGATGCAGGGATACGCGGACATGAACAGGACAAAGATACCAGGGGCCAAAAAGATGGAAACCAAGGCTCCAGCAGCTTGAGCGTAAAACTGAAGCTTAGGAGGAGTTCGGAGAAGAAATCCAACTCGAAAGTCGCTTACCAAGTTGGTGGCAACATCGGCAGTGCCCGAAGCAATGTTGCCTGCAATAAGATTGATTCGCTGAGCGTCCTGAACTGCGTAATGGCCCTTTGTAATGCCGCCAAAAACAAGCTGCGAGGCCTTGGAAGAGGCAGTAAGCGGTGCGGTATCAGTAACGGCGCCTCCATAGATACTGAGAAATGCGAATACAAGACCCAGAATACAGGCCAGGATAGCCAAGCCTGCATTCATGTGAAATTGCAGTTCGCAGACAATGCATGCAACAACCACAAAAGTGATGGAGCCGGTCAGCCAGACCCAGATGGGCACTTGGTCCTCTGGAGGCGCAAAATCTTCCAAAAGGGTCGATTCTTCATTTGCCTTTGCTGCCTGCTTCTGCAGAAAAGTGTTGTTCTTGCCTCGAGATTGCAATGCGTCGTTGATTGAACCAGCAAAGGTGCGGAGAGCATACTTGACGCCGTCATAGATAACACGAATATGGATGAGGAACTCAACCAAGCTGTACACAATTAGTACCATGACGCCGGGCCATAACATCCAGTATCGAGGCGAAGGAATCCATCCGGGAGTACCGATTCCGCTCATGCTGTTGAAGTTTACCAGGCCTTCCCACTTTCCTTCTCCGATGGGCTTGCCCACGCATACACCGTAATGAACGAGCAGAGGTCCAATCAGACCCCAGGCGACAACGGTGCCTAGCCACCAAGAGACGGCAGCATTGAGGCCAACGAGGATACCGGAGCCAAAGAAAGCGGGCGTCAGCTGAATGTACCAGCCCCAGTTCTCGATGTTGAGTGCTCCGTTCTTGTATCCGCTCCAGATGTAAAACCAAGTGAATATATGCCAATTGTGCAATATGCCGTCAGCATATTGGGATACCACAATATGAGTAAAGGCACCCAGGAAGGTGAATCCCAGTGCCTTGACTTTGCGTACAGCATCGGCGGCGCCACCGCTAACGGCATGCATAGATCGAACTATTGAAGAGTTAATGCTGTTTCCATGGGACTCGCTCTAAAGCAGGAACTTACTGCAAATGGCAGTCGCCGTAGGTGTAGGGAATATCAAGTTCAATTCTCTCGCAACGTTTATAATGAAGAACTTTCGAAGCGGTACGGCGGCGAAGAGGCCGAAGAACGCGCACACAAGGGTGATGGTGAGGATGCGGCCGAAATCGTCTTTGGGGTTCTCGGACAACAGGCTAAGGCGGTACATTGCAGGTAAGCCAGCAACGAAAAGGCCAGCCATGCCTCCGGCGCCTGTTGCAGAGGCTTGTATAATCGAGTTCTCTTGAGGGCCGAAGCGAGTTCCGATACCAGGAACGCCAGGAAGAACTTTGGTTAAGAGAATGATGAAGCCTGGAATGGACTAATTAGCTCGACACATATCGGAGGTGCTGTGCTCATCATTATAGAGCACAGAGCGCACAGGTTGTTCTGACTTACCATAGCCAAAAATGGCACCAAACATGGTGGCAGGAAATGTGAATCCCGTCTTGAGGCCTATTGGGATTGATGGTCAGGCATAGTGTCTTGTTATTTTGCTGATGCATTCACGCTCCAATTGAAACGAGGAAGATAATGGATTGCCAGAACTGATTTGCTCACTTACCCAAATATACATTGGAAGCATTGACGAGAGAGCCCAGAACGATTCCGGTGAGGACCGCTCGAACAGTCAATGGGTTAGGCTCAGGCTCGACTCCTTTTGGAATAGGAAAGCTTGTAAACAGATCTGTGATAGCCTCATCTTCCGAGTCTTCTTCCTCAGGCTTGAGGACGACCTCCACAGACACTCGCTTCTCCTGGACGCCCCCTTCGTCTCCCACATATTCGGACTTCTCAACAGGCGCACCCATATTGACGGGCTTTTCTCGCTCCTATTGGTACCGTTTTGTTATACAGAGCTGAGCCAAGAGCCAGATCTATCGGTGTCAAGGAGACAATCTCGGGATATCGTTCAAAGCATTCTACAAAGATGTGATTCGGGGCCTCGCCACAGTATTTAATGTGGCAGATGCAAGGCTATAGGAAGGTCACATTTCAGACTAACGCATGCCAAGGCCATATAAACACCGTCCCAGGGCCATCTACGAGCGCTGGTAGGTTGAAAGTCTGCGGTGGCCGAACATAAGCCAACTATCTTCCTTCAGGAAGGCACTTTTGCTTTGGTAAAACTGTTTAGTCTGGCACATAGGAACTTTTTTGGGCGTTGGTTGGTGGAATGACAGATAAGTGCGGGCAAACCACCATCAAAAGCAACACGCCTAACCAGAAAGCGATATCTCCGTATACCTTGATGGATGGACCAACCGATTATGACTGTTGATAATAAGGGAAAGAATATAATTCATTCCGCGGTATAGTTAGAGTCATTCGGGGTGCGAGCTAAAGACGCCGTCTACCTTCACATGGCCTACCAAGAACATAAGTTCCTTTGAGGAACAGCACCAGTCTCTGTATCATGAAATCCAAGGTGGAGCCTGTGCACCTCCGCGATATTGCTTGAGGCGGCGGCAAAATAAGTCGCCTCCGTAACTGTCCCTCATCCGGTAAGTTGCCAGATTAGGTTTTAGGCAGGTAGTGTGCATAGGAAATTAAAACACTGTGGGTTGAACCAGCCCGCTCCGAAGCATGGGGCGGTAGATCATGCTGTGATTAGGACCTTTGGCTCTGTTGCTTGTTTTCTTTCCTTTTCTTCAGTGCTGAATTGGCGAATCTTATGATGCAAGGAGCTGCTGCTGGACACATCTGCTCTATGTCTTCAAAGTCTTGGGCTGTGGAACTTGAAGAGGATTCTGCCTCTATTTGTTATCAAGAGATTAGTAAGGATAGATATTGGCACTCGTCGTGTTACAATAGTGCGTGATCTTTCTCTCCACCACCTAGGCTGAGACAAGTGATCGCATCGCATACGGTATGGCCGCCCCAAACATGAAATGTATTGCAATGACTAAGAATATGAGTGGCAAACCTACATTTTGATGGGCCCGCATGCTATCCATTTTGCTTTTCTCGACACGGGCTCTTTGATAATGGTCTATTAGCAGGGAGTGTTCTTTTGTAGCTACGGCAGCACAAGCTATTAATGGTGTAAGTGGATCTCGAGACAAACAATTTCTTGCAAACGCGCTCATTCGCAATATCTTACGTACAGCTAATCCACGCCGTTTAAATGAATGATTCTCCCCGGTAGGTCCAGAGATGGCCACGAGACAACAATTATACAGTATCAAAAACAAGGTCCCGTTTTAACTCTGCTCTGGTAAGTTTCTTAAAGCAAATAAAGATAGATAGGCTAGCCCCAAGCGAGAAAAGCGGCCGGCCCGTTTGCCCCTGCCCTTAGCCGACGCCACACCAACGAGGAACCTTTGGATCTCTTGGCTCGCTATTTACAGGGACAGGGCGCATGAAATTGGAACCTTTGTAAATGCAAGACGACAAAGGCAAGCCACAAGCATCCCCCAGATAGAGAGCAGAAGCGACAAAGCACCCTACGTTGCAAATACTAAATAATGATGTCTTCTTTAAGGCTGGATTATAGAGTATGTCTTATTCAGAGACGTTAAAGCATTGGTACCCTGGATACCGTTGTAGAGGCAGAATGCAGCGCAGTACGAGCTTCGGATATGATATTCCTGATTACTATTCCTGGTCCAGAAATGGAGAAGTAGCCCATATCGTAGAGGAGCAAAGCAATGACGGTGGAGAGCTGCGATGCCCGGGAGAACTAACAGCGTGAGCTGGTCTTGGCTGCAGCGCCAAGGTGTGCCATGCTTAGCCAAGCTTAGCTTCCAAATAACCTGAGCGGAGGCTCTTGGCACGTTTTCGTGGTCAACTGCTGAGATGGCTGGTGATATCGCGTTCTGCGTACATATCCTGGACGTTTCGAGCGATAGCCGCCATCCGCCTACAACCTTGCATATCAATCCTACGAGGGGGGCGCTGGAGATGGATGGCCAGGGTAAGCTGCGTGACAGTGCATCATGCGTCTACAAGTAGCTACTACTATAGTAATAGTATTGACCTGCTAGAAACACGCGAACGAAGCGGCCATACAGAGGCATGCCCAGTGCACCTCCATACAGACACCTGAGGTAGAAGAAGATCATGTTAGCTTCTAATCCTTTTCTCAGATTACATGCTCAGTCGCCCATCCTGCTATTCTTTATGTCCTTGTTTGCTTAACAAGTCAGACCGAGTAAACATGTGACTTCTTGGTTGTTATTTCGTGGTGTAGGGTGGGATCCACGTGGCATCCTCTGATGATCGTGTCTGTGCCTAAACGTTTATAAATGATACATGGCCTATCATATGTACGCGCGTGTCGCAGTCGTCAACGTCGCCGTTTTAGCGATATTTGGCAAAGGGTCTAGTAGGAGAATCTATAGAGCTCTTTGGTATCATCAAGTGCCCAGCAGTATGCGTGAAAATACTCTACATTCTGGATATGATGAAAGAGCAAGAGGGAAGAGCGCTGTAGATACAGGATGGATAAGTATGCTTTATAAAGGTATGAGTGCTGTAGCTAAGCAAGCGCTAGTGTCACGATCCGTTGTGCTGTTAGGTCAAACAGGGCAAGGAATAAGACCGTTGGGCCAGTGATCACTACTATAGAAATTACTGTGACAGAACCGACTGCTTATACGCGACTCGACCTGTCACAACGGACCAGCTTGTAACAAGTAGAGGGCTTTGGAAAAGGTGCACAGTCAGCAAAGGACACATTTCAAGTTTTTCTTAATAGTCTACGTTTATAGAACTGAGGTATGCATCATGGCATACAGATGGTTACGCCGATGTCTTGTGTATCTTATTCGGTGGACTACTAGTAGCTAAGCTTGGAGAGTTTAGGTGAGTTTAATGGAGTTATCTCGGACTTGTTGTGGGCACACAAGTATTACATTCTACTAGGTTAGATTTGGATCGAAGCATCATCACAATGTAATTATAAGCTCCAGATTAGTGTAAGCTATCCATTTTAATTCAGTTTAAACAACTTGTCAGCGTAGACAAAGACCTAGAGAAGCCATTATTCATGAATCGAGCTATTTCTTATAGCTTATCATGATCACACCACTCTTTTATGGATATTTCCCATAACTTCCATATCCCCCCTTTGGTGCCGGGTAGGTTTTGTAGTCTCCATATCCTCCCTTTGGCGGCGGATAGTTACCGTAGCCACCATAATTGCCATATCCCGGATCAGCTTCTGGTGCAGGGTCGTGAGCCGCTTCGGCGATGGGGCTAGCCAGAGTCGAGGAGACTGTGGCAAGTAGGGTGACCCAAAGCAATTTCATGTTGAAGTTCTCGGTAACTTGTTATGTGGATAGGGCTTTGACGCTGAGTAGATGCGGCTGAATGTGCATGTGCTTTTTATTACCGATCTTAAGAGACCCTTTCATTTTTTAGAGCGGAAACGGCTCACTTTTAAACATGAAATAAGCGGCGTTAATAATCGTGTAGTTGGATCATATTTTGTCGCAAGATGTTAGCTGAATGACCTCTTGGTCCTTATTTAAAACTTTAATCGAGACTATTCATATATGACGCCCTGTCAATACGTCTTAGAAGGCAAGTCAAAACTTTACTCAAGTAAGTCATGAATTTGAGATAGTAATTAAGCTATTGAAACAACGCCACAGCTGCGAAGTGTCTGTTATTCGAGGAAAACCAGTATACGAATGGGCTGGCTCAATGTAATTGCTTCATATTGCAGCGCAAGCGTGAAGACAATTACCGAGTCGTGCAGCATGAATAGCAGCGTCAGTCTAGAAATGTTGAAACACAATATAACCTTATGACTATTTATGTCGTCATAGAATTTTACTATCGTAGGCAGTCTATGTCTGGAATGTGGATTGGCTAGATGCTTATTAGAAGGGGATCCTCCGCATACGAGACGCCTCAAAAGTCGGCGGAAGAACCGGTATTATAACTATCGTCGCTTTTTGCTTGTGGAAATCATTAGCTTGCTCGGATTTAGACTAATGAAACAGGGATCTGCTTTTAAAATAGCCTTATAACAGGATTTTATTGGTCTTGATAATGAAAAGCTAAAGTTTCGAGAAGAAGAGCTGAAAAATAGAGTTTAGATTTGAGTACGTGATCTTATCATTTAGTGGCGTATGGTGCCAATTGCTTATTCCGTTTTGACAACCCAACTTTACAATTACTTTCAAACTTCAACTCCTCTTTGTATGTCTGAATCTGATAGTCCCGCCAAATGATGGACAAGAGACAACATCTACGTCGGCTGCTTTCCAGCATCTCGGATGAGTCTGACGAGGAGGACAGCTTGCCTCAACATTCGACCAACCGGGAGCGATATAAGAAATCCGATTTTTGCAAGCTTTTTAAAAAATCTGTTTGCCTGTTTTTTGTATTGGCAGTGGCCTGTGGGATCTCTTTTTGGGCTGGGACATGTGTGCCTACGCGACAACCGACTTTTGATGCTGTATGCGCAACGCATACAAACCAATGGTGTAAGACTTTCAGAAGCACAAGTTGACGAGATTCTAACGGCAAGAAATTCTAGCACCTCTAGTTCGTGATGTAGCGATTCGATACGAAGCCAAAGAGTTCAATGGATCGTTCATGCATGAGAATATATATCGACAGGTGGGATCGCCAGAAGTCGACAAAGCATGGGAAGATCTCGGTGTTAATTGTGAGTATCCAGATATTATTGAAGCTCAAATGTTATACTTAACGATCAATAGATCGAGCTGGTGTTATCTCATACGAGGATGGCTTAGCTAGCGGGCTGGGAGCATCCTTTGTCCAGCGTGCGAAAAAGCATGGTGGAGGTTTTCTGGTCAACGTCGAGGGGATGCATCACTTGCACTGCTTGGTAATGATTATTGCTTGGACCATTCAATTGAAGCGTATTGCTGACCGTATATCAGAATCTAGTTCGCAAAGCGCTCTATTTCAACTACGATCGATATAAAAAGTTGGGAGAGCATGCATTTCTAAATGAAGAAGATATCCTGCGTCGGCATATTAGTAAGTTAATTAGCGAAGTATATACTATATCCATGATACTGGCTCTAATTAATGCGAAGCACACTGCCTTGACACAGTTCGCCAAGTCTTGATGTGTAATGTAGATACGGGCGTTCTGGGTCAGGTGTGGATCAACCCGGAGGAGCCAACGGCATTTCCAGACTTCCGCACAAAACATACATGCAAGAACTATGAAGATATACGTGAATGGGCAGAGCGTCTTCAAGTAAGAATAAATCATGAGAGTAGATGTGTGTTCACTGACTTTCTTTTAGGCGCCACCTCTTGATCACATACCCAAAGATTATCTGGCCCCGCCAAAGCCTGACGATGTAATAGTTTCTACACCATAACCTGGCAGATCACGATGAAAACTTGACTATGTTTTATGGATTAGAATATTATTTATTATCACTACTCTCTAATAAGAAACCAACTACTGAGGCCAACCAAAGTCAAAATTGACGGATCTTGCCTTCAATACGGCGAGCAGGAATAGTAATTAGACTATTGAAACTCAAATAACAAGATATACCATTCCCAGGAGCGGATGTCAAAAGATATCTTGGGCTCCTAAATAAACTAGGCACCTAGCGTGAGCGAAATTTCAGCAATGGAGTCAATAGAGCCCATTTGTTAAATGTCGGGGATCAGCATATCCACGCCATTCATGAATTCGGTGGCCCCATTGTCCAGGTGAACATCTGGTGGCAAATAATTACTTTCGCCGTTCGTCTGCTTGCGCCACAGCGTATGCATTGACTTGAAGGTCTGAAGCAACTTGGGATCGTCGGCTGCGGTGCGATCTACGCCAAGGATTTCGCGTGCCTTGGCACGTAAATCATCATCGGTGGGGATGCTTAGACCCATAATGCACTCTTCGATATAGGCGTTCAACCCATCTTCAAGCTCGCGCGAGCAGAACACTGAGGCAGGGAATCGGAATTCTCCTTCGAAGAGAGCATCCATATAGCGCCCCGCAGTATCTTTGCTAACGGCGTAGGGTTGATTGTCAACGTAAACGAATGTGTCTTCGGTGAATTCTATGTGTTTGCCTGCTTTTGGCTTCACAAAAGGTGGATGGAACCCTGTTCCGCCATCTTGCACCGTCCATGGCCGAGGAGGAGCAACTGGCGATAGTCCAAACTCTCCAGAGGGGGTAAGGCCAGCATCGTGTTTGAAGCGAGCAAGCCACTCGACATTATCAGCGGCGGTCTGGTTCCACGGATCGTCATCGTCATATATAATCCAGCGGGCTTGGTGTTGAATCTCTTCATCGGAGGGGATCTAAGTAGAATTAGTACAAACTTCAATCTCTAGCACTATAAGGCTCCTAGCAGTGGGATGGAAACACACGTGTTGTAGTGGGTTGTTCGGGCTTAGGCAGCTCGCTACGAATCGAGTGAGCTCTCTTTCCAGCCTCCCATAACAGTTGACATCGCTTAGAAAGTATCGCGGTGGCTGATTTGGAGAACTGTTATGTTGGGGCATTTGTACGGTAGCAGGCGAAATCTCGTCGTTTGTATTTATCGGTAAAGTGCCGTCAATGGCTTCGTCCGAGTAGCCCCAGTGTAATGCCTGGGGGGAAATGGTTGCATTAGTTCCCGAATCGCTACTTTGATGTGCAAATGCTTGTTCTATGGCTTCTTGTGTCGGTAGTAGAGCATCTGTTTCCAAGTTATTGCGGCCCTTGTAGGCTTTCAAATAATCCAACCCATTTGATACGATAAGCGGATCGCGTTGCATATCCTGGTCGAGCATCTCTTCGGCGGACTGTTGCAGTAAAATGTCATGAACTGAAGTCTCCTGTATCTCGATTGGATCGTATGTTATGATGCCACCATTAGCCAATAGTTCCTTTTCACTGAGCTGTCCTCGGACGAGAGGTAGGGATAAGCCTGCTCGACGCTTAAACTCTGATAGCCAGTTTGTCGAGCAGTTAATCAAAAATTCGAACCACTGAACAGCCTCTCGACTCTTAAAATTCGACTTGGGCTCAACGTCCTCTATAGCCTTGCATGCCTGAACCTGGAGTTCGGAATCGGTGGGAATCTGGCCCAATGCCTGCTTGCTTTTCACGTAATTCATCAATAACCTTTCCTTTTCGCATCCGATAATGCTCAGGCCGGAGCTAACAGATTTGGAAGCTTTTATCTTTTCGATTTGCGTTATCCACGAAAGGTTATTAGCCATGTTTCGGCTCCCCTGGTTGACTAAGCTTTGAGCAATGGGGTACGACGGCTCGCAAAGCATGATCAGATCGCGGAACCACGAGACATCAGGCCCAGTAAGTGATGTGTCTTCTGTGTCGGTTTTCCGTACAATCCTCTGTGCCTCAATAAGTAGTTGATTGTCGGTAGGCGATATCCCGGCTGAGGCTAGATCCCTGATGTACTCGACGAGCCATAACTTGACATAATCTTCAAGCGTCTTGGTGGTACCAATTTCGTCTTTGGAGGCTTCAAACGGGTTAGGAGTATTCCGTTCGTGGTGAATAAGGTCTAACATATGCGTTAGCAAGGAAGTGATTGAAAATTATTTAGAAGGCTAATAAGAAAAGAGAAAAAACTCACATGGGGGCATTCCATTTTCAACAACTGGGAGTACGTCTTCCCCAAAACCCCAATCTCCTTTCCAGTGTGCCATTGATTTGCCATTTTTGAAATGCTGCGCTAGATGTTGCACGCGCGAATCCCAAGAGTCCATCAAAATACCGCAGAAGCCGCATCTGGACCGGATTTTTGGCGTGGATACTTTCCAGCCATTCATGGGCCATTTCTGGAACTTGGCACCATGGACAATGTTCAAATGCTGGCGCAGATGATCTTTCCTATAGAAAGTCTTTCCTTCTAATGACTTTTCAGTACAGACAAAATCGTTGTGTTGCTCGGTATGATCTAGCGATGGATTCTTAGCTCCGCAGTACACGCATGCCAAACAATTCCTCTCGGCGCAAAATTGTATTGGCCCATCTGGCGTACAGATCCATCGTTCGAGAGACAGATGTAGCGACTTTTCATGTCTTTGCCAGTCATGCTTCGTCTTAAACGTCTCGGTACAAAAAGTGCACTGGTACATGTGAATAGGCGCTATGACTGTCGAAACGTCAACGGCTTTGGGGATTTGGCGGCGTCGACGACGCCTTCCCCGACTTTTCAACGATGTTAGAGATTCTATAGATCCACGAGACACGTGGGAATAAGCTGAAGCAAAAGAACCCCTACTAGAATTTGAGGTTTTCGAACTGCTGGCAGATGAGAGCTGATCGGCAGAGCCCGCTAATTGGTCATCGAAATCGTTGTTACTGTTTGGCGAGGGGCCGAGGCCGCCCATGAACTCTGAGGACAGGGCTGCGGTAGCAATGTCCGTTATGGAAGCAGGTTCTTGGTCAGGCGGAGAATGCTGCCATCGTTCCATAGGGCCCATCTCTCTCAGAGCGGGAGTCACGCTTCGGGGGATGTTAATGCCATTGGGATGTCGATATGGGCTTGTGGAGCCAGAGCTCGGAGTTCGAACTTTGCCTCTTCGTCGGGCGTTTGCAACCCAGTTGCTGATTTGCGTTTTGCTCAACCCTGTTTGACATGCCAGATTGTCCTTGTCTTCGTTACTTAGGTAGGGGTGGCGATGGTTGGAGAGCAGCCAGTTCCTGAGAATGCGAAGTGCCTCTCGCGAGAATCTCGCGCCGGCCTTGGAATTGTTTCCGGCATGTTTAGCTAAATGCTCCTCCAGTGAGTCGTGAATATTGGCGCCGGATTCTGAGCCATTGTGAGAATTAGATCTCGGCTGCTTCGATGTATTCGTGTGGTCGTCAGCCGAGAGTTGAGATGCAACGGACGGTTCTCGCTGAGCCTCAGGCACACTGGTGTCGGTCATAAAATCGCAGTCTCTTCCCTCGGCTATGCATGATGTACAGGCGCCAAGAAATGCGGCCTCTTGAGCCACTTCACAGTGAAGGTGATGCTGAGCGCAGTATCCACATGGAAACAGTACGCTGGTGTTATCGATGTTGGAGGAGAAATTTATGAGATCGTCATAGCCCATGATACCCATCTTTAGGACAATGGATGGTAAGGTATAACAAGCGAAGTACTGGGCTACGTGAAATAGTAGCCCGGGATATCTACCTTAGGGCGTGGTGATTCTATGATGCAGACGGCTCGTTGGAGTATGAATGCGCATTCCTGACCTGAGAAGAGTGACTAATTGACGCCGTTAGTCATTCGTAAGGCGTGGTATGGCTGTCGCTGATTGGAGGCAATGACACATGGCTTGCCGCTAAATGGGACCGGTTTGGCCTCATCTTAATAACCAAAAATCAGGTCGGGAGAAATGAAGGTGGGGTTGCGGGGTAATATCCAGTCAGCAGCAGAAAGCCATCAAGCCCGTCAGCCTTCGTGCTCTTTGAAGAGAATGTTAGCTGGTTAGGTTGGAGGGATGATTGTCAATATATGTACCTCAATAGTCTTCTGAGGGTTATCCCCTTTTGCCTACTAATAATGCTTACATGTATCAGTTTTGCTTAGATATACTAGATATCATTTGCGAACAATACTATGATGCATCTTTTGGCGGACAAGCTGCTTGCATGCGGTTAGCTGGCTGGCTGCTTTCACGAGACCAACCTGTTATCTCGCCCATCTCTTCACCTCTTCGCCTCTTTTGCAAATAACAAGCAGCGGTTGCAAATGAAGAGGAAATTGGCGATGCTAAAATTCGTATACCATATTACCGTAATGGACGAAATCTCGAATACAGGCTAGCGCCTACAGTAAGCTTGGCTGGTCTCTGTGTTGACCATGCGTCGCCACTTCGCTAGCTCCTTTGCAGATGTTTGGTCGTCACCCCTAGCTATAGTAATGTATTCCAGAAAACTAAGATCGATTCCTGTCTTTCTCTTTGCCACATGAAAACAAAAACAAAAAATCTATACTTCGTTATACCTACTCATGCATAGGAGATCTTCCATTCTGTCAAGCACCTGAATCGCAGTCAGTAGCTTGGACTAGCTAGCTCTGCTCCGATATGCTTCTCTCAAAGTATCGGGTAGTAATTGTTGTAGTTATTGGTTTTATTATAGCTATATAAAGCGCTATAAACGATGCTTAGCACCACCAGCACAGCATCTCCATAAAGTACCACAGCTGTAAGTGTGGGTGGGTCCTAAAGGACTGACGGTAATAAGTAATAGTCGGCGGTAGTATTCTTGCTAGCCTAACAGCACTATCTACCCGACTTTCTCAACACCCTTTCTCCGTCTGTAGGTAGAATCGTACTATCAATACTAGCTTCCTTATAACATCGACAAACGTTTCCGCTACCTCATTGCGTTAGCCTTGCTATGAGCAGCGCATACGTATTCTAGTTTATATGCTCAAACGTGAAATTAACCAAGGTCCTTAAGGGCGATGTGTCATCAGTTTCAAGAGCTACGGTATTAGCTCGAATAAAGCTAAAGGGGCTAGGTTCATTGTCATATCGTCTTTTGGGGCTTTTAAAGCTGATATTTTACCCCGACCCGAGGCTAGTTCTCTTGCTATAGACGCAGGCTAGAGACTAAGGCTCATTATAGAGGGAGAAACTTTCCGAGAGCGGCAGAAGCATCATACCGGAGGACCATCGCTGTCATCTTGACTTCAAAAGCTTGACAGTTCAAATAATTTCGGGACATAAGCGATTGTCTTAGTCAACCGATCTAGTCTTTTAGTTTTGCCTTAGGTTGCGAACTCCGAGACTGTTCTCAGGTTGTTTTTATTAAAGACTGCTTAAGATAGACCGAGTGGATGCTTTTGAACCTTTTTTACTGCAATAGCCTCGTGAGAAGAGCTTCTCAAATTTTGTAGAGCTGACGACCTTTTGTGTTTGAACAGGCTATAATGATTGAGACGTCAGCTTCAAAGGCATAAACGTAGTCAAAACGTGCACCTGGCCTGGATCATAGTTTATATAGGCATGGTGACTTTATCATCCACCATAACCGGCCAGCTTCATGCTTTACGTGTTGCTTTCTATCAATGTCTATGATGAAGTCCAGTGAGCCTTGTACTTTGCTGTAGTACAACGTTGAGGAACTCTGAATTCTTAAGTCCGCCTTAAGTCCTTCTCCAAGCGGCAATACTGTTAAGCCCATCTGGGTGCCCCACAAGCTGCGCGGTATGCATCTCATCGATCCTTGATCCAAGCTTACAATGCCTAGGCAAGGAACACCTTGGGATGTAGAGATTTATAAGCCGAGAATAGATACTAAATAAAAGGGTCTTGCCTTCGCTGATACAGCGGGAAAAGAAATAACCAACAAAGAACTATACCAGTAGCACACTCACTTGCGCTTTTTTGACTCTTCTTTTGCTAAAGTCGAAACTAAATACACCAAGAAATGTCTCAGAAGCATTTACCAGCCGGCTCGGCCGTATTCGCAAGCTTAGAAGAAGAAGGAGCCGCTCGTATGGCTATTCTCGCACTCGTCTACCGATATGCAGCTTTAGCCCATGAAAACGTTCCGCCTTTAGAGCTTGCTGCGTTGTTTGAACCCGGAGCGAAGATAAAATTCTCGGACGGCTCAGAGAGACCTCCGAGTGAAATCAGAGAGGTCATCAGGCACATGCCAGAGCAGCTGACGCATCACGTTACGACAGTCGACATTCAGTTTGTCGCACCAAATGAGGCTCGTTGTCAAGCCCACGTACTTGCTAGTACTAACGTCAAATCGCCTGATCACTGGGGGAGATGGGACAGCTACGTGAAAAGACAGGAAGATGGGAAATGGTTGTTTAGCATAAAGGTTATCACAATGGAGGGAATGGCACCGGGTGGCTGGGTATCCGGGATCTGGGAAAGCTTGCAATCTACAAAGTGATTGGCCACAAATTGGGGATAAAGAAGGCAAGCCTAAGGACTAACTGCAGCTTGCAGAGAACTTCTTGAATGCGCTGAGTCTGGATATACCACTTATTATTTGACATGATCTATGTTATATAAGGTGTTCTTGATGATAGTATTCCACGTTTCAAAATATTCCGCCAAATTACAGTAAATGATGGTGTTGTACTATTATAGTAGACTATGAAAGGTATTGAACCAATATTAAGGCCTATTTACACATTTGAGCGGTGTTCTACTAAAAAGAGGAAAGCCTAGAAAAGACAATCCGGACATCAACATCGGCAGCCCTCAAGTCTCAGACCTGAATGATGGCATCAACTCCTCGGGACAGGGCGGTGTGCAGAACATCGAAGCCATCACTTCCGTCTTAAAAAAGCATGTGCTGTACCAAGCTAGTGTTGGACATTGAGGGCGCGGCAGGGTGTCGCGACTGGATGTTACTTCAAACTAGAAAAAACCGCAGCTCTCGAAAATTGGAAAAAAGGGCAAAGGGTAGCAGCGAATCTCGACGTCATGGAGCTAATTCCGCAGGCCGAAATGACTACCAAGGCCTTAGAAGTAAGAATCATGTAATTAAAGCTTCCGACATTCAACCTGTGTATATAAAAGTTAGACTGATATACTTTATGGTGAATATTAAACTTATTCCATAAGTGACAAAATGAAATTTAATTAGCCCTTTTAAATTATGTAATTATATTGCAATTTATGGTCCAATGAAGCCCAAACATCTATTCCATTCCTACCTACCGAGGTACAGCACTCTTTTAATCTAACCCGCTGAAACCTTTAACTGCAATTTCTCGAACCTCATAAATACAGCACTAACTAAAGTCAAAGCTGCAGCTGCAATAACAAGGCCATAGAGCGAACTAATTGTTCGGACGAGTGCTTTAATAGCAAGCTCTTTTATCAATGGATTGCTGTGTGAAAAAACAGCAGATTTGACACCAGCAAGCGCAGATTGAAGATCTGCCTGACTGTAGTTATAGTCTTGTAAAGCATCCTGGAGAAGCTTCAGTCCAAGGTTTTGATAGATAGAGCCCGAAATTGCTAACGCAATGGAAATTGAGCCTAACTGGGCCACATTAATGAATCCAATAGCTGCAGAAACCTCATGTGCCTTCACCTTGGCAGGTGCAATTGCATAGGCAAGCTGCGATGAAAGACCAGCACCAACGGCTATGAGAATCTCAAATCCATATATTGCGCCAACGCTTGTGCTGGGAGTTACCGTATACATGAGCGCGCCGCCAATCAGCATAAGGCCCCCTGATGGTATATACCATGGCATGTAATAGCCGAAGACCGGCAGTAAAATGCCTGAGACCATGGTGAAAGTAACATTGAGAGTTATAAAAGGCAGTAGGCGTACAGCAGCCTTAATTGCAGAGTCGTCTTTAGTGAATTGGAAGAACAGAGGCACGTAGTAAACCGCCACAAAGAGACTCGTAGAGGCGCTTGCAGTCGTAAAATAGAGGAGAAGCATTGTGCGTCGTTTAAGAAACTGGACGGGGAACAGTCGGTTCTTCTCAGAGGTGAAGATGCAAAACGTCTGCTGAACTGCGTAGCTGACGAGAGAAACACCAAACGCAACCCACAGGCCAATTGAACCACCAGAACTCCATTTCCAGGTGGTACCGGCATACGCCAAAACAACCATAAAGAGTGTAAAAGTGGACGCATTTAACGCGGCCCCAACCCAGTCAACAGCCGCGAGCTTCGACTTTGCGGAAATCGTAGGTTGAGGATTGTGCCGAGGGAACCAGAGCACGTAGATTGGTGCGGTAACAGCGGCCAGGACTAGGTTGATATAGAACGACCATCTCCAAGTGGCGGCGCTGCTGGCGAATGCTCCGCCAACAACAGGGCCAAGAATGCAGCCAGCGCCCCAGCATAGCCCAACGAGTCCGTTGTACAGGCCACGCTGCTCAAGGCTGGTGAAAACGGCTATGTAATGGAGGCAGCTAGATATTGTTGGTCAGTACGAAACACTTTTGATTCTGTAGACTATGTGTTAAATGCTGGGGTCTCGTCTCACCCAAGATACATTCCGGCTCCTCCAACTCCTGCCACAACTCTGCCAATAATCATGGCGTTCATCGAAGGTGCAGCTCCGCACACAGCGCTTCCGACTTCAAACAGAATTATGCTCGCGAGATAGAGCCATTTGATATCGAAAGCACCATACAGGGAGCCGAGCAAAAGAATGGTGGCAACGGAGCCCATAGGGAAGCCGATGCCCACCCATGACAGCTTCTCGATCTCTCCTAGAGTCTCCAAGATGGGCCCTTGGACATCTGCTGCTATAGAGGTATCTAAGCCTGTAAAAATTTGTTAGCTCGCTGAGATTCTGGCAGTCTCATTTGTCTGCGTCATCGCCATACCATATAGCAGAGCGGTAAGATACAGCCCAACGCAAATGGAGTACCATTTCCAGGGCGTGATGGATTGCTGCAAAGATGGCGTCGAATCGTCGAGACTTTTCTCATTTCCAGATGTCTTTTGATTTTCCGTGTCGTCAGATGAGTTGCCATCTGGAATGACCGAGGTGGCTTCGTTGGGAGGACTCATTGGCTTCACTTGTCTTCAGCGATGTGCAAAAGGCAATTTTTTTTTGTCGTCCTGTTTTCCCTTTTCCGTGTCTATTTTTCGAAAAGATTTAAAGAAATTGGGCGAATGGCGATGTAAGTCAAGCTTTGGAGAACAATCTTCTATTGGAGAGTGGCGCGGCTGGATCTGATGATATAGTCGAAATCCAGCAGAATCTACAACTCCGCTTCACCTGAGTCATTACGCAATACTTATTTATTAACGACAGATTTCAAAGCAGACTGATTGTCAAATGTCAAATATGGAATCGATGAGAAAGAAACTAGGCGTCACCCTTAGTTTTTTCACTCAGTTCTGGAGATAGCCTGCTTACTGTTGCGGATACACGAAGCAAAAAACATGACAAAAACTATTTGCCCTGATGCTCTATTCTCGAAGAGCTTACAAATTGTTTAAGATTATTTTCTTTTAGTCTATCTGGAGGCCCCTAAATTTATAAATCTTTTCCGTGGCTATTAGCGTGCTCATAAGATCAATTAGAGCTCGCCATGGTTGTTGATAAATTAATCGGACATTTTACTAAGGTTCCCGATTTCCACGAAACCCACTGTGAAATAGAGACAAAGGCTACCGAGGCTGCAAATAAGTTGGTTCTTTAGATATATGTATCTATTATTGGTGATTGTAAGGTGGGCTTCAATAGAATTGCAATCAGCCTGCTCTTACGATTCAAGAGCGCTGTGCCTGCAAAACAGCTGAAGAGTAATACTGTTACGGCACACAACTAATTCTATTTACACCCTAATCCATTTGGCTGATCTTAAAGATGCAATTTTCTTACTTCAAGCATAATTCTTAGCGCGCCCGTGAGGAAGTAATTTCATTAATCAGGCCCTAAAGTCCCATTTTTCTTTTTTTTCTTCTTTATTTTAAGTAATATATTAAGTTAATAGCTCAGTTCGAATGTGGCAGCTTCTCAGAAGCGTCGATCAACGTTACTATTAATTTGACACCACTGCAGGCATCTATGGAGATGCGTATTATCCGGAGACGCCATATCTGATAAAGTATAAGGGGTGGCCCTAGGACATGATCGCCTGGCTTGAGATCGTGGACCTTAGATCTTAGCCAGATGTCATTACACAATGCTATTCCGATCTTTAAACAGTAACTGAGTAGACTTTCCGACTTTGTGCACCTAGCTAACAACATCATTGTCTGGTTTGTGTATCGGTTCGTTTTCAGGTGTGTCCGCAGAGTTGAATAGTATCTTGGGTATCCGTGCCTATCCAATTAGTCGGATTTCGTCCGATTAATGTCTTCCCATCTCGGAGTCGTGATCTGGCTACCCGTAATCTCAAATTCCAAGCTAAGTGGACCAGTGGCTTCTTCCATAATCTTATGAGGTGGTGAGAACACGTTGGTTGTAGAAGAACGTTGCTTTGTCAGTTACGTCACTTGCTGGAAAGTACTGGAGCACAGATAAACATTTACAAGGTTTGTAATACTAATAGAAAGGCTATAGATGACGGATATTGACAGAATGACAGATGTTTGATAAAAAATAAAGGATCTATGTATATTACTGAGGAATTCTCTGTCACGGGGAGTTTCCTTGCTGAGGAATCTTTCATAGAAACCATCTAAACTCGAATTAGTGACCGGATAATTATTTTTTCTTAGTAGTAAGCTTCTTTGTTCTAATTTCTCAAGCAATTTATCATGTAAAAGACTGCATTTGAGAGTATGATGCAATCCTCTTTCGTCTGGCGTTTAAAAGTATTAGTGATTGGCTTCTTGCTCCGGGATAATTTGTCAAGCGTCCGTGTTGGCGTCAAGTGCTAGCGCCTTCAAATAACTTGCACGCCATTATTGTGAACTCGCCCAACCACGGTAAACTTTCTTTTTTCTCTACTTAATCGTAAACTCAAATGACTAGTGCAATATTGGACTTGCTTCGGTGAGATTTCCTAGCTATAAGACACCGTCTTCCGCGGCATAAATCTTTGTCGCCTGTGATTTGCCCTTTCTACATCATGTAAAACTCTCTTTTGTAATATTTGACTACCAAGTTCTTCACAAGGCATGCAGTACAAAACGTTCGCCATTCTTGGAGCAACAGGCCAGCAGGTTATTGAACTCGCTACTTCTGCCTGTCGGTCAACAATTGACTAATATTGAGCTAGGGAGGGGCCATTGTGCGGCATCTTGCCAAAACCTATACCGACGCTAAAATCCGCGCCATTACGAGGTCCCCAGATAAGCCCAATGCACAGGCACTCCTGTCACTAGGTCCCAATGTATCCCTTGTTCAAGCAAGTTTTTCGGACAGGCAGAGTCTGGTAGAAGCATTCTCAGGTGCAGAGGTAGTTTTTTTAGTTACGGACTACTGGAATACTCAGAACAATGCCATCTCGCCCAACCTTAATACCGAAATCACGGATGGAATGACAGCCATCGAGGTTGCTGCTCGTACGGAGAGTCTAAGACATTTCGTCTTTGGGACTTTGCTGGACTTCGCGCCTCTCTCAGACATGAAATGGAGAAACATGTATCATTTCAGTATGTCATCTTACACCATGGTTGGGGTCGTGTTCAGTTATCACTCCGCTAAACGTTTACTGCCTAGACACTAAAGCGGTGTTGAATCATTACATCAGAGCCAAGCCAGATCTGTGGGCAAAGACAACCCTCATATTTTCGCCCATATACTATGAGAACTATCTCACTTTCGACCAAAAGTTTTACCCAATGCTTGGTGGCCCAAGAAAGGTGCGCTGTCACTCTCCCTTTGATCATAATACTTATTCGCCCAACAAACAGTATTTCCCTTACTTGATCAAAACTGAATTCGATCACTAGGTCGGTGATGAGTATGTCGCGTGGTACCCTGATGGCGGTACCTCGAATCTGTCATATTTGAGCATCGAAGATTTGGGTAAGGTATTTGGGGCTATCATTGAGAAGCCGCAAAACTACTTTCAGAAGATCGCTGTTGCGATAGGGGAGTTTTTTTCCGCCCAAGATCTAATTGAACAATGGGCAGAAGGTAATCATTCTGATATTCTTGAATCAATAAGTAATGTTTGCTCACCAATCGTGATTATAGTTGTTGGTGTCGAGGCCAAGATTGAAACTCTATCGTCAAAAGAATTTACTGATAGAGTTGGAAAGCTTGGAGGGCCTGAATTCATGGCTCTGGAGATTTACGAGCAGATGAGATGCCTGGAAGAACTGGGCGATCTGCGATCGATCCAAACAGAGATTGAAACAATCGATATGAGCCAGGTAGGATTCCAGAGCTTGCCTGCAGCAAATGATGCTTCTCTAATATTGCCAACTTGCAGGTAGTAGAGCTTACGAGCTGGAAACAGTGGGTCGCAGCACAAGACTGGACCGAGTTTTTTCAATTTGTCAGCAAATGACAATTTGCAATGCCTCTGCGAGCTATGTTGGAAGCTTGCCATATCAGTAACTCTGCGCAAGCATAGGAAATTTGCCAATACTGTTTGCCGCTCTTGTACATTGTAGTTATTTTTTTACATGGGAGAAGTGATATTAAAAATTGTGTCGTGCAAGGGCTGTTTGATGCGCACTTGGAGTCGGAATAGCAATCTTTAGCCATGCCAAAGCATTTTAACTCATGTCCACCCCTTTAACATAGAGCATAGAGCATAGAGAACTACTAGGAACTGTAAATAACTTTTCAAATAAGACAAGTAGCACTGTAAAAGCCTCCTCTTTATAGTCCTAAAATATACTCTCATGTATCAATCGTCGTCGAGTTTCATCTCCTCGTCCCACATTTTGCCCTCTTAAGGGGCACATTACGGTTATCATTAACCTTACTTTTCATCCAACTAAATCAGCCCCCAAAGTTGGCTTCACCAAGTCAATAATAGCGCCTACACAAGTGAAAAGCTTCTTTGATCATTCTACATCCTGATCTGTAAACAAAAATCCATATTAGTAAACCAATCTGGTCAAGTCATGATACCAATAGCTCTGAAGGATGGGCTTCACTGGCGGTGTAGATAATTAGACATCCATTAGCGTGATGGAGAGGACGTAAGCCACCGATCTTTGTCAGTGGCTTGTGCATTAGCTATATTGCTGGATCGGTCCAATAACGTAAACGGCCGATCCAAACTCTAAAATGCTTCAGCTGACAGAGCACAAGAGGCTGATAAGTAAGCAATTTCTCCATGTCGGGAGGATTCTGCCACTTAGTCAGAGAAATTCTTCAATAATAACTCCGCACTTGGCTGCAAAACCACATGTTTAACTGTTTTGACCATCATTGGCAGTGAGACATCATCGCCCAACTGCTTTGCAAGGTAACATGCCCGCATTGGAAGTCCCAAAGAGGGGCAAGGGGCGCCCCCGAAAAGATATTGATCCATCCGTAAAGGTTTGTCGGTACTATGCGGTGTCCTATCGACTCCATCGAACAATGTGGGCTTACTTGATACGTAGGCTCAAAGAGAAAAGAACAGAAAGGCTCAAAGTATATTCAGAGCTCGAAAACGGGCCACTGAGGCTGCAAATGAGCTACGCATATCCCAGCTTGAGAACACAGTTGAGCGGATGGGCGATACTTTCCTCGAGCTTGTGAACCATGTTATCCAGGCGAACCAGAAACGCAGAGACTCTGAGTTGACAGGGAGGCTCCAAGAGTCCATCCACACGTTTCTCGTCTTAGCTTCAGCTTCTTCGGATCAAAAGTGGGACTCTCCAAACACCGGAAGTCAAGGTGACATCCGCCAACCAACTCCGCATGAGGTTGAGATCCCAGTCACTGAGGAGGTAGCTGCGCCAGTAGCAGTTATGACAGACGCAAGCTCATCCCAGCAAGTATCAGATCTGCCATACTGGAACTCACCGAACTCTGGAAACCTCTGGAGTCTTCTTGATCAATTCGGCTCACCCCCATCCTTGCTTCCCCAACTTACAGGGCCTCCCACCAACGTGCTAGGAAACGGTTGGACAAGGGATCTACCATTTTCATACACGGCTACTCTCGGCGAGGCTGTTGGACACCCCACCGCTCAGTCCATGAGCACCCTCCTTATTCAATCCACCCTATACTATGTTTACTACATCCTACTGGAGGCAACCGACGTGACGTTCTCAGACGTGGCCAAGGATATATTTCGCTACGCGCTCAAATTACACTCGAGAGATGAAATATTATTTAACATTCGGTGGTTTTTGGGCCCAGGGCAGCGAGAAGCCTATAGACTGGGCATCACAAGGTTTCAAATTCTCGATGCTCAAGACCACGAACATTTCCCAACATTGAGTCCCGCTGTGGATTCCGATGCGCTGGGAGACATTCACGCATCAAAATTGCAGACTTCCAGTCTACGCCATACACTACTCAATGCAAGCGGCGTCGAGTCTTATTTGCTACAGCACGGAGTTCGGAGGATAACGGGAGATATTCTAGAAATCGACCTAGGACAGCGAGAGAATTATAGCGAAGCACAGTCGCGAACGACTCTCCCGTTCAATCCCAATTTGATCAATGCGGACGTGTTTTTCCCCGCCGTGTCGCAGGGAGGGGGCAGAGCGGCAACAATTCCAGCCCAACAAGTCTCTACGCCACGAATTGTGAGATTCTCGGAATCAAGTTTTATGCGGTTTCTAGCTACGCAGGCGTCACATTGTTTAGCCTATGGGCCTGCGTATCGAAAAGACCGTTTGCCTGATTTGATAGAAGCTGCTTCTGTCACAAGCAGATAGAAACAATACTCAAATTGGCCAACAAATAAAAGTATAAATATTATGATGAAAGAATTCGAGCCATGGTATTGACAAGGTGACTGTATGGGTGCTTGGCCTTGGCATTAGACATGCTGGTCGATACAAGAAGGTGAGATCATTATACTCTCTTGAGTTCTACCCAGGTAATTTAATCATTTTGCTAGTTTACAGTGTTTTCTCTCTTCGTAACTCACGATGTATACATTCTGCAAACCTCAGAATAATCGTAGTATCTGCATAATAAATGATGTAATTTAGCATTGAAGAGCTTTTTAAATCCCTTAATGGAGAACGCATGCGCTCCGTAGACTGGTCAACCTACATTTCGCTCCCTCTACTATTGCGAATCTCAAGCCAACCGATGACAAATTATACTACGATAATAATAGAATTTATCACAAGTACGCGTTACACTTCGGTTATATTGTCGGACTATCTTGCATAGAAAAAGATTACAGCGCTGCGCATGGCCACTTTTTGACAGCCACATATATTTATTTTAAAGTAGCGTCGGCATGTTTATTCAGAATCCCGCCTAGGCTGAGTAATAGTAACACATTAGATATAGAACAAAAGTACCCAATGTTCTATTTTCCTCTCTATACACGGATTTGTAAGAATGCGAACCTTTGAATCTCTTTTGTAGCCCGAGTTTAGTAATGCGTTGAGCACATCTTTTCATGAACAAATGTCGTTGCAGCAGGAATCATTATGATGCTCTGTAGCCTGCGCAAAAGTATAAATAGCCAGCCTAGGGCAAGATAAAATGACAACTTCACTTGCAACGACTGCATAAACAACTCAACAGACAACGACCATGGCCTCTTTTGTTACCACCCACGTCAAACCTTATGATGCCCTTGATAATGTAGTGGCAGCCAATCCACTTACTGGCAAATCTTTCCTCATTACAGGCGCCGGTCGTGGCGTAGGCGAACATATTACAAGGGAAATTGCGGCTGCAGGCGCACAACGCATTGGACTTGTTGGTCGCAATCTTCAACGCATTAACGAGGCCAAAAAACGCTTTGAGGAAGCTTTTCCGGAAACCGTGTTCGAGGCATTTGCAGCTGATATTACGGATGAAGTAAAGATTGGTGCTATTTTCAAGACATTTGGGGTCCCTGATGTCTTGATCAATAACGCTGGCCACTTTCCAGATGAAGGACCTTTTATCAAGGAAAATTTGAAGAGTTGGTGGACTGGCTTTGAGATCAATATCTTGGGAACTGCTACTGTTACGCAGCAATTCCTTCGAGCCAAGCCTGAGGGCAAGAGTGCCATTGTTCTTAATGTCTCTACTCTTGCTACTCATATGCGCTTCCCATTGCATGGATGGTCAGGCTATACCGGAAGCAAACTGGGACAAGCACGAATTTTTGAACACATCCGCTTTGAACACCCAGACGTCCGATTCATTAACTGCCACCCCGGTAGTATCAAGTCCGATGGTTTCGCCAAATCTGGTGCTCCAGAGCCACCTACTGGTATGACGGATGGGAAGCTTGCGGGCCAGTTCTTTGCCTGGCTTGCTTCTGATGAAGCAGAATTTTTAAGCGGAAGATTTGTTTGGGCAGAATGGGATGTTGATGAACTCAAGGCAAAGAAGGATCAGATTCTCAAGGAGGATCTACTTCTTACAACCATTGACGGCTTTACTCAGGGCTGGTAGTTCTGAGAAGGCTTTGCAGCCAAGTGTTAAACTGAGGAGGGAAGCCCAGACTAGTTACTACACTGGGCCGCCCCTAGCTGCATAAATTGTAGCGGAGATACTATTCCTTTTAGTAGATAGAAAAATGATATAAATTTACACTATAATGGGCTCGATAGAATCCAATTCTGTTTGGAACTGCGCTCACAAACAACCCCAACGGCCGACTGCTGGTCCCAATGCAGATAGATACACATATGATTACGTAGTACGAGTGCACGTTTTAATTTGAGGCTGTTGGCTTACTACAGATGTCTCAAAAGTGAAGGTCAACGGTCGCTGCCCAGGCTTTTAAGTGCTCGATCACACCACGGCCACAATGTAGCTTAGCTAGAACAAACTGCATAGATAGACAGCAGCATATTAGATCATCGACAGCTCTATAATGGATCCGGCTGCAAGTAACTTGTTTGTAGATACAGTTGCAGCTGGGTGACGACATGTGAGGGATGCAGAGGTGCCCATCAATTCTTTCTTGTCTCGGGGTAAGAGTCACCCAAGCTTTGTAGAAATTAGCATAGCTAAGTAAAAAAATAGAATAATAAAAAAACAGGATTAAGGAATCTTTATGACTTGTAAAGTCATTAGTTGTAATTTTCAAAAGCGAATAAACAATTGCAGCTTATCTATTAGGCCTACCTCTTGAACGGGTTGAGAATAGAAAATACATAAGAGAAAGAAGAAGAATTGTTGGATACACCACTTATAAGTGGACTTGACCTACGGGTGGTACGCTTAATGATAATACTTGAATGTTTCAAAAAGCTTTGCCCGGCCACCGTAAAAATGCTCGTCGTACTGTTATAACTGGCTCCGAAAAAAAATTGAACTAGCATTAAGGCCTGTGAATACATCATATGAGGGATGTCCTACTAGATGGATGAACGACCAGGGTGCTCCTTAGTTAAAGCAGCGTCTCCACCGAGACTTGCTCTGCTGACGCCACTTCGGCCATTCACAAAGCCATTTACTTTTCGCAACTTCTCTGCATCCCGTCCCTTGTCTCGTCTCTTTTTACATCTGCCATAGGCGAATGCCGCGTATATGACAAGCTATTGTCATTCACGTTGCAGGCCCACTATAAACAAGTTCAGCATGGAGAATTCCGTCTATCCCCTCTTTGCTAGCAATCCCCGTCGCAGTTTTAGTGGATGTTGGACATGTCGACTGCGCCGAAAGAAATGCGATGAACAGCGTCCCATCTGTCAGGCCTGCGCATCTCTTCAAATTGATTGCTACACTGAGAACAGCAAGCCTAAATGGATGGACGGCGGAAGTAGACAGGAAAAAATGCTTCAGCATATAAAAGCCCGAATCAAAGAGACGGCACCTTATCGTCGTTGGAACCGCACGCCAGGAGGAAAAGACACTTTACTTCGGCCTACAATTAGTAGGGACTTCGATCCAGCAATCTCACTCGACGCGTTAAACGAAACTCCATATCAGATAAGCCGGTTATTACATCAACACGTCGAGCAGAACGACCAGGCCAACAGCGGTGTTTGCGCGTTGAAACGACTGAGTGGCGTTGTTCAACAAGGTAATGATTGGCTCCAACGACCAGACATGTTTCTCGTTACGTATTACTATGAGCACTTGTTGCCATTCCTATATCCATTTTACACCCCCACAATTACTGAAGGCGGCAAGTTTTGGGTTCTCGAAATGATCCTCAGCAGCCCCGTTGTGCGCCAAAGTGTGCTGTGCCAGAGTGCTTATTGGCTCTCTCAAGCAACACGGGGCGCCGGGGAGCAACGTCGCATCGAAGAGAGTGTCAATGTACCAATACACGACGCCTTCAGAGTTATGGGCCAAGCTTTGAGCATTATCAATGCCTCATTTGTCTCCCAACACCTGCATGGGAGTGCGCGTATCCTTACCGGCATTATACAACTACAGCGATTTGAGGCTGCACAACAGCAATTTAATGGCCACAAAATGCATCTCACAGCCGCCGCAACTTTATTTAGGGAGATTTTGGAAAGCTGTAGGAAGAGTGATGACGGCGTGACAGATCCTCTCACAGACTGGAACGCCGCCTTCCATTGTCTTGGCCCAGCCTCGTGGACAGCCCTTGAAGCAGGGATCCACATCCCCAGTGCTGAACAAGCAGCTTTTCAATTCTCGACGAGTATTCTCTTTATGGACGACATCATTCTTAGCACGGTTTTATCGAAACAACCCCTCTTGTACGACTACCACCTCAGTCTTCTCGGGACAACTCCAGCAGAAGCTACTTCGGCCAAAGCGGTGTTAGGCCTTGAGGGCGTGGTAGGGTGTCAAAACTGGGCGTTGCTTCAAATTGGAATAATTGCAACTCTTGACAGTTGGAAGAGGAGAGGAGAAGAAGCAGGAAATCTTGATGTCATGGAGCTAGTTCGTCAGGCCGAAGTCATTCGAGATGCCTTGGAAACCAGACTCCTCGAAACTTCCGAGATTCAAGTTTTGTATGCAAATCGCGATGATGACATACGACAATGTGCTGCGGCTATCCCTGACTACAGCAAGCCGACTCATCGCTTGCCTTCTGAGGCTCGTATCGCAACCCAGATTTGGGGTCATGCAGCCATAGTATACTTATCAGTGGTGGTATCCGGATGGCAGCCTTCTAATGCCGTGGTGCGCCACTCAGTGCAGTCTATAGTAAGGTTATTAACTTGGGATTTATCATCATCATCACGGGGCCTCTTACGAGGCATGGCCTGGCCGTTGTTCGTGGCAGGTTGTATGGCGGATAACGCTCAAGAGCTATGTTTTCGAGCCTTGATGTCAGAGCCGATGATGAAAAGCAGTACAACAATTCAAGAAGCGCTTTCAATCATGGAAGATATTTGGAAGATGAGAGATGCCGACGAGAACACCTTGAAAGATTTCTCTTCGTGTTTCAACTACCGCGGCTATTCATTGTGTCTAGTATAGCCTGGCTCGAGAAGGCCCGAAACCATTGTTGAAGATTATGGGAAGACCGATGTCAACAAACTCCAGACAGTCTTGCATATTGATCGCTTGTGTTATAAATATACCGGGTGTATAATTCACTAGCATCCATTCTCTAGCCTAGCATTGGAGAGGGAGTTAATCTTCGATCATCAGCCCGGTGGCTTATTACTGGTCCGTTACGGCCGTAGCTAGGTTACTTTTGACGTTAACGCGTGATTGTTAATGTAAACTCAAACTTATAGCCTCAAGGCCCACATACCGCGCGGCATAAATGTGGAACTGCATGCTTTCAAACATCTTGCCAACTTAAGATTAGAACATCAGTTCCATTAGCTTGTCTAAAAGAACTGCACGAGCGGGCGGCAACATATGGATAGCGCTAACATGAGTCTGGCTGCAAAGCAACTCATCTCCCGCGATTGAGAATCGGGGACGGTTGCAATTGGGTAGACACATGACAGGGAAGACATGGGCAGCAAAAGGTATAAATCAGGCGACGCTTCATACCTACGTGCCACGAGAAGGCAGACAGTTATTGAAACGCTCTACCGCATCCTACAAGCACCATCCAATTCTCAAACATAATGTCTACGAACGTTACCTCTATTGGACCCGGAGTCACTTATATGCGGCCTGAGCTACATGACATTAAACCCATTGCTGTTGAAGAGCACGTACAGTTCCCTCAAATTTTTGAGAGTCTCCCCGAGTCAAAAGAGGTTGCCCACGTCAAGAGGAAACTTGAGGGAATCTTACAGTACCCTCCTCTGGCTTACGCACGAGGTCGAGGTCTCGAAGTTGGTGCCCAAAGACTCCGAGATATGGATGAAGGGGGAATCACAATGCAAATTCTCAGTTTTGGAAGTCCACTTAATACGACATTTGCTACCGCTGAAGAGGGTCTGAGACTTGCTCAATCTATCAACGATGAGCTCAAAAAGGCTGTTGACAAAGACCCGACGCGTTTCAGAGCTTTTGCTGAGCTGCCATTTCACGCTCCAGAGCTAGCAATAGAGGAATTGCGGAGAGTTGCGGCGATGGGGTTTGTTGGCGTAATGCTTTCCGGTTCGGTAGGCGGTACCGGCAAGTTTCTTGATGACCCTGCATTCTGCAAGCTTTTGCACGAGTTTGAGATACTGGATATGCCACTTTATTTGCATCCTGGAATCCCACCTGAGCCCGTTGTACGAACATATTACGAGATACCTGGAAACAATCTCGCAACCGCTATGATGGCGAGCGGCGGCTGGGGCTGGCACAGCGAAGTGGGAATCCACGTGCTTCGCTTGGCCATATCCGGTACCCTCGATGCCCATCCTCGGCTAAAGCTAGTCATTGGTCATCAAGGAGAGATGCTACCATTTATGCTACAGAGATTTGATGGGGCCCTCGAGCATAAGGCACTGGGCTTGAAGCGGAGTGTGGGGGAGATTCTAAGAACACAAGTCTGGGTAGCCCTCTCAGGATTCTTCACGCTGCCAGTCACCCAGTTGACTCTGCAGACCTGGGGATCAGACCACATCCTGTTTGCTCTGGACTATCCGTATGTGGATTGCCAGCGGGTTCCTTCGTTCCTGAAGGCAATGAACGATCTATTCGCCCCTTCAGACATGAGAAAAATACTCCAGACAAACGCGGAGGAGCTTTTCAAGTTGAGGACCTGAGACATCTGGGTCTTGGTGATATAGCCAATTGTTTATAAAACACAATATATGGACTCATCCTAGCTATCGGAACCAATCTTAGAGTGGCGCCTATTCCAATCGGCCAAGAGAAGCGTTTAATTGATTCTCATATCTTATCTTGTGATCTTCAGAACCTTGACGATAAGCGTACTTTTCCCCGCTGCCTTCTGTGTCACCTACACCCCGTATTCCCCGTATTACTAATGTAATTTGGTTGCTTAGCATTGAGACTTCGACTTAACGTCCGACTTACAGTAGGTAACTCCCCCGCAACTCCACTGTGACGTAGTACATGTAAACATAGGCACAGGTACACACATCTCTTACCTTAAGGATTCAACCCCATAAGTCCGATCCCAGGCCTTCGACAGACGCCATTGCCCGGCTTCATCTAGGTTACGAACGTTTGCTAGAGTGGCGTGTAACTCTTCACCCACGCAAGATTCTCGCCAGATTCTCGTCAGATTCTCGTCAGATTCTCACCATGTCGGGTTCCAGGCATCTCCGACCGCCCAAATATATGCTGGCCTCCGTGGCTATATCTCTTGCTGGTCTTTTCAATGGCTACGATACGGGCTCTATCGGCGCAATGACGACCATGGCACAATTCGAGGCCGTCATGGGTCAGCTATCTCCTACGCTGCTTGGCTTCACTGTGTCCCTTGTTATGCTTGCGGGAGTGGTGCCGTCTTTCTTTGCTGGATATGTTGCCGAGCGCTTCGGTCGTTTACGAACAATCCTGTGCGGTTCTGTGCTCGTCATTCTCGGTGCTGTGTTGCAGGGCAGCGCCAACAGCCTGCCGCAGTTTCTCGTTGGACGAGCATTCAGTGGGTGCGGACAGGGCGTTTTTCTGAGCAATGTCAGCGTGTATATTTGTGAAGTCGCTCCGGCAAAGCACCGCGGAATGCTCGTCGGTTTGCCGCAGTTTCAGGCAGCTACCGGCGTTTGTCTGGGCTACTTCACATGCTATGGGAGTGTCAAGCTTTCTGGCAGTATTGCGTGGCGTTTGCCTCTTGTTTTGCAGTCTGTCATCGGCGCCGCCTTGACCTTGAGCTGCCTGGTCTTACCTGAAAGTCCACGGTGGCTGATACAACATGGAAAGACGCAACAAGCTCGCCGCTCATTGCAAAAGCTGGAGTTTGATATGGCCGAGGCAGAGCGTGACTTTTTGACATCCACACAGGAACAAGTCAGTCTCTCGCTTTGGCAGAGCCTTGCTATTCTCTTCAAACGAGGTTACCGTGCAAGGACTATGCTTGCGTTGTTCATCCTTGGCATGGTGCAGCTATCCGGCATTGATGGCGTAATTTACGTACGTGACGTCCTACGAACATGCGGTTCTTCATTAACACGCCTTTATAGTATGCCCCTATTTTGTTCAGCCAAGCCGGCCTCACGAGCTCCACGGCGTCGTTCCTAGCATCTGGCGTATCTGCCATTCTGATGCTCGTAATCTCCATTCCCGCCTTTCTCTTCGCCGACAAATGGGGACGCCGGATATCCGCCATTAGTGGTGGCATCACCTTATCAGCATGCATGTTTCTAATAGGCAGCTTGTATGCAGCCAATGCCGTTCATCCTTCGGGCGTGGCGCGCTGGGTCGTTATTGTTAGCGTTTACATCTTCAGTCTTACATACTGCGCGACTTGGGGCATTGTAGGCAAGATATATGCCAGCGAGATACAGCCAGGACACACAAGAGCTGCAGCCAATTCTGTGGCGCAAGCACTAAGTTTTGTAAGAATCATATTCTCCCCGCTGAAGGATCCTTTACTTACTATTTAGTTTACTAACTGGCTTGTCGCAATTTTGACACCGATTCTATTAAAACGATCTGCTTACAGCGCGTATTTCCTCTTTGGCGGCCTTGCTCTAGTCACAGTCGCAGTCCTGGCTCTTTACATGCCCGAGACGCGCGGTCGATCCCTCGAGAATATTCAAGAGGCTTTTCATCGCCCGACAGTAATTTCGGACTTCACAAGTTGGCTTAGGCGGCGGGGACAAGCAATTGTTGAGTCACCTGAACCAATCCAATTGACTAATAGGTCTCTTACTACCCATTCTGCAAGCTCAGCAGCCAGATCACGACGAATTGAGGCTACGAAATAAGTATGAGGACTCAAACCCATTCGAACACGTTTCCACAGAGCTACAATGTTGCCGCAGGAGTTCTTGAACACTAGAATCGCCATTTGCGCTTCTCGATGAGCTCTTTCGCTCTGTTGCCAATCTTTGCCCAATCTCTGCCGAAATCCCCGTCCATCGCCCATGATCTTATGCGGAAAGTTTTGAAAATATTTCTACTTAGGCTTAGAATTTGTTTACAATAACAGAAGATAGTATATTAAGAAAGAAGATTGGCATGTTATGGAGTGGGATTCATATGGGCCGAGTTTTGAAAGCTATAGCTATATAACCGGGAGAAGAAGAAGCCGCTGCTCGGCGTTGTGGTTTTTATTAGAGTTATCTACGTTGTAGCAAAAGATATATCAGACTATTTAATACATTGACATCGCGTGATGCGTTACTGGCTCTTTGTCCCATTCGATGTGGTTCCTTCCTCAGGCGTGGCACTGGGGCCTCATGCTACAAGACCTGGGACATTGTAGGCAAGATATGCATCGGCAAGATGCAGCCAAAGTGAATACACCCTTTACAAAAGGTATTGTGGTTGCTTAAAATTGAACATTATAGTTGAAAGTGTAGTTAAATTGCTCACTAATAAGTGTGATGATAAAATGTAATAGGTATTCTATAATGAGCCTACGAAATGTAAATAGCCAAGTTGATGGATCAACTTAGCAAGCAATTGTTCGCACACATTGGTTTCCAGTATCCGCGGGATATGATTTCTTAGTCTCTCCCAAATGTTCATATACTCACTTCCAATAATTTCCAATCTCTCTCAAATCTCCTAATAATGCTGGTGGATTATCTAAACCTGGGAAATGACCCCCAAAATTGTGATCTATTCGTACAACTCATGTCAGTAATCCAACTTTCTCAGCGATTTACCAAGAGGGGCCAATGGAGGGGAAATGGAAAACTCACTATTATACAGCACTAAATTCCCTGTCTGCGCCACCAACGCTGGTGGCCAGAAGCCCACATTGTATTTGAACGCACTGAACAAAAGTGGTGCATCGGTACGAGCCTTTCTGTACGCCGAACTAAAGCCTTGTGGATTTTGTGCGTAGATGACCACCGACGAGGCGAAGCTCTCCGTCAGGTAGTAGAGAGAGACATGGCGAAGGATCTCATGGTGTGTAAGGATAGAGGGTGCACTCCCGGCAGAGGGGTCAGACCCTGCTCATGCACGATTAGTTTGTGAAAACGAAATTGAGGGTTGGCCTTCTGGCCATGGAGCCATTGAGGGTAGTGGCTGAAGACTTACAGTTGAGAAATTTCTCACCGATCCAAGCAAGTTGACCAACTGCGTTATCCTGAAGGGCTAATCCAATTGTGTTGGGCTTTGTTGTGTTAGACTTGTTTGTAATTCTAATAGATTACTCTTAACTGGAAGGGTGACATACTTTTGTTGTGTGCTCAAGAAAGTAGCCTTCTCCGGTGGTGCTCCATTCCGTTGTTACAGACTCCTCAAATGCTTCCAGTGAGTTAAGGGTGATATTTTGAGCATCAAGTTGTGCAGAGTTAAGAGGCAGAAACGGCAGAAACGCCAGATGGGCCGCGCGAACGGTTGTATTGTACTGATCGTAGAGTTCCCAACCGATACCACCACCAATGTCAGTTCCAAATAGAGCGTAGGTATCGTAATGCAGGACCTGCGTTACCAGTGTGTTAATTAGACGCGCAGAGTCAGGAAACGTCCAATTGACAGGAGGAGCGGACGAAAAGGCAAATCCTGGCAAAGAGGGCACAATTACGTCGAATGACACTTTTTTGCCGCTGGCCGTTGTCGCTTGCTTGGTCAGTTCTTCGATGATGGGAATGAACTCGAGGAAAGAACCAGGCCAGCCATGGAGAAGAACTAGTGGTATTGCATCCGTGGCGTTGGACTTTTCGTGGACGAAGTGGATGGTCAAGCCTTCGATGAGGGTTGTGTAGTGCTTGAATCTACAAAGTGTCAGCGGTGCTGCCTTTTTACACTCGGATAAGAAACAATACTTGTTGATCTCCTTTTGCTCGCTTTCCCAGTTAAACGCTGTCAGCCATTGCTTCTGAAATGATTTTAAATCATGTAAAGTGATTCCGTTGGCATTCCCTGTGTCAATGTAGACCGGCTGTGAGAGTAACTGAGTACTACGAATCTGCTCCAGCATCCGAGGTACCCTCGAAGAGAGATTAACGGTAAAGGGATGCACTTGAGGTGTATGCTGTGGTTGCACAGGACTCGCCTGACTAGACCCAGCGAGGACGCCTAGGGCGAACAATTTAGCCAACGATACGCGCATGTTGTGCTTGCGATATTCCACAATTATAAGTTGCACAGAGCTGGACGTTAACACCGCCCACTTGAAGCTATATATGCCTACTCAAGCCTCGCAAAGGCAGAGGTCAAGCACTCATCAAATTGATGTTCAGCTCCCAGAATTGATAATCTGCAATTACCAATCACCACGGTTTTTCCAGTCGCCCCACCAAGCGTGAAGTTACAAATACCTAAACCGGTAATACTCTAGATACATATGTCATTGTTTCAAAGAAGACAGCCGATAAGCCAGATATAAAGAAGTGCTCTATAGACTACTAGAATAGTGTCTTTAGTACCTGCAGTGCCTCAAAGTTAATTCCGACGCACTTAGTGTAAACATACATATTAGTACTTGACAAACTGGGTTACTGTGCAGCCAACCTAATAGATAAAAAAAAGGTAAAGTAATACATTTTTTACTTCAGTTAATTTTGGTTTAGATGAGAGTAACAGCATTTATATTACACATTTCAGCCTTATGGTATTATAAGTTGAAAATTGCAGGCTTAAGCGGTTTAACCAGAAGCTCGTCAGAATTAATGTCTCCCCACTATAGTAGTCAAACCAAAGAAATAGGAGGTATAGTAGTGCTTGCGAAAAGAGAAACCTGGCAACCATGGTGGTTGTGGTTACGCCGGTTTTGATAGATTGAAGCAGTAAACCGAGTTGTTGATGCGTGGTTCGCTAAAGCTTTTATTTACTTCGAAACGTTATGCATAGGTGCAGATCAACTTGAGAGCCGAAACGCGTTTTTGGTTGTGAAGATTGAAGTAGACCACATGGACCCTGGCTATTTGAAAGCCTACCGAAGCAGCTTCACACACTAGCGGTTATTTTCTTCTAATATACGTGGTACAGTACCTTGTCAGGTACGGAACGCTAGTGTTGATCCGATGCTTTGTCGGCAATGTAATCTTTTCGAGATAAATCGGGATTGCCCGCTATACTCGCATTACCACCCATAGCACAAACGTGGCATGTACCACACAGCTCACCACAAACTACTGTCAGGCCTCTAGTTTCAACGAACCCGTCGTCATCATCGAGGACCAACAAGAAAAGACAATACCCTTTGTGCACGAGCGCGGCTGCATTAGTGGCAAGCCAAGCCATGAGATTTGTCGGTGCGAAATGCTGTCAAATGCTATAGGGTGGCAATGCTTTCCTCGACAATGATATTACAGAGCACATTCATGGCGCGCAGGTACAGATTTGCCGACACATCTCGCATGTACCTACCTCAAACAACTTTGGTCTTGGCAGCTGAATGAGTACCTACATAGCATCCTAGGAATAGCCAAGACATAGCGGCAGTAATTATGCCAGCGAATAGGGGAAACTTGAAAGAGAGATGGGGTACCTACAGTAGTAAAAAGGGCTCATCCTCCAACGTGCGCATCACACCGCCCGGGTTGAGTGTCGTCAGAGTGCTCAAGTCAGAAATGACTGCCCTGGTGTGCCCCATGATGTCGATGAACTCAGTTGCATTGTTAGCCTTAGGAAAAGCGGCGTTCACGGAGCCGAGGTCAGTGGTGTCGGCGAGGTAAATAAGGATGAAGATCAATTTCAGTCTGCCGGTAGAACCTCTGAATTGCAAGGGCTGTAGCTCCGTAGTACAGTGCTATTATTTCGGCGGGCTTACAGTAAGAGGCGGAAAGTGTTCATATCCCGTCGAGTTCTGCTATTATTGTACAATACTGATTGGGCGGCTACAATGTTTACGCTTTATCTCCAGATTTAGTCAATAAACTATTGTAGCGCTTAAAACACTTACATATAGCAGACGCATTACTACGTATAACACCAAACCAATATGTAAACAGTAGACTATCCACTTCGCAAGATGCTGCACCCACGGCATTAGCCAGTGATAAGAAGAACCATTTTCAGGCTTTGTGTTAAATGGCCTGCAAAGAAGAAAATAGCGGAATTGTAGATAGATTGGAACACACATGAAGTAATGATGAATGTTCTAGAATTGCTCGCGTTGTTTCAACGTTTGTGTAATTCCATTTTGCGGTCCCTGCTTTTTCGCTAACCCCAGGGTATGCTATGCTATTGCAAATAGTACAACCCGCAAACATCTATATTATTATTTTATAATTTTTTACACAAGTACAGTGCATAGACCAGCACATTATTTAGTAGTTGTAATCAGTTAAGAGACGTAGCTACAGAGCTACATAGGCATCTCTTTGTATTTTACAAACGCAACAGATATATCTTGTAATGCTTCATTACGAGGAGAACTTAGTTGTCGCTGCAACAAAGTCGTACAACTTCATATTTCTTATTCACGCTTACGCAAAAGTCTTTGTTTTTCTCTTTTTCTCAAGTACTATTTTTCCATCATTTACTAAGGAAAGGTAGTTACTTTCTTCAATTGTTGCCAGTTACATTGCTTATACCCAGTGAACTGCAAAACCAATACCTACAATTGATGCTTGCGGGTTGTATATGACTGCGGGCCTTAGGATGAGATGGTAGTGGATTCAATGTACTTTGTCCAAAAGCCAATCAGCGAACAGAGGTTTCCTCAAACGAGATATCGCAATACAGTACGTAAGAGATTGCTAAGCGTTCGAGTGCTGAAAACATTTTAATTCCGAGACAGGCGGAGTGCGTGAACAGCCGCAGCACTTGTATACAGTAAGGCGCTGGAAAGAACTCCGCGCTGGCGCCACGCTTACTTGAACATCAATTTGTCTTGTGGTTGGTATGTCAGCACTTTTTGTGTTATAGCTCTGCTCCCCACGCAAGACAAATAGAAGAAGACGCTTACCACTTCAGACGCACCCCAGACAAACTTCTATTACAGCCTTCGTTTGGGTTTTGTTGTCAATGCTGGGCTGAATACCTCGGTGAAACTATGGAATTTGACCAAACCAATCAAAATATCCAAGAGGCTGGGCAGCCATACGCTGGTTATGTGCCGCCTCCCCGACGGGGTCGGCCTCGATTGGCTCTGTCTACGCCTGTTCCTGCTGATGACGCTTCCGTAGGTGTGCCGATCCACAATGCCATGGATAGAGGAACTTACTGTGAATTCCATTTAGAAGCGCCGTAAGATGCGCATGCGCTTGGCACAGAGAGCATATCGTTCGCGGAGAGAATCGACGCTGAATTCCGCAAAAGAGCGCTCCGCGTTGCTCGAGTCCGCACTCAGCAGTGCCGTCGACCAATTCGTAGCTTTTCACAAATATGTTGCGGAAAACTCTCCACAGGGTGTCTCCTCGGGCATCATAATCAAGCTCAGCAAAGCAGCAATGGACATTGCATCAATAACCAAGGATGTTCAGGCCGACGAGATGAACAGGACTAGCAACTGCTGTCAGCCCAGTGTCGAGCTCCCATCCCGAGACAAAAGCCCTCGTTTCCAGGAGATGCTATCGGTTGATCCGTGGAACGTCAACAGGACCGCAGCCACCGAAACTGCCGTCTCATCACGCCTGGTATGGGACGAGTCCTTAGAGGCTTTGCGACGGGAGAAGCAGCAGATTGCGGCAGAGCGCTTTCGAAAGACGTGCATGGAGCGTGCAGCTGCCACACTGGCACAAGAGATACCCGGTTCTAGCTGTCTCGTTTCGGAATTGATGACGCTCACCAAGGTTCTGCCATTCGACACCTTGATGGCTCTTACCATGAACCCTTTTGCTGGCCGCCGTATATCATTTCTACGAGATATAAGATTCCCGGACCCCGTCGCAGAAGCTTTGCCCAAGATGTTCCGTGTGGTCGAGGGACAAACTACGAACCCCGTTCCGCGTATGCCACCGCCGTATCTGCAACAACTGCGCTCGGGCGCAACAAGAACCATTTTAGATACAACAATTCCACAGCTTATGGGAGAATGGCTGGAAGCTGCTGATGTACAGGAATATCTGGAGGAACGAGGCATCGTCATCGGCAGCGATAAATCAGTGAAAGTGATTCAACTAATCGCATCCGCTCATCCCGTTGGCATATCTGCACCGATCATTCCAGTAAATATACACGATGGCGCAAATCGAGCAATATATACGAATAGCGCCGTGGATACCTTCCAAGGCGCCATGCGTGGCCAAACTTACGTATCCAAAGACCAAGGGAGAAGTCCAAATTTCTCTACAGGAGGCAGGGTCTTCAGACAGGCTTGGGACGATGTTCAACGAATGCCCTCCGTAGTACGAGAACCTTTTGTACAGCACTACCGTTCTAGCTGTATGCCGTCAAGAAAAGATCAATCATTACCTTTGGAACCTACGGGCCCCAGGATTGAGATCAGTATCGACAAATTGATGAACGAATTGGCTTCGCGAGCGGTATGTTTGGGGCTGATGCCTGGCTTAAAGAGTGAATGGGTTGACGAAGCAATCAGGAACTCTTTCAACATAACTCCATAGACGAGCGTACTCAGGGGCGTGTAGAAAAGTACGAACTCGCGATGGTACACTGAGATTTAGTTGGCAAAGTTCCCATCACCAAGCTCTTCCACATTTAGACTCTGGTCACCTTTGCCCAAGGCTGGTGAGTTCTGTTAATTAGATTGACTCAGCTAGATATGCGTATCAACCTCGTCCGCTACACAATACATATTTTAGAGGAGATGCGATGTATATAGCCCTGGCGTTAAATCGGACCCCCTTTTGACACATCACTCCATCTCGGATGTCAAGATTGAAAGAAGGATAATCTTGAGGATTTATAACTTACTCAGGCTCTATGGAACGAGGCACGTCTGCAGGGCACGCGGCTCTCTATCTGTTGAATGTCAATGTGCACGCCTATGTGGTGCTTCAGCATTGTGTTATACACGCTCAGCAGCCGCTACTGAAAGACTGCATGAGTACTCCGTGTATCAACATGAAGAGGTGTTTTGCCGTCCATGGATGTTCTTCCCCACGCAAGCGGCTGGCCACTAACCCGTTTCTCTCAATTTGTCTGAACGTCATGACAAAGACACAGGTCGTGATTCCACCAGTGGAAAGCACTTCGGACCGCTTCGGCTGCTGGGATAGAGCGCCACTGCAATGTACATCATTTGCCTTGCTACTCTGAGTTCTGCCACTATATTACTACATAATATGAGGATGCGATTAAACAGTCCTGTAAATTAAACTTTTACCATTTTAGTAAAGTCCCCTGGGCTGCCAAAGTTACAAAAAGCGGTTTGATTGCGTCGATAATACAGCTACCTATGCAATCTAGCCTAATAACATATATTATACAGTACATTGTATTCTGCTGTTAGCAACTACCTATTACCAGTACAATTCATCAGCCCGCACAGAAATTTCACCTCAATCCACATTCCCCTTCTACAGCAGCCTAGAGTCCGTCAAGTGGTGTAATTTCATTGAACATCTCTCTATATGTACCTACATAGCCAGCCCTCTATTTTCGGTACAATTCTGCTTTGAAATCATATGGAGTCAATCATATCGCAAAATTTATAATCTCAAGAGGTATATTATTCTTGTTTCGAGGTCGATGGCTTCCTATAGAAGAGTATTTAGTGTCGCAATTGCTCCAACTTGTACCGACCCAATTCTTCCATCTACTACTACCTATTTATACAGAACGTATCTTTATTCTCAACAACTTGAAGCTTTAGACTCGTAATGACGAGACTCTTCGAGCCCATTCGCGTTGGCGGGATGGAACTCTTTAATCGCATTGTCTTGGCTCCACTAACCCGCTTCCGCAACGATGACGACCACATTCCCCTACCTTTCGTCAAGAAATATTACGCACAACGCGCTTCAACCCCGGGAAGCTTCTTGATCAGCGAGGCAACGCTCATCTCACCTGACGCAGGCAGTTTGCCTAATGTGCCCGGAATCTACACCGACGAACAGATCTCCGCCTGGAAGGAAGTTACCGATGCTGTTCATGCAAAGGGCTCATACATCTACATGCAACTATGGTCGCTGGGCCGAGTCGCCCGTTCCACGGCAGGGAGGCAGCAGAGCGCTGTTTCTAGCAGTATGACTCCGCTCAACACTGAACTATCAACACCCCGTGCATTGACCGAGTCCGAGATTGGAACCTACACGGCTCAATACGCACAGGCAGCGCGGAACGCCATGGCAGCGGGCTTTGATGGCGTGGAAATCCACGGGGCCAGCGGATACATGCTAGACGAGCCAACCCAGGATGGGAAACCAATGGACAGCTGGGGTGGTAGCGTCGAGGACCGCGGCTGCTTCGCTATCAACGTGGCCCGAGCAGTCTCGGATGCCATCGGCGCGGACCGCACTGCAATTCGTCTTGGTACTTTGATCGCACGAGAGGGTATGCGGATGGCGCATTCCTTGCCACAATTTGGACGTCTTGCGCAGGAGCTGAGGCTACTCAAGCTTGCGTACGTGCATCTTGTTGAGTCTCGTTTAGAGTCCGACGCCCACATCGAGGCGACTAATCAGCTGGACTTTTTCTTCGAGGCGTACCAAGATGCCAGTCCCGTTATTGTTGCCGGTGGTTATGGGCCTACTTCAGCCGCAGAGGCTGTTGATTCAAAGTACTCAAATCATGATGTTCTCATTGCCTTCGGGAGGCCTTACATTTCCAACCCAGATTTGCCTTTCCGCATTAAGGAAAATCTTCCTCTCATGCCGTATGATCACGATGTGTTTTACACTCCAAAGACTCCTAAAGGTTATATTGACTATGACTTCAGTGCTGAATTCCAGGCTTCTTCTGCGGCGGCAGCTTGATTGACGTGCGCGATACAACTGCGGATTCCAGATTTATTTTGCGTCTAGTTTTATTCTCTATCTAGGTAGAATATAGTTTCGTACAACGAATCTCACCAGATTCAAGGGTTAATAACAGTTTATAGTCAATATGTGCTTTCTTATTTATTCCAGATGCTGTGTAATAGCGCAGGAGCAACTGTGTTTCACAGCCTCTTGTTATTCTTTGCTCTTCTATCCCCCGCTTGGCACCCAAATAGGTAATCAACAGGGTAAGCACCTTGTAGTTTAGTATGTTTACCAAATGTATTGCAAGTTTTACCGACACTAATCATAGCCAGGCTAGTTGCTAGTCCCTTTTAAGCCAAGCTTACTGTATTGTCCGTAAGAACCACACTCGATGTGTAAATAACAACTCCCGCCGATACTGCGTAGGTAGTAGACCCAGTCTCTCAAATTATGTATATAATTACATAAAGGAAAAAAAACCCCTAAATTTGGTTCAAGCAATGTTATAGCTTTCTGCTTAATCAATCATTAGTATGAGCGATAAAGTTGCGATTATTTTGGGCTACGGACCGAGAGTTGGAGTAGATGTTGCAAAGGCGCTTGCAGAAAATGGATTCAAAGTTGCTGTTGTCTCACGTTCTGGAAAGCTGTCAGAGAGCGCAGTAAACTATCTCCAGTTTCAAGCAAATCTTGCAGACCCTAACTCTCTTGAAGATGTCTTTGCCAAAGTCATTAGAGAACTCGGTCATCCCAGTGTCGTAGTTTATAATGGTAAGCTGTTTTGTATAATGTTCAAGTCAACTTGGCTAATATTATAACAGCTGCTTCTATGCAAATGAATTTTTCCAGCTCCCCGGCGGATCAAATTGCACAATTTCAAGCGGATAACAATGTGAATATTGTATCCGCTTACGCTGCTGCGCAGTTGGCGGTACGCTCTTTCACAGTTCTACCGAAAGAAATGTCAAAAACATTTATATACACCGGCAACAAGCTTCCGTTCATGATAGTCCTGCCGCTTCTCAGTATAGGGGTAGGCAAAGCCGGAGCAGCTCATCTGATCCACTACCTGTCGGAAGAGTACAAAGACCAGAATTATAAGTAAGTCATTCCCGCCTGTGAGAATAGTTTTGCGAATCTTGATTCTAAAAGAATAATGTGTAGATTTTATTTTGCGGATGAGCGCAAGGAAGATGGATCACCCGTATACGGTGACATAGACGGTTCTGCCCACGCAGAGTTTTACTTGCAGCTAATCAAAGGTAAAACCCAGATACAGGGTGCTTGGAATGCAACCTTTGTGAAAGGAAAGGGTTATGTACGCTTCCCAGAAACTGTAATTCAAGAGGCCGTTGATATGACTCCAAAGGTGCCAAAGGAACAATAGTTGTTTATAGTTAAGAATAAGTTCAGGTAGCCATCTATACTCTGTAACTGTTGAACAAACGCGCATAAAATCTTAACATTGTTTGGAAGTTACCAAACGGTGGAGTGTATTCCAGTATTAAGTTGAGAATACAATCTTTATTTGTATAACCTTAAAACCTGTTTGCAATTGTTGTGTTATAGACTTTGTCTTATAGATTTTGTCTGCGCATAAATAAAACAGTTAAATTATCCAAGAAGAGCCTTGATTGTTGTTTCAAACTCCTCCGGCTCTCTTCCGAGAATTTCCTTCAGTGATGGAGAGACTACCGCACATTCTCCATTCCGGAGCCCTTGCCATGTAGTTGTCCACTCTCTTGATAAGTCGACCCCATGATATACGTATTTACCCCTAACCTGTGGGAGTAATAGATAATCTTCGACAGCGATCTCGCGAATTTTTAGACTCTTTCCAATCAAGCGGCCGAAGATATTCACAGTCTCTAAAAGTGAAATTTCTCTCGGTCCTGTCAGCAAGACATTTTTATTCAGATATTGAAAACTTGCCGGGTTAGTCACAAAAGAATAGATAAGTTTGGCAGTTCCTTCGCCTAATTCATCTCGCTTTACCCAAGTGACTCCAGGTCCAGTGCCAGAGTGCGGAATGGTGATCTCGTCCGCGGGATTCTGAAGGCTAAACCAACCGATGTAAAGGGGGAATGACTCAGAATACAATCCTTCGCGAACTGAAGTGTATGTAATTTTATCAGTCAACTGTGAGAGATATCTTTCCGTTTGAAGATGTGCGCCCATGACATGGGTGACACTATCGTCGGTCAAATTGCCAGCGAAGCCGAGAGAAGTATAGAATATGTGTTTCACGCCGCTTCTGATGGCAGCGTCAATAGCCGCGCGATGTACCTGGTTTCCAGCGTTAGATATAGTTTCCAATGGGCCATCAAACGTCTGGGCATCTCACATTTACACGGTGCTCAATCTCAAAGGAGGCGTAGGAGATCAACATTAAAGTTTCCACTCCATCGAAAACACCATTGAGTGTAGAATGGTCATCGTAGTCTGCCTTTCGGATTGTAGCGCCCAACTGATTCCATTCCGTCAGTTTCTCTGGGCTGCGAGCGACGAGAACCAGTCGTGATGCCGGGAAGAACTTCATGGAATGATTCACAATGCTTGAAGCAAGCGCCCCGGAAGCAGGAAACACTCCAATTTTGGCGGCCATATTGGTAGTCTGGATGATGTGAGAATCTGAATGAAATAGTTTCACCCAATTGACCATGGAAGTTGAGTTTAGGCAAAAATGCAGCAGATAGCGGACAAAAGTTTATTTAAATCAACGGCATTCAATAACTTTGCGCGAGTCTGGACCAAGAATATTGTGCTTGAATTGCTACTTTAGCTATATTACAACTTCTTGAACGAGATATTTCCCTTTAGCCTCGGAATTAAACCTCGGCATTAGTAACAGTTGATGTTGACAAAATCAGTTACGATATTGGTTAGTGAGAACCGATATGTGTTTCAATACTAACACTAAAAGAGGCAGCAGATCTAGTAGCTTATGGCCGGGCTGGACCTTTTCAACTAAAGTAGCATCACATTAGTAATAACGAACTTGGAACAGATGATCCTAGTTGGGACAATACCCCATTCAAAAAGGGCGGGGCTTGCTTTCTGTCTAACACTTTTGTGTCTGTAAGCCTGTAACTATACCTACTTGTACATATGTATCTTTAATAGACTTCTGGGGGTTTACCCCTTTTGCCTTTAACAGTGTCCAAGTACCGAAGAAGAAGGATGTCAATGGAGGATCTATACTAGTGAATCTGTCTGCAACTCTTGCTTAGTAGCTAAAACAGTATTTTGGTAATAAGCAACAGTTACTCATAAGCAAAGAAGCATCGGTTATATCAAGATTTAGTATGTAATATCACTCTCGAAGGAGATAAATGATAAATGATCTATATGTAAGCTGGCGATGATTCTATTACCTAGGTGCAGCACCTAGTTTTGGAGCGCGCTTAGACACTCACTCTAAGTTTATTATAAATAACATTGCACCAAAGTTGTATCATGCATGTAAAGTCGATAAAGCTGTTATATACTGGATTCGGACCATGACCGAGGCTCAAGACACTGCTATAACTGAGGGATCTCGTATACTTGTTACCGGTGGAAATGAATTCGTTGGCAATATTGTTGACCATCTCCCTCAGGAAGGGTACAAAATACGCGGCGTCGTGCGTTCAGAGAAACCTCGACTTAACGACTGCTTTGGTCAAAACATAGTAATGGCCGTTTCAAACGTATGGTGATTCCTGCACTTGATGTCAATGGCGCTTACCGATACGATGTGGATGGCATATCAGGATTCGTACATGTGGTACCTGGTTGTTCACGCTCCAAATTTCAGCCAGACTAACGTTAGGAAGTCTTCTGATGCGTTTCTAAGCCCTTGGGCTGGAGTAGTGGACCTGAACACGATAAAAACAACCCTCATTGCTTTGGAGGCCGCCAAAAAGTCTAACTCTGTTACTCGATTTGTCTATAACGTCCTCGTCAGCCGTAGTTATTGTGCCAGTGCCAAATAAGAAGAATGTTATTACAACAGGCTTTAAAGATAGCTCTCATCTGACTCTATAAATCACTCATGTATAACATATACTTGTAACGAGGATGCAATAAAGATTGCCTGGAGTGATCATACACCACCTGAATACAAACGGTACCTGGTGTACGCTGCCTCCAAGGCTGAAATCGGACGCGCCGCTCGGAAATAGCATATACAAACGAAGACTGGCTTTGTTTTAAGATACTGTTTCGCCGGACTTACTTGTGGGTCGTCTCCTGAAATCTTGATACACGAAATGCTGCTGAGAACAATGACAATACTGTAGTGGGGACGTACTCTTATCAAAGAGATGCATGGTTCTACCAGAAAACTCCTGCTTGATGCTTACACGGTAACAAAGCTTTTATCACCTCGTAAGTTCTTTCACGTCACGCTTAAGAGTGGGGAGCAAAGAATTAATCGAGTTGCCGCTACAGAGTGTTTTTCGATATCCAACATTGCGCGTCTGCATGTATTCGAACTTTTGGACGAATCGTTTCAGTCTGATTGTCTGTTTGGATTCGCCACAGCATATAACTGGACAGATGTGCCTGCTGTATTGCATAAGCTCCGCTCAGACGTCCAACTTCCCGAGCCGCCACCGAATGAGGCACGAGATATGACAGGAATGCTGCCTAGCAAGAGAGCTGGATAATTCTCGAGAAGCTCTTTCGGCTGGGGCTGGACCACGATGAAGAAAGCTGTCGCGGATAACATAGTTGACATTGTATAAAATTTGTAGGTATAATGTTGCCGAGAAAAGAGCCACCAAAGCATGTTGACTTAATAACAGGTTACCAATATACTCTAAAGTTTATCACTATGTTTGCTTTTCGGGTATTAGACAATTTTCAGTAGTACTATGCTTGACTTCCAGCAGTACTTGGTTTATACTATTAATAACCTTTTCGTTGTAAAATCTCAAGACTCTCATCACAGGCCCTGATTCCAAATGAGAGGCGTTAGATCGGCAATGATTAGCCGGTCAGTGGGTTTTAGTATACAGTTCCATCGTGTTTCCCACTACTACTCCTCACCAACTCCGCCATGCTACAAGTGCGACTGGTGGAAAAACAGTGGCAGGCTGCTGCTGAATAAGCCAATGTTGGCTTAGGCCGAGGCAGATCAATAAACCTATTGCCTAGCCTCGGCCATGATGATAGCATTCTTTCTATATTTATAGTCTTCATTTCGTGGATTTGTGATCTGGTTTGAAACAGAATTACCTTTGGTCTAGTCGCACAACTAAACGCTTTATCTCGGCCACAACTATGCCTCTTTACGACGTTGAATATGTAACTCCGCTGACGTCGGAGCAGCAAGAACAGCTGGCTATTGCTTTTACCGATTTACATTCGAAGCGTTTCAACACTCCTCGTTTTTTTATCAATGTCCGGTATACGGATGTGAGCAACCAAGTAGTATTCCGAGGAGGTGTCCGGCGAAAGTATAATCGCGTGGTTATCCGAACACGAGCAGGGAGCAATCGTACGAATGAAACATACTTGGACCATTGTACGCAAATCACAGCCGAATGGGAGAGAATCGTAGGAAAGGAAGGTGAAAAGGGACTACGAACGGTTTGGGTAATGGGCGCATTGACAACGGCCTTGGAAGCTGGAATCGGACGGCCAAAGGTAAGTTGGCAGCAACTCCATTTATATATAATATCTAACCCATGCATTGTGTGGAATAGACTGGTGAAGAAGACCAGTGGGTACAGGAGAATATTACACACTTTAAAGCTTTGGCTGCCGCTGGTGACGAAGATTTCATTGAGATCATGCGGGAGCTGGAAGAGAAGTAGAGAAATACAATCCAGTTCACCCATCATAGTATAAGTATAAAGTGACAGTTGTCGGTTGAGCTAATAGATACAAAGGTCGCTGTTTCCATCGAATGTGAATAAATGACCAAGAGCTCGCAAAGATATGTATATGGCGTATAGTGAGAGACACGATGTCTGAGAAAGATAGATGTAAAGGCTTATGCTCTCGTCTGTGGTACGTCTGCGTAAAAGGGTGCTTCAGCTGACGATATATTACCTCTTCCATGATATATAAAAGAAGATTTCTGCTCTTACTGGATGAAGATTAATTTTACGGACATTACTAGTAGTCCACACTTAAGACGTCCAACACGCCTGGCTCGAAAACTGTCTTCCTACTATTCTTTCATCTTTAAACCCCATAGAACCATCAACAGAGTGCTACACCTAGCCCCCAGCCTGATGAAGTCTTTTATTCCGGCCAAATTGTTTAAGTACTCCTTGAATGGTCATGGGAGTGGCCCTATTGGTGTGTCTGCTGTTTTTTCGTTTTGCCCAAATGCTCGCAAGCGATCCCAAGGCTTTTGAGTAGAGTTTCGCTCATGTAACATGAGGTAAGTTAGCAATCACAAAACCGTAAGTATTTTAAGATCGCGCGGGGCAGCTAATTAGGCGGCACTCTCAGTACATTTCCAGACACAAGAGGCCGAAGAAAATAAAGCCTGAAAGTGAGCTGCGCATCTGACATTAACAATCACTCGCGGAACTTTCCGAACCATAGAACCACCATCGTACTTGAAGGACTTGAAGCACGTTCTAGCCTCCAGTTGGTTAGCACATAAAAGTGGGCAAGACTAGTCTTCCTTTTACACCACGCGCAGTGGGAAGCTCTGCTCCATTTCGTTTACCCACTGACAAACGTCACATAGGCCCGTAGTTGCAACTTTTTTGTTATATATCCCAGCTATTCGTACTTTTATATACAATTTTTTTTTAGATCATACTTAATTCTACCATAAGACAGGACGTTATCATCCCTTCTCCCATAAAGCTAACTATGACAGCAACGCAGGTAGTGAAGTTGTGGCGGTATAGTGAGAGCTCGACAGCTCTGATCAGGATGGCTCCAGATCTACCACGTCAAGTCTATCTCCTAGGTACTGGATTCTGTATATCCACGACCTTGACCCAGCAGACATTCTAACTTGAAAGAGATTGCATGGTTGTTCTTGGTGAAGTTTTAGGTAGATCGGAATTATGATCCTCTGCCGGGCTAGGTGCCGGGAGTAAGTTCGATTGGTAAGCTATGCTGCAGCTAAGCCCACATAGAAAGCTTAACCGCCATCTTGACTAAAAGCTAGCCTTAGAGATACTTGCTCGGTTAAAGCCATGTATGATCCTCATGGTTTATCTTATGGGCTTCTAATTGTTGGGATACCGCCATTTCCTCCGGGTAGCTCAGTAACTTGTACTCAAACGATAACAGCCAACTAAGCATATACATTTATTTGAGGCTTTAACTGCTTGCTTATTAGCAGTACTTGGTGCTGCCAACCCCTCAATATATTGTCGAAATGTTGCTCTCGTTAGAGCAAACCGCTTGAACAGGAAATTTTGTTACGACCTGGTTCACCGCAACAGTTGAATCCTTTATAAGCAGCTGGCTCCGCAGTTGGTTCCGTGACAATAATTCTGTTAAGTAATTACTACAGTTGCGATCATTGGTCGAATCCTTTGCCCTGCTAACTTGATGGTTTTCACAGATAGTTGAGCTTGCATTATCTACATTTATCAGTCAAGTGTTGTCTATCTAGGTCTGCAAAGGCTAATTGCAGGCTCCGAGGTAACTCCAACCCCCAACATTCACGTACTGTCACTGCGAAGGAATACGCTCCGATATCGAAGGAGCTGCATCTCCTATTTTCAATTTTTATCAAGAGAAAAAACTTTTACAATTAGTAATACTATCGCCGTTCATGAAGCAGAGTTATAAGAATAATAACACTCTGCTGTTAAGCACACACCATGCTATAACGAGGCGTCGATTCAACGGCTTTACTGTTTCAAAACTTCGCTATTCACGAACAACGGCTAGTTAAGTTCGAATTGAGCTTGTTTGCGAACTCATTTCCCCTAGTGGTCACCATGTCGACACTGGATTCTGTGAGCGAGTCGCCTACGGCCGAAGCAATAACGATCCCAATCGATAAGATCTCTTCACGACTCAGTCGCGTCCAAAGCAAAACCGCAAAAATACAAGAGAAATCGGATGATACAGAGTCCGGCGTTCGTCCGATCAAGGGCTTTCGATGGGTTGTAGTGTGCTTCTCACTATATGTCACCTGTTTCCTCTATGGCCTCGATACAACGCTCGCGGCTGATGTTCAAGGCTCCATTGTGGAAGAGTTTGGCCATATAGACCAACTTGCCTGGATTAGAGCTGGTTTCCCACTGGGATCAGTTTCGATGGTGCTTCCACTCACTGCTGCCTTTGTCAGTTTCAATCTAAAGTGGACATTTATTGCAACTGTCGTAGTGTTCCAGGTTGGCTCTGTGCATCTGTGGCGCTGCGCAAAACATGAGTACCGTGATTATCGGCCGAGTCATCGCAGGTATGGGCGGGACCGGCATTTATCTTGGAAGTCTCAACTATCTTTCCTCTTTAACAACTCCTAAAGAGCGCGGTACCTACATCACAGGGATAGGCTTCTGCTGGGGCATAAATAAAAGCAGCTATAGTTAACTATACTAATTTATTTAATACTATCATTTGGTTAACCAGTGATCAAGCCCTTGATTATAGCAAACAATTGTCGCTACTGCCAGCGATACTCTAAAATATGTCCATATAGACATGGTTCTCACTAGTCTCCAGGCCTTCTTCACGAGCCACAGGCTGCTTCCTCCTGACATAGAAAACGCCTTCCACTTCGGGAAGAACGTTGCCACCCAGAATGAAGAGGCTAATCCGGGCCACGTTGCCGAGTTTCGTCCGGCGGTATTGATATACCAGTTGGAACATCCCGCGGCGAAGACAGTATCAGCCAAGCTCTTGTCAAGTTCTTGAACGAAGCTCTCCTCCTCTCTTTCGCAAACTTCGACTACATCTGCATAGCCATCTACTGTCGGTTCCATCAGACTCTTTCTGATGTATTCTACCTGTACCTCGACAGCATAGATAACGGAATTGAAAGCGGGGAATGTGTTTGGTCCAAACCTGGAAGAGTCACTTGTCAACGCAAGATCCGGACGTTTTTTTTTTTTTTTTTTGGGGGGTGGGGGGTTATGGCTATAACTTACAGCATTGCAAAGTTGGGGAAATTGTGCACATAGGTCCCCATGTATGCTTGTGCCCCGGCCTTTGAAGCCCATTGCTCGCGCAAGCTCTTGCCATTCTTGCCAATAATCTCCATGGGAGCCAAGAAGTTTTGGACTTGGAAGCCAGTCGCAAGCACAATGACATCAAAGTCCTCGTAGAGGCCACTTTCGCTAACAATTCCCGTCTCTGTTAACTCCTTGATCCCCTCCGGGAGCAAATCGACGTGCTCATTGTGAAGGCTCTTCAGGTAACCAGGGTCGAATATCCTTCGTTTGCAACCTAGTGGAAAGTCTGGGACAATGAAGCTGTGGTACTTCTCGGGGCACTGGCTACGTATATATTTCATTGCCTTTCGCTCGATATCAACGCGCTGCCTGATTTGCTTCTCAGATGATCCGTATACCGAGGCGAGATTGTCTGTGCTCATGAAGAGCTTGAGTCGGTGGTATCTCTGGAGAAGAGGTACGTAGTTGAAACAGGCCTTCTCGAACCGCGTGAACTTGTGGTTCGGTCGGGCATGGTACCATTGAGCGCTGCGGGCATACCTTTTGAGAGACAAGTCAGATAAACCATGCGGGAAGACGTGAGGCCACCGTTCAGGATTACCACTTACTGCGTCAGCTTGGCGACCCGAGGGGCAACATTTGGCACGACTTGGGCAGCGCTGCATCCATTCCCAATGACAGCCATTTTTTTTCCAGTGTAGTCATATGAATGATCCCACTCGGCGGTATGGAAGACACGGCCCTTGAACTTTTCCATTCCTGGAAATTCGACAATCCGAGGCTGGGAAAACCCACCGACAGCCGACAGGAGCACATTGGCCGACTCGACTAACTTTTCCTTGGTTCTCAGGTTCAAGAATGTCACATCCCACAACTGACGCTCGTTCGACCACGTGGCACCAAGGCATTCGCAGTTGAACTGAATATACGGTCGTAGCCCAAATTTATCAACGGTTGACTCCATGTCTGTAATCTTGTTAGCTGATGTGGGGTGGAGGAACGGTTGCTAGTATATGCATGCTCACAGTTCAGAATTTCTTCTTGGTCGCACAGCTCCTCTGTCCAGTTGGGATTCAAGTTGAAACTGAATGAGTATAGATGGATGGCAACATCGGAACCACTGCACAGACCTTCATATCAGCGCAAGTGGCATGACCTAGTTCTCCAGTTATGCCTTACCATCCGGGATATGTGTTTGCTCGCCAAGTTCCCCCAAGTCCCTCTCTCTTCTCGTAAATCTACACAAAAAGTTAACCCTTCGTCAATGTACATTAGAGATGAGATTAGAAGCCTGCCTACTTCAAAGTTTGTATACCCAAGCTTGCACTTCAAGGTATGTGACATGGCAATGCCAGAGGCACCGGCACCAATAATGATGGTCTTGTGAGGAGCCATGTTGATGTGCAGTCTGGCTCAATGGAAACTCGAATACAAGACCAAGAAATAGCCGGGCAACAATTTTGCAAGCCTGTTGATGCTGTATGAGGTACTCCAGCTCACAGGCAGCTCGAAGTTTAAACAAAAAAGTGAGGTAGGTCTCAAAGACATGGGGCGCCAGATATCCTCGAGCGAATTAGTCAATGCGATACGGTTGTAAGTCACTCCGCCAACGGGCGCCGTAAATGGCACCAACTGATTTGTCTCCGGACTCCCAACACTCCCGCCGTCCCAGACACGGGTTAGATAGAACCCCCAGTCTCATTGCTCAGGGAATTGCAACCTCGTTTTTCCATCGGAGGTGGAAGTAGGGCGGGGTGCATTTCCACGGAATTTAATTCCGTGCAATAACCCGCAATCTTGTTAGCCACATTTTGTAGCCCAGTTTTACTATGCAAGGATCCAACAAGGTCGGTGAGTAGACCCGCAGGTATCGCGCTAGGTCGTGGGGCGTCCACTGAATCATGGTAGGGGGCAGGATCGCTGTTGGTAGCAAGGCCGGCGACAGAACTCCCCGGTGAGTTATGTGGCCTCTTGGAGATGGTACTAACGTTCCCCGGATTTTAGTAGAATCCCCAAGCCACATGGACTGCGGCAACCTCCACCCCCAGACTTATCCCCAGATTTTAGGGCCTCATGATTTCTATACATAACGCCGCCGCCTGCGGCTGTATCAGGTGTAACCTCCGATCTGGTCATCCATCTCTAACCTGGGAACTGTGATCAGAGCTTTTATCTTCAACTATATACCAGGATCCAAAGTCAGACAGTCTCAATGGGGTTCGACACTGCCAAGACCCGTTTTCGGGGCAAAACTGCCTATCGCATGATGGCAGCCAGTTGTGCGATGGTATGTAATTGTGCTGTCCGAACCAATATTCTGGCAACTGGTTAACATTGTTTACACCTTTATCAGGCATTTGCACTCTATGGTTATGATGCCGGTGTTCTGGGTGGCGTCCAGAACACCAAGCCGTTTCTAGATGCCATCGACGTAATACCAATCCTGACAGATATGGAGCGTCTTCTTACCCATCTCAATAGAACCCCACCGACGACTTTACGGTTCCCATGGTTGCATCTTCATATGTGTTGGCTGCTACGGTGATTTCGGCATGTGTCTTTTTCATCGGTATGCCTCTTGGAAGAAGGGGCTGCATTCTCCTCGGTGACCTCTGCGTCGTGGTCGGCGCGGCTCTGCAGGCCAGCGCCATGTCTGTCCCCCATATCATTGTTGCCCGATGCCTTTGTGTAAGTTGTACCGAAGCTCATATACACGCGGTTAACTTGCTGACTTTGAGAAACAGGGGTTCGGAGTCGGAGTAAGATAATTCTCCACCGTCTGAATCAAAGTCTGCTTCTAACAACTACTCAGCTTATTTCTAGCACTGTCCCAACATACATGGTAGGAGATGATTGCCTCTTGTGTCTATGCAATGCTCCTCGATCTGACAGGCATTCTCTAGGCCGAGATGGGAATCGAATCCTCCCAGCGAGGACCGGAGGTTGCGAAGCAGTGCGCTTGGCTCATCACCGGTATTGCCATCGCGTACTGGGTTGACTTTGGCTTCACTCGTATGGATAATCAGCTTTCTTGGGTAAGCAGCTATCATTGATAAATTTTTGTCTTCCAAGTTGCCAACAGACTTTAGCGATTTCCCATTGCCTTCCAGGCTGTTTTTGCTGCAGCATCCGGTCTCCTCCTCTGGCTTCTGCCGGACACTCCGCGTTGGTACTATGCGCGTGGGCGCATAGATGAAGGCGATGCGGTTCTTGCTCTTCTTCACGACTTACCCACGGATAGCGAGAAGGTCCAGCAACAAAAGAACGAAATCCTGACGTCACTCGCCCTGGAGGCTGAGGACGAGAACAAGCTTGACTGGAAGAGCCTCCTATTCTGGGACAAGACAGAACTGCGAGCTGGTCGCCGCATCCGTATCTCTTTCCTTATTCTTTCTATTCAACAAATGATGGGTAAGAAAGACTGGTGTCAAGGCATGAATGTTATACGAGACACATTTTGTGTTTACTAACCGCTCATTTTCTAGGCATCAACATGTTGGTGTATTACAGCACTAGAATCTTCGCGAACATTGGTCTCTCCCCCTTCCTGGCACAACTCCTGGCTGCGGTCATGAACACCTTGTTTGCCGTCGGGACCTACTTCACCCCTGGCACAATTGAAAAGTTCGGTCGCCGCCCAATTATGATATGGACTGCATTGGTCTGTGGTCTATCCATGATGCTGTTCGTTATTATGATCGGTCTCCCCCATCAAACCTCAGCGACACAGTGGACTGCTGTCGCGGCTGTCATTGTATACAACTTCTCCTACGGATACGGCTGGGTAGGCTGCCCGTGGCTCTATGGCCCCGAAATCGCACCTCTCCGATACCGTCACATCAGTGGTGCCGCTGGTTCGCTCGGAGAATGGTTGTTCTCTTTCATCACTGTATTTGCTGGTGGCATCGGAGTGGACAGGACAGTTTGGAAGATCTGGGTCTGGCAGATCATTGCTTGCTTTGGAGTCATCCCGTTCGTCTACTATATGTGCCCTGAGGTGAGCTTATATTCCTGACGATGATCCCATTACTTGGATATATTACTAACATGGCATCTACAGACCAAGGGTAAAAGTCTCGAGGAAATTGATAGCTTATTCGCAGTACCTGGATATTATCACTCAGCTGGAGCACAGGAGAAAGCCATACAAAATGCTGAAACCATCAGCAACACGTCGCATCTTGATGTTGTAATCGATGAAAAGAGAGACTAAATCTGGGTAATCAAGAGAAAAGCTCCGCGGATTTAGGTTCATGACTGGGCCAAGCCAGAGGAAGCTGAGTAGCGTATGTAGGAGGATATGAGAGAGCTGATATAACCATGTTATACAAGTGGATTGGCTAGTTACCTAGTCAATAGCTACCCAATGCACACTGTGATAAGTCCCATATGCGAGAACAGGTAGCGCTTTCAGTGAGTTTGAGATTGAATAGGTCGGGACTCAAGGCCTATTGTTGCTGCTTGCTGGCCGAGGCCTGTCAACGAGGAAGTGTGACTTACAGGTACCAAATAGCGCCTCCGATGGCAAAGAGCTGGACCTCTTTACCTCGTAGCTTACGGTGTAGAGCCTTGGAGCCGACTGACGTGATTCTTACTGACCAGGTACGCCCTACATCGTCGTCAGATCTAGTGGAGGGTAACGTATTGCCGGACTTGGGAGGTAGCCATTTTCCCCTCCGAGGCCGATATTCTGCCGTGCAATGGTTTGTTTGAATGAACTCTAACAGTACGAAGTGGACTCGAATGTCCCAATTGAGGTGCTCGGGAGCATACATTGAAGAGGAAGCGGGGTTATATTGTAATTATGGACACGAATCACGCACTGAAGGGATAAACTCTCGCCACGAGCTATCTTGTCTTCAGAGGGTATCAAGGATTCCAGAGCATTTGCTACCAAATGCCTTGCAACACTACCTAATGGGAGTGTGGTGTGAGGTGCCCAAGTGCTACATCTGCCAGGTCTTAATCATATGGATACGTAGAATGCGTGGCTATCATATCCTTAACCCTTAAGTTTGTAATTGCAGGAATTGAAGGGAATTTACTGAGTGAGTGGATTTACAACTTTGTATACCTTTGAACAGAAGTCTACTGTGTTACTGTGAAATAGTCTCCAGAGACTACATGTTCAACGAACATATTCAGAGTAAAATGCTCATGTTTTTTTTTAACGCAAGTCCTACTGCAACTATTCAAAACACTTCAATAATTGTTCACCCCATACTCTGAGGTGGTTTTGGCGATTTCGAAAGTAGATAACAATTTAGAAGCCATTGGCATATTGCGCTAAAACGCATGGATCCGAGAAGGCACTGGAAGACCACGTGTGTAGTGGGAACTAAGTCCAGGGATGGTGCAGCAGGCAATGGAGTGGGGAGCGGGGGTGGCGGCAGGTACGAAGGCCAATTTGTACTTTCTCTCTTTCATTTGAGGAATTGTTGTGGGGGGGGGGTTGATTTGGTTGCTTAGCGATAGGACTCACGCTAAAGAGCTGCAAGCGCCATACTCCAATACTCGTACATACATTTGTCGCAGGTGGTCGGCGGATCTGAGACGAGTCTCAGCCAGAAAAAGAGGAAAAGTCTCTAAGTGGGCCCTAGCAAGCTAAAGGACACCCGAAATGACTAACCTAACCATACTGCGGGGTTTTGCTGGGGTAGCTCCAGAGGAGGGGATCCGGGTCGCAGTTATGAAATGGAGAGGAGAGCCGCCTGACCCTCATCCAACCTCTGGTTGCAGCGCCAAGTTTAGTATCCTACCTGTTTCTGACCATCGAGAAGTTTGTTGCATTGTTTGTTTCATTGTCATTTGCGAACCTCGCGAGGTTGCATTGCCGCCTCTCCAGATTGGGGAATACACCAAAGATGGACACCAAGAAGCATGTTACCACTGCCTGTAGGCATTGTCGGCGGAGAAAGATCAAGGTGAGGACGGGAGGCGCGGTGAATTGATTTCATCTTTGTGGAGATTGCTCGCCTCTTGGGGGAAAATGTATTCATCGTTAATATGTGTGTCTTCAGTGCGACGGCCGCTCGCCATGTGCCAACTGCAACTCTCTCAAGCAAACCTGTATCTACAATCCGGACGACGACAAGAGGAGGTATGTAACGTGGTGTGCTATCTACTCTTGGCCGCAGCGATGCTGCGCTCTGTTGCACAAGAAAATCTTCTATTGACTGCCTACGCATCAGAGTGTCGATTAAGAAGTCGCAGAGTGCGCTGGCGGCACGGCTTGCACAACTAGAAGGCACTCTCCAGGCTCACAATATCGCCGTACCGCCGGCAATCGAACCTCAAGAGTCACATAACCGTCGACGCAGGGGAAGTGCCAGGCAATCGTCCACCTCCAATCCGCTCAACGCGAGCTCAGATGATGCGACAAGTAACATTGCCCATGCGCCCCGATCACCATGTCCACCATCCAAACCACCCACGCTAGAATCATCACCACCAATAGCCACCCAGGACTCGGTTACCGTCACCACACGATCAGTGTCGTTCCCCGAGAGTGCTCTGTTTGACAGACCCAATGTCCCGCATGAACCAGCATACGTGCCGCTCCAGAATACGTTCTGCGGCTTCACGCCGAGCTTTCCTGACGACGGCACTGATGAGTTTGACTTCTCCTTGCCCTTGAATGCCGACTCTCCCCCCAGCCCTGGTTTGAACTACGCGCCAGTCTTACCGGATCCAACCCCTGCCCCGGATGATATCACCAATTCCTTGGCAGCCAGAGTCGGCTCTCTTCAGATTGCCGAGGATGGCCAGCTACGCTACTACGGTCCGACATCGAATCTACATCTCTACCATAGCGGCCTTCAGTCCCTCTCTCGGTCCACCATCCGACACGTGGCAACCGAGGGTTCGCAGGCGCTGAGGCGAGCCGGTTTGGGTCAACGAGTTGATCCAGAAATCGAGATGCGCCTTGCCGAGTTATATTTCACCTGGGAAGACCCCGCCATCCACGTGATTGACGAGGAGATCTTCTATTTGGAGAAACAAAGGTGCCTTGATGGCGTAACCAATACTCCGTACTACTCTGAAACCCTGAATAATGCCATTTGCGCCATTGGCGCCAACCTCGCCTCTGGAGAACAACTTGGTGTTCCGGAACCGGCTCCAGAATTCTTCTCTGCCCGTGCCAAAGTCCTCCTAGACATAGAGATGGACAGTCCGAGCGTCGCGACGGTCCAGGCTTTGGTAATTATGAGTGCGTCAGAGGCTGCGTTTACCCGCGATGCCAGGGGCTATCTATACAGCGGCATGGCTGTCCGCCTGAGTGCCGATCTGGGCCTCCACCTGGACCTCACGGAACACTATAAGAATGGCATCCTGACGCAAAGAGACCTCAACGTGCGAAGGACAACGTTCTGGGGCGTGTTCATTCACGATAACATGTGGAGTCTTTACATGGGACGGCCGTGGGGAATCAGCATTCGTGACATCTCTGTCTCACGACCCCTGAAGGAGCTGGATTCCGTCAGACAGAAGATGTGGTCGCCCACGACGCCCAAGGTTGGCGATAGATCGGTGATGGCTTTTGAAGGTGCCATGCTCGACCCCTTGGAGGCTTGCACTGATGCCAACATCACGCTGTGCGAGTTTATGCGACGCATAAACCGCACTCTATACGCCGGCCGCAATGTTGACGCGAACGAAATGGTCGAGTTCCTGTCGCGCACAAGAAAGGAGCTCTGGGACTGGATGGACAACCTACCAGAAGAGCTGCGAATTAACCTGGCCGTCCAAGATAAGGTGTACCTCCCGCATGTCCTGCAGCTGCATATGCAGTTTTACGCCCTGGTTATCTTTCTCTTCCGACCCTATTTCTCTAGAGATATCCTGCGGTGGACACAATCCATGTCTGACGAAGGCCGGTCGGCCGTGGTTACTGTCCGGACCGACTGTATTTCTGCCGCCCATAGTCTAGTAGAGGTTCTCCGGTACTTCCGGAAACAGCACTCTTTGCGCTATACAAACATTCAGATCGTCCATCTCATCTTCACGGGATCGCTCGTACACATCTACAATGCATGCACCTGCAGCCCAAGCGAGTCGCAGACTGCTCTCGATGATTTGCAATTTTGCTGCCAGTCGCTTGGTGAGATTGGACAGACCTATGGAAATGCAACGAGAGCCCTCGAAGTAATCATTCTCATTAAGAGGGAATGGCAGAGGCTAGCTACCGTTCGCAATGTGAAGCGACCCGGCTCCTCTATATACAGTAACAATTCCACGACAGAAACTTCTCGGCAAAAGAGACGGAGTCTGTCATCTGCAGCTTCTTTCAACCCGCTGAACCCTCCACAGTTTATGATGCCCTCCGCCTTTGAGACATTCAGAGTACCACTAGACTCGATGCGGCAAACACCCCTTCCAGGCATACCAAAGAGCAGACAGGAAATGTACGATGCGTGGCAATTCCTCAACTGGACCGACCCCAATGTTGAGCTGGAAGGGCTCAATGGGACGGGACGGATGGAAGACCAACTGCTCCCGTCTAATCCCGACGAGAGCACAATATTTGTCAACACGGATCCCGAAGCAGGGCATGATCCTGGCGCAGAAGCAGGATGACATATACAAGGCGAATTCCTCGAAGCACGTACGGAGTAGTTGCTGTATAGTAGAGGAGAAAAAAAAAAAATTCGGTGCCTCCTGGTAACCAAACACTGTGCATGCTGCTGTTATACAAATAAACTGCAGCACTTACAGATAACAATGTTGATCCCGGCGTATTATTGTTATTTCAAAAAATTATACCTGTGAGAAGGGTGGGCTGCCACTGCCCTAATTCTGTAATACAGTGCTCTGCCTGGGAATGAGCAGGACATCCGTATTAACCCGGAGATGATGGCCGTTCTGCGGTCTGCTGATCCCATGGGAAACATGGCCCAATTCTCACTGACCAGAATACATTTCTCCAACACACAATAAGTACGGATTTGCGGAATTGCAAATTCCCTTGCCCCACCTTCTCAGCCTCAACTAACCCTGCAACTTACCCTGGTCCCTATGTCGTATTAACCCAGTCATATAGTCAAAAGACGCACTGTCTTCGAGAAATTTCTTGAAAACACCTCAAAATCTCAAGTGAATTACCCAAACCAGGGCCTTACTCAGCCATGGCTGGTCAGAAACTTTTCATGTATGTTGTTGCAAATCAAGGCCCCGACAGTCAGTCAGTCGCCTATCTAACAGAATTTTAGTACCGGAGCTACCGGATTCATTGGAGGAAGTGTCCTTAACAAGATCATTGCGACTTACCCGGATCTTGATATCACAGCTCTTCTTCGAACACCTACCAGCGCTTTTGCAGCTAAATACCCCAATGTCAAGGTTGTCAAGGGCAGCTTCGATGACTTTGATGTAATTGAAAAAGCAGCACAGGATGCTGACATCACCATCCGTACGTCCACCGCAGAGGAAGCGTCGAGTAATTGACCAAGAGGAGTAAGACAGTGCCGCTGATTCCAGATTTATTGTTAGATACCGGAGACATTGACCACCCTGGATGTGCCAAGGCTATCCTCTCGGGTCTCGGGAAGAAGACAGAGATGAGTTTTTTGATCCATTTGACCGGGACGGGCTGCATCTCGGACGAGCGTGAGCAGACCTGGGAAGGTAAGTTCAATCCTCATGTTTGGGACGACATCAATGAGATTCAGGAGATCTACGACCTGCCCGACAGTGCCCAGCACCACGTCATCGATAAATGGATTCAAGACGCTAGCAGGGGCCTGGTTAAGACTGTGACCATCTGCCCCCCAGATATCTACGGCCAGAGCTCCACAATCGGAAACCGCGCGACCTTTATGGTCCCTGATTATGTCGCTGCGGCGAAGAAATACGGTGAATGTTTCTACCTTGGTGCGGGAGAGAATATGCGAGCCATCACACACATCGACGATGTTGTAGACCTCTTTTTGCTCATTCTACACAAGCATCTCGAGGGTGGCCAGGAGCTGCAATACGGCAAAGAGGTACGTATCACCAGCCACGGTGAGATCTTCACTCTGTATGGCCAAGGCTGAGAGCAAACGACTGAACCTGGTGACATAGGGTTTCTATTTTGCCGTCGCCAGCGAGGTAGCATGGAAATCTGCTGCGGAGGCCATCAACCAGCTGGGCCTGGAGCAGGGTTGGTTGCCCCAGGGCACCAAGGCAGCATCGTGGAACAAGGAACAGCTGTCAGCGGTTCTTCCTGAAGACCCTGGCCGTGTCTTGTACCTATGGGGATCCAACAGCCGAGCTGAGTCTTCGAGAGCGAAGAGATTGGGGTGGAATCCTCACGCGCCGAGCTTCTGGGAGGCTCTCGCCGAAGATTGCCAGGTAGCCGCTTATAATTTGGCGAATTAAAGCACCAAACTTGTAGCATTCCATAGCTGTCTGATAGTGAACTATCCTAAAACTATGTAAACTTATTAACCTGCCAATTCAACATGTAATTACAGGTAGGTACTGCCTTCCATTTGCCACGTAGCTAATAAGCATCTGCCAAAATCATTCTTGCGAAGTGCCGACAAACTAGACTTACTAAGATCCGACCAAATAATTCAAAAATGGCTGTCGAGACGAACTCACGGGATTTTGAATCCCGGAGAGTATTTCCGCCGCCTTGGTGCCGTATCTGCGGGCGGGGGCTTGTCCGCGCCTGGTGAGTTGGGGAACGAACAGAGCCCCCCTAATCCGTGCAACGAAAGATAATAATGGACAACTTCTAGACCTTGGGCTTGTAAAAATCACACATTATCTGACCACTTGGTGCTGCCCTTGCTACTTTTCGCTGCTCTTTACTGCTGATACTCACAATGACTTTCATGTTTCCAGACTTCGACGACCTTCCAGAGGTTGCCCGCTGCCCCAAAGGGTGCATTTGGGGGTTTTATGACCGAGATGGTGTGAAGGATCAGGTTGGATGTATAATAGCTCAAGTCCCCCCAGCTTTGGACTTATGGCTACATGCTGACGGGGGGGGGGGAATCCAGCTCTAAATCTTCTCACCACAGCTGTCGTTAAAGCGGCAAGCTCCGAGATTGAAACTGGACGCCACGTTCAACTAGATTGGCCTCTAGAAGCTCTCAAGTTCCCCGGTTTCGGTCGGAGAACCATCAACCAGAAGGTCATAGATTCGTCAGCAACACTCAACGAATATGCGCTCGATGACGAGTTACATCTCAACACTCAAAGTGGTTCGCAATGGGATAGCCTGAAACATGTAGGCGCCTTCAATCAAAAATCGTTTGAATTCTCAGCTGACCAGAAGTGCTCAGTATGCGTACCAGAAAGGGCAGATGTTTTACAACGGTCTGACATACGAAGAGGCCAAGACATCCGACAGAAATGGAATTCACAGTAAGCCTTAGGCAGATCTAAAATAGTGTATGTCGTCGTACAATGGCTAATCGACCATGAGTAGACTGGTGCGAGCGGGGCGGCATCGTCGGTCGAGGTATTCTAGTTGATATGGTAAGATATTACAGCCGCCCGCACCACATCGGTCGTAATATTTAACCAATTGTCATATTACACGCAGGTTAGGTATTACGAGAAAACGACTGGAAGAATTCCAGACGCATGGTCGACCTTCGAGATTACTGTATCTGATCTCGAAGCAGCTCTCGCTCACCAGGGCACCGTTACTCGGCAAGGCGACATCTTGCTCATCCGTTCGGGATACATAAAGCGGCACAACGAATCGACAGACAACGAGCGCCGTGCAGGAACTCAGCAGAATAGCCACGCTATTGGACTCGCCCCTAGCGAAGAGACAGTCCGTTGGCTCTACAAGCACCATTTCGCAGCAATGGCCGGGGATACGGTGGCGTTCGAGGCGTGGCCAAGAGACATGGAAAACCCGTGGGCCCTGCATGAATGGTCTCTCGTATGGTGGGGGACACCGCTGGGTGAACTATGGAATCTGGAGGAGTTGAGCAGGCAGTGCGAGCAGCATTCGCGATGGAGCTTCTTTCTCACCAGCGCACCGTTGAATGTCCGAGGTGGTGTGGGAAGCCCTCCTGGGGCCATTGCCATATTCTAGAACCGTTCGATGTCATCCATCATCAAGTCACGTAGTTGTTCAATAAGTAATTACAATTGAGCCAAATGGATAGCGAGTGCCCAGTCTGGCTAACTGTCAGCATTGTATCGGATAATGAACCGTCATATTGTGAGAGGCATGGTGCAGCTGGCAGAACGGCACATTAAGCCACGCCGTCACCTAATCCTCTACGGAAACAAGATTTCGGGTTCTTTGTCTCTACGATCCATTTCCTGACACTTGACATACAAGGCATTTCAAATTCCCGAGAATGGACCTTCATTCTCGGCCAGCAGTGTGGCGGTGAGATGCCCGTCGTCGCACTCGTTGCGCATGCGGAGCGGAATTTAGATTCCGGCGCCCCTATCCCAGTACAACCTGAGCGAACGGCCGTCAATTTGCGGTAATCGCTCCATGACCAGGAAATGTCATACCCAAAACCCCAATGGTTGCTACAGCGTAATACATATTTTGCATGCTATGCTGTCAGTGTCGGAGTAACGATCGGTGTTAGTTATTCTTTCAGACTCCACAGTCCACACCATCCGCTACGGAGCTCGTCAAACGACCACGATCCTGCACAATGAGTCGGATTCTTGCAAATGGCGTCAACAAGACATCGTCTCTCGCAAACGCACTGTCCGATGATGAGAATGCAGTGAGAGAAATCAGGAAATTCCTCATTGATATCGTCCGTCAAAATGGCGGTGGACATGGAGGGTCCGCCATCGGTATGGCACCTCTCGGGGTTGCGCTTTGGAGGCATACAATGAGATACAATCCGCTCAATGCAGATTGGTTCGACCGCGACCGTCTGGTGCTATCAAATGGCCACGCCGCCATGTTCATCTACACCATGATGCACGTCACAGGCTATCCCGGCATGACATTAGACGAAGTGAAGCTGTACGCAAGTCCCAAGGCGGTAGATGTGAAAACCGGGACATGGAAATCAACGATCTGCCACGGCCATCCCGAGATTCAAGTCCCTGGAGTTGAAGTGACGACAGGGCCTCTCGGTCAAGGAATAGCCAACGCCGTTGGGCTGGCCATTGCCTCCAAGCACTATGCCGCCACTTTCAACCATGACGGCCACAATAACATCAGCTCGAGGATATACTGCATCACTGGGGATGGATGTCTCCAAGAAGGTGTTGCCCAAGAAGCCATGGCTATCGCAGGCCGCCTGGGTCTTGACAACCTGGTTCTCTGCTACGATAACAATCAAGTCACCTGCGATGGGCCGCTACACTGGATCGTCACCGAGGACACCAATGCCAAGCTGCGAGCACTTGGTTGGCATGTGATTGATGTATTCACCGGTGACACTTCTGTGCAGGACATATTGGCTGCCCTGACTCTTGCAAAGTCGGTGAAGGGTCAACCCACAATGATCAACATCCGCACGACGATTGGTTATGGCACCTCTACTGCCGGTACCTTCAAGTCCCACCACGGCACTTACACTAATGACGACGCCTCTCTCTACGCCTCTGGCACCGATACAACACACACCTTATCGGCCAGGACAAAAGCCTACTTTTCTGAGTGTGCAGCCGTCGGCCAAGCTCTTGAAGGGAAATGGAATGACAACTTGAAGAGATACGAAGCTGCCTTTCCCGAGGCGTACAAGAGTCTCCAAGACCGAATGACCGGAAAGGTAGATGTCGGAGACCTTCTCACTAGTATGGAAGTTCCAAACACGATCAAGTCTACTCGAGAAGTCAACGGCACTGTTTTCAACAAACTCATGGCCCAAATTCCTAGCATGATGGCCGGCGGAGCAGATCTCTGGAACTCCAATCAAATGGGGGATCAGTCTCCTCGGATCTTTGATAGCGCTCACCCAGAAGGGCGAGTCATCCGTTATGGCATCAGAGAGCACGCCATGGCATCGATATCGAATGGTCTTGCTGCGTATTCTCCACAGGGCATTATCCCCGTCACAGCAACATTCTTCATGTTCTACCTATATGCCGCACCGGGGGTGAGGATGGGAGCACTGAGCGACCTGCAAGTCATCCATGTGGCAACCCACGACTCAATCGGAGAAGGTCAAAACGGCCCCACACATCAGCCTGTCGAGCTTGACTCGCTCTATCGCGCTATGCCTAACCTACTATACATGCGCCCTTCAGATGCCGAGGAAGTGGTCGGCGCGTGGATGGTGGCGTTGGAAGCGATCAAGATGCAGAGCATCATCTCGCTTGCTCGTGACCCGGCTTTGTTCAAGATTCCTAACACCAACCGGGCGAAGGTGTCCAAGGGCGGATATGTCATCAAGGAGAAAGAAGACGCCTTGGTGACCCTGGTTTCGTGCGGCTCGGAGCTTCAGTTTGCGACAGCAGCAGCCGACGAGCTCGATGGGTTAGGTATCCCAACAAGAGTTGTCAGCATGCCTTGCATTAGGCTGTTTGAGCAGCAGGCCAGCGATTACCAGGATGAAGTCCTTTCAGGTTCGCTCCACATTATTTCCGTCGAGGCATATGTTTCTACCATCTGGGCGCGGTACTGTACCGGGTCCATTGCGCTGGACTCTTTTGGATATTCCGGTGCCGGTCTTGATAATTTCAAGAGATTTGGCATTGACAACCAGAGCATCGTCAGGAAAGTCCAAGCACATATAGATGCGCTCAAATCGGCGAAGAAGCCCAGAAGATGGACCTTGCTTTGATATTGTCCAGCATCGCCGAACTAAGGTAAGCCACAGCATGTTATAGTAATAATTAGCAATCACCAAGAGATTTCCACCTGCGCACCCAAGCCAATGACGTGCTCGATAGCTTATAGCTCTGGCAAGAATGCTGAACACTCTTTAGTGTGGGTTTAATATGTCAGCGCCAACAACCCCAATGACCATCTTATTGCAAGTAATAGTATTGAAATTAGTTATTCTATAGAGGCTGACATCTGTTACATTGCGGTATGGCTCAATTGGCGTCAACGGCGCGAGAATCCCGCGAGTCCAACGATACAGACAAATGCTGTGCTCGACGCCATCAAGTTGACACGCTAAGGCACACGCATAGGCGAGATCATAAAGGGAGAATTTTCAAAGCGTTCACATATACCCAGCGGAAACAGATGAAATACACAAAGAGGAGGCCATACGTCTAACGAAAGAAAAGGCTATTAATGGTGGTCACCACATCCACTGCTGGCTAAGGATCGTGCGTGACGTGTTTTGGAATACCATCAATTAGTTTAGCGTTAAGCAGCGCCGCCATTCTAAGATAGATCAAAAGTCATTTCTCAATACAAACGGGCTAATCACTCGCGCCTCTGGGGCTTCGTCGCGATTCATATCAAGCTAGCCGTCTTTCTGCCATAAGTCATCTGTTATTAAGCTTTCAATTCTATGCTTACTAACCAAGCTATCATGATCTCGGCTAATGAACATATAATTCCGCTGCGTAATCTGTACACGCTTCTACCGTTGTAGAGTGGTAGAAAAATTCTTTATCCCGAGGTCCTGTGCCTCTGAAGTGCGGCTCTTTGTAGTCGACGGCTACGGAAGCTACATTTTTACCGAGTTTCGATAGCTCTGTTTCTAGCACAATATGCCCCTACTTTTCCTACCACCTTATACCTATCATGTTTTATAGCTCTTGGATCCAGCGTATTCTTATCACTTGAGGTAGCTTTTCACAAAGAGTTAAGTAACTTAGTCAACTTGACAGATTCTGCAGTAGTCAGGAAGTGCGGCTTCTTTGACTGCTATAGGAGAACGCGTCTAGCTTATTCAATAGAAAGCAACGGGTCTTGGACTAGCTAAGCTAATACTTAACTCTCTTTGGCTTGAGAACTCTAATAATCCTGTTATTCTACCCGTCGAGCCAAGAACTTCCGGAATAATTGGTAGTCTAATATGTAAGGGAACGTAAGATTTTCAGTTGCTTAGGGTAAGTAAGCTAGGCCTTGTCAAGTAGCTAAAGAATTTCACAAACTTTCGTCAAGGCAATAGAGTATTATCAATGTGTGAGATTGATACTTAGATTTATCACTGAAGATGAACAAGACTATCAGACACGTGGCCCTGTTTCTCCTCCTGCAGGCTGATAGGTCCGTGCTGAACATCCTTATGCATTGGCAGGGTAGCCTGCATCATGACCTGGTCCGTAACACCACTACGTAACGTCACTTATTCTAGACGTCTAGAAAGTTTGTAACGCAAAGGACGTCCAATTGGCTTCTTCCCAGCAACAGATCAGGTGTCTGGAGGCTGAGACTGAGGCTGGGAAGGCTAGGAAACGCGGGAAGGTTAAAACAAGCCCAAATTTGAAGCTTGCCAATGTTGAGGCCATCTACCGGACCCAGGTAGAGACTGGTGAGACTGAAAATAGTCTAGATGAACCAAGCGAGTCAATATACCTAAGAAGTTTGGAAGTTGTATTATAGTACGCCCGATAGTACAGATGGAGTAGGTTGAATAGAGTGGTCTAAGCCTTGGCACTGGGTTTCAGATTGACTAGAAAGTGTGCTCTCCGACTCAAATGGTGTCTAGAGCGGGGTTGGTGAACCAGGATAGTGGCTGTTGCTTCCACAGATTCCGCATCTCGCTTATTAGAACATAATGTGGCACAGGGATTGAAATGCTGTCCACTAAGTACTATTACGTTGCAAATGCGATCAACCGGAAGCATTTTGACTGCCAATTCTCGATGCAATACGCTAATCAAGTCAGCAGCCCGAGGTCATCTCCAAGATGGCACCCTGCTCACACAACATTCTCTCCTCTCCATTTATGACAGGTTGAAGAAATACGTGACCATAGCTAATTTCACAACCAAGCATGACTCGGAACAGATCGAATTTCGATGGGTAATGCGAGATCGGTTCGTGGTTGGTGTCAAGTCTACTCTGCAGTTTTCCGACAGCACGAAAAAGAAGACTACACCGAAATAGGCATATTTGCGAATGGACGGGATTATGGTTCCGCCTCGGAAGGTGGACCGATTTCCGCCCTCGCTCCGTCCAAATCCCACCAGATGCACCGATCAAATAAACAAGCACAAGATTATGGCAAATTAAATACATAGAAATTGCGAGATTATGATTTTCTGCACAGATCATAGCCTAGGTTGCCAAACACGAGTCAGCGAGAGCAGAAGTCATACCAACATCACCAATCCAGATTAGGAGGAACAATCGATATGGCCACCACTGCCAACACGCACCCCCTTGGAATCACAGGCTTCGCCTTGGTAACAGGCGGTGGCTCAGGTATCGGACGGGCCACCTGCTTATTATTAGCGAGGGAAGGATGCGCGGGTATCTGCGTCGCTGATATATCGTCCAAGGCTGCATCCACTGTGGTCGCCGAGCTGCAGCAGGTCGCAAGCAACCCGTCCTTTAAGGCTACACAATATGCTCTGGATGTTGTGGATGCCAAGTCTGTGCAAATGATGATAACGAAGGTGGTAGAGGAGTTTGGACGAGTTGACTACGCTGTGAACTGCGCCGGAATTGGCGCCATCAAGCATGGATTGGCCGAGACGGAACAGGATGAGTGGGACCGTATGATCGCAGTCAACCTTACCGGTGTCTTTGCGTGCGTCAAGGAAGAGATTCAGCAGATGATGAAGCAGGAGCCGTTCCAGACTAGGTATATCCTTATCATTCCTATCAACTCATGTGCCCGACCCTTCGAGAAGTTTGTATGAAACAGGAAATGTGCAACTAATCACGGCCTTATCAGCACCTACGCTCCGCTCCAACGTGGGGCCATCGTCAACATCGCATCTCTCTCCGGCCTCGTTGGCCTGCGTCATTCCGGCGCCTACACAGCAGCAAAACACGGAGTGGTGGGTATTACACAAACGGCCGCCCTTGACTATCCCGAGGTGAAGTCGAATGCGGTGGTACCGGGCTACATCAAGACACCCTTGACATCGGTGCCTGGAGAAATGCAGCGCAACGCGCTGGAGAAGGTCAACAACTGGACGCCTATGAAGCGCTTCGGTCTGCCTGAGGAGGTAGCTGAGGGCATTGTCTGGCTACTAGGGAGCAGGAGCAACTTTGTGCATGGGACCTGTCTGACTATTGATGGAGGGTACTTGTCTCATTAAGGTTAGCCAGGTGCGGTAACTTGGGAATCAACCCAAGAGATCGACGACTTTACGGTGTTTTGTGAATGGGCATTTTGAATCATGTATAAACATACTTAATTCTGGTTAAACAGATAGCTTAACGATTATAGTCCAAGTCCTCCGCAACACAATGCCTCAAGCTTGTTTAAAGTAGATGTATTTGGGTGTTTGGCAAGCCTGTAGTCTCTAATATACTGTACAGTAAACGTGCAATATGCGGGAAGCGAGTAGAAATAGGCTGGGTTGCTTGCCCACTGGGTAAATGACTGGGTGGTGTTTTTGGTATGACGTGACTGGCAAAAAGGGCTCCAGCGTAGATTGAGTGCAGTTCTTCGCGAGCGGCTTCCCTTCAAACCGGTCCTCAGAGCCTCCAACTGTCAAAAGAAGGCCAGAAAAGATGTATATCGGCATGTATCGCTTCACCCTGGACAAGAGATGGCCAGCTCCCAGATTGAACGTGACCATTACAATGACGTATGGCAATAGTCGAACAGCAGCTTCCAGTGCCGAATCATTGTGTACAAATTGAAAGTAGATGGGGAAAAAATAGAGGAAGACAAAGAGGGTAGCGTCGTTAGCAGCCATGGCGATGTAGAGCAGAAAGTGTGTCCGAGTGAACAGCAAGTTCACGGGAAAAGATCGCGTCTCTCGACTTGTACACAGGCACAAACCCTGTTGTAAAGCATACGCAATCAATACAATGCCGAATACAACAAACATAGAAATGGTTCTTCCATCGTTCCACGCCCATTGCCCGCCTGCCATTGTGAACGCTAATGCAAAGGTCACCCATACGCCTGCTATTTTAAATTTAATATAAAATAAATAAAATATTAAATAATTAATTCTAAGAAAAAAATATTAAAAAAAAAATTATAAATAATTATTTTTAAAATAATTTATTTTATATTTTTAATTATAATATTTTAAAAATATTTTATATAAGTACTTACCTAGCCCTAAGGTATAAAGTAAAATATAATTATAGTATATATAAAAGAAAAAGTTTATATATAGTATTTTAATGGGCTGTCAATTATTAATGCAGTTAGTACAGGTCTCACTACGCAGCTCGGCTATGCTGTGGCGTCGTTTGTTGTGGAGCCCCAAGAAGTTAGATATGCTATAAGCCTACAGAATCTAGCGCAGCTGAGTGCCAACCTCATTTCCCTTGTTATTGCTGGCCAGATTTTCCAAGCAGAAGCAGTCAGCAACCTGGAGAGAGTGCTCGTCGGGACCAACTATTCACACCAAGACATAGTGGACGCAGTATCCGGCGCACAGAGTATACTTTTTCAGCAAATCAGCGGCGAGCTGCGCGATCAAGCGGTGAACGCAATCACACAGGCCATACAAAAAGCGCTCTATCTATTGCCAATTGGGGGCGGTGTTCTCCTCATGGCGGCGCTATTCATGAAACGAGAGAAGCTTTTTGGGGAAATTGTGGCCGTTGGAGCTTAGTTGAGACAATTTGCGTGTACTACTAGGTTAGATGTATGGGCCTAGATCCAAGGTGAATAGCTTTTGAGATACCCTTAGTGTCCATTATTAATGAACTCGTATTGCTGCCATGGCTCTTTTCATCATGTCAGACAATATTACTGATGCCTCGATGTAGTCTAATCAACTACAGAGCTTCAATGCATGTGTACATAGGTGTCGCAACATGGCGACCTAGGCTAAGAAGATCGACAGCGCTAGAAGAAGAGGTATGTTCTAAAAATCTCCCTAGCATAGCTTCCAGAGCCTAGAACTAGTAGAAAGGGGTAATGGGGCAGCTTCCATAAGCGCAAAGAAAATTTCCGCCAGGCGCTAACGTGGAGCTGGAGCTCACAAATCCTTGATGGAAAGCTGTTTCTTTTTGGGGTGATTCTTGCGAGAACAGCATCAGATTTCATAGAACAACGAACTGCAGAAACTCGGAGTATTAACTTACTAGAATCCCTATAGGTATACGTTTCGATGTTGCTGCATCAAGTACACACGTCTAGCTGTATGTAGCCTTGAGCTATTTGCCGGCAATCAGTGGGAGCCCTAGACTGTCTTTGGGCTTGGTCTATGTTTCAAGCCACTCGGCAATCACTGCCAGATGACCTCGGAAAGCCACCAAGCTACGGCCCGCATTTAGGCCAGAGTCGCATCTGTCCTCCCAGCTGTCTGTTTTGGGTAAATACTGTACTCACGATATTCCCTGTCCTGTCGGAAGCAATGATCTGCCAATGCGTTCAGACCCTTTTTCTACGCCCTGATATTACTTATTACAGACACTGCTAGAATAGTCTTACAAAACAATGCGTGGTAGTAACCCCAATATATTTCAGAAGAACTTACAAATCCAGGAATTCAATGTCCATGGAATGAGTCTTTGAGTAAGTTAAAAAGAGATTGACTGGCACCCAATCCTACGAGAACATATCAGTGCAGTCACAGCAGTCACAGCAGCAACATTTCAGCCCATCAACACCTAACAACCACTCCAGCCTTGATTTCTAATTCTACATCTCCTTGCCCACTTTACAATGTCGAAGAAGATTGCAACCATCATTGGAGCCACAGGCAAGCAAGGCGGAGCTGCTGTCGATGTATTCCTTCAAAAGCCCGAGTACCGTGTTCGCGGCATAACACGCAATACAGACAGCAGTGCCGCTAGGGCTCTCAAGGCCAGAGGAGTCGAGGTTGTGCAGGCCGATCTCAACGATGAAGCTACATTGGGGGTGGCATTTGAGGGCTCTCATGTCATCTTTGGCACCACGGACTTTGTTCCCGGCTTTCTCCAGTATGGCAGCGAGAGAGGAAGGGATATCGAGGCCGAGCAAGGTCGCAACGTCGCGCGTGCCGCGCAAGCCACGCCTACGCTTGAGCATTTCATCTGGAGCACTCTGCCCTCGACTTCTAAGATTAGCAATGGCAAATACGCGTGTCCCAACTTTGAGGGGAAAGAGGCGGCCAATGATTTCATCCGCACCCTGCCTGATCTTCTTGCCAAGACAACCTTCGTATTGGTTGGCTGGTATGACTTGAATTTTAACTATCCCTGCTATAAGCCTGTCTGGGTGGAGGAAGCCAATCGATATGTCGTCATCGGAGACTATGAGCCAGACGCTGCCTTGGTCTATATTGGCGACGTCGAGAAGAATCTTGGACCGTTTGTCAAGGCCATAGCGGAACAGCCAGAGAAGACCAAGAATGGCGCCATTGTTTTTGCCTATACCGACAAAATTGGATTCGAAGAGCTGTTGAAGCGTTGGGCCAGGGCGCATGGCAAGGAGGCGGCTTATGTGAGTACGAGCTACGAAGTCATGGGCGTATTGTACCCTGAATGGACAAAACTCGCCGACATGACACGTTGGATGGCCGATTATAAAGACACCTACTGGTCTTACAAAGAGGGTGAATTCCTGTCCTACAAAGACCTAGGCATTCCCGTTGGCGACTTCGTCTCAATGGACGAGTCGCTCAAATATCTGGAGATTGTTTAGTGTATCTGCATATTTTAGCTAGCGAAAATTCCAATTCGAATGTTCCAAACCCTACTTCCAGTAAAGGCGAAATAGTATTCAGAATCTGAGCTCCAATACAATGCCATTGGCAATGTGTGAGGTCATAGACGACTTACAGCGTCCATATCTTTAGCGGCAAACAAATCATGTTCCTTCGTAAAGCTCGATGGTGGGTATTTCCGTACTAATAATGGTTACCTAGATCAATCTATACTAATACGACCATATGCAACGCAATGAATGATGTGATTACGCACCCTTCCTCATCATGATATAGATGATAAAATACAAACTCTTACTTCTATTATACGGCTTTGCGTAATACTTCAAGTACTTAGATAAGATGTAACTATACTGATTAATGAGTATAATCAGAGTAGAAATCCTATTTATAAGTATGATATGGGAAGAGAACTGCAAGAAGAGGAAATAAGGGTTCCAGCCGCGGTCTTAGAGATTCGCACGACACTTCTTCACTACATACAGCATAACAAAAAATAAATTTCAACTTTTTCTAACAGGACCTATGACATGAGTTCATACCGCCTAAGTTAAACACTAAATCATGTAGGGACTCTGCCACTACCATATTCGTTAATATTTTGTACGAGTAAATTACATTGCCAGAATGGCTTCAGCGTCCTTCTGTAGCTTCGCCATAGCTCCAATCTGCAGAGTAGGCCCAATACTGATTCGCGCAACTCCAATGTCCGCCAGCTCCTTCACCGTCAGACCGCCGGATAGATTCAGCAAAACATTCAGTCGTCCATCAAAGGCCTTGACCAATTCAACGACTTCGTTGCGTGAGACACCTCGGCCGGCACCCCATACAAAAACTGTAGTGGCGCCAGCGGCAAGGTATGCACGACCTCGCTCAATTACTTCCTCGAGAGGACCTCCTTGAACGAGGGTGTCACACCGGGCGTTGACGACGAAATCAGGCACTCCCAGTGAAGTAGCCGTGGCCATAGCTCTCTTGATCCGATCCGCTGCCTCAGAGACGCTGTACAGCTTCTTTGTGACTCCATTGTAGTCCTCCAGGTTAATGCCGACAACACCAGCTTGAATAAGCTCTGTCAGGCCGCTTTCTAGCCCATCTCCATATCCGTCCTGGTAGTCAACCGATAGTGGCTTTCCGAATTCTTTAATAGCCGTAGCGATAATTTTAGCAGAGTTTACATTAACATCCAGTGTTAAAGTGTCATCTTTGAGGCCTGCTGCTTCTGCAACCGCGTAGCTAGCTGTGGCAAGGGCCTTTGCGTTGGGTAGGGATGCTACAGCGCGCGCAGAAACTGCATCCCACACGTTGGCAAATACTAGGGGATGATGAGGAGTGTGCAAAGCTTTGAAGCTTTTAGCGAGAGCATTTCGAGTAGCGCTAGCCATGGTTGGATTGAAAAAATGTGGCGGTAATGGCCTGACAAGCTTGAAGGTGTTGATGATATTGATTGACTCGTATATACTTGAAGTCGTGCTATAACCACTCGTGATATCTGATCCATTCACATATGCCTATATATACTAATATTCTGTCCATATGCGTACACGAGCAACAACTGGGTAACAATCAATGTCTCGCAGCTATGTTCCTAATATGTTAATATGTGCGTAATGTCTAGATCAGTGCCAGCTTTGTAAGCATCCCATTTGTAAAATGCCGAAGTATCTCGCGATACTTTTCAGCGCTCTGCCCTGAATCAGCCGTCTAGCCCAAAAGAGTAGAATGGATAGCGACACTGTTTGCCTAATATTCTCTAGCACAAGCGCCATGCGACGCTCTTTCGGGCTAAGCTGCCCGCTTTGTCGGAGCTGCATCCTGCTCTGCCGAAGAATTAGCTGAATTGAACTCTCAGTAGTAGCAATTAGAAGTAAGGCGCCTCAAACATACTTGCATTTTACTAAGATTAATAGACTGTGCGTTCGGAAGACGAAGACGAAAGAACAGAAGCGTGTGCGGCATTTAGTGCTACATATCTTGAATACGTAACAAGATATCGTATCTTTTAGTCGCGTTAGTTGAAGCTTGCCCAAGGGGCACCTTGGGTACCGTTTACATGCGATAGAACACCACAAGGGATTACTGCACCTATTTGGTCTCGCTATTCTAAACCTCTCATCAAATCAAGTATGACATTTGATAGGACTTGTTCATTATAGCTAGCATATTAGCTTAATATGTTAATAATGAAGTTATTGGTTTCTGGATAAATAGACGGTAGCTTCAGCTGGCGAACTATGGTGCCGTATTTAATAGGAAAATGTCATTTTGTTCATTGATCTATATACTCTATTGAAGGTTTATCATCTGAAACTAACTATTGAACAACCAGAACGCCTCGATATCGCATTTTTCCTTCGCTCAGAGTTTTCATAGAGTCTTCAATGCCCACCTTGTTTAATGGGTAGAGCATAGTGACTGGTCGGATGTTGTGCCTGGAAGCAAAGTCCAGCATCCTCTTCAGCTCCAACCTTGACGCAATTACTGTGCCCTGAATCCGCAGTCCGTTTCCAATCATGGGGAAATGGGGCATAGTAAAGTTGCCAAAATGAACGGTCAGAGGAAGTATCATCGCCTGTGGTCTGAGGAGAGGCATGTAGGTCTCCCACTTGATTTCAACAGACGCTGTGACCATAAGTGCGTCCAGCTTCGAGGGGCCAATGTCAATGGCCTCTGTGTTGCTCGTGTTGACGAAGTGGTTGGCGCCCAGCTTGAGGGCCTCGTCCTTCTTAGACTCATTGGTAGACAAGACTACCACGTTCATGCCCAGCTTAGAGGCAAATTGAATAGCCAGATGGCCCAAACCGCCGACTCCAATAATGCCGATGGTGGATGTAGATGACAGGCCATATTTGTGTAGAGCGCTCCAAACAGTTGCACCACCACACATCAGCGGCGCTGCATCGACATCTGAAATAGTGTCTGGGATTCTGAATAAGAACGCCTCTCTCCAGACAACTGCTTCTCCAAAACTGCCCTGATCCTGGTTTGCCTCGCCATAAATTTCTCGTTCAGGGCAGTATTCATCGTTTCCACTTAAGCATTGTTCGCATAGACCGCAAGAATTGGCCTGGTACCCCCATCCAACGCGATCACCGGCTTTCAAGTGTTTGACATCTGGTCCAACCTCTTGGACGACTCCTGCTCCTTCGTGGCCAAGCGCTATCCCGGCCGCTCTGTAATGCAGATCTGTGCCACAGAGGCCAGATGCCGAGACTTTTACAAAAACTTGGTCGCCTGTTAGGTTTGGCTTTGTGGTCTGCCCCTCCTGGATACCTTCGGCAGAGCCCTTGTAGACTTTGAACGAAGGCATGATTGTGTGTAAGCTGGTGCGATGTGTATAGGAGGCTATCTATACATGATAAAAATTTTGATGCGAGTATCAATCCAGTTTATCTTTTAGTCGATTCGAGCCTTTTTTTTTGTTTCTTGCTCGTACAATAAAATAAATCCTGCCGCAACAGTATGGTTATATACTTGAGATTCAACGATATGATATCGCTACCCTCTCAGCGAATCCCAAATAGGAATATTCCTATTGTAGAGTATTCCAAAGAGCGCTTACCAAGTAGAGCCCGTACGTACTACTATTCAGTTACGCCCAGCTCTGTGTATCCTACAAATCAACTCTATCTCCTGGCATTGTGATTGTTTCATTTGCCAGCGTTGGCTAGCCCCTGCGCGAGTGACGTAGCGGTCAATGGGTAGAATAGAATCGCTATCACTAACCCCACCTAACAAACGCCCGGATGGAGTGTAAGCAATTCGATACCTTTCTCTTTTGTCTGTGCCATGCTGTTCAACCTTGATGACGACGCATGACATTGCAGCGCTCCCTTCTCCTCAAGATATACTGTACGTGTGTCAAGTAGAAGGCCAGTTACATATAGGTCTAGTTTTGTGCAACGTTATGCGCGTAATTGAGAGCTCCCGACACCATGGCCCATATTATTCGGGGTCCTCGCGGTGGGCCAGGACGCTAAACCAACCAACAATTGAAGACACAAAGAATGCCATGCTTATGAACTCAATTGCCGATGGCCTTTCTCCTCCAATGATATTTCATCTATCGCAGATAGAGTTTCTACTATCGTCCTAGACCATGAATTTGTCTCAATATTTTAGTGGGTGATCTTATGTGTCAATGAGTAGAGAAGCTCAGCAGCTCGAAAGTTTAAAAAAAGATGTCGAATAAGATTATTAGATCGGCTTTTTCGGGAGCTTTCTATGAGGTTAGCTATAAGCCGAAGAAATAACGTTGTTGCCAATTCATTTTAGGATATTGTGTTTCTTGTAAATTTTCCTATTTGGGTAAATTTTAAAACGCCTCTTCGTCTACATCAGATGCTGATTTCGCGGACTTGTTGAGGTCGGCGAAGAGCTGTACTTTTCACAAATGACTTCTCAATTATGCCCAATGATAAATAAAACGTAAATCTTATTGTATCTTCTAATTGCTAGCGACTTCAGCTTTCAATGTTAATGAAATCGCTCTGAAACATGCTTGACATTATTCGAGAGGCGCCTCTCGGCCAGGCGATTCGATTCCTCACTCGCAACAGGCTTCTTCAATATCCCGAAGAGAAGCCTAATTTCAAGCTGCCCGATCTATATGCTGCGCAGCTTGAGATCCATGAGAAACAAAGCAACGATGGCCATGCATCTTTTTCCTCTGCTCCAGGAGAGTCTAGCGTGGCAAGAAACACCAGCGTCTCTCGAGTTCGATCTGAGTCTCAGTCCGAATCGCAATCTGAGTCTCAATCTGAGTCTCTTCAGCGCTATGCGACCAATTTTGAGAGCCTGAGAACCGTAACAACAGCTCGAAGCGTTCACACTATACCATATAGTACTGAACGCGTGAGGGCAGAGAAAGAGCTCGAAATTGAGCGCACTAAATCCCTCCCTATCGCCCCTCAGAAGACAACGGACGGTGTCGTTCTTGTGGACTGGTATACTACCGATGATCCAGAAAATCCACATAATTGGTCCTCGTTTAAGAAAATCTTGATTACTGCAATCATTTGCGTATACACACTTATTGTGTACTCTGCCTCATCTATATATGCTCCCTCAGTCGAAGGAGTATCAGAACATTTTGGCGTTAGCATCATCGCAGCAGAACTTGGACTCGCGCTCTTTGTTCTTTGGTATGGAGTGGGAGGGGTTGTATTTGGGCCGCTCAGCGAGATTCCCATAGTTGGAAGAAATCCGGTCTACTACGTGACATTCATCATCTACTTCGGCATCAGTTTTCCGACAGCAGTTGTGAGTAACTTTGGCGGCCTGCTAGTGTTACGATCTCTCCAGGGATTTTTTGGTAGTCCTGCCTTAACCAACGGAGGGGGAACATTTGCCGACATGTACGATCTGATTTATGTGCCTTATCAGCTCTCGTTTTGGGTCTATTGCGCGTGGGGTGGTCCAGCGATTGGGCCGTTGATTGGCGGCTTTGCTGCAATGTTCAAGGGCTGGCGGTGGCCCCTCTGGGAAATTGTATGGATGAATTCATTCATGCTTGTGGTGATGCTATGCTTTTTGCCGGAAACGTCGGCCGCGAACCTATTGATGAGACGAGCGAAACGCCTGCGAAAGCTAGTTGGTGATCCCAGGCTTCAATCTCAGAGCGAGATTGATCAGCGCCATCTAACTGCCTCTGAGATTCTAGTTAGCGCACTCATCAGGCCGATTGAGATTATGATTAAAGATCCTGCGATACTATTCGTTAACGTCTATACGGCTTTCTTTTATGGAGTTTACTACACTTTCTTCGAAGTTTTCCCCCTAGTGTTCCCCCCCTTTTATGGCTTCAATCTGGGACAAAATGGTCTGGCATTTCTATCCTGCGAAGTTGGAGCTACGATTGGCCTTATTACATATATCTGTTATCTATACTGGTATATGGTCCCTGACAACATAAAAAACGGTCTTCGAGAGCAAGAGCATCGTCTTGTTCCAGCTCTTTTCGGCTCAGTCCTCCTTCCGATCGGCTTATTCATGTTCGCATGGACCGCTAATGCGAAAATACATTGGATTGTACCACTCATAGGCGTTGTCATCTTTGTCATCGGGATGTTCTGGATTCTCCAAGCGCTTTTTGTATACATCCCATTCTCCTACCCCACATATGCAAATTCTCTCTTTGCAGGGAATGATATAAGCAGAGCTGCTATGGCTGCCGGCGCTATCATGTATGCGAGGCCTCTATTCATCAACTTGGATGTTCATAAAGGCGTTAGCGTGCTAGCTGGTCTGAGTGTTGGGGGGATTCCGGGGACATTCGTTTTGTACAAATATGGAGGCAAGTTGCGTGCCCGATCGAAATTCGCGGTACAAGGTTGAGTTGAGGTTTTCCTACGAACGATACGTAAATGGGAGACATTGAAACAAAACGATGAATAGTATAAAAAAGGGAGATGAACGGTGTCTCTGGAAAGGCAGCGTTTGGAAAACTGCGAAAGAACTGGGGAACGATAAAACGATAAGATAACATGGACGCAGTGCCATCGGACGGGTGGTTCTAAATGAGTTGGTATATTGTAAATAATAAGACGATTCTTTATTGGAGTAATAACAAGTATTGCACGAATTGTCAAAAGGTACCGTAGAATCTGATCACTACAAGTTGATACTACGAAGCTTATCTATTATGACTTTTACTAAGCTTCTTGAGATACTGCATGGATTGTCCGTTATGGGCCTCGTCGCCCAACAATAAGAACTACATTAGCAGTGGATAGGCTCACAAAGTTGAGTCGAAGATAGCTCTATCACCTCCCACTATGGATGCAACGAAAGGGTCCTTCACACTTCAGAAAACTCTCCCATGTTGGTACCATCAACAACGTGATCGATAGCCCACAGGGAAATCCACCATGCTCATGACTAAGAAATTAACAGAAGAACCATCTTACTTTTTACCCAACACATTCTTGATTGAATCGCTCAACTGTTTCAGGAATTACCCCCTCCCTAATTCCCAATTACCGTAAGCGTCCCAATCACAGGCCTACTAAATGGTCCGACATTTTCGGAGTATACACTCAGTTACTTGAGGCTTGTACCAATGAAAGGATTCTGTTTACCAGGGCCAACCAGCTCATGTACTCTTCTGGGAACTTGAAATTTGGGCTAATTATGAGGAAGGAGCAGATCCGTAGCCATAGCCACGGAAACATAGTCGGTGTTAGTAGGGGTTCAATAATGGTATAAATCTCCGCTGTAGCGGGGCCGAGAAGGCGCCATGTATTTTTGGCGAGGGCTGTCAGCACTTAAGAACAAGAGCCAGTAGTTATGCCGAATATCACACTGTGCCGCGGATGGCTCTGTACGAGAAGCATCGTGCCTATCGCCTGCATATCGGAAACAGATGCTGACGTTGTTGAGTTGAACTCAACCATGTGCCCAGCCCTTTCATGCGGGCTGAAGCATCCGATACGACACTATCCCATAATGTGGCCGTTAGAGAAGTGGCAGTAGTTCTAAAGCGCATGATTGACAATTTTTGGACTGAGTTTATATCCAGAGGGTCCCTGAAATCTGAAATTTGAGTATGATCTTAACAGGAAGTGTATATAAAGATTGTAGATTTTCAAAGAGTTTACAATTTCTACAAATTAATAAGATGGTCAGCCGCTTCATTATATTTTTCGTCTCTGTCATATCTTCCTACGAGAAGTCCAGTAGCTCCATGGACTATGATTGTGCGGAGATTCCTTAACTTTGGACAACTCTCCAGATCGGAAAATGCCTTTCAAGGTTAGAAACTTAAGCGCGCGGTAAGATTCATCCACAGCTAATGCACATCACTTCCCGACAGCCTGGTTTATCGATATTCCAAATGCTAGTACATACATGGTATAGAGGACGATTCCGGAATCTCAACAGCGGATTTTCGGTTGCGCCCCGCCAACGCCCGGCTACTAGTGAATGCCTAGTCCATGGCATTGACTATGTTGTAAGATCTACTGTAACGGCGATCATTAAATTGGGAAGCCACTTTGAACTAGGTAATATTCCACTTACTGCTCTATATGTCGGCTCCGGAAAGAAGACATGGAAAACAGGCAAAAGGGGATGGTAGTAAGCCCGGAGCGAGGGTTCTTTTGACTACATGTACCATGGTTTCACATCCCAGCCGCTTCACCCCTATGCTGCTCGTGTGTACTTCTGATAATTCTCTCGGGTATCATGCTGTATTCTTCAACAGGCTGCCTATGTTACGTTACGAGTATGAATCAAAGTATTGCTTATATTGACACCGCAAGCTAACACTTGCAGAGTCTGCATCCGAACTACTGCATTTGATATGACTACCACTACCATTATCGACGTGGATCCTGGCACCTGATCAGGGGCGTAATAGCAAGCCAATCTTATCTTTGCAATTTTATACATTCCGTATATACTAGCTTGGCTCTCTATATTCTGTATACTCTATGCAGTGCACATCTTTCGTTAGCCTTAGGCATGCTACGGTAATACTAGACGGCTAAAAAGCATCAGGCTACCTAATTCCCGCCCAGTAATCTACATGTAGTTTGCAGCCGGGTAAGTAAGGCCTCGGATTGAGAGTAATAAGTACTTTGCTTGTAAGCCGCATTATATAAGCTCAATTTAGCAAAAAGACTTTTATTCTCATTTTTTTCTTTGATGTGGTTCTGCTCTGATCTTGTCTCATACTCTGGTACCTTTCGTGTCTATCTTATGGGGCACTTGCAATCTATTGCCCCCTCTCCCTCCATCTTTGTCTGCACTGGCGACAGCAAGGCGATTTACCTCCAAAAAGCCAGCTACATCATTTGTATTAACAATCGTGTGAATAAGGCGTTCTCTCTTCACAAGCGTCTTTAACCAATATATCGATAATAGCGCTCGACTCATCATAGTGCTACGATTACTTTAGCCAAAATCGCCCGGGTGACAAATCCATGATCAAAAAAGGCATAAAGCCAAAAGGCTGACTGCTTACGAACACTCAAAACCGATAATTCTACTTTCTGCTTTTTGTGCTTTAGTGCTATTAGCGGTTTCGAAATGACTCGACGTCAGTCGCAGAACTATTTTGCGTTCTCATGCACAGCAAGCCATCAGTCATTCCACAGTTTGTAATCCAACCTGGAATCGATTTCTAAGCAATGTTTTGCAGGATGTGACTTCAGCTTGAATGGGAGTTTCGGTTGGATTCGTGCGCAGTTTGCTGCGAAGAACGCGCATTGCTTGGCTTGATGTAAAACAATGGGGTTTATGCGGAATGTAGGGAAGCGAATTATCCAGATTGGTATTGTCTAAAGATCGTAAAGAGACGTCATGCGCTTATATAAAGGCTACAATTCTCGACGGTTTTCACCACTGAGGCTCAATCGATATTGTAAATTCTTCAGGTGAAGCCCAGGTTATGCTTGATACTGCATCATTGCTTCTCAGCTACTATGCATATAAAAATTCAAGTTGGCTTGATGACACTACCATGTGTTAGCAATCTCTACACCAAATACTCATTACTAGAACGAGTCATGCGGCAAGTTCTCAGTATAGCACATATAAGTCCTGGCCCAAATGTGGACTTACACTGAACTTTCGATGGTATACTCAATCAATCCAGGCCAAGTTACTACTAGTATGTTATACTATACATAGGTAAGCTTTGGACTGCAATGGGACATCATGTAAGTCGCCGACTAAAGTATGCTGCATACGATCCAAGTTGATCAAGCTCTAAACTCGCATGCAATGTCTTGTTGCTCACTTGACCAGAACGCGGAAACTGACCCATGATGGAGGGAGTGATGGCTTTGGAATCATTCTCCCATTTTCATTCTCATTTGATGACCGCGTCTCTATAAATACGCTTGGGAGTTATCCATGCACCAAATATTGAAGAAATGCAAGTGTTTCTATAGTAAGAGGTATCAGAGACTGCAAACCAACCAGGCATCCTGGTGTATCACTTATCCCCATATTGGTCGTTAGTGCTACGGTCTGATTCCGAATCCGAGAGTAATTCCACATCCCAGGTATTGTCCAGAAATCTATGTATCTATCCAAGTAACGTTAGCGAAATAGTCTTGATTACCATTTCTGGTGTTTCACCCGCCCCCGGAGCCCTTGCTGAAGCGACACCGTAAGCTGATGAGCATTTATTCGTAGCAAATAGCGCCAGGAGATTTGATGGGCAACTTTTTACGCCTGGAAACCGATAGGATCACGAGCAAGCGACAAATAACTCAATGGAGCCTGGTACAAGTCCGGCCCAAGCCTGTATCTCGTCGGCGAATTAAGCTACTCTTAAGACGTAAATAGAGGCTGCTGTCAAATTGCCTATAGAGGTTTAGCACGGCTGGAGTGGCCACGGAGTCACCAAAGACCGGCTGTCGCTAGGGCTTAGCACCGTGCTGGTGTTGGTTTATTTTTCTTATTTTATTCCCCAATTATTTACCCGTGCGTACTGGTTATAATCGTCTTAGTATGGCGTGTCTTTCGCGCCTGCGTTCTGGTCGTACTTTTGTTCTTGTAAAAGCATCTTTAAAGGTAACCCGATAACAGAAATTCTTTCCTATCAGCCAGTATTTCCCTTCTCAGGAACCTACCACTGCCCACTTTCTATCAAAATTGCCTGGAATTTGAAAACACGCAACGGATATAGCTTGGCAGGGCGCTGGTGTGACCTGGAAGATGGTTCATGAAGACTGGACCAACACTAAACCGAGCACACAGGATTTTCCCCTTGGGGAAAATGCTGATACGGAAGAGGGCAGAGGCAAATTCCGTTTTATCACTTTCCAAGATCCCAACACCGTAAAACTTAAATCAGTCCAGCGGGTCATTCGGAGCCATGGCGCTAAGAAGTCTTTGGAAGGGCGGAAGAAGAAGCTCACAGCAGTGACTGGGAATTTTCGCCATTTTAAAACTGATAGGTATCAGCATGCCTCTGCGAAAAAGCAGGGCAATGACGCCAAATCATCGATCGACATCCAATCATTCGGCTCGACGCAATCGCTTGCTATTAGCAATTCTACACGATTACAGTCTCTCATAGGAAATAGTATGGTATGAACGTCGTTTGGGAAGCCTCAAATGCTAACAACACCTAGAAACCGCATCACAAGCATTAGAGCCGGTGTGCAATTTCTCAGAAGCCACCGCCCACCAAAAGTTTCACAAGATATTTCGTGATGGCTTCAACGATGAGGCGCTCTCAAATGCTATTATGCTATCTCTAACATTTGCCGCAAATGAATATCATTTCTCGCAAGAATGTACTACTTTCAAGAACACAACAATTCGCCATATCAACCAGAAAATCGGATCTTCCCTTGATCCTCCCGCTGTTTCACAAATGATAGGAGCCATATTACTCTTAGTTGGAGTAGAGGTTAGCATCTTCCGCAAACTGCTGGTCTTCTATTGCTAAGACAGTATCTAGTGGCGACTTGGGAACAAACCTCGAGTGGAGATGCATTTGGCTGGTGTCATGCAATTGCTGACTTTCTGCGATTCTAAGCTCATCCACCTTCACGATGGCATCAAGCGGTAAATATTTGAGCCAAGCCTCCCTTTTTGTGCTACTGAATCAGCATTTCTAACCCCTACAGTGCAATATTCTGGCAAGATCTGAATGCGGCTTGGATTATAGGTTCCGAGCGCAGATTTTCTCATGATATCTTCCCAGAGCTTCACTGGGGCCGCAATCCCTTTCTCTCATCTGTATACCTGCTGCCACCGGGATTTGAGCCACTAAGACGTGTGTTCGGAAGCGACTTGGTCAAGGTGGTCGAAGATATCTATGCCTTGCAGCAGTACCGCGAATCATCGATTGTAGATCTAGATGACTCGCCGTCTCTTCTCCACTTGGACAACCATCAAGCATCAATAGAGTCTCGACTTTACGCTCATTTTCAAACGGCAAATGAGAGCAATGGAATATTGGCAGGCTGCATACTTGCACTATACCTCTGCACTTATATGCTGTTTTCGGAGGTATGGGCAGGTCACTTTATTCCGTCGCACATGTCTTCAAATTTACTACGTGTCTTACGGGATGCAAAGAAGAGTATTCTATGGGAAGCAAACAGGGATGCAATGCTATGGTGTACGGTAGTGGGTGGCGCATTCGCCCAGCTGGGCGTGACACGATCCGAGTACATACTGCTACTTCACCAATCTGGATATGGCACACTCCCCTCAGCATGGAAGGAAACGGAAAAGTTTTTGGAAAAGTTTCTGTGGCCCAAAAAGATCTTCTACGCGCCGGGGAAAGCGTTCTGGGATGCATACTCACTAAATTGACATTGCGCGGTTTCTGAGAATGGCTTTTTCTTCTATAGGGTTTCCAAAGCGTTTCGGTTCATATTCACCCAAAGGAGTGTTAATGAGAAAATCATTTCGATTTCCATCCATAAAGGGTGTATAACATTACAGGATATTAATATTTTATGCTATTTATGAAGATACCCAATACAGCTGCCAATTTTGAACTCAACTCAGAGTGTTTGCTACTTTGTGACTTCAAATCTTTTTCGAATAGCCGTTGTCATGGACTTGAGGCTTAATACCTCCAGTAGACTATAGAATGTGACAGGACCAGGGGCAAAGCCCCAACATCATGATAGAAGCTTGTTGAGATCTGCGCTTACGGGATTCCGAAGCAACGTTCCGCGACATCACAGTAGCCACCAGGACTGCTGACCGCGCCCTCTGTAAGGAGTCGTGTTCTGTAAATAATATTCGGAGTATACTCTGTATCTTCGGATTTATAGCCCGTTAAAGGAATAGTCGCTCGGTTGAGTTAGTAAAAACGACTGCATATATTACACCAGATCTCCATTCCAGGGGTGGGGAAGAAGAGAGCTAGATGGTTTCCGACTTCGTTTTCGCTCTTGCGCTTAAGCGGCAAAAGAAAAAGGAGACAATTAACCTACAATGTTAGTCGTACAAACAGCACCTCCATTTCCAGGGGTGGGAAAGAAGAGCTAGATGGTTTCCGACTTCGTTTTCGCTCCTGCGCTTAAGCGGCAAAGAAAAAGGAGTTAATTAACCTACAATGTTAGTCGTGCGAACAGGCAAGTCATTGAACTGATATAGGTATATCGCCGCAGAAGGGTGGAGTAAATACGAAAGAAAAAATTAACTGCAAAGCCATTCACGAAAGTATCTAGCATGATGTCCAGTCGAATTGGCTCGCGCTCTCTTATGAGATACCTACAAACATACAACTTGTACGACTACTAGTTCCATACCGTTTCGTCAAAACTTGCCGACTGGCTTATTCGATAACAACGCTGTAATGCGTTATATCTGCGCTCGATGGCTATCAATGTATATTTATTGCAGCTAATATCTTATCTCTAGATCTACTTGAATAGATGTAGAGTTAATTACCTTGGTATTTTGACGTGCGCTTAGCCCTGAAGACGCATCAAAACTTGTTGGTCCAAGTCGTATAAGTCATTGCGCGTATCAAGCGAACTACGCAGGCGAGCGAAGCTTAACGAGCTAAGCTTACCCGAGCTAACTGTAAAGGAGAAATAGCTTTCAAAGCATCTAACCAGAAAGGGAGAAATGATTGCCACGCTAAAATCCGTTGCCAGACTGGTAGTCTATTTCGAAGGTCCCGAAATATCGCTACGAGCCGAACATGTGGCAAAACGCTCTGGCGTCATTGTTGGAATATTAGGTGCGTATTGTAGCTATAGTTGTCAGCCAAGAGCAATTAATTCCACATGTTCAATGCAAACTGCAGCGAGATACCTATTAGTTACTTGTTTATCGCCGTTGTATAAGTCGAACACAACTGATCAGGATACTATGTGTATATCTCTGCTCTGGAATTACGAAGCAACGCAATAGTAGCTATCTATTTGCGACATGTTCATGTGAATTTTGCAGTTGAGGAAAGAGACTCTCATTAGCACAGTAGTGCTCTAAACATTGCGGACATTAGAAGAATCCGTAAATCCCCGCATTTTACCGCCCGCCGTTTCTTGTTTGAGGCCTATCTTGGTGTGCTGCGCTCCGCCGTAGCCGAGTTGCTTGTATAGCGTCAGGGTAAGTTCACAGGTTCCCAGCGGCAAATATTCCCGATAATCCTTGCAAGGTTTTGCCAAGTTCAGCTGTCAACCCCTAGCCATTCAATGGCGTATCGTAGCTACATGTTAGTAAGTTGGAGACTTGCCACAGCCCAGTGTAAACGTCGGGCTTACATACTCATAACGTACAATGTCGGCCTAATGATGCTACCAGTATCGGGCTAACCCTTGCGTTTGTCGGCATATGGGCCTAAGCGAACGCCTTCCAATTAGACTTTCTCATAACATCAAACAAGTCCGACTAATCGCCCGTCGAAAGCAGCCAGCTACTACTCAACTATACCACCTACCACTATCTTTTCACCGTAACTTGGACCGCCAGCTATACCAATTGGGCGCTGAGATGGAGGCCCTATCTGTGCCAGAATTGAATCGCCAAGTGGTTACCCGATACTTCCAGGAGTTCTGGACCAATGGGAACGCCGACATTGTCGACGAACTGTGCGACGACAACGTAACTATCTTTTACCCCATGCATGGCCGAATGGTTGGTAAAACCGCCGCCAAGGAAGTCATAGCCAGGTTCAAGCAGGTTAGTTTCAGCATGAACTGGGTCATTAGATATGCTAATAGCAGAAACTCTCCCCAGTCCTTTCCGGACGTCTCATTCCGATTGCTTTCCCCGTTCCCTCTCATTGCCGAAAGCGACTATGTAGTTGCGCGGTGGTTCGGCGGGGGTAAGCATACTGGGCCGGCATTCTATGAGTTGCCTGTTGGGAGTCTGCCCACGCCGAATACTGGTAAAGAAATGCGGTTTTCCGGAACTACAATCTACAGGTTGCAGAATGGTAAAATCATAGAAGAGACTGGTGAAGAGTCTGGCCTGGTGGCGCTGCAGCAGCTCGGTTTGATTAAGATGAATGATGGCTTTGCTCCCTGAGCTTCCATTAAATCGCATGTTTTACCACAAATTGATGTTGGATTCATAACTGCTTGGGGTGGATTATGTTCAATTTTAATGTTCATATTAAATTATATATATACACATTCTTGTTGCTCTCATCATCATATTAGTCCAGCTAATAGCTCATTTACTTTGTCATGTCCGATGCGTTGTAACAGCTCTGCAAACCTCGCAACAAAGAAAGCGCTGTGGTCAATTCGCTTACTTCTCGAGGCTGCGATGAAGTAGACCCATGTTAAAGAGTTTTCTCCCAATGCGTACGGCGGTATCTTGGCCACAGTAGCCTGAAGCCGGTCTAGCAGTTTGTTGAGATCATCATAAGATGAATCCGAGTCTGGACTGCTGCTCTCAATGGGAGTACTGGACGCTGGCATTGTGTAAATATGACATGCTTGTGCCACTGCACTTTCTATTGCGGAGAAGATTTCGAATAGTTCTTTTTGGTTGAGCGACAAGATCTGTTTTCCGTCTGCGGCTTGGTTCTCTTTGCTAATGATTTTGTTGAATTGGTACAAGGGACAGACAATTGCTTTCAACCTATTCATGAAGCAACTATGTGTTAATAAAGAACCTGATAAATTGAGATTGTAATTTGAGACGTACAATTGGACTTGGTCAAGTAAAAACCTGCGCGTTGCCTTCTCGGCTGGGTCAGTGCTGAAAGAGCTATCCTTGTGAACCCAGAATTCGGCTAGTTTTAGAAGAGCAGGGCACTCCCTATGGCCACATATCATGTCATCTATCATCAAGCCTAGGATAGTAGCCAGGGGCGCGCAAGAGTCCGTCTCTGGCCGCGCTGAGACGTGCCTCAGCTCGGCAATCGCGGTTGACCTGTAGCTGAGTCTATCGACCATGGTCTTTGCCCCTTGAGCGATTTGGATGTGGCTTGCAGATGCTGCCAAAAATGCGCTTCTCACCATTGGGTTGTTGAAGGCTAGTGGCAGTATGTGTTTGATGTATCCTTGGGTAGTCGACTCAGTGACATCCAGTGTCGGGATGATGTTCTCATAGACTGGTAAACAGATGATTAGCGAACAAACTGAAGCCAAAGAATGCCGCATGGTCACTTACAATTCCTCAAGAGGAACTCTTCAGAGGCATCTTCGATGTTGATGTGTGGCAGCATGTCCAGGCTGGGATATAACATTGGCTGTTGCTGGTAGGCTTGCCACTGATATGGGCTGCCCAAGAGTAGAGAAGCGTCACTGGGGGCCAAGCCCACTCCTTGGTTCGGATTCGACACCGACCAAAGGAATATACCTGGGCCAAACTGTGAGAGCTGGTGGATGTTTAATACTGGTGCGTCTGCTGTGGCAACCAAAGCCAATACACATTTCTTCCAGTTGGTGGCTATCCCATTGAGGCGGTCGCCCTCTGCTCGGAGACGTAGGACTTCCTGTTCGAGGGCATTCATATAATCCTTTGTCCTTTGTCTATGACTCCTATAAGATGGTCAGCTTTATTCCAATTGTTTCATCCCAAATCAACTTCCAACATGCCTCTGTGCTCGTAAGATCTGCTGCTTCCTCCTCTTGGGAGGCTGGCCCTTCTCGGGCGTGGCAGCGGCGACAATCCCATCATCAGGTACCAATGGCGGCAGGAATGAGAATGTGCCGAGAATGTTTCTCTGGCGACTTTTAATCGAATTATACGAAGTTGCGTTTTCCATCTTGACCAAGGTTTGCTCTGGTCTGATGTCACTGTTGGGTTTGCCTTCGTAGATGAACATCGGACAATCGGCTTATTAGCTCTCTGGACTGGTCATGTGATTTAGGCGCGGAAGCTGTTCTAAATCGTCAGCCGCTACTAAAGAGTATAATGTAGCTATGCTTCGGCAGTTGTCCTTTTTAATTTATTGCTATTATCGGTTAAAGATAGATGTATAGCAGAGGGTATCGTCAGAGATATTTGCGTCCTGCAGGCATTACCTTCAGAGTAATCCTTGAGTGCTACATAAAGATAGGATGTGTGGATCATATAACTCAGTTGAGCAATCGAGTCAGGGATGGCATCAGGGATGCAGGGTCAGCCTTTGAGGGAGGCTAAATGAGACGCACTGTGCACCTCATCAGGGCAATTCAGATGACAAATGCGCGATGCCCGAATAGGTAGGCTTCACGGAATCGACCAGAGCATCTATTCCGGTGGAATGGCTAGGGCGAGAAACGACTGGCATTAATCAGCCCATGCTAGATTTGAAATCGTAGGGCTATCCTCTTAGTGCTGCATGCTAACTTCTGACGTCGACTCGTCGACTGCGAACCAAATTTGCGTTCTCCATGGCGCTCCGGATGTGGTTCCCCGTTTTCTACAACTCCTCCGACATACTTCTTAAAGTGGTACTATCGCTGTGGTTGTAAAGTCTCCGGCGCGCCTCCTTAAGTCATACAGTAGCAGCCGCTAGGCCGTTCATCTACCAAACCGATTCCAGGCCACTGACGCCCGACGGCTTGTCCGCCTGACTTGTCAGTCGGACCCCATGGCGGAGGCCCTCCTGGGGATTGTGGTGGTCAAAGTCTGAGATGGCTGTGTGCGCAGTTACGCGGTTATCCCATAGTGCAACCGTGCCCTCCTCCCACTTGACCCGAACTTGGAAGTCTTGCCCCAGCGCGATGTGCTATAAATTCAAGGTTAAACGGTTAGTGGGATGAGTTCTGTGACATGTATCGGCAATTTTGGGGGCCGACGCTTACATTAAACAGTAGCTGCAAGAGGGCGTCTGACTCTTCGTGTTGAAGGCCAATGATGCGTTTCGTGAACCCCTTATTGACAAACAAGGCTTTTTCTCCGGTGACCTTAACAACAACCATGGTCAGCGATACTCCTTCATGTTGCAGATGTTCCAAAGTGTGCGACGTAGTATGCTGTTATAAAGAAGACAATAGTGCTAGTATACTCACCGGATGGACCCTCACGATAGGATGCTCGCTCTTCACTGGCTCCCGTCTGACGTGCTTCCCGTCCCGTCGCGCATTGTCGGCTTGATTGAAGCCACTATGTTCAGCCCGAAGGCCCTCTAGCAGCGTCTTAATTGGCTGAGACAGGCGGGCATATGCTGCAGTCTGTGACGCCCAGGCGGTATCGCCTCCGGTTGGTGGGACAGAGAGCAGGGTGAGAATGGTAATACCCGGCGGTTGGTGCTCGTAGGAAACATCCGAGTGGTAACCTGTAGTGGTTAATCTTTCTCTTCGCTGCCGTGCTCGGTACTCGTTGTCGGGGCCTAGGTATATATTGTGGAACTCGAGGTGGTCTTTGACGTGAGCTCCAACGGGCTTGGCGACGTGTTAGTACTACCATGTCCGCCAAAATGTACATAGATGTAAGTGTGTAAAAGTGAATTTACTTACATGAACATGCAATGGCCCGAAGTATCTAGCAAAGTCTTTCTGTTTTTCTGGGCCTATATCTTTAAAGTCTTGGTCGCGGAAAATGACCACTCCTCTCTCAGCAATGAGCAGGGCAAGTTCATTCTTTTGAGTGTCGTTCAACTGAGAAAGCTGAAGGCCTCGAATCTCAGTGCCGATGACTGGAGTGAGTTTGGAGACTTTGAGCTCTGAGTTGCTACTGGAAAGAAGAGCAGACTTGGCTTTGTCTGCTTCCAGCCCGCGATCCTTGAACTCAAATGGTTGGATCGGTTCAAAGCGAGTCTCTTCGTCATAGACGGGGAGATATTGATGATATTGATACTTTGTTTAAACAAATTAGACAAGTCCTTGCTTTTTGCTGTGTGTTTCGTGTACTTTACCTGCTGATGGATGGCATCGTCATATGCTAACGTGAGCCTCCCGACTTCATCGCCTGACTGCGTTACTGTCTTTGTAGTCGACATTCTTAAAACGGTGATTCAATGACACGTTTTTGGACACAATGTTTGTTGGAAAAAGCTCAAATGTGTATTACAATACGACCTTGACAAACTTTAGTCGTGCTGCACTATGTATTAAATATCTCTAGCCAGTGTACGGCAATGCACAGCTTTGGCTGTTCTACACTCGGAACATCGGCACCTTGCGCCAATATTCCTCTCGATGGCGGCATCCGAGCTTCAATCGTGATCGATTAGCTATATGGTGAACTGCGGGGTTTTGCGATTGCGGAGGTTATGTGAAGGGCTGAGTTAACTAATATTGCGTACTTACAGAAGCACGCCTTGCAGCGACCAAACATGTAATCGCGGGGGTGTTGCGGCTTCAGTACTAGATCTTGGTGCGTTTCGTAATGGACTCTACTTTGAGAATGCTATTGACAGAAAGAGACGTATCAACTCTTATCAGAACCTAGATAAAGTCTGGCGATACTATTGAACGATTGGCGTTGTCGCAAGCATGATGAATATCGGCTAAATTTAATGCTTGAGTCGTGATTTTCACCAAGATGACGCGACAGCGGGATGCGCTGGGTGCTAACCAAACAAAGGATTACTAATATTAGACAAGCGACACATGTAAATGTGTGCAAACAACGCAATAGGCATTTGATCTTCGTCTTTTTTGTCAATTCGATCGCTAAGAGGAAACTATATTAACCTGTTGCTGCAGCATTGAAGCGTTGGTGCCATTTACAATACATTACTATGTGCCCATATTGACTTGTTAAGTGACATACCGACATAATCAGAACTAAGAGTTTTTAAGAGGATGGAAGCATCTAGAGATTTACTAGCAACAGCCCCTCTGTCCTCGGTAATAGAGTTGTGACCATTCGTTGTTTGTAGCCTGTAGCTCATATGCTACAGAGGCATTCCCAGAATTTGATTCCGGAATGGTATGCAGCCATAGAGAACTCATCTCTGTTGATTTCGAATGGCGGCTTTAACTTCACCCTTCTAACTCTACGTAAGACTTGTTGAAGGCAGATTCATATTACGCAGAAAAATATGAAAGTTGTTATCTTCAAGTATTAAAGTCGCCCTCTTACTACGCCGTTTGAAGGGATCTTACGGTATTGTAGCTGAACCAAAGCATATTCTTCGTCATATTAGTCTTGCAAGGCGCTTCATACCTATCAGTACCTATCTTAACATTTATATCAATACAGTGCTCAAGCGCTTTGTAGACTATATGTCTATGCGCTTCATCGCTCTTCTTAACATCATCTATGAGTACATAATTTTTTCTTTTACTACACTGCGGCACGATTACGAGTTCGACATCACCCAAGAGCTAGAGATTGATGGTAGATTCGACTGCGACAATCTACATCTTCCCCAGTGACTACACCGTTTGGCATATATCGCACATATATCAAGACGCCCATCACCGTAGACATCGATCGCCATTTGTGTGCCTAGTCTCACCATCTCTCCACTAATATAAGCAATTTCTTACAGTATATACTACATAGAGCGGAGGCTATCTACACCATCGAGCTAGATGTGGGCGTCGACATGAGTCTATGCTCGCGTGACGTAGATAATACGCGCTGGGTCTTGGGCTGTCGGGACTCAAACGACGATGAAATCACAGCTGATGGCGATTGTATTCCAGTTGTAGGAGTGTAGGTGGCTGTTTCGGATCGTCAATTCTCATCTATGCTAGTTCTTAGCGACGCCAAAGTGCAAGAGGGTCGACCTCCATAAGCACCAAATGCTTCCTGCGAGAGTGCGCGTCGTCATTTCTAGGGGCCCCGAGAAGCCTCTATCGCATGTGAATAAGCTCAAAGACAGGTTCCTATGCAGTGTGTAGCTCATCATCTTAGAGTAACCTCGGAGGGCGAGCGCCTTTGACTAAATCTCGAGTCATCGCCTCTTCTACACTAAAGATGCGCTGCAGGAAGTCACAAATAGCATGAAGTATGGTGCGGATATGAATGAGGATGCTCTCTGTTTCTACTTTCAGTGCGCTCTGCCAACTGGGTAGATGCCACGACTGATTTGTGTCTTCTAGCAAAGTATAATGGCTGTAGCCCTCCTCGTGGAAAAGTTAGGTGCAACTATCGGAAGAGGGTTAGGCTAATTTTGTGATAAACCATTAAAGCTATGTTGCCAGTTGGAGAATCGCTGACACCAAGTGTGCTCCAGATAATCACCTCCATACAGTACTCCGCCACCAAAGGGCTTGGGGGAAATTTGGCGAGCTCAGCTCTGTTACTGAGGCCAAGGACTTTCTAGGAGCCCGAATGGTCAGCCGTCCCCTGCAAATGTTCCGCGTGGGTTTAGACGCCTGCCGGACCTATTCGTTGATCATGATACCTTATTCGTCATAACTCATTGAGCTACATTCCGGAGCTATCCTTGAACATTGGGTTCTTGTTCGAAGCCGTTGATGACTGATGGTTTGAGCAATGTACATGGAGCGAGGACGACACTAGGTGGATTCAATTGAAGTTCCCAGCCATGAGCCACGGTGCGTTAACAATTGCAGTCTTCGGACTTCGTGGCGACAATAAGATAATAACCATGGTTCCACAACGAAAGAGCCATTGTCGCCTCATCAGCTCTTTCTGAACATTTCCACTTGGCAGGAATGATAAAAGTAGAAAAGAGCAAGCTTGGCTATGCTATGCTATGGGGGTGGGGATTGAGATAGCTACCTTTACCTTCAGCCCGTCATTCCGAATGAGAAGCTCGGGAGAGTTTTGTATCCCATGTCATCGCTTTAAGGCGGACAGAATCCCAGAAAACATCAAAGTTCTGAAAGATCACCTATTCATTAAAAATTGATAAAACAAGAATTATAAGTCATATCAACAAGTTCCAATATTATCTATCTAAACGAAATTAGAAACTATTATTATACTATCAGGAACTACTTTTTAAATACTCTATAAGTCTAATATTTACGAAAAGCACTCACTCCTATTGTAAAGTATAAAGATTTCTCCCGGTAACCCCCAGGCCACTCACGACACATTGGCCGGCGCCGGCATGGTCGATGGCTCAAATACCATGATTTCCACCTGGGCCACTGCCTATGTTGTGGTAAAGGACGTTCATATTATCCTGAGGAACGATAAGGAGTTCTCAGAGGCGGAAAGGCTGGACATGCAGAGCTGCTCGTCGTCTGGGGGCGGATTCCTTTGCTTCCAGGCGTCCAAGAGCAGCTTCAGCTTGGACCACCATGAGGCATTCACTATGAAGAGCGACAACAAAACAATCTCAATCAAGATCCCAGCTCCTCAAATCCTGGGGTGGTGCTCGCAGTTGGCGCCGCAGGATGACTCATTGCCCATGTACACGCCGTTTGGTGCAAATAAGTTTGAGAAGCTCAAGGGTGAACAGTGACAAGCCCGTGCCCGAGCCTAGTTCTTAGGCACTTCCTCTTTCGTCTTCGGAGTCTGTCTACAAGGAGCAATGCGGGAGAAGTTGGCCAATTTGCAACCATTTCAGATAGTTCATAAGTCAATTCATTACACGTGTTTTGAGATTCTCTTCCGTCTTTCTTTTTATGTGCATTTATTTCCTGACCTTGAGGGGTTTCTGTTTTGTTATCTCATGGTGCTAGCCTCATTATTGGTTTACGCCTTCATCGGAGGCTGGCTGTTTGAGTATCACGAGTGTTTAGACCACTTTGTGGCCAACATGTCCCAGCTGGTTTCATCATGTTTTATGCCAGTCCAAAGTTCACACTAAAATATAGAAATTTCCGCATTTGCTCGCGACTCTACAATAGTACTCGCTCGTTGATACGTAAACATTTTCACTCCCCAAGTTTACAACTCAGTTATTCTTCGTAACAATGAGGCTTTGCTTGCAGGGAATGAATGTGCAGGGATATATGTAAGCCGATACGCTTCTTTATACTCCGCAGTTCCGAATACGCTTAAGTTAGTGCGCGTATTCCGAGCCTTGTGATTGGATGCAGTTCATCTCCGATCAAGACCGAGTATTCCGGTACTGTAATTGGGTGAAACTCATCTCCTATTTTGACTGCTTAACACGATCGATCTCGTATAGATGGTTAGTTTTGCTAAATTGAGAGCTGTCATTATCTCTGGGCTGGCGTAACGGAATCCTTCAGGTTAACTCCTTGATGTAGTAGTTGACAAGGTTCAATCAGGGGATGTCTACTTAGACCACTGTTAATGTTATTACTGGTTAACGAAATGTCCCTAAAGCTTAATATTATCTCATTATATAAAGTCCAATACCATCTCTCCAGAAACATTATTTCACACATCCTATCATTGCACTGAGCCCTTTGCCCTTCTACATTTTTCATCATGAGAGGCAAAATACTCCTGCCTGTCTTTGCTGTCCTCAATTCATTTGTGAACGCTCAGGAGAAATATGTTCTTACGACGGGTCCGACAGCGAGATCGCAGTGCGCTGCCACTACCGCAGTGTCTCCTACATTTTCCTTCTCAACCTTTGCTTATACTCAGTCAGAGACCTATCGCTATGCAATTTCTGTTCCGTCCCCTACTTCCACTGAAACATTTGCTGCTCCTTTCTCCGCTCTCAGCTCTTTGATCCCCTTTGTTGCCACAACCACCTGGGGTAGCTGGGACCCTAACGCTACTGCGACTGCAACCGATTTTCATGACAAATATGGCAGTGCCTCATGGAGTGCGCTTTGGGAGAACGCGCGCCCGTTCCTTAACAATTTCACATCCACCGGCATCTATAGTACAACTGTTTCGCCGACACCAGTGCCAAGTGCCGAACTTATCTTGCCGCCAAGAGATTATTTTGGCCCAACGGACTGTTACAATTTCCCCGATGGCTTCATATATGGCGTGGCTGGATCAGCTGCCCAGATTGAAGGTGCTACCAGCCACGAAGGAAAAGCGCCATCCGCAGCAGATATCATCGCCAAAGATCAACCTAGCCAAGATTATGTGACGGATGAGAATTACTACTTATACAAACAGGATATTGAGCGATTGGCAGCTATAGGGGTAAAATATTACTCCTTCTCCATCCCATGGACTAGAATTCTACCATTTGCTGTTCCAGGTTCACCTGTCAATCAGCAAGCTATTGACCACTATAAGTAAGCTAATCTGATACTTTGTATTCCGACCACATATGTCTCAAAGGTCGATGACTGACTATTCTTTTCCCAGTGATCTTATCGATTTCGTGATAGCAAAAGGAATGCTCCCCGTCGTGACGTTGATTCACTTTGATACACCATTGCAGTTCTACGCCGCAAATGTCTCATCTTTATATGACAAACCGTCTGTGGGTTATAACAACGGAGCTTATCAAAATGAGACCTTTGTGGATGCTTTTGTTGTAAGTAGACTTCCAAGCCATTGATGTCTACCGTACTTACTCTTTATTGTTTAGCACTATGGAAAGATTGTCATGACACATTTTGCTGATCGAGTTCGTTGAGACCAACCCCTTCTATAAAATTGACAGCTTATACTAATGTTTTACGTTTCAAGGTTCCTCTCTGGGTCACGTAAGAGCACGGTTCTTATTCTACAATCAATAACTAACCTTTGTCACCAGGTTTAATGAAGCATTTACTTACTGCCAGAATGGACACGCTGTAGATTCAGTAATCAAAGCACATGCTCAGTTGTATCACTTTTATCACGAACAGATCAACGGCACAGGCAAAGTTGGAATGAAATACAGCAATTTATTTGGCGTGCCGCTTGATCCGTTGAATACCTCTCACGTTGAGGCGGCCAACGATTACAATAATTTCCAAGTAGCAATCTTTGGCAATCCGATTCATCTCGGCACGGACTATCCTGCTGTATACAAAGAGCGAGTTCCAGACTACGTTCCTCTTACAAAAGAGGATCTGGACTATATCAAAGGGACAGCGGATTTTTGGGGAACCGATGCGTATACTATTGGTAAGTTTCGTCAAGTTCAGCTCCTCTCCCATGATTCTCATCATGAACTTCAAGACATTACTTAGCAACGGGCCAATCCTGACACTTAATCAGCTGTAATCTCACCTCTGTCAGCGAGCGAGTCACCGTGCCTAAACACCCCATCCAACATATTTTACCCCGAATGCGTGCAGCAGAGCTGGGGTGGGAAGTTTGGTTGGAACGTCGGATACGCCAGTCAAACATATGTCTATATCACCCCGACCTATTTGCGCCATTACCTGTCATACTTGTGGAATACGTACCGCTCTCCGATTATCGTTACCGAATTTGGCTTTCCCGTCGTGAATGAAGCCGCACTGCCACTGGCACAACAGCTTTTCGATTCACCTCGCAGCCAGTACTATTTGAGCTTTATGAGTGAGATACTGAAGAGCATCTGGGAGGATGGCGTGCAAGTCCTTGGTGTTATTGCGTGGAGTTTTGTCGACAACTGGGAATTTGGGGACTTTACGCCACATTACGGAATGCAGACTGTGGATCGAACAACGCAGGAAAGGCATTACAAGAAGAGCTTGTTTGACTTTGTCGATTTCATTCAAGCTAGAACATAGCCAAATCAGAAATATAGAGCTATTTAGATCTGCTGGCTCCACTTATATATTTCGCATTAGCCAACTTTTGGATTGACCCTTGGCCGCTTCCTCCCAATCATCGTACGTATGGAGTACTCAAATCTTGCATAGCCGTCATGCACTCCAGAAAGGGCCGTTACTACAGATAGAATTTGCGATAGTGGTCTTTCAGGTCATTAGCGAGACGCTGTATCCGTCCGATCGTACACGTTGACACGAAGGTTGCGGGCCATCAATGATATCTATACTAGTTATGCAGATATCCATACAAAGCGATGAGTCGAATGTCATGGGTTCTAGCCATCAATATGAAGAAGAAAGTAGTGGGCGTTGAACTGTAATAGCATGATACATTTGCCGTTTTGATCAGACTGTCTACAATGCACGAAATATCGCCTCTCGGATTTGGCAAGTTCCTGATATTGGCAAAGCGATATGACGAATGGTTTCATAGGTTGTTTAGGAAGATCGGGGCTAAACATTGCTAGCTGCCGCCGTCCTATCGAGATCCGAGTCTCCGAAGATCCGAGTCCAATTTCTAGCGGGGCGTATTATTGAGCAACAACACTATCCGCTCTTAGACACATCTACCATCGTCCAGTTTCCCCTTTTAGAAAAAGCTTCGGTAGTTTGTTTACCTTGGTAGAAGCACAACCTTGGTAACACAGTCGATCTCTGGTGGTTTGCCACTAATAAAGAAGCGTACAGCAGCTGGGCGAAGCCTTGTTGGACAGTTGCTTGCTACTGTAGGGAGCAAATGCTAGATTGGTAATCAGTCACCTTCGCAAAAAATTGACAACTTTTTACCTGATGGCGACATCTATTTTTTCTGCTGTAACCCTTTTTCTAGACTATTGGCAAAGACTTGAACGTAAGCGATCATGGTATATTGGATATATTTCCCATTCGCAAGTGACGTAGCCTTTGCAAGAGCCTATGCTCCGACATATATACGGGAGATAGGAGCAAAGGCTTGAGCGCAAACGGATAGCAATTCGCTGGCAATACTCAGAGATGGCCAAGATGCATCCGAACGAAGAGAACCAATCTTCGGCTGTTGACAAGAAACATGATTACGGCGAAAATGATGCTTCTCGAAAGTCATCTCGACATGAAGAGCCCTCTTCCCAGTTCAATGCGCAAGACGATGCAGAGCAAGAGGACTCAACCTCGACTCGGACGCGAACAGACAAAGACCAGGATCGAACCGCTGCCAGCGAAGCGACGTACGGACATGGAGAATTCAAGTCAGGCTATCTATCTATGGGTGGAGGAAAGCCCCATCCTCCGAAGCTGCTTGGAGAAAATGAAGCATATTTGGTCGACTTTGATGGCCCAGATGACCCTAGTCATCCGCATAATTGGCCAATGAGGACCAGGTGAGTGAGAGTGAACGCAGCGCCTCAACTAAAGTTAACCAATCAAGGATAATTATACATGCTGTGATGAGCTATACGACTTTCGCGGTCACTTTCGCCAGCGCCATATATTCACCTGCTGTCCCAAAAATCGCAGAACATTTCAGCGTTTCTTCTGAAGTCGCAACATTAGGCGTCTCATTATACGTTCTTGGATTCGTTTTCGGGTGCGTGAAACACAAAGTTTTGGGCCTATCACTTAGCAACTCTCGAATATCTGCTCACAGTACTTACTATAGGCCGATTGTATGGGGACCTTTGAGCGAGTATATTGGTCGCCGAATACCCCTCGTCACCGCTTGCTTTGGATGCATGGTCTTCCAGTTTGCAGTAGCAGTGTCCAAAGACCTTCAAAGCGTCATGATCAATCGCTTCTTTGCAGGGTTCTTCGGAGTGAGCTTTTTGACCATTTGTGGCGCTGTCTGTGCGGATCTTTTCGACAGTAAGATCCGCGGGCTTGCGGTAAGGCTGACTGATCACAGAGACTGTTCCAAAGCTGACCAAGGATACAGATCACAGTTTACACCCTCTGCGTTTTCATCGGCCCCCTAGTTGCTCCATTTGTTGGCGGCTTCATCGTAGCGAGCCATCTGGGTTGGCGCTGGACGCAATATATCGCGGGCATCATGTGCGCTTTGGCGCTCGTCTTGAACGTATTCTTGCTCCGCGAGTCGTATGTCCCGATTATCTTGACGAATAAAGCAAAGAGACTGCGACAGCAAACAAAGAATTGGGCTATCCATTCGAAGTTGGAAGAGACAGAAGTCAATTTGAAGGATGTCCTCAACCGCTACTTTCTACGGCCTCTTCATATGCTCTTAGTTGAGCCAATCGTACTGCTTATGAGGTATGTCACCAAAGATACGCTTATCCTTGCGTAACAGCATGTGAAATATTGACTATTCCATCCCAGTCTTTACGCGTCATTCATTTACGGGCTTCTCTACCTTTTCCTGACGGCCTTTTCCTTCATCTTCCAGGGCGTTTATGAAATGAAGCCTGGAGTAAGTGGGCTCCCTGAGTTGAGCGCCGTGGTAGGCTGCGCGGTCACTCTTGTCGTGATGATACTTCGGGCGCCAAGATACCGTCGCAAGCTAGAGGCAAATAACGGCGTTGCGATACCAGAATGGCGATTGCCAGAAGCCATGGTTGGCGGAGTCTTTTTCGCAGGTGGATTATTCTGGCTTGGTTGGTCCGGCTATCGTGAAGAAGTTCACTGGATGGTGCCAGTCATTGGAGGTGCGGTCACTGGATTTGGCATTTCTCTCGTCTTTCTTCAACAGTTCAATTATTTGATTGATGCTTATACTCAGGTGAGTGTCAACATCATTAACTTCCATCGTCCAAACCCAAGTAATTGTCGCTAAGAATTTAAACAGCTCGCAGCATCAGCGCTCGCGGCAAATGTTTTTCTACGCTCAATATTCGGCGCCGTGTTTCCTCTCTTTGCATCCTACATGTTCAAAGGCATTGGCATCCAGTGGTCTCTTACGCTATTGGGATGCGTCACTTCATTGCTTGCGCTTGTGCCATTTGTATTGCACTTCAAGGGCGCTCAAATTCGCAGCATCAGCAAGTATATTCCAAAAGAAAACCTACAGGTAACTCTTCCAAAACCTGCTACTGCGAGGAATGCACGAAGTGCATAAACGAGCAGATGCGACGCTTCTTTAATTCTGGAACGCAATTAATGGACCGCGATATGGTGAATTGTATAATCAAGGCGGAAAGGTAATAGACAGATATCCGGGAGTATCAGGACTTGACAAGAATGAAAAAGGTTGGTAATGTGTTCTTATGGATATAGAGAGCGAATTATTTAATGCAATTTCTCCAAGATCAATTGTTTAAAACACCTCTACGCCGCGCATTCTTGCCTCTACAACGTGAATGCACGTTTTTTAGGTCCCTTCACAATACTTCAAAATCATTTACTATCTGCTTGTGACAATTGCAGACAATAAATCTTCCGTCAACTTATACAGCAACACAACACAAAGTCTCGGCAAAGCAGCAGTTTCACGGCAACAACTTGTCACTTTCAAAGTGTTCACACTTCGCCGGCAATTTGAAGCCAAGCCCCGATTGCTGCGGGAACACGGATCGGGCAGGTGGGGTAATGGAGACAATAAGCGGATCGAAGCCGCTCAGCGACAAACAATGACGTTTTGGCCGTGGAGCCGGTGGTGACATGCATCGCGATTGCGAGGAGTGGGCGGGGATTGTGACGAGTCTAGTTTTGAGTAAAGTCGTGGACAATCAGAGCAAACAGGAAGTTGAATGAGGAGCTTCGCATCGTTGAGGAATACTCTCTTATACATGGTGTTTGCTTGTCACATGTGATTAGCCGGCCAATGCTATGCAACAGTTGCTCAACTAGACAGAAACTAAAGTTTCCTGCTAATGCTCGGTCCACGAGCCACGACATGACATCATTGTCTCTTCACCACCAGCTGTTTCGGTCTCTCTCGGTGCCTCTTGTCGCTGCTGTGAAGCCCACCTTTTCTCTATCATCCAGTCGTTTTCTAGAAGCAGGATTCTTGGCTGATCCCGCGTATCCACCCGGGCGACGCCCCGGAACTTTCCATCGCGTGCCTTGCTTGAGAAGAAGAGCAAGATGAGGAGATGAAAGAGCGGGACAAAAAGAGGCTTGAGATTGCCATAAAAGCCCGCATCCGGCTCAGTCGCCTATATATAAAGAGATGTCGCGTCAGCAGCCACGCCCTTTTCTATCCGTCTCACGTCTCACCTCCCGCAGTTTATTCAGATCGATTTAATACCCTTTAACAGACAACCATACTCTTGCCCGCCATGCCTCAGCCTATCCCCAAAGCCAACAGTCTTCTTGACCTCTTCAGCTTGAAGGGCAAGGTCGTCGTGGTGACCGGTGCTTCCGGCCCGCGGGGCATGGGAATTGAAGCCGCGCGAGGCTGCGCCGAGATGGGCGCTGATCTTGCCATTACCTACTCGTCGCGCAAAGAGGGCGCCGAGAAGAACGCGGCTGAGCTGTCCAAGGCATACGGCATCAAGGTCAAGGTGTACCAGGTCAACCAGAGCGACTACAAGGACGTCGAGAAGTTTGTGAACCAGGTCGTTTCTGATTTCGGCAAGATTGATGCCTTCATTGCCAAGTGAGTCCTCCCTGGGCTTTCTGCGCCTGCTGCACAATTGAATACTGACAACCTTCTTCTCAGTGCCGGTGCCACAGCCAACAGCGGTGTTGTCGACGGCAGCGCCAGCGACTGGGACCATGTCATCCAGGTCGATCTGAGCGGCACAGCGTACTGCGCAAAGGCCGTTGGCGCGCACTTCAAGAAGCAGGGTCACGGCTCCCTTGTCATCACCGCCTCAATGTCTGGCCACGTCGCGAACTACCCTCAAGAACAAACCTCATACAACGTTGCCAAGGCGGGCTGCATCCATTTGGCACGCTCGCTGGCCAACGAATGGCGCGACTTTGCTCGTGTCAACAGCATCTCGCCGGGCTACATCGACACAGGCCTGTCCGACTTTATCGATGAGAAGACACAAGAGCTATGGAGAAGCATGATCCCCATGGGACGCAACGGCGATGCCAAGGAGCTCAAGGGCGCATATGTCTATCTCGTCAGTGATGCTAGCTCGTATACGACGGGAGCTGATATTGTGATTGATGGAGGTTATACCACTCGATGAAGGAGCTATTTTGTTTCAGTAGTATAAAACGATTTTTAATAAGCTTAGCTGTACCATAATTTCATGATTCAATAAATGGACACGTCCAAATCTTTAACATAATTCATTCTCACAAGACACCCACCAATTTCTAGCATCATTGGCTCAGCTACCCAGCCAAGTATCTACTCCCACTGGATAGTAGTTTCCTGGAAAGCCCACCTCGGCGCGGGGAGCTTCCGGAGAAGCTATTGCAGCCATGGGCATGCCAAAAGTACATGCGTTGATGACTTGATGCCAGGGTTTTGGCATTTAGCCGTCGTTGAACTGCCGTTGGCAATTTGCGCCGGCGCTGCAGTACAGGGATCAGAAGCACAAGGGAGCGAAGGAGTACGAGGCACCACCAATAATTCGGCAGTAGTGAATCCCGGCAGGTAGGCATCAAAGAATCATGCCAAAGCACTACAAGAGAGTAGTTTGCACTAATTCCATTGGTTTGTACAAATGTCTTGGAAGCGTTGAATTGAATTATCAGACATGAGCTTAGATAGAGGTCCAGAACGCCGTTCTATCCTCGTCTTCCCTTCTCAACGACCCCCTTGCGCTTCTATGTAATTCACCATCCACTTCTTCCCCGCGATCTGGCGTGTCGTTCCCCCACCGACGGGGCTATAATCCCGGCATGGGCAATTACTGTAACAGAAGTACCCGACAGTAGTGCGTCCGGTTGTTTATTTCCTGCTTTGCTTGGCATGTGGCTGCCGGGATTTAGTGCAAGTGCCGCTCAATATTTGAAGTTCACAGAAAGCCGCTGCTATTGCCACTTCTGCGGGGAGTGAATATCTAACTTGCCATGGAGTATCTTGAAGACATGTCGAGGTTCTTGTTAACATGAAAACAAAACGTCAATTGATACCATTGGCCAAACCTGCCGGAGTAACCGTGTCGGTTAAATTTATGCATACCGCGTTGTCCTTGCAATTTGTCCTACCAACGTTCGTCTTTGTTCTTGTCCCTTTCCGTGAGTAGCTCGCCCGCTCATGTGCTCTTACTCCTGGAGCCCGACGGTTCGAAAGGCTGCTCACATGCAGATCTTGCCAGCGGCATTCGCATCCCTCGTGCTTACCTTAGGTAGGCATCTACCTATTGTATATGTTCCTCAGTATGTACTTTCCTTGCACAGGAAACAATAACTTGGCCCTTGCACACTCGCGGCGAGATCGGATGAGCTTGCAGATTACCGCGTCCAGTCGTTGTCCACCTCCCTAAATAATCGAGGCATTACCTACTTGTAATACCCTGCACACGATAACATGACTATCGGGTAACATCAGCTGTGGGTAGATACTGCTCGTGGTCTCCAGTTCTGCGGCCGATGCCCGTTGAGAAGCCGTTGCCTGGCGCGGCCATTGGCCGAAAGCTCGGGGATTTCAGTTGGCAAGAATTGGAAGTATGCCTATGTTGCATATTAGAAGCATCGCGATCCACAAATGAGGGGGAATCGTAGGTCCATGTAACCATATTCGAGCCATGGTACACAATCAGCGGATTTAGACAGGGGTTCATCTCTGTGGGTCTCAAACATTGCCTGTGTACTAGGGAGGCTCGTCGGAAGATGATATCATGAATCTCCAACCTCCATGCTTATTAGCCTCATCCTGGCCGAAAATATCTCCGCAAGCCTCGCCATTTCGACCAAGAATCTTTTCCCTAGACCAGCAACGTGCAATTTGGAAAGCAATACCGACGGCTATTTTCAAATGCTTCCAACTACCCACACAACCATGAAAAGGACGACTTTCCCCGGGAACCAACAGCTATTGTTCAGAGCCCTGGATGATCAGCGTGACATGGTGTCTTGAACCTGCAGCGAGCGTTTCCGCTTCAAGGTATCATGACTGGCAATGTTGTATTACCCTAGGCTTCCCCCGCCTATGTTTATGCTTGATGGCCTCATCGAACTGCGGGGAAGAAGATTAATCCTGGCCGAAGACTTCCCTTCGAGATGTAAATGTTTTGAAATTGTTCCGCGGGGTGGAGATGGCTGTGAGATTTCCGGCAAGGGGAGGCCAGGCAATGCTGCGACATATAAGCGGCAATCTCCGCAGCATGAATCTCTGATGCTACTCGCAGGGCGAGCTGTCGACTTTGCCTTTTGTCTCGGGACGAAGTGAATAGCACCTCCCCAGGTGGCACGAGGGCTCCCTCCCTGTTTTGAAGTCCCTTGTTTACGGCTTGTTCTAGTATTATAAACTCTAGCGGTTCTATCTACAAACAATTTCGTATCAATAAGCTTCTCGGGGTATTTTGATACACCGACGACGACATGCACATCCAGCAATTCGTGGCTTACTGGCCATTGCTGGCTGGGTTGAGCCAGGCAGCAGATCAGAAGTCTTCTTTCGATGTACTTGACTATATCGACCCGTTAATTGGCACTGCCAACGGAGGTATGAGTTTACGCTTCCACTTATATTAATTGCTTATTGACTCGTATCACAGGACATGTTTTCCCAGGCGCAACTCTCCCTTGTGAGTATACTGCGCTGAACAGAATTTCCCATTGATGGCAGATATAGAGACTGATTGAACAAATGCGATTAGATGGTATGGCAAAAAGTGTAGCGGATGGTAATGAGGAGATCCAGGGAGGTTATGCCTCAAACGATGGCCTAAGTACGTGTTTTACAACATCCCGTCCGCAGAAGAGCTTGCAATGGCTAATCAGTATCTATAGTTACTGGCTTTTCTCACATGCACGATAGTGGAACAGGTGGTGTAGGTTCATAAGTGCCTATTCACATAGCTATGCATAATGCTAATGTCTTCTACAGGGCGCATCACTGGGAAATTTCCCTCTTTTTGCCCAGACTGGCTGTCTAAACGATGATCTCAACAACTGTTACTACCCTTCAACCTTGAGAGCGTCAGCAAAGATAAACTCGACAGTCGTGGCCAAGCCAGGCTACTTTGCTATACAGCTCAACACATCGGTCAAGGCTGAAATGACGGTTACAAATCACACAGCGCTGTACAGATTCACATTCCCAACGGACGGCACTCCAACCAAGCTCCCTGCCAATGGAACGACGCCTTACAGCCCTCTGATTCTGGCCGATCTGGCTGATCTTTCCGGATCCAGGACCGATTCAATCATCTCTGTTGATGCCCATACAGGCCGCATATCCGGCAATGGTACCTTTAGGCCCTCTTTCGGCATTGGCAACTACAATCTCTATTTCTGTACAGACTTCCAGGGCGCGAAGCTTCGAAACACAGGAATCTTTGTAAACAATCGCGCAGGTACCGACCGCAAGAGCTTCCGCACTTACGATGATGGCCAGAGCCCAATCCTCCCTGCTGGCGCCTGGGCTCAGTTCCACCCTCCAGCCAACAACCAAATTCTGGCTCGAGTCGGACTCTCGTTCATCAGCACCGCTCAAGCCTGCAACAACGCGCAGAAAGAGATTCCCAACTTTGACTTTGAGTCTGTGAGATCGGATGCTGAGGATGCATGGCACAAGAAGCTTAGCACTATCAACGTGGACAACACAGGCGTCAGCGACTCTCTCCAGAGGACATTCTGGAGTGGCATCTATCGCACGCTGATTTCTCCACAGGATTATACTGGTAAGACGACATGTGTAGGCAGATGAGAGTGGTGCCATCTCTAACGCTGATTCTAGGCGAAAACCCCCTCTGGAAGAGCAACGAGCCATACTTTGACTCATTTTACTGCATCTGGGACAGCTTCCGAAGCACGCACCCCTTGCTTACACTGGTTGACCCTCATGCTCAGGCTTTGATGATTCGCAGTCTCATTGATGTGTACCGTCACGAGGGCAAGCTCCCTGATTGTCGCATGTCCCTCTGCAAGGGATTCACTCAGGGTGGCAGCAACGCTGACAATCTATTGGCGGATTCTTATCTGAAGGGTTTGACAGACGGCATCGACTGGGCTACTGGTTATGAGGCTGTCGTATCTGACGCTGAAGGTAAGGCTTTCCATGAATAACTTGCTCGCAGCAACTCGTATGCTAACGCATCTCATGAATAGTTGAGGGCCAAATTTGGACGGTTGAAGGCCGTGGAGGCTTGCAGAGCTGGAAGAATCTTGGCTACATCCCAACCGATGACTGGGACTTCAGTGGCTATGGTCTCTTCACTCGTTCTATTTCACGAACGATTGAATACTCTTACAACGACTTCTGCATTGCCGAGATGGCCCGCGGTCTTGGACACCATGCCGATGCAGAAAAATACCTGAAGCGCTCCAATAACTGGAAGAACATGTACGACCCAACTTCGCGCTCAAAGCTGAACTTGACCGGAACTCAAGACTACAGCCTGTTCACCGACAGTGGATTCGAAGGCTTTTTGCAGCCGCGATATCTAAACGGCACCTTTGGCTTCCAAGAGCCGGCGATATGCACTGACTTATACAACTTCAATGGCTGCTATTTGAATCCCGGCGGCCACGAGACGTATGAGGCTGGTTCTTGGCTCTACACCTTTTATGTGCCTCACGATCAAGCTACACTGATCACTACACTCGGTGGTCCAGACGCTTTCGTGCGTCGTCTTGAGTTTATGCACAACACTCCAGGCCTGTTTTACATCGGTGATGAACAGGCTTATCTCCTTGTCTTTGAATTCCACTACGCCGGAAGACCAGGTCTCTCTGCAGAATACTTGCACAAATACATCCCCAGCGCCTTCAACGACACCACCGCCGGTCTTCCCGGAAACGATGACTCGGGCGCCATGGGCAGCTTCACGGCACTATCCATGATGGGCTTGTACCCCATGAGCGGACAGAATGTCTATTTGATCATCCCGCCATTCTTCCCAGAGGTCAACTTCACCGACCCGCGATCCGGCAAGACAGCGACTATTCGCAACATCAACTTTGACGCTGGATACAGCAACATTTACATCCAGAGCGCCAAGTTGAATGGCAAGCCGTATAACAAGGCATGGGTGACTCACAGCTTCTTCCTTGACGGCGGCGTGCTTGAGTTGACTCTCGGGCCTCAAGAGAATACAAAGTTTGGAACTGCAAAGGCAGACCTTCCGCCGAGTGCGTCAACACATTTCTGGAGTTAGATGGGGGCAAAAGAGTAGCGCTGTATAATGAGTAACGCTGAAAAATAAATAACATGAATTATTATGATCTCCTTCTATGCTTCTCTACAGTTCGTGTGCTATTATATGTGATCTGCTTGCATTTGTTGGCCCAACTTCTGCACTTATACCATCCACGGGCCCATACTTGTAGTGCCGTATCTCTTCCAAAACTTCCCTCCTGGCTGTCCTTTACCCATTGCTTCATCCATCTCTGCTTTCAATACAGGATTGACTCCCTTCTGCCTCATCTTCTCTTGCTCTTTGAGTGGGATGTTATGGACGGGGTGGTCGTCTGGTATGTCTGAAGGTTGCTCATCTATCTTGGGACTTTTACCCCACTTGAGTCCGGCTTGAGCAGCTGACTGATGGCTGTCTTGTTCGCTTGTCTTTTGGGGTGTCTTTTGTAAGGCTTCATCGTTTGACAGAGGCATATTAATCACGTAGTAAAGTATTCTAGTCTTCTGAAACATTTTTGTATCTCAGTGACGTGCCAACGTGGGACATTTATATAACCAAACATCCAACTGCCAAGCAACATAGAGCTACCATGATCTACCATGATCAACCTTACAAGCCTCGTCGATGACACAACATCTCCGCAATCACCTTTCGCTTCACTCCTGCACCCCAGCTCAGTGGGGCTACGGACCCTTCAGCTCGCCTATTTTAGGTTCTGACAGGCGCCAGGTCTTACGATCGTCACTAAGCCACATCCTATGCTACAATCTTCAGCGATGACCCACAGGAACAAGACGCTTAACGCATACGTTCCGATAGCAGTATTCACGTTGATACAGTTAATAAGCTTGTCTAAAATTTGTTTTTATTGCAATTCTTTAATGGGCTAACAATGATGATGCAACGCTAGATATCTATGCCTGTGCCTTGAGCGCAGTAAACTGTTCGCTAAAAGGAAAGTCGAGGAAGCCCTTGTCCAGCTTGGCAGTGAAAAACGTCTCTCTCTGGTACGGCGTGAGAGCGATTCCCTGTTGGAACCGGAAAGGCAGATCGGGGTTGGAAGTGTATGGTCGGCCAATCGCAATAACAATGTCGTAGTCCTTGTACTCCTCGTCAACGGCCTTTTTGCTGGACTCGAGCTCGAATCCTCCGGCTACAAGCACAGGGCTGGTATTGGCATAGGCCTTGATGACTGGCGTGATATCGTTGCCCTTCTCGCGAGACTCAACCAAGTGTACATAGGCCAGCTTGTAAGGCTTCAACTGCTCGGCAATGTACTCATATTGGGGAATGGGATCATAGGTAATGTCTCCCATAAAGTCGGCAAATGGGCTGAACCGGATTCCGGTCCGGTCTGCGCCAATAGCTCCAACAACAGCCTTGGTCACCTCCAACGCGAAGCGTGCTCGGTTCTCAATACTTCCACCCCATTGATCGGTTCGCTTGTTGGTGAGCTCCTGAATGAACTGCTCGATCAAGTAGCCGTTGGCGGCGTGGATCTCTACGCCGTCGAATCCGGCAGCAACAGCGTTCTTGGCCGCCTGTGTGTAGTCTTCAATGTACTGAAGAATTTCCTCCTCTCTTAGAGGACGTGGCTTAACGGCAGCATCAGGAGACTCTGGTACATCGCTAGCAGAAACAAGATCTGAGTTACTCTCTTCCTTCAAAACTTCCGCCTTGGCAGCGCGTCCTAGAGCCCATAGCTGGAGATAGATGTACGATCCTTTCTTGTGAACGGCATCCACAACCTCTTTCCAAGCATCAATCTGCTCTTGTGTGTAGATTCCAGGAACGTTTGCATAGCCACCAGCTTGCTGAGAAATGAAGGTAGCCTCGGTGATGGACAGCGAGCCAGGAACAGCTCCTCTCTGCGCATAGTACTCCTTCACGTTGGGCAGTGGAACGTGGTTATCGTCGGCTCTGTACCGGGTCATGGGCGCCATGGCAATTCGGTGGGCGAGCTCAATGCGGCCCACCTTGAGGGGAGAGAAGAGTTTTGACATATTGACGGTGGTTTTGCTTGATTCACTTGGTACTGCAACAAAAGAATAGACAGGATTGAAAGATGGGAGGCTCCGCCTTCTTATCAGTATTCTTCTGGGAGCCTCAAAACATTAGCATTAATTGCGCCATTATAGAGATTATAAATCCGAACCCCACTATCGAATTGCGAGGCACTATTATCAATTTCATGATCTCTACGCATCTAAAACTAATCGGTATTCGGCATCGCTCGATGTTTGCTAAGCATTGCAAATGACCTATTTGTCTACACTGATGAGTTATATGAACCAGAGCGGATATAACAGGTGGCCTCAAGTTTAAGAATAGGATTCGGCCGCACAAGCGATGGAATGGCGCTGCACTGGCGCTGGGCTGACTCAGGCCAAAGCTAGAAGGGATTTTTGTAACGGACTTCACCCCGCCTTGGAACTGGTAACATGGTCAGAAGCTCAGCGAGAACCACTGGTATACCATGGATCGTATTCTATTGGCAGCCGAGGCTAAATTTCCTCTTTTGAAAGCAGATAAAGTTCTATCTATTACAGCACCAAAGAGCCCCGGGGTCGAATGACCCAAGGATGCACTGGCTTCTCGATTACCACGATCGGGATAGAGATAGGCCGACTATCGAAGATTCTGTGAAATTCCACCAAGCGGCACTTGCCGCCTTACAAAGCGAGACACCCAGACATTAGCGGACTTATAACCATTCTACAGATACGGCAAAATCATCGTTCCAAGTACCAGGGAACGGCCGAGCAATGCATGAAATTCTCGTAGCGACGGCTGTTCAATCGTCGCGTCTTACGACCAAGTCCCGCGTGCCGAATTCCGCAACTCCACTTAGCTTTGGGTACACGTATAATGAACCCCGATCAACTACAACGTGAATCACCCGAGCATTAGCAGCCTCTAGTTCTCACTCGAAGACTTGACAAGGTGTGATATGGACGTCTACCAGATCAAGTTGGAGCATGGGTATGTATCCAGTATGACCTATCGCAAACCCTCACCCCACAAACTGAATACGCCACTGGGGGCTCATATGCAGGAGCCAAAACGGCGTCTAGCTAGCTTCATCCCAACCAATTAGAGAGGGCAGTATACGGAGTGTCGAAGAAATATATCCAAGGTTTACTGCCTAGTCGGCGATTGTTATGTAGTCGGCGGTTCCTTGATGAATTATTCGTTTACACGCAAATTCGTACATGCACATGCGGGCCCTCTTCTCGAAAAGTTTACTTGAAATGAAGTGTGAGATGGAAGTATAGTGCTTCACAACAGCTTATATGTAACCTCGCTGAACCATCTTCTTCTGAACTGCCTGATGCTGAGCTCAGTTTCTTCTGCGCTCTCCATCAGACAAAGCAAAGTCTCCATAGTAGCATTGACTGCTTCTGGCCAAGATTTTGCATATCCGCTTCTACACAAAGAGGATACTACTACTCTCACGGCTTCGCGATCGGGCTTTTGGACGCAGCTCCGCGGTGATAACTCTACACGTTATCTTAGAAAGAACTGAAGGCAAACGCTGTCAGACCGCCTGATAGCAGCAGTCCGCTTCAGCAACTAAAGCTACCAACACATCAGCCCACCGCCAGTCAACCTTTGTTCATCAGATTTTTTCTTCATTCGTTTAATCTTCTAGGGCAGATTTGTAAGTCAAACTCCGCTAGAAGATCTCCGCTAAAGATCTCCCGTGCGCTTGGCGATGGGGCCCCTGGCTAGGCCGACGCTACCGGTTGGGCCGAGGCACGATTCACGCAGTATGTGCTTAATAGGGGGAGAAAAAAAAAATTATGTATATATAAAAGATTTCAGATTTGAGAACCAAGATGAAATTCTGTGGTATTTATATGCTACATCTGCTAACACGATAAACATCGCACCAACTACCGCGATCAGCCAAAGTCAGCCACCATGACAGTCTCCGATCTCAAGATCCAGGAGCCAATCACGCTCCCATGCGGCCTCACGCTCCCCAACCGGCTCTCCAAAGCCGCCATGGCTGAAAACTGGGCAGACAACGAATATCTTCCCACTGAGAGTATGCTCAAGATTTACGAGACGTGGGCAGAGGGTGGATGGGGATCAGTCCTCACAGGCAACGTTCAAGTGGATGTCAGATATCTCGGCAGCACCTGGGATGTGAGCCCCGATGAGAACATTGATAGGGAGAAGACTCTCGCGTCTTGGAAGAAATGGGCAAAGGCGAGCTCCAAAAACGGCACTCCCGTCATCATGCAAATCAACCATCCAGGACGGCAAAGCCCTGGCGGTGCCGGCAAGAGGGGGTTTTTTGACAAGGCGATTGCTCCCAGCGCGATCCCGCTGCGTATAGGGGATGGAATTGTCGCCAAGATCGCCTCTGCAATCAAGTTCGGCACACCAAAAGAGATGACGGTTGAGGATATTCAGCAGGTCATTGCGCAATTCGTTGAGACTTCCAAACTGGCGGCCGAGGCAGGCTTCGCAGGCGTTGAACTCCACGGGGCTCACGGCTATTTGCTGTCACAGTTTTTAAATCCTTCGTCCAACCATCGCCAGGATGAGTTTGGCGGATCACCCAAAGCACGAGCCAAGATCATTGTAGATATCATCAAGGCTGTGAGAGAGGCTGTTCCAAAGAGCTTCTGTGTCGGCATCAAGTTGAACAGCGCAGACTTTAGGAACAAGGAGCAGCTCGCGGCTTGTATCGAGCAGCTGGAGGAAATCACTGGCGCTGGCATCGATTTCCTTGAGATCAGCGGTGGTTCATATGAAGACCCAGAGGTAAGTTCCATCACTCTCGATAAGTTCTCTCTGTTCTGTGCCTTAGGGCGTCGAAGGGACAAGGCATGTCTAACTACAGCCTCTAGATGATCCAAGGGCCAAAGTCAGCCAGCACCCTGTCCCGCGAAGCTTTCTTCCTTGATTTTGCAAAGGAGATCCGTGGTAGATTTAGAAGCGTTCCATTAATGGTAACAGGCGGCTTCCGCAGCCGTGAGGCCATGGAGAGCGCACTTCGAGAAGACGCTTGCGATATCATTGGCATTGGCCGACCTGCCGTGCTTAACCCGTCCTTGCCCAAAAACTTGATTTTCAACAAGGAGGTCAAGACTGAAGATGCAAAGGCATATGCCAGAAAAGCGCCGGATCTGCTGCTTCCTAAGCTGCTGGGCATCAAGATTATGGCCGGAGGAGCTGAGACGGTAAGTTGTGTTATGAAGATTTGTGCCTGGAAAGGAACGATTAGCTAACCGAGATGATAGGATTGGTATATGAAGCAAATGCGATCGATGTAACCGCATTGCAGTTCTTCTTTTGTTTATACAACGCGCGAAATGTTTCTCTTATAGACTATATCTGTTTATTATATATCCATCCCTAAGGGGTATAGAATCAAGACTTTTATCCCTCTGTATTTAGTGTCTCAAATCACTGCATACATGTACTGCTACTACTTCTATCATGACCCTGCACAATGGCGTCATATTATCTGCGACTTCGTTATGCACAATATTCCGATTCGCTTTCAATATTGCGACCCTACATACCAGCATCAATTGCAAAGGTATGACAAATAATAATCGGCATCAATCTCCAGTTCTGTGTAACCAGCAGCTGGATCTGCACAATAATTCCGCCATTTTAGCGTTCTTTATAGAAAGCTGAGATGGCCATTGGCGGCATGTCTCGCAATGGAGGCCATGGCGCAATTATGCGAGCTGAAAGCGTAGGGTTACATCCAAGGGACGCTTACTCGCAAGGTTAACTACATGCTTGGCATTCAATAAGCCTGCTCATATTTAAATACAAATGTCCTCCAATGTCACTCGTAGCTAGTGGTCTTTTCGTCTCGCTTTGTCTTTCACTTTGTCTGCCTCGAAAATGAAAGCGGCTTTGTTGTCTACCTTGGCTCTGTGCCTCGTTCACGCATCTGCAGCGCCTGGACTCCAGGGACGGAGTGGCGGATTTGATGATGGAGAGCCCATCAGTCCAGATGGGAAAGGCGGTCCTTTTTCAGGTAACTTTCTTACTTTAAACAAAGAGAACAGTATCCTAACAGAATGTGTAAGGCGGTACCAACCACCAACTGGACTTACAGAATCCCAATAATTTGGGCGAGCAGTCTACCGACAATGGCGTTGTCCCAAACCTCAAATGGAGCTTCTCCGACTCCAGAACGCGCATCTTGAAAGGCGGTTGGGTTCGAGAGCAAGTCGTCACCGATCTTCCCTCAAGTCCAGATGTTTCAGGCGCTCAATTTCATCTGGAGAAGGGAGCTATTCGAGAGCTTCACTGGCATCGAGTGGTAAGTAGAGGGAGCAGCTAATGCTTAATGACTTGGACTCGAGCTCACATAGTCATCTAACGCGAAAAATAGGCCGAATGGGGCTTCGTCTATGCCGGTCACGTAACTGTGTCGGCCGTCAACGAGAACGGCGGGTACGAGGGTGCAGAACTCGGCTACGGCGACATATGGTACTTCCCCAAGGGAGTTGCACACTCAGTACAGGGCCTTGACACCGAGAATGAGTTTCTCCTGGTTTTTGACGACGGCGATTTTGACAAGATTGGGTGAGACACATCGTAAACTTCTGTATACTTTGACGAGCATAGCAAAAGCTAACAGGACCAAGCACCACTTTCCACGTTGACGACTGGATCGCTCATACCCCTCGCTCAGTTCTCGCAAAGAACTTTGGCGTTGACGAATCCGTCTTCGATTCTATCCCTCCCGCCGATCCGTACATCATCAACGGGACGATTAGCACACACAATGTCACAGGAGCTTCCCCTCCGCTCTCTGGCGACAGCTCTTTCGTCTATCGAACGCTGCAGCACGCTCCTGAGAAGATTGGTGGAAGCGGCGGGGAGCTCCACAAGATTGACTCGACCAACTTTCCAATTAGCAAGACGATAGCTGCAGCATTGGTAACGTTGAAGCCCGGTGCTTTACGAGAGCTGCACTGGCATCCAAACGTGAGTATTGAGTATCTATAAAGATTTGACAACAATTACCTGCGATATCAGGAAGAAAAGAGGCGTAGCTAATGCATACATACAGGCCGCGGAATGGCTCTACTTCCACAAAGGCACCGCCCAAGCCACCGTCTTCATCGGCAACGCCGCCGCCCGCACATTCAACTTCCGCGCCGGCGACACGGCAGCGTTCCCGGACAACTCGGGGCACTACATCGAAAACACGTCAGACACGGAGGACCTCGTCTGGATCGAGATATACAAGTCGGACCGCGTGGCCGATATTTCACTTACCCAGTGGCTCGCACTGACGCCGCCGGATATTGTTGCGCAGACGCTAAAGGTGCCGTTGGAGTTTGTAGAGAAGTTGAAGAAGGAGAAGCAGGTGTTGGTTCAGTAACCCCAGAGGTTGTAAATTTACATAGTTGCGAATAATTTATTCATGACAAACATGACATCCAGATGGCGTACAGATTGTAAATGGTTCAAATTAATTTCTCATTCATTCAATATATACAGATTGCGTCCGGCCTGTTATCCTCATCTCTAACAAACCCACACCATAATTTTATACAAGAAGAAGGAAACCATCTCTAGTTCTTCACCAAGACAATAGCCTCAGTGTTCTGAACAGAAAAGTTAATGTTGCCGTTGCTATCAGCCTGGTAAACCTTGCTCGACTCCTGGCTGGTAACGCGCTGAGCCAGGCCGTTGGAGTTGGCATCGTAAGAGAAACCGTTGAAAGTAACGCCAGACTTGTCGGTAGCGCCAGCTGCAGTAAGACGCTGAGACGTCCAAGAAGTTCCAGCGCCAACCTGGACGGTGTAGTTCTGGCTAGGGCGAGTGCCACTGCCGGAGTTGTACTGTCTCAAGTTGAGAACGGCAACACGGCTCAACTCGCCGTTGATGTAGGCGGCATATCCAGAGTCCTTGTCGGCGTCCTTGTTCAAAGCAAGAGTCTGAACCTCAATGGTGCTGGAATTGGCCAGGAAAGTGCTGGCAGCCAGCTTGCCGTAGTACGGGGCATTGGTGTTGAGGGTGCCTGAAGGAACCCACGCGGCATAAGGAGAGCCCACAGACTGGTGGAAGTGAATACGCTTGATGACACCAGTGGAGGCAGCATAGAGGGAAAACTCCATGGCCCAGAGAGCAGCTCCAAAGACGTCGGAGAGGCCAGAGGCACCGCCGCCGTACAAGCTGTTGTGCTCGCCAATGATGTAGTCGGCGCTGATGGTGGACGTCTTGGCGTAGTTGACGTGGTTCGTGATCGAGTTGACAACGGCCGTGTGGCTCATAAGGGTATTCTGCAGAGTAACGCCCGGGCTGGTGGCGCCGTTCATGTAGTTGTGCACAGAGACCTGCGAGATCTTGGAGGTGGCAGCGCTTCCTTCATCGGGGAAGATGGCGTTGATCTTCAGCTTGGCGCCGGGGGAGCTCAACGAGGGAGCAATGTACTTGATGCTGCCGCCCAGAGAGGGGCATGCCGTCTTGAGGTAGCTCTCAAAGTGCTGCGTCGTGTTCACCCACTCGGCAGCGTAGTTGGCGGCGTTGTAGCTGCTGGGGCGTCTGCTTCCAATGTACAGATCCGGTTCGTTGCCAACCTCCCAAAACTCAAGCTGGCCCTCAAGCGCCTTGCAAGCCAGGGGCACCGTCGACTTCAGCGTGGCCCATCCGGAGGAGTTGTACGCGCCGACGTTGAACTGGTGAGAGTAGCGGGTGCCGGCCGGGAATCCGCCGTAAGACTCGAAGAAGCTCTTTCCGATGCATTGCCATGCGCCAGGGTCGGCATGGGGGCACGAGCTGGCCGTAGAGGTGGTCAATGTCGAGTCGTAGATGGCACGATCGCCAGAGTTTCCACCGACGCGGACGACAACGCCGCTGCCTTGGAGGTCGGCCAGGTTCTGCATCAGGTTGTGGGAGAAGGCATTGGGCGAGCTCTTGGTTCCTGCAGAAGACAAAATATCCGTGTCAGTCCATGTACGCTTCAAGAATACCATGCAGATGGAACTCACCAGCAAATGTAGGGAAACCAATCAGCTCAAACGACAAGCTCACATACGAGTCGTAGAGACTGGCCGCCACCAATGACTGCGACAGCAGTATAGACGCAGGAACTGAGTATTTGACCATTGTGAATGTTTCTTTTTGTTTTCTCTTTTTACCAGATAACACAAAGAATCAAATTATCAATTCAGGCCTTCACGAGCTTCAGCAAACAAAGCGTCCCCAGTCCCATATATATGCCGTCAGCGATGCGACGCTGTCCAGGCACCTCGCCTCCTGAGTCCCTTGGATCTCCATGCGGAACGTCCATCGGATGACAGGACCAAGAGCTACCGGACTAAGATCAGTTTCTCCATCTATAGGAACAATTCTTGCTGTCCGCCGCTGCACGGCTTTGCCCGTTTCAGCAGGAGGCATTCGCTGGTGGCTTTGTGCTGTGCGCAGGGATTATCGGTCCTACCCTTGCTGGTCCCCCACAATATTGAGGCGCAAAGCCGTAATAGCGCTGATGTCGCTGTGTCCGGATCGATTTTGTCGGCAATGCATTGACGGGAATGAACAAGATGGAGTTATTACGTGAGTGTGTACTACTACTAGTAATAGCACTTATTCAGGCCAGTAGTGGTCATCCATACGAATAGGAGTTTCTGGCTTGGATCAGATTATCCGTACGGCGATGTCATGGATAGCAGATCGACAGTCAGATATTTTGATCGGCCATATGCTCCCATTTCCTTCCAAAAATAACTTTCCTCGTGTCATATTGTGTCGCCCTGCTCAGCCCAGCCATGAGGAATTCTTGGATACACCACCCCGCATTCAAGACGGACATAATTGGGGAGCCAGTTGTTCTAGAATTATGGGGTGCATAGGCTAATACTAGAAGCTATTCCGGGCCGACTAGTGCTGCTATGCTAGGTATTCCGAGCAACTCAGTATAAACGCAACAATACATGCAACGTTTGCCAAAGTCTGCTGCTGCTTTGATCCAGGCAAAGGATTCCCAGCTTCCTCATTTTTTGACTTCTAGAATTATTCCGTGGTCTAGACCAGCTCTTGCTTCAAGATGAAACACTTGACATCTTATCCTTCATATAAAAGCTTAGCTGGGTTATACCATGATCACGCCAGATCTTGATCGTATCCTGAATAGCAAATTAGGTTGTATTTTTAATTTACACTTTAGAGATCTCCTGTTCGCGAATCATCTCATCTATACCCATATTTTGTTTCACATTCCGTGAGGAAATGGAAATACACGAGGCTGAGCTCATCCAACGGCCATGAACCAGATCGATAGAGACCCCGGCTATCCCATCTATCACACCTCTTCCCATTTTCGTATAATAACAATCAGAACATCATCATCCTTTTCTATCCAAACAAACCCAAACTCACAGCCAATGCGCCAAATCTATCCCTCCCCCCGTCTCCAACAACGGAAACAAATTCAACGCCGAATTCGGATCATCGTCATTCCCCACAATCCCATCCCAATACGTAGTATCCGGCGTGTGCAGCATCGGCTCCGACAGCCCCAAGAACATGGAGTCCATCTCTCCCATCCGCGGCGACGGTCCACTCGCTAAACTCTGACTCTGCAACACCGATCTACTGTCCAACGAGGCGCGGCCGTCGTTATCATTATTACTAGGCGCGGTCGTATCTGGAGTCTTGGCATGCAAAATTGAAATTGGCGCCGGAGATTTATTCAAAGGCGATCTCGCATCCGGCGCCACCAGGCCGAACAAATGACTCGAGTTTTCAGTGCGGCGCAGTCGATCTTGAAGGTCCTGTCTCTCCAGATGCTCCAACGCCGTAGTTAGCAGCGACTGCGCGATAAGAGAGTACTGTCGCGCATGGGCGTCGTTTTGGGCAAGATGGTCCATGGCCTGTATAGACATGCGCGTATACTTTTCCAAGATACGGCTGAAACCGCCAAGAAGACCAACACCAAGAACAAGCGACGCAGCAAAAAGCCATGATCTGCAAGTCATCAGCCATCTGTTACAGTCTGAGAGCAGCAATACAAGTACTCACACAAGCAAAGGAGCTTTCCCCCTCAGGATACCCCTCTCTATCAAATCCAACACCGGATCCACCATCAAGCTCGCAGCATCAATACACGCATCCGCCAGCTTTGACCGTCCCGAAGTCAACGCCGGCCTGGTACTCGACGACGACGACCCATCCGTAAGCCGCTGAAAAAGCTCATACATCAGAAACGGCCGCGACACAAGCATCACCGCGTAGTAATACGACGACAGCACCTGACAAGCACCAGTGACCTGAGCCTCATTGCGCCCCGCCGGCTGCGCAATCATGTCCTTCAAGGAGCTGAGCCATCGTCCAGACCATTCGCGCAGCTGCAGAGAAATGCCCTCAGTCAACCGCATAGAAATCTTCTTGCGCGAGTAAATCTCCAAAATGATACACTCCAGTATAACCAGAATCTGCACAGACGCATTAAGTAAATCAAACACTTCATTTCCATCAGCATCCACCGTACGATACGGAACAGTGCAATCCACATCCGACGTCGAAGGCGGCCGTCCCAAAGAGCTGCTCAGAAAAAGATCCAGCACGCGCAGGCTTTTCCAGAGCCTATCCCGCTGACGATGAATCTCCTGTCCAAACCGGGCATTCACCTCCGTCCGATGCAAACCAATGGAATAAGCCGCCCTCGCAGCAATGCCGAAGAAGAGAAACGCCCCATTGATTTGACACGAGCACAGCATGTAAACCGTAACCAGGATGAATGCCTGCACCGTCTCGACGCCTAGACTATCGCTCAGATCGGTATACGCCAAATCCCGCGCATACTCAAAATACTGCTGCGACAGCGCATCGTTATCCGCCTGCAGCCCAATAGCAAGCACGAGAAAATGAATAATCGTCGTGACATTATCCGGCTTCTGCGCCAGGTTCGCCCATATAATCAGGTCATCCAGCAACTTCGAGTTGTCAAACAAATCCACCAGACTCGCCGTTGTCGCCAAATACGTCGCCACCGCAGGCGTAACATCAGCAGGTCGAACTTGCGGTACTCTGGAATCTCTCAAGGACCGCTTCGTCTGTCGTGCAGGCGCATTCTCCAGGACCGAAAATCGACTCGTCTGCGGCGCAAAGGCATTCTGGCCAATTCTGTTCGTCACAAGCCTCCGCACCGACTGAAAAAAAGACAGCGGCGCACAGTCGCCAATGAACGTCAACTTCCCATGGGCATCGCACAGCAGCCTCGCCTCCCGCTGGACTTCAGTCTCGTCCTCCGCCACAGACGGCTCCTGGCTCTGATGCAGCACAGAAGCCGACGCCGTCGAAGGCAGTCGGCTCTGCTGCCGTTCACTTCGCATTGCCGGAGACGAGGCATTCACCGAAGACACGCGCCTCGAAGCCATCGATCCCGGCGTCTCTACCGGCGACAGCGACCGCCCCGGTGAGCCGCCCCTGGCCCGATCCCGCGAATCCCGGACCGACAATGGCGGCGACTTTGGCTTCTGCAGCTGCGACTGTCTGCGTCTCTTCTGCGGCGAATAGCGACACGTATGCGCTCTCTGCCGCGCAACGCAGAATCCGCACGGCAGCTTCCCGTCGCACTTGACTTTTCGCGTCTTGCATCCATCGCACGCATTGGCGATGCGGCTGCGGATGTAGCGAACTGGCTCTGATCCGGACTCATGGTCGACGTCCATCTGATACTCCTCCTCCCCCCTCGAAGCACGCCAGACGAAAAGGGAAATCCGGATAGTTCAATGGTTGGCTTCAGAGTAGGAAATACGACGCTGCGGATAGGCGGCCAATCGAAGTGCCCGGTTAATTTCCCCAGAGTGTCTTACAAGGCTTGATGCATGCAGAAAGTGGCGGATCGTCGGATGGCGGATGTGCGGATATCGTAAATGTATGGATGAAAATGTAGCAATGGAAGAAAGGCGGAAGCACTGTGCCAAGGTGGCCAAACTATGTGGATCTATACAGTATTAGTTTGAACCTATTCACACTCACCTCCCTCGAACATTACCTACTAAACCAGGCAAAACTCAACATAATTTTACATCCCATGTGTCATAAAAAGGGGGGAGTGCGGGCTTATATACTCTCAATATTTTTGTTACACCAGTTTGAATTATGTAAATGCAAAGATGCTTCAGTCAGCGCCGAGCCCTCCTCAGGCGACGCTTGCCGAATACAATGGAGCCCATCTTCGGGATCAAAACCACCAATCATAATGTCTCTTTCACGCATGAATCGGGACATTATTCACAGGGGAGAGACTAGCAAACAGAAAACAAACCAAAATCAGATTCGTAAGTCATTCCTGCTTCTAAAAAATATGCATACAGCAATCATACAGAATAATGAAGCCCATACGCCGATCCATGGCCGTATTGTATCCGAGACGCCCATACCCTGAAATCTCAGCTGGCACTCGGAAGCACAAACTCTAGCGCCCATCTATTGCTCTATATTGTGAAAAGACGGCAAGTACAATGTACACTCCGACGGAATTAATGTAAAAGTCGGAGCAACGTAATGGCAGATGCAATGGTAAAAGTAAAACAAAATCAAGGCCGGGAGCCGATGTGAGTACAAGGCCTTTACCTAACCGGCATACCTCCTCGGCTATCGAGCCTTCGGTGTGAAGATACACCTCCAGTGCCGGCGGCAGCGTTCGCTCCAACACTATATGTAACGCGGCGAGGCGCTTCCAGGCCGGGCTTATCACGCTGGGCCGCGCCCAGGTTTTCAAGTCGCATGTTGCCCCCCATGTTCATCCGTCTTGCTTGGCCCGCAGTGAGGTTCTCTGATATTACCTCTGATGGTGCGTACATCAGCGGCGGGCTCTTTCGGAGCTCCAGGCTCCCTCTTCGATGGCGCGAGATGCCGTTTGTAGCACTGGACAACACTGGTATGACAGGTCGCGGCGCTGGCTTGTCGCCGGAAGCAGAGCCAATCGATACCCGCCTGGCGGCAGGGACCGAAGTTGGGGCCATAAGGGCGGTCCTTCGAGGCTTCTTTAAAGCAATGGCGCTGCGAAGTTTGCGCATATCAATCGTGCCCGATTCTGAGTCGGAGCCAGAAGCGTTTGGGGGGTTATTCTCGTCCATGACCGCTCGCAAGGGGTGGTATTGAGGACCGAGTCGTGGCACCTTACTATAGGATAGCGGCGACCCGTTCTCTTGCTTGGGGACTTCGAGAGATCTCAGAGGGGGTGTTCTCTCTACGTCAGGAGAGCTTGCGGGAGAGCTTGAAGAGCGCAAATGCATGCTTAAAGACGGAGGAGACGATGAGACGGGCAGCCCGCTACCTTCAGCCGACAGTCGCTTGCCTCTGGAAAGGAATCCGGCTTGGAATCTACCGGGTTTGGCAATCGATAGACTCGGCGTGTCGGAGTCGGGACTCATCGTGTCGTCTTTCGAAGCATCATCCTTAGTCATGCTGTTGGACTGAGACGGCGGAGAGGGAATCTTGCTCTTAACAGCTGGCGACGGCTGTGCGGGAGGGGAGGAGCTGAATAGCTTCTGCGGCGTCTTCTCAAAGTCTTCCAGCGTTCCATCTTCCGTCTCGTCGTCCCTCCAACGGACCCCTCGACTCTTGGTAGCTCGTTTGACGGGTGTGAAGCTGACTCCCTTCTTCGGCATGCCGAGGGCCTTACGCCGCCTCGGCGTTGACTTCATGGGAGTTGCAAACACGTGCTCGTTTTGCACGGCCACAATAGCCGGGGGTGCAACAGGCCTATAGGCAGACAAAGACTTCCTCTTCCTCAGGGTTCTTCTCGGCGGAAGAGCATCCGGTACAACAGGCAAGGTGCCGTCGGGTTTGACTACCTGGGAGGCAGCCGTGAGTCCATCTTGGAGTAGGCGAGAAATGACGTCCTTGGCATGTTCCACAGCACTCTCTTCGTCCATTGACATGACCGAAGAAAGGGAAGACATCATTTCGAACTGGGCTGTGAGAAGGACTTGCATCATCGCGGCATCTCCCGCCTTTTCTTGTTCCAAAACCTCCTGGTAGGCTTCGCGACTAGAGTTGGCTTTTAGAAGCTCAGCTTCGCGCGTCAAGGAGTCGATTTCGCCGGTGTCGGCGCCTTCAGCCTGTTCCAGCTGATTGACGCCATGAGCCAAGGCTGTATCGAGGTGGCGTTCCCATGTCGACTTTTCTAGCCTTTGATGGCAATGATATCTGCTGTTTTCCAGCTCGAGTAAGACTCCATCGGCAGTCCTTCGTATAGCTTGAAGTCCTTGCAGCATTTCCCCTTCGCCTTCTTTCCGGCTGGCAACAGTCTCAAAGGCCGCAATCCACGCAGACAGCAGGCTAATGCGCCTCTCAAAGTGTTTCATTTTTCTCATGGTGACAATGCACTCCTGACGCTCTGCACCTGCATTGTCATATGCAGCTCGAAGTCTCAGAGTGGCCTCTTTTGCAATGGCATCTCGTTTTTCGTACTGTTTTCGGAATTTGGCGAAATTCACTTTCTCAGAATCTCTCTGCTGTGATCTCAGTTCATTAATCAGGGCCATTTGCTCGTCAATCTTGATCAGGAAGTCTTTCACGTGGCGGTTGACATTGAAAACATTGCGAGTGACCTTTGTTTGGATATTCTTGGCCCGGTTCGCATATCGCAGGGTATTTTGGGTTTCATCGTAGTGGGCGCTTGATGGCGAGACACAGACAATCATGACGGTCTTGCAGTTACCGCCCAAGGAGAATTTGAGGAGTCGTGTGAGCTTGCTGTTGCGGTATGGGACGTGCGCCTTTCCTGCCTTGTCACAGAGAGCGTTGATGCAGCCTCCAAGGGCAAGAAGCGATTTGTTGATGTTGGCGCCCTCTGTAAGGCGCTCACCGCGGTTTTTGGTGACCGAAGCACGCTCAGAGCCGGCTAAATCGATGATGCTCAGGGTCGCCATTGTGTGAGGCTCGTTGACATCAGCATTCCTGTCTTTTTGCGCAATGTTGATCTGTAGCACGGCGTGCGATCGCGAGGACGTTGCGTTTGCTGCGGTTGGTGATACAGTTCGGTACTCGTTTCCCTGGATAATCATATCCATGACTTCCTGGACATCTCGAGGGCGGTGGCTGGTCAATCCGGGCACGACGACCGCCTGGTTGCTGTCCTCACGAAGAGCCAAGCCCACCTTACTCCCGCCGGGCACGAGCAAATCGCGAATCGTCTCGTTGTAAATCTCCAGGTAGCTCAGAGTCAGCTCGGTCTGCTTCTCCTGGCTGCGCTCGTCAATCTTCTCAAACAATTCCTGCATTGTCAAGAAGATTATGCCAGGATGCTGCGCCGTGCCGGTAATTGTATGCGTTTTGCCGCAGCCCGTGGCGCCGTAGGCAAAGACGGTTGCATTGTATCCATCCAGCACGCTGTCGAGCAAGGCTCGTGTGGTTCCCTCGTAGACCTCGGCCTGCGTCGTCATGTCATCAAAGACTCGATCAAAGGCAAACACTTGATCTTTCACTTTTTTCGTGGTCGGGATGACGGTTCGGGAGAATTTCTGGACGGGGCTGTCTTCTGGGGGATCGAATATTCTGGCAGACAGGAGAGTCAGTCGAGTGATGGATACACACAGCTTGGTGGCGCAGCCGAAGAATAGTATGGTAGAAAGTATACGTACAGGCAGCGTTCATCAATAACCTTGATGACGTTTCTGATGCCTCGCTGGTGAAGCTTTGGCGTCGGTGCCGAAGCAAAAGAGCCGTCGCCCAGGAAGATGGTGCCATCGTCGTTTCGCTGCCTTGAATTCACGCCCGTCAGCATCCATTCGGTCGCTCGCAAAGCACAAAGCTAGAGTTCTTGATAGAGATAGAGATGGAGCTGGCATACAGTTGAGCTGCTTCTCGGATGGTAAAGGGCCGCACTCGGACTGAGACAGCGTTAGCTAAGCACCAGCTAGAATGGGCCGCTTCATGCGTTCATGCACATACCGGCCACTGTGATGGACGACTGTCCAGCGTCTGAGTCGTCGGCCATGATATCCATTTGCTGTGTCCAACGCTGGCCTCTGTTCCAGCGAGCGTAGCGTCGATGTAGGTATTCCGCTGCATGTAAAGTATTCGGCTTGAAGGTGTTCCAGATCTCAATTGGCCGTCGGTGCGCAGAGGCCTGGCCAAAATCAGGTTCGCTTGGAGAGATCCAGATAATCGGTGACCAGGGAGGGTGAGGGGCCGGCAGCGCTGAGACTCGAAAAAATACAGAGAAAAGACAAAAACCAGCCCCAGACGGCCACGCTTCGAGGTCAGCCCAACGGGTTAGTAGTAGTATGTCGATAGTAGGAGATGCACTTGTACAATACAATGGAGTTCAAACAAATGCAAGCATATAAAGCAAAGCAAAACGGAGCGAGCGAATGGGCAACTTCATGTCCTCCTCTGCTGTCTCGCACCGCTATGGAGTCCGAATATGCAGGCCTAGCTGGCAAGCGACGCTTTGTTGACCCCGGTAGGGAGTCCAGGCGCTGGAGCGGCGTCGAGTTGCCGTGACAACGTCTAGCGGTGCGCTAGGCCCGCAAAACGGCCACATTTGGGCACAGAGTTTCCACTTCAGAGCATGCAAAAGTGTAATTTAGTGCCTTGCTACCCTATAAATTCACGAGATTCGTGGCAGATTTAACCACCTCCAGAGTAGCATCAGAGCATCAGAGCATCAGACAGGCCAACGGTTGGGCATTGAGAAGAGCGGTCAGTTCTTGCAGCATATCTATTTGAGTCTGGTTAGCAAGCGAGGAGAGAAAGCAACCACTTCGTCCCTGCCAAGAGTTGACAAGTAACTTTATGGCTGTGATGTATGTTCCGCCTTTTCATATTTCGGCCTATCAGGTGCTATCCGGCCAGCACATTTGGGATACGAGTATCGCAATATGGCATCTTTAGAGTGCATGGGTGCAAAGAGGTAGAACTAGATGTGCCTCTTGCGCACAATTCTTGTTTCTCTCTGTGTTTATATGCAATTGTTGAATGAGGTAGCCCGGCATCAGAGCCCCATATCATTGTTCACCTGTGCTGAGTCCCATATCGACTCAAATGATTTCACCCATCCTAATGCGAGTTCATCCAAAATGTATGAGATTATCATTGTGGCATGGGATACATCTTAGTTTTCCCACACCAGGTCTGCCTACCGGTGCATCATATCCGTAGTAACTTGTAAAACCTCTGTATTATACACAGTCCCTGACGCCTATCCTTGTGAAAGTGATATCAACCATCATATATAACGAGCGCTGCAATTCGCGAGCCTATTCTCCACCAAGATACTTGGAAGGACTAAGCTCCCACCGGCGGTGTATAGGCGTAGCGTGGTAAAGCCGCCATCTTCTCCTCGGGACTGAACTCGGCATCGTCGTAAATCATCCGACCCTTCTTTTCCTTCTTGCTCTTGCCCTCGCCTGCCTCCTCGCCGTCTTCCTTCCTCTGCGGCTTCACGCCAGCTTCGGCCATACGAATCAGCTGATCAATCTCATCGCCAGAAGCAGCAGCCCCTTGAGCTGAGGCGTTCCAGAAGCCGGGTTGTGTGGGTCGCTGGGGCAGACCCGGCGCGCCGACCACATTTGCTGAAGGCCGCGCAGGGAGAGAATCTGAGGAAAAGTTGTAGGGAGCATGTGGCTGCTGTCCAGGGAAACTAGGCTGGTTGAATCCCTGTTGAGGAAACGAAGCGCCTGTCTGTACGACACCCTCCATAACGCCACCGTTTGCTGCTCCCGCTTTCCGCTGAGCTCGGTACTCGGCAAATCTCTTGAGCAGTTCTTCTGCCGTCTCAATCTTGATCTTCTTTCTCGGGTTCTTGGATTGGCCGGGCGGCGGATTTCCAGTCGCGATTCTGCGATCTTCTTGCGCCTGGTAAAAGTTCTGAATGATTCTGTTTCGGTGCTGCTCGAGAACCTCTTGTGGAATACCCTCCATGCCAAAAATCTCGACCTCGAGTCCCTGCCTGTTGGGAAGTGCATTCTCGACTTGGCTGAGCGTCTCCTTGTGCACCTGGTTCAAATGGACGGAAAGACCTGAGTATGGCAGTGGTTAGCAAGCGTTTTCTTTCAGCTTTTTTCATCTCGCAAGATAAATGCAGCTCCATTTGGAAACTTGCGCGTCCAGAGACGTACCTCCCGCGGTGTTCAATCGCCTGCCACATCGGTCGCATTTGAAATGTTTGGCCTTTTGGTGAGAGATCAGGAGCTTCAGATCTTCGAAATCACGCTCGCCTGAATGATTGAAAGGTTAGCTACGGTAAAATGACAAAGCAGCTCGAATTGTGCCCATACAGTAGTAGCACCACGGTCGGGAGAGGATTTCCTCGACGTCGGGATGGCCGCGCTTTCTTTTGCCCATCTTGCTGTGCTGGAGTTGTCGCGGCTATCAAAGTAGTGAATGAGCCCTATCAATAGCTTTGGGAGATGCTGTGAGTCTGTATTGAGCAAGATTAGAGGCGATGGCGAAGCTGCAATTCGAAGATGGAATTGGTATGGAATGGGTTTGTAACGTGTAGCTGCTCACAATGGGCTAACAGCGGATTAGGCGTTTGCGGCTGCTCGGCTGAATATCGGCTGATTTACGCACTGGAGCTTGCAGAGACGCTATCGCTGAAAGACGGCGCAGAAGAAGCTTTCCTAGAATTACAGCCACATGAAATCTTAAGAGGTCAGACGCTTTTCGGTGATCTGAGTAAAATTGATACATATATAGCCATAAAATGCGAGATGAAACAGCGCGTAAAGAAAATTGAAAGCGTTCACAGTATTCAGTGTGAAGTTTCATTTACTGCCAAGTGGTAGAGAATGTGCATGTAGGTATGTACCTGACAAACATACAATTTGCTGAGCTCAGCGACCGTATTGCCGAGCTCAGCTACATTTACCGCAACCATATAACAGTGCAATAGAGCACAGAGCAGAGCTACAGATATATCAAACAATGCTACGATGTTGAATATTTAAGAACTGATCAAAAGCATTATTTACAAGCCCAGCATGGTGTAGAACCCCACTACACCCAAGAGAGCCCATGTATCAGCACTTACAAGCTGTGAGAGCAAGCATGAATCATTGTTTGCTGGATGTTTCATACATGATAACATGTGATAGAGGCTACCGCAGATATCACACGTAATGACAATTAAAATAACACATAGAGCCATTCTCTGTTCCCTATTTTACAAGGTTGTTCGATTGCATTAAAAATCTATACAGAAGCGGCATTATACTTGATCTGCGAGCAATAACATCTCCCATATGTGCCTGTTATAACAAGTAGAAGCAGATTACTAATTATACTATCTGAACCAAATCCATGGAAGCTGTTGATCACAAACACGCAATTCTCTCGCATCAAGCGATGCGCGGCCGACCTCGAGCAAAATGCGATGACCATCAGAGGGTAGTGAGCTCAAATACTAAGTTTAGCTATCTAAACCCCTTATGACATGCTCACGAGCAAAATTGAATATACTCAATTCAAGACGTTACTATAGATAGTACTGATGATGTGTACCGAGTGCGGAACGTAAGATTTTTCAAGACCCAAATGACTCAGGAGCCATTTTAGAAGTGAATGATTGCCGGGTATGTAAATCATCTTGCCAAATGATGCTGCAGTATTTGCGATTGTGAGTTACAAGACAAAAAGGAGAGTTGTGTAACGAAAAACTAAGGAATAAAATGATAAACATCAAAGTTAATTCAGTTCAGATGTTGCAATTGTGATAGCCTTTTAGCTTGTTTCTAATAAACATGTGTGATGAAAGGATACGCCATGACCTACTTATATACCAGAGACACAGCAATGATAACAAATACTTGCGCAATTTACATTTATCATTTAGATATCTTGTCATTCTCCATCATGAATACGTAATCTTGCGCTGGTAAGCTTAATAGCCGCTTGCACTTTAGCGGATTAAGGTGTCAAATCGGACATCATGGAAAACCCAATAGCTCCCCAGGTATATACTAATGGGTCCAAGCAATTGATGCTACTGATCAAGTCGAATAAATTTACCTAATATGTGTATACTAACGACACTTAAATGTAAAGTACATGGTTTGGAAGACCAGCCAAAAGCGCCCCAACGACCATCTCCAATCTAGATCGAAGTCCATTTTCCCCTTTGGAATGGATAGATGCACCTAGCAGTCAAATTAAGAATTATTTATAGTTGGATCTAGCTGAAAATTCCATCTAGACTGATCAGATTTTAAGCATTTGACTCTCGATTCACGCAGCAGCACGCCGAAGCGAAGGAGCTGAAAAAGCAAGCCCGCAATAGTACCGCTTATGCAAGGGATATTCCTCATCGGACATAGTCAGACCACAACAGTTGCCTCCTAGTTAAACGGCGTCCCAGTCTCATCAAAGGCAGCCGGAAACCCGTATATGCTTGTTAAGCCCGCCGTGCTTTTTGCCTCCTTGATCCGGACCGAACCGAAATAACGGCTTGTCTTAACACGGCCCTGACCTGAGACTCGCATTAACGGTCATCGAATGAAACATTGGGAAATGACACATACAGGCTATGGCCCTCCTTGCATATACAATGTACCAGTATTCCCAATATTCAGCCAAAATGAGACTTTTGAGACTTAAAACTCTTGTCGTAGATCCTTTTACGGGGTTCCAACGTGCACTTGCCATGATTCAGGTGACATGTCAATGTCTCGGAAAAGGCCATCGGGAGGATCCTTGAAGTGTCCTAAATTCTCTTGGCAATCGTGTGCTGGCCAAAATACGGGACCGAAAATGCAATACTGCAATCGGTTATCTCTCCTCATTTGACAGGTCTCATCTTTCAGCCGTATCCGATGCCTTCAAGAGGATAGGGGACTCGGACACGTCAAGTAGTGTTTTCTTCCATCTCGACCTAAATGGTCCCTTA